AAGTAGCTTTTGAACACATATATTAAAAAATTAGGCTTTATAACATGATTCCCCAATGTGAATGCTATTTGATACCATGTGAAGGTTTTATGAAATTTTTATCCAAAAAGAGATCTCTTTTCGATAATGAATATGAATAATTGCTTTATAGGTTTTGCATGCACTACATTGGACATCTATTTCTTTCAGTTTACGTAGTATTATCACATAACAGAAAATTTACTTGATTAGTAGCATATATATATACTAGCGTGTAACTGAAAGTCTGAAACTAACAAATGTGTAACAAGGTACACGCTCATAATTATATGTAATTAAATGGTAAATGAAACTGTAACGTGGGAATCGGAAGTTACTGTGAGGCTTTTGCATGGATCATGCATGGGCAATCTGAAATGATTATTTGCCACGTCATCAACTCCCCTTTATTTTGTTTTCTTTTATTTATTTTTGTAACAACGCGTTTTCACGTATTTCAATATCTCTTCCTCTTCACTTCCCTCACACTGTCCCCTCCGACCCATTCTTATTTTTCTCCTTTTTCTTTTTTAATTATCAAAAACTAATTCATTTGCACATGTCTTTGTTTTTCCTTTTTAAATAATCCACCAAATAGTAAATGTCTCTACTTTTTTTTTGAAATTACTTTACGTGTGATTTGCAAATATATAATTATATAATTATATGTAGGTTTAGTCTTCTAACTAAAATAAATGGGATTGAATTTTGTTAACCGCTGTTATCTGTCAAGTTCACTAAAATAGAAGCTACAAACGGATAATTAAACACTTTAATCAGGGCCGTGCTTACCCCTATACGGAAGAGGCTTTCGCCTACGGCCCCTTTTTAAAAAAAAATTAACAGAGAAACATTAAAGTTTGTATGTATAGTTTGTATGTATGAGTTTGTACGTTATGGTTATCTAATAAATATGATCAAGCCCATTTACTTCTTTAAGACAAAATAACAAAAGAAAAGCATTATGGTTTGTACGTATTTTTTTATTTTTTTATTGCCTACTTCATCATCTCTATATTTCATTTAAATTACTTTATCAAACATCATCAGTTCATCGTTAGGGTAAGTTTGTTATTTTTAATTTATATTACTTCTTTGTTCTTATATATTTTTATATAGTCTTTAATCATCGTTACCAATTTTAACTTAATTAACAAACTAAAACATTATATTTTAAATTTATAAATGCATCAATCAACAGAATAAACTAATAAAAAAAGCAAAAACAAAACAAAAAAAAAGTTGTCAAAAAGAAAAGAATAGATTTTTTTAAGAAAAAATTAAAAAACAAAATTATCAAAATCTCGAACTAATGAAATACTTCCTCCGTTCATAAAGAGTGTCATTTTAGAGTTTTATTTTTGTTTCACAAAGAGTGTCTTTTTAGATTTCCAATGCAAATTTATAACAAAATATCTAGTTTTAACTTTGTTATATTAATGTATTAATTAGAAAGAGAAAATTATTTAGTGTATTTATAAAGGATATAAAAAACTTTTTATTAAACTTCTTACTTTGTGTGAAAAGTGTCAAAATGATACTTATTTGAAACAGAAAGAATATATAAATATTTTTTTATGAATTTTTTTAATATAATTTAAAAAAATTATTATCACCTACGGCATCAAATTATGTTGGCACGGCTCTTGACTTTAATCATTATAATTTATAACTAAAGTTTTCGTATTTTCTTAATGCAATTTATCAGCTTGTTTTAATTTTCCACCTAAGAAAATGCTTGGCACAAATAAAAAAAGCATTATATATCAATAAAACTCATATTTTAAAATGTTTAGTAGTATTAATTTATTTCCATAACAAAAAGTCGTGATTTTCAATATTGTCTGTTACAACCCTTTTTTTTATAACAATGTTTCTTACAACTTGTCGCATGCCTCTTTTCAACGCAAATTCCTAGTATTTATCAAGCGCAGAATCTTGGTCTTGCGATGTCAAATAAAAATATACTACTCCTTCATTTGTTTACGGATAGCAATAAATCCACATAAATTCCCCAAATCCACATAATATATATATATAGATATATATCGACAAGTATGATATTTGAAAACGTATTTGTTAGTGAATGTAAAATCTCTTTTTCTTTGTTTACTTTTCCTTACTACGTACGACGTACGTGAATAACGTAATTGAAACGAATACGAGAGACATATGTTATTTTTATGCAAGTAAACAAATGGTAGCAGTACCAGTTGTAGTTGTTAATGATTCAATGATTCCATTAAAATTATAAGATTTTTGGCAAGAAGAGAACTTACGCGAGCCGTGGTTATTACGCCCACTAAAATTAATATTTATACGAGGGGTGATATATTTATATTGCCGAGATGTATAGGAGGAATCGGATTGCGTGAAGAAAGCTATCTTGAATTGGTTAATTAAGATGTACATACTATACGTTTCAAATGATATGGGTTAGAAAATTCAATTCAGAATACAAACTAAACAATCTAATTTTGTTTGTGATGTAAAGAAAAGAAGTGGACCCAAAAAACACACAGATGGACCAATCTTTTAAATAGCTCTCCTCATTATGCCTTTGATTTTAATGGTCAATTATTGGAGTCATCACATTTGGATGACGTTGGCATTGTTCATTCAACATGCTTGATTAAGGTTCTTGCACACACAGAAAAGGTTTAGTATCATTATGGTACGCAAAATCGAAAATTGTATTGGTAAATACCACAAAAACATCTACTAGTAAAGAGTGCTAACACACAGTCATTTTTTTCATTCTAAAATATAATGCGATCACTTGTTAACATATTAAAATCATACTCCTAAATAACTTTTCTAAAAGGAACTACTGTTTGTTACATTTGTACAGCGGAATTTTGATATTTTAATTTATCTAAACAAACGATAAACTTCTAAATAATAACGAGTCAACACACAATTATTTGGATAGTCATCATCTTAGTTGTACAACACTTATTTAGTCCCGATCATTGACTATTTAAACAATTACGAGAAGCTGTGATAGACATAAATATCACATTCAGCAAATGAAGTATAATTTCTTTCATTTATTTGACCTTCCATTTAGTCAGGTTGGTGTCAAGTACTATAAATATAATACTACTAGATGATGTTATTACGGTCTTCGTATATTCGAATAATTCGTACTATGAAACAGTATATGCATTACGTACTGTTCATTTGCTTATTAGCTCTTATAATACAGTAGAACCTCTATAAATTAATACTCAATAAATTAATAATTACTATAAATTATTAATTTTTACTGGTCTTAAGTTGGGCTAATGTAAAAATTAATAAATTTCGATAAGGTAATAAGATAATATTTTTTTTTGAAACTCATATATAAAAATATAGTCCCAATAATTAGATAAATTAATAATTATATATTTAAGCATATATAAATAATATAAAATAATAAAATATAATTATATTATTGTTTCAAATTTATAAAAATTGTTTGACTTATTTTTCAAATTCACTGATATGATATTTTCTGAATAAATTTGACATTGTTAAAATTTTTTTTTGGTTTTTGACAAATATTTTGAATTTGAACTCAAATATCTCTCTATAAATTAATAAAATATTAATTTCATGATAAATTAATAGTTATTAATTTATCGATTAATTAATAACTCTATAAATTAATAAATTATTGAAGTCCTAATATTATTAATTTATAGAGGTTTTCAAAAAGGATTACCATCAGATTACTTGGAATTTTTTTATATATATTATACTCCTAAAATTTTTATTTACGCTTACTGTATCTACCACTTTAAAATAGTTAAAGTTTAATTATTTGAACTAAGAAAAAAGTAAATAGGGACATTTAGGTTATTAAGATCAAATTAAGGGAAGTGGGTTAGGCCAGGCGGCACCCAAAAATGCTTTCATCCAACAATGCTCTTTATAAATTGCTAAGAGGAGCTAAATGGGTCATAAAACACACAAAGTTGTATACATATAAGAAACAAATGAAATCAAATGAATATAGATAAATTCTCCTATTGATTGGCTTGCAATAAAAATACACAAAATAATAAATCGAAAAGTCTTTCTGATTAGTCTTTGAAAATACTACTATGCAAGTAACTACATGATCTTATGGGAGGAACGAACAAAGTCAAGAGACGCCAGCGATGGCGTCACCTTTTAAAACGATGTAATCATGACGGTATTATGACGATACGCCTCTAATTCAAAATTTTATAAGTATAGTCCAATTAAAATAATTAAAGTTGATAGAAATAAAAAAATAAAAGTAGAGTAAAGTAAAGTTAAAAAAGGAGAGGGAGCACGTGAGAATGTTGACTTGAAGAAGCGGTCGTGTCAAATTCATTGCGCCCAAAGTTCCTTCATCATTCCCAAGACACTGCCCACTCTTGCTGCCCAAGCTTCCCTCATCGCCTTAATTAACAATTAAGATTCCCTTCTTATTAGTTCCCCTTTTATTTTTTATACTAATTTTAACAATAACTTAGTTCACTGATCCAGACCATGGTCAAATTAATAATATACTCCGGTAATTGTTCCTTTATAGCATTTCTGATTTTTTTTTCTTGGTCCATTAGCTGATGATTTTCTTTCTTGAAACCTAAGATTTTTGTATAAAGTCATATTCATATAAACGTTCGTTTTCGTGGTTCCCATCTATTGCAGAAATTGGATTGTTGCCAATAATATGTACACCACTGCATCACTCATCTATATAAAATTAGCGTTTCTAAAAGAACTTAGTATAAATTCAGCAAAAAAAAAAGAAGAACTTAGCACCATCGGGCATTGTTATTTGTTACCGACTTTATTGAGTCAAACCTAGAAAATTATATAAATTAAATCTCAATTTGACCATTCGATTTAAGCAAAGCTCAAATAAACTCAAATGACCACTTGATTTGAGCAACTTCACAAATGTATGGGCCTAATAGTATATGGGCCCAATTTGTCTCAAGGTTGGTTTGAATCTGGAAAAGGGAGTTTTTACTTTATACTTGCTACAATAAAGATTGTTGTTACGCGAGAAATAAGTAACATTATCTTGTTTTTGGATTATATAATCTTTATATCTAGTGAAATCCCAAGACATTAATGTACAAATGCTGTGGAGAGGTTACACTAATTCTACAGAGTTTGTTTATGATTCAGATTCAAGATCAAAATCAAAAACCTTGACATGGCAAAGATCTCCTCCTGCATCATCTGCAAATCTAATCTTCTTTTTCTTGTGAAGAATGTTTTCAGTAGCTGGAGAATCTTCTCTGACCATACCCTGTTAAAAAGGAAATGGAATGTAGAAAAGTCAGAAAGCGAGACAAATAGTTCAGTTAAGCTTTTGTGTCTGTGAATGTTAGAGAGTGTAAAAACGAACCATGAGTTTGCAAAACCGATTACAGTCACGTTCGATCATCGAAATCCATTTCTTGCTACTCTCTTCAGTTTTTTCTGCATTTCCAATTAAAGTTCTCACCTGACAAGAGACATCAAGAAAAGAAAAAAAAAACGATTATTTTGAGAAGAGAAAATGAAGATTTGAACACTGAAAGCCAAAATTCAATTGCTTTTATAGACAAAAGTACCTCATCCAAGTTACAGTCAGGCATTTTGGAGGGGCTGCTTTCAGCTAGAAGACATCTCTTTGTAATTTGTCTCATTGTTTTGAGCTCTTTTGTGAGCTTAGCTGCAACATACTGGAAATCACGGATTTGCCCTTGAGAGAAGGCAATAGCTTTCTGTGTACATCCTTGTAACGAGGTGCTTCCAGTGCTGAAAGGCTGCGGTTTCGCTGTCTGAGTTTCTCGACGAGGAAACTTGTGTGTGGCCCTTTGATACTGCGTTTGCCGAGTATTGTTGTTTGCTTTTCGAATGGCTTGCTTTGAGTTCGGAGTGACTTCCACTCGGTCGATACTGTCCAGCCCTTGCGCCTTAAGGATCCTATGTGAGTTTTGGCTACTGAAGTAGAGTTTCCCTTTGGATCCTGGATTTTTTTATTTATTTTGTAAAATTGTATGAGAACCTGAAGTGTCAAAGTGTAGAACATACAAAAAAAGGACATTCAAGATTTTGTCATTGACTTACTTTTAGATCTCTTCTCAGGTGAATCGGGGTGCTCCATTGCCTTGCGAAGTTTCGCTTGCGAGTTGGGAGATAAAGCCTGAAAAACCAAATGTATATATAGTGAGGAACTGCTTTTAAGATAGAATGTGATTTGAGAAAATTACACACAGGACAAACCTTTCTCCCTGAGAGTAGCTTTTCAGGTTGAGAGTGTAGCTCTTTATGCTGGTTACTGTCAGTCTCTTCAGCTGTTTTCACCTCTTCAGGTGACTGTAAGAGTTGTGATGATTGGTCTGCTGCTTCATCTACGTTCCCTGAGGATCTTTCTGGTCTATGAACTTCTTCTAATGAAATTTTGCTGTCATCAGTAACTGAATCCAGTGAATTACAACAGCTGGTCAGCTGGAGAATATCAGTTGCTTCAGGAAGCTCAACCTTAGCAATGTCTTCAGCTTCCAACACAATCTCGGTATTTTCCATGGTGAGTAAACCTGAGTAATCAGTAGCAACCTTTTCTGGAGCTTCTATCTTCAAATTCTCCAGACCAGTTATCGCCATGTCTAAGTTAGAAAGTATCTCTGGAGCTTCTATCACAATCTCCAAACCAGTTATGGTCGTGTCTGAGTTAGAGAGTACTTCTGGAGCTTCTATCTTCACAGTCTCCACACCAGTCATGGTCATGTCTGAGTTAGAGAGTACTTCTGGAGCTTCTATCATCACAATCTCTATACCAGTTATGGTCTTGTCTAAGCAAGGCTTTGCATCATTGCTTTCCTCGTCCTCTTTAACTTCTTCACTCTCGGAGCTTGTATTAGACGAAGCCAGGTTCTTGACACAACCAATGGTCTCAGATTCTGAACTTTGTGGAGCCTCCAATTCAATCTCCTCTCTGGGCACACTACTGTTTGCCTGAGTATCAAGATCAATACTATCAGTAAGGCAATTGAATTCTTCTGATGCATCTTTAATAGCTTCGTCCACTGGTAATGTAGTTACGGGTTCTTCAATGGCTACCATTCCGGGAGAATTTGGCTCTGCACTGCAGTATGGAGACAAGGTTCTGTCCTTCGACGAATCATGCATAATCTCTTCCACCAACTCTGTACATGTAGTAGATTCTGGCTCTTTGATAGAATCTAGTAAAGGATCAGTGGGAATGAACGCTATGGCTTCATGAACTGTATAGCTATCATCCCAAGAAGCCTCAGGCTTGACATGATGGAGCGCAGGCAAATCAGCTTTTTCAGCAGATGGAGAGGAAGTAGAACCACACTTTGTTTTACGCTCCTGCTTTCTCTTCCTTCTCTTGGAGAACTTCGTTTCCCAATTGCTAAGAGGCTCCTCAAGATCACATCCTTCATCTTCAGTTTGAAAAGTCAAGGACTCTTGCTTAACTTTAACCTGTGAGGTGGTTTCAATATCTCCGCGGTTTCTGAGTTTCCTCTTCTTTTCTCTGCATTGTTTCCGAATCTTCTCCAGCGTCATGTTAAAATCCTCTGGATCAGTTTTGATATTCACCTCAGGGCCAAACATACACGAACCTCGTGTCATGTCAGAGGCATTGGCCAAATCACTGAGCTCCCTTGGTTGGATTCTCGGGATTGACTCATCATCTTCGGTGTTTTCCAGATTGTACACATCCACCAAGTGTCTAAATCTGAGCTTTGATTTCCCTTTTACATTCAACAATATCTTGATCGATCCGTCTTTAATGGCCCTTATAGAATGCAATTGCGAATGCAAATGTGTGCGACTTCTTAACTCCACCATTGAAACTAACAAACGATTGCTTCCCAGCAAATGAATTTCAGCTCGAGAAAAAACCCAAATCTACACCAAATAACAAACAAAGAAATTCGTCGGTAAGGATACTGTGGTAATCAACACTATGCAGAAACCTTAATTTCATCAAGCTAAAACAGAGAAACGAACATCAATTAGCTAATAACACAAGCAGTGGCCAAACAATTTTACAGAAAAGTATTCAATCTGATTCAAAAAAAAAAAAAAAAAAACTACAGTCTCAGATTTTGAGTTCAACGACGCAGCGATTCGTTAAATGGGTTCCACTATAACTAAAACTTGAAACCAAACCTCTTTTCCTGGAGAATCAATTGCAGAAATCTGACCCTCAACAGATCTAATTTTTTAAAGTTATATAGGAATTGTAATTAAAAAAAAAATCACAAATGAGGATGCGAGAACCCTAATTCGCTACAACGACCTTGTAAGCTGTATCAATTCGAAAAAGGTAAAACCAAATCCGGGTAAAATTAGATGCATGCATCAAAGTGAAAACGAATCTAGACCAGAGAGATGAACATTGAATTTCACCTTAATCTTAATCGGCAGCGCTTAATTAGACTGAGAAAGAAATGAAGAACGGATCCTGGGCTTCAGACTCGGAGCTTCTCAATCTAGGGTTTACACATGAGCCAGAGAGAGAGAGAGAGAGTAATTTAAAACAAGAGGAAGAAGAAGAGGCGGAAAATTGGAGCTCTGAGTCAGAAGGACGGAGATGGGGAGAGAGAAAGAGGAGAAGACTACTTTTATGAGCCGTGAAGGGTCGCGGGAAATACTTGGCGGGAAGTCATACGTTATTCTTATCTCCTTTTTAATCTTTTTTACCTTTTTTTTTCTTTTTGTAAATGGGTATTCGAACCTTTAAGCCCAATATTATTAATGGGCTTATATGTTAAATGGTAAGGAGGGTAAATATGTAAATTTATTAGATAGGACCTGAGGTCGATATAGCAAGTTAGCAACATAGCGGCGTATTGTAGATAAGAAGGAGAATCAGCTTCGTTTAGAAGAAATCACAGAAATTTCGAAACCCTAAAACTCCATAGACTCTCTTCTCGTCGACCTTAAAGCCGCCGATTCCCGCCATGACAAAGAAGAGAAAGCTCGAAGCTCAATCCAGCGAGGCGTCTGAATCGTCGCAGAAGCAGAAGCTGACGGATGAGCAGCTTGAAATTAAAAATCTTATTAATCAGGAAGGCGGCGATGAAATTGAATACGAGGAAGTAGAGGAGGAGCATGAAGAGGAAGTCGAGGATGATGATGACGAAGAAGACGATGAGGAGGATGCGGGTGGTGAGAATCAGCCGGCGGGTAATCGTACGGAGGCGGCGACGTCTGGATCTGGGAACCAAGGGAATGATGATGCCGATGAAGATGAGCCAATTCTGGATCTGTTAGAGCCATTTTCGAAGGAGCAGCTCGTGAGTCTTCTCAAGGAAGCCGCGGAAAAGCATCTTGATGTAGCGAATCGAATCCGGGAAGTGGCTGAGGAGGATCCTGTTCATCGGAAGATCTTCGTGCACGGGCTTGGATGGGACACCAAAACTGAGACGCTTATCGAAGCTTTCAAGCAGTACGGAGAGATCGAAGACTGCAAGGCCGTTTTTGATAAGGTCTCGGGGAAATCTAAAGGCTATGGGTTTATTCTGTACAAGTCTAGGTCAGGTGCTCGCAACGCACTCAAGCAGCCTCAGAAGAAGATCGGAAGCCGCATGACGGCGTGTCAGCTTGCTTCCAAAGGACCTGTCTTTGGCGGAAACCCTGTCGCTGCAGCTGCCTCGGTAGCGCCTGCTCAGCATTCGAACTCGGAGCACACGCAGAAGAAGATCTATGTCAGTAATGTTGGAGCAGAGCTAGATCCCCAGAAACTGCTGGCGTTTTTCTCAAGGTTCGGAGAGATTGAAGAAGGTCCTTTGGGTCTCGATAAGTTTACTGGTAGACCTAAAGGCTTCTGCCTCTTTGTCTATAAGTCGGCTGAAAGCGCCAAGAGGGCTCTGGAGGAGCCACACAAGACCTTCGAGGGCCACGTCTTGCATTGCCAGAAAGCCATCGATGGTCCCAAACCGGGCAAGCCGCAACAATTCAACACTCACAACAACAACAACAACAATCCTCGTTTCCAAAGGAATGATAACAACGGTTACGGTATGCCTGGCGTTCATGGACATCTCATGGCTGGTAACCAACCCGGGATGGGTGCTCCGGCGCAGGCGCTAAACCCGGCTCTTGGACAGGCCTTGACAGCTTTGCTGGCGTCGCAGGGAGCTGGTTTGGCCTTTAACCCAGCCATTGGACAGGCTTTGTTGGGTTCTCTTGGGACAGCTACAGGGGTGAATCCAGGGGCTGGAGCTGGAATGCCTAATGGTTACGGTACGCAAGCTATGGCACCGGGAACGATTCCTGGATATGGTGCACAACCTGGGTTGCAAGGTGGCTATCAGACTCCGCAACCTGGCCAGGGCGGGACAGGCAGAGGGCAACATGGTGTCGGGCAGTACTCTCCTTACATGGGCCACTAGATGTATCTTGTATCCACTCAGGTAGAGCAATGAATATATCGTCTCTTCATCATATACTTTACCTGGAACTGACTTACTATGTCTAAAGACGAGTGCTTTCTGTGTCGAGACCCACTTTGACTTCTATATATGAGTTTTGGGGATTTTTTCGGTGGTTCTCACATGATAAAAAAGAATTTTGCTTTTTGCAATTTCTATGTTACAGGTTACAGCTTGTTACTTCAAACTGTTTTCTGAAGGTTTTTTCAGATATTCTGCATCGGTTTAGATTGTGAAAAACCTTCTCTTATTTTCGTGAATTCATTGTGCAGATATCCAAAATCAGTGTTTTAATATTGGCCTGGTGATTCTTCTGAAGTTTATAAGGAGCTGTGATGCAAATGAAGTCTTTATGAAAAGTTACTCTTTGGTCGCTCATAAGGCCAGACTCATAAAACCTTTTAAGGAGTTTTAGTTTTCATTTACTTGTTTTCTTTTTTCACCGACTACTCTCTTTATGCTATTCCTAAAAACACTGTACTATTTTCAGAGTTTATGTCTCTATTTTTCATTTTTCTGAAACATTCCCCTAGAACTTTCGTTTGTAAAACTAAAAACACAACTATGCTCCCTGAGGGTTCTTGCGTATCGTATTCTAGTTTTTCCAAATTTTATAAATAGTTTTATTCGATCTCTCTGCTTCACGGTTTCATGGATTTTTCTGCCTGCAGTATATCAATCTCGAATATTTTGTAATATGTGGAGTTATTTTGATTAACCTAGCAGTATATCAGTCCCGAATAGTCTGTAATACGTTTTGGGTTCTTAGGGATGACATACGGTCAGGTGGTTCGGAGCCAAGGCCTATCCCTCTCTCCTGTCCAGATCGGAGCCAAGGCCTATCTGTCTCTTCAAGAGCTCAGTGAAGTGTCGAGTACCGGGTTTGACAAGTCAGGGGTTCCTGGGGCGAAATTCTCTTTCCCTCTCAGGTCCCCTCCTGTCCAGTTTGAAAGCTGAAGCTGCTGCTCTTGTATGTGCTATGACTGTGTTGTTTATCGTGGTTCGAGAACTATTCCAAGGTCTCTTGATGCAGGCGGTAAAAGATCCCACATGGCCAAGACTAGAAAGCTTCACAAAGAAATTTGTGGGAGCCATGGAGAAACTTTTGAAACCTTGTGGAAGACAGGATAATCTTAGTGCTGATCTTATTGCTAAAAACAGGGTCCTACTTCCGTATTTACTTTGCAATACTAGATTGTTTGTACTTGTATCTCATCTTTGGCTGAGTACAGTGATTGAAAGGGAAAGAGACTATGTTTGCTCTTTACTATCAATATCAAATTATTTCACAGTAATCGTACCTAAATTAAACAGAAACTTAAGAGTGAGAGAAATAAATGTAAATAAAGCTTTCTTTTTCAAGATGCAATCACTACAGAAGTAGCTTGATAACTGATGTATACGCGATATTTGAGATTTTTGGTCACAACTTTAGATTGCAGGACTAATGGAACCTTGTAATCTCTCTAAATGCACACACCAAAAAAGATATAAAGCCAAGCCAAATTGATTGAAGTCTCTCTCAGCACATGTATAAACTCGAAATCCACCTTCATTAAAGTAATCACTCATCATCAAAATATAAAATATAACCTTTCTTTCGTATTTTTGATCTAGCCAGTTTTGGAGACCATCGTTTTTTATATTTCGGGTACGAAACGCATTGAAAATTCCACAGGAGGCTTGGGGGATTTGCCGCAGTATTAAGTCTCACTTTCTCAATCAAAAGGTTTCTCTCTCTTCTTCTTTTTCTCTCCTGCGGGAAACAATAGAGACAATAAGAGAGAGAGAGACACACACATACACAGAGTTTATGTTTGCTTTGTAAATCTCTCTCTCTCTCTCTCTCTCTCTCTCTGCACTTATCAGAGTTTCCTTCTCTTTTATCTCTCACACCCACCACTTCCACAAAGAAAAACCCACAGCTCCCTTGTTTAGATCTGGTCCCTTTTAAGCTCTAATTCGTTTTACCCTTTTCCGCAAAATTGTTGCTTTTTCTGCTTAGTTTTGATTCCCCTTCTCCGCAAATCTCTTCCTCACAAGCGTTTGTTCTCTCTCTGTTTCACTGCTGCTGCAATTTCCATGATTAGTATCTGCATTTGATAGCCCTCGATGCTGCATGCAATCCCCGAGACTCTTTCAGATTGCTATAACGCGGTGATTTCTTCTTCTTCTTCTCGGCCATTTCCTTCCGATTCCACATCTGGGTTTTGTTGTTTCTCTGCTGCATGTTTGGCGACTCGACCATAGGAAAAAGGGTTACTTTATCCTCGGATTTAGGCTCGATTTGATGAATTCTTCGTGGTGTAGCCGTTTATCAGATTGAGCATTTCTGTTGAGATTAGGGTTTCTGATTTGTGTGCTCGGGCTTGTTTATCTATCTGTGTGTTGGCTTTTTTTTTTTTTTTTTCTCTACAAAGCTTATGGATTCTCAGAGGGGTATTGTTGAAGATCCTAAATCTCAGTCCTTGAATAGGCAAGGCTCTCTCTATAGCTTAACACTCGATGAGGTCCAAAACCACTTGGGGAGTTCTGGTAAAACACTTGGAAGCATGAACCTTGACGAGCTACTCAAGAGTGTCTGTTCTGTTGAAGCTAATCAGCCATCGTCCATGGCTGTTAACGGTGCAGCAGCAGCAGCTCAGGAAGGTCTCTCTCGTCAGGGAAGTTTGACTTTGCCACGGGATCTCAGCAAAAAGACTGTTGATGAGGTCTGGAAAGACATTCAGCAGAGCAAGAACGGAGGTAGTGCTCATGAGAGGAGAGATAAGCAACCTACGCTCGGCGAAATGACGCTTGAGGACTTGTTGTTGAAAGCAGGAGTGGTGACTGAGACAATCCCTGGTTCGAACCATGACGGTCCTGGTGTTGGGGGTGGTGGTGGTAGTGCTGGTTCAGGTGCTGGTTTAGGGCAAAACATAACTCAGGTCGGCCCATGGGTTCAGTATCATCAGCTTCCATCAATGCCACAGCCTCAGTCGTTCATGCCATATCAGGTTTCAGACATGCAAGCGATGGTCTCTCAGTCTTCTTTGATGGGAGGTTTATCAGATACACAAACTCCGGGAAGGAAGAGGGTAGCTTCAGGAGAAGTTGTGGAGAAGACTGTAGAGAGGAGGCAGAAGAGAATGATAAAGAACAGAGAGTCTGCAGCTCGTTCGCGAGCTAGGAAACAGGTGACAACAACTTTCTGTAATTGCAAATGTGTTGTTGTTATTAGTCTTTTCAAGCCTCGCCTTGTTTTTTCTTTCTTTTCTGTTTGGTGTCTTAACATGAAGTGTTGATGAGCAGGCTTACACTCATGAGCTAGAGATCAAAGTTTCACGGTTAGAAGAAGAAAACGAAAGACTCAGGAGGCAAAAGGTAATGTTTTGCAGCCTTGGCCCTTGGGATATGCATGTATTGATTGTGATTCGTAATAAAATTGAAGGACTGGTCATTAGTAGTGAGTACTGTCATGTATTAAGTTTTGGATTCGATTTATAGGGAATGGTAGATGACAGAAGATGTAGTAGTCAAGTATGGAATTTGGCACGGGCATAGTTAGACAATAGATGATAGGAAATGAAACCATGAACAAAAGAAAAGAGTATTAGGCTTAGACACAACCTTTGATGAGAGGTGAAGTCTTCGTTTAGACACAACACAACTCATGACTGATAGACAAACTTGGAATTGGTGGTTTACATTCTTGTTTTATTTACTTTGCAGGAGGTAGAGAAGATCCTCCCAAGTGCACCACCGCCTGATCCCAAACGGCAGCTCAGACGAACAAGTTCAGCTCCTCTCTGATCTCAAAACTCTTTTTTTTTTTTTTTTTTTTTCGTTTCTGTGTCGGTTTGCTTATAAAAGAAAAGAGAGGAAAACAGCTTTGTTTCTTTGTACATTCCGTAGACTTTCTTGACTTGGAGCAAATTCTGTTTAACTTTCTTAAAAACATTCCGAGTTATCTTAGTAGCAGCAGCAATCGTTTTCTTGAGTATAATTTAGAGGTTGAACAAAAGAAGAAAACTTGAGTTTGTAAGGATTTGAATACAACAAAACTTTATAGTCAGCAAGGAAAACTGTTACAATTTGCCAAGCTTTGTTCTCGAACGTAGACATTATTTTTAAATTTCATCTTAAGAACTTGTTTGCTATATGTTCTGCAATAGCCAGGCTTGAGGTTAAACCAGGCGATTCGATGCCAAAGAGATTCACAAGACCAGGAACTCCATGAGTCTCTTCTCCCTGCATCAACAACACATAAGAGACTTGAGAAAACTAATGCTTTCATAACAAAACCAAAGATGCCACAGGGAACAATGTTAGTGTCATGTCTGATGCCTCTGAGAACAAAAGAATCACCTGTATGATAAAATCTGCGGGAGGCTGTTTTGGTCCAGAAAGCTTGGGACGAATGCCTGAATAACCGGGTTCCAACGATCCATCTTTGAGATCCGGATAGTACTTTCTGATCTCCGGGTAGAATTTCTCCGCTCGTTGTGGGTTTACACGATAATCAAATCTGGATTCAAACATCATGAAGATCTTGAGTATCTATCCTCAAAAGAGACAAGAGAGATAGATGAATTTCAGAACGGAAGCAAGTATTTACTTGTTGAGGAAGCTTGATCTCTCGTCTTTGCATTCAATCCATTCAACATCAGGACCAAACTTGACAAGTCCGTTCAAATCAACAGTGACATGGACACCAAGACCTCCTTCCTCAGGTATAGGATACACAAGGCTATTGAAAGGTGGAGACTTTATACCCGATAGGGTAAAGTAGCATCCACGAGCATAGTGAGACGAAGGAATGAATCGACGATCTAAGCCATGGAAACTCTTTGCTAGAGCTTGAGCAGCTAACCCCGCAGAGTTAACAACGAGATTAGGGATTAGCTCAAGCTGTGCTACAAATGATCCGATTTCAGCAACAAACAAACGCATCTTCTCTTCTTCAACACGACCGCTTAAAACCACTGTATTGTATGAGAAAGTTGCGTGGCTGTTTTCTGCTTGTCCCTGTAGTTTATCCCGGTACATCATGAAATCAAAAACTCTCTTCCTACTCCAAAATCCCGAATGTCCTATTTAGAGCAGAGAGAGAAGATTGTATAGTACCACTAAAGATAGCATGAAGGAATGTGTATCGAGGATTCCAGATTCAGGAGAGAGCAATGCTTTAACACATCGAAGATGCGGCTCCATCCTCATTGCTTCAAAGCCTTCCATCATCCTTAGACCCGAGACTCGATTCTGAGTTCCAAGATGCATCAGCAGATCCAATTTCGGTATCTCAGAGGATCCTGTGGCAACGATTAGCTTACCAATCTTCCTGTGAGGGATTTCATGTTCAGAGCAATACCTATACAGCAATTCCCTTCCTCTTACACATAACTTGGCCTGGTCAAATCCAAAGATAGCATTTTTAGCCTTCCGTCATCGATTTTGGATTCGACCCTCAAGACAAAAAAAATCGTACCTTTAGAGAGTTTGGTGGATAATAGATTCCGGCGTGGACGACCTCGCTGTTTCGGGAACTCGTAACGGTGCCGAACGATGAGGCGGCGTCGAGGATCAGCACCTCTCTTCCGCGGATGCTGAGCTCACGCGCCACCGCTAAACCCACGACTCCGGCACCGATCACGACGGTGTCAACTCTCTCTTTAGCTATCGTTTCCGCTCCACTGCTTACTCCTCGCGCGATTCTTCCTCTGCTGCTACTTGCGTCCTCCCCGTTGACCGATTTCCAGGTTGCTTTTAGAGTCCCCGTCGACAATCTCCTCCATTTTCTTCTCCCCAAGCAAGCAAGCATCTTCGTCTTCTTCTTTAAATCAAAGATGAAGTAAAAATATCGTCGTCTCCTGCTAAATTTTGCAGAGATAAAACTCAACGCGCCTGCTCAGTGCCACTAAAGAGGCTAAAGAGAAAAATATACACTGCAGAATAAAATGTTGACTTTATTCTTTCAGTGACACTAAAGGCTTTGCATTTTGCAGCCCAAACGGTATTTGTCTGGGACTGGAACTCAGCTAAATGACGTCGTTTCATTTCAGCTGTTGAGACTCCTCTTCTGCTTCCTCCTCTTCATAGCTTCTCCTTCACCCCATAACAATGGCCAGCTGGTACCATTTTTCTCGTTTCTATTCTACTGTTTTAAATCGTAATCGGTTTTGAATTTTAATTCCTTTATCACTAGACAGTCGGAAGGATTGCTTTTTCGGAACTGATTCTAGAGTAATGGGCGTAAAGGAACTTAGGAAGTTGAGCGAAATTAGGTTTTTCTTGAGTTGTCTCCAAGGTATTTGTGGAAATGCCTAGCTGAATTGTACAATTAATTGATGGATATCTTGAGCTTGTGTGGTTGATGTTAAATCCAGTTTCTGAGTTTCTTGTTTCTTCTCCGTCTATGATTTTGATTTAAACCTTCTTTCTGCGAGTTTATCAATGGAACTCCAGTTTGTTGAACTGTTAAAGCTAGCTCCTTGGTTTCTAGTCTTGTACTTGAAAAGTTGCTATCTGATGTTTGTTTGAAATGTGAAATTGAAACGCTGAAACTTTGTGGTCTAGGAAGTAGCTGCATCTGTGTCACAGCTGTTTCATGGGATTTGCCATCACGGTGACATTGCCTACGTGTGGAAGTCAGTTCTGTTTACCAAAGAAGAGTATCAGAGACAAAGGTGCTTTGTCTCTTGCTATTTGCTTGGAGTTCTGTTCTCTCTGTCATTTCCTTCATCCTGCACGGCCGTTCTTGGTCAGACATCAAAGGCAAGTTTTTAACTTTGGAAGCATAGATCATCACAGCTTTGGCAATGTCTCTTAGAAAGAATATGATCGAATTATAGTCACTATGCCTTTTTATGTTAATGATCTGCTTGAAATACAGTGATAAGAGGCTTTTGGCAAAACCAGATGTTTCTTTCAATTCTCTGTATGTGTTCTATGAAGGCAGAGACCATAACTAGCCACTTTATTCGATGTTTATATATATAAAAGTCACCATATGCTCTAAATCATGGTTTTTTTGTGATTTATTGGACTTAGTATTAAGTAGTGAAGTCCTTCGATTCTTGTGGGATATAGTATACCCTTTCTCTCTAAAATCCAATTCTAAGTATCTGTTTTGCATCTACCAGGAAAATGTCATGGACAACAATCAGGAGCTCGGTTGGTGGGGGCAGATTCGATCCACCATCCGGTTCCGGTTCATCAAGTAATAAAAGCACCAGACGTCCAAGACTGATCAAAGCATTACAAGATCTCAGAACTAAGCTTCTGGTGAAAATTGAGGAGATAAAGAAAGATCTCCCCATGAAACTGTTGTTTCTCTTGGTGGGATTCTACTCTGCAACTGCATTCTCTACGTTTATAGGACAAACAGGAGACTGGGATGTTCTATCTGCTGCATTGGCCGTAATCGTAGTCGAATGCATTGGAGCTTTAATGTACAGAGCATCCATTCCATTAATCAACAAGATGCGGAGCATTATCACCATATTTAACTATTGGAAGACCGGACTCGCCCTTGGACTGTTCCTAGACTCATTCAAGTATGAAGTTTAGACAAAATGTCATAAGTTTTACATGAATCTTTACTCTCTTGTGTTGATTCCAATGAATGAAAAAGTGTGAAAATTCTTTTGGCTGGACACAGGTTTTAGCTCAGACCTGGGAAAGCAACAACAAAAACGGCAGAACCTGGGTCACGAATGAACATTGGGGAGCAAGATTTGTCAAGTTGTGTCCCCTTTATTCTTGTGAAGACTTTAACGTCGTTGAAGACAAAGGTCTGAACTTTTCGAATGACTAACGAGCAGACATAGGACCAAAGCTTTTGATCTACTAAAAGCCAGTCATTACCAAACAATGCTGTAGCCTTGTATTTTAATTTTTAATGTGAAAAATCATTGCATTGCAGAGATCGATATGTTTAATAGCATCGATTCCCTCAAACATCTTCTTACAGTTGTTTTCTTCTTTATGAGATGAAATTTCCAGCCTAAATATTTCCCAGAGGGTGCATGTATCCCTCTTTGCTCACAGATCACTGAGGTTTAAGTAAGACCAGCTCACAATTTATCTTCTCGGTTTGTTGCATTTCTGTAATCAATGTCAAAGAACACACAGGCGCAGAATGAAGCAAGTCAGAGCATTTGAGAACTACTTCAGAGCTGCAACGAATCCTTAAAATTTAGTTGTTCAAATCCAGAGAGCCAAATCCACTGGAAGTATCGACCCTTCGGGCTTACCCAAAAAGAAGACGTAAGGTGACTCGACGTCGTATTGATTGTCTTTCATATAGATGTGTGAAGTGTCTTATTTTCGAAACATCCCACATCGGTAAGTAGAGAATCGTTACTCATAAACTTTATAGTATAAAAAGGAAGCCGAGACACCTTTCCTAATCATACCTTTCTCGGCCTTTTGGCTAAGATCAAGTGTAGTATCTGTTCTTATCAGTTTAATATCTGATATGTGGGCCATCGGCCCACACGCGATATTAACTCTATTTTTTAAGGGAGAAGGCCCATCAAGATAGCTTGCTATCTGGGCTTTCGCGAGTCGCCCATGCGTTGCACTATTGCAAGGGCTTGGCTCAACCCGCCAAACCAATAGTTTAATATTTTTCTTTTAATTAAAACCGAATAATCAAGTTTTAAAATTGGGTCAAACAAAACTATTTACAAATTAATCACGGATCAGAGGCAAATCATAGTGAAGTGAGGGAGATAGAAAATAGTAGAAAAACATGGCGAACCCTAGAAGGGTACTGATTGAGAACCAGAGGTTTTTACCTCTAATCAATCTACTGAAGAAGCCTCAAGCGGTTCCTCTGCTTCTCTCGTTTTTCCTCCTCCTCACATGGATCACCCTCAGGGTACAGCACTCTTCTCACTTCTCTTCGTCTTCTTCCCATCCGAAATCGGCATCGAAGAGTCATCCGGATTTGGAAATCCTCGACGACGACGACAAGGTTAACCTGGTCCGGTTCGATTCGGCGTCGCTCTCTCCTGTCCGAAAAGACGACCGTGGATGGTTGCTTGATCCCGTTATCCTTGCTCGTGATTCTCGGCTCAATGGTTTGTCTTCTTGTCTGCGTCTCGGTCTCCTTGATCGATTCCACGACGTTTTTGTTACGATTTTGTTCATTATAGTGTTTTTGAGTATATATTGAAACTGGGCATAGCGCCATATCGTGAGTTTAAGTTTCATTATTGGAGCTTCCGTGAATCATTAGGGGAATCGGCGTTCTCAGTATCCCTCCTTTGGTAATTGTATGGAGTAATTTTAGAAGCATGTAGGTTGATTAAGATTTTAGCTTATGGTTTTTGTGTCCATGAACACATACTGTTTAAGAAGAAAGGAGTGACTGAATTTTCGTATGTAACTGAAGAGTTTATACATATGAACGGAACATTGAGGAATTCTCTACCGTATTGTTGTCTATGACGATCATATGGCTTTGCTCACTCTGGCGTAACCTTGAAGAAGAATAACATTCCTTGTTTTCTCTCTTTCGCTTGTATGTAGGTGGAGCGGCGTCATGTGTTTCCATTCATGTTGGTGAAATCCGGCCTGGGGGGTTGAGGGGAAACCACAGACACCATACCTGTAATGAGACCTTCGTCATTTGGGGTGCCAAGACAAAATTCAGGGTAAGTCTCATCGTCCACCTCATTTACAGATCATAATGGAAGAATCATCTTTTGAAACCTCTGGTTGGTAGGAGGGAATATCTGTTTTTGTTTATTATCTAAGTGTGCAATGCTTCACTAAATGGTAAAGTGATATGTTTTGGTAATGAAGGTAGAAGAGAGTTCAGAGATTGCCTTAATGCCATGCTCAGCTTAACTAACTGTGTGTAAACATGTTAGTTGTTCTTTTGATGAGTATAAGTAGAGGACTGATTAGATGCAAGAGCAGGCTGGTACTTGGTTGGTTTGAGGTTTTGGGGATGTTTAGGGTCTCTAGAACAAATCATAGACTACAGTTTCTTTGACTTGGGTTCGCTTATTCTGCACTGTGTCTGTTTTATTTGAGAAATTTAGGAGAAAAACGCTTCTGAATCTATCATAAAGACGGTCTTGACTATTAGACTAATATACATCAGTCAATTGCTCGCATGTCACTGAACCACTAATCATAGTGTTAGACAGCAAAAACGAATTACTATTTGTAGATGTTTAGTGATGTGGGAAATGGGTTTTGTCTTACATATTTTGATCCTTTTTCTGGTCTGTGATGATTGAGCCCTGGCTTTCCACTGACTTACTGCTCTCGAGTCAAAATGAACCAAACTCATCAATCTGACAAATGTTTATGGGTATATCAATATGAATGCGTGCAGCTGGAGAATCACAAGGTCGAAAAAGGTTACGCCGAAGTGTTAATCGGAGAGGATGAAGTAGCTGTTGCGGTTAGTCCGAGTGGCACGGCTCATGCTCTGATAAACGTTGATCCTTTGCGTTCTACTTTCTTCATTGGCTGCCAAGACAGTAGTATGCAGAACAGCTCAACTAGCGACTACAAAGTATGGAAAGATCTATGATCCAAAAGCTGTTTTGTTTAGTTTTCTCCTCTTCTTTCGGACTTTCATTGGCCTTTCTCATTCACTTCTTCCTGTGTAATCAGCTTCTCTGTTTTATTTCTATCGAGCTCTTATTTTTGTATAGAGTTAGGCTCCTTTTTTTTTGTCAGTCATATTGTTGCTGTGATTATCACCCTTAAACCTTCGATATTTAGGGTTCAATGATATCATCATGATACCACATACTCCAACTTTCAGAATTTATTTACAGGTGCGGATTCTTATAGGTTAGTTTAATCTGTGCGAATCAATTTTTATGTAGAGTTTGTTCTTTCGTCAAAGTGTAACTCACAGTGCAAGTTTTTTCTGGAGAACCTTGTTGCAATCAATTAGCAGTTTAGCACTAGACTTTTTCAATTAAAACCAGGAATTTTTTTAATTTATAATTTATGATCAAAATCTTTGTATATTTCTTTGACTCTAATTATAATTAGTAGTTAACGAAAAAATATCACTCATTAATGATATCACCACGTAGTCATTCACTTCCAAAGTTCCAAGAATTGATAAAAAAAAGGATTTAAAAGTTTTCTCTGTCCAGCATGCACAATGACATGAATCTTAAAGAACACTCATAATCATATCCTTTGTTTCTCATAGAGTATCGTGCTAAACTCCTAATGCATTAGCCATTAGGGTTCTAAATTCTTTTTGAGTGAAATTTTTTATCATTTGAATAATTTGGATCTCATTCATCGGCCTAGGCCACTAGCCATATTCTTTGTTCCAAAAATAGTTATTTTCACTGTTCGAGAATGATTAAAACTTATGTTAATATGTTTGTTTGAATATTTTGGAGTAACATAAATAATTTAACAACAAATGGAAGTGACCAATGTGAAATAAGAAGCTTATATTGGTAGAAAATAAACTTAGTACTAGATGTTAACAAAAAGTAACTTGGTAAACCAATAATTAAACTAACAAAAAGGAAGACAAAAGACATTATAATGTCTATACGTAATTATATATATCGCAATTGTAAAAGCATTTAGTATTTCAGTATCTGCCATGTGCCAGTGGACCAACCTTAAAGTAAAAAACGTAAAATAAAAGTGAAAAGAACAAAATAAATAAAGAAAAGCTAAACTTGAATCACAAAAATAGGTATAATGTTTTAATTTTACCGTTGGAAACTTGAGTATGTAAATGGGATTTTAAGGTTTTAGACCGAGAGAAGAGGAAAGAAAGAAGTCAGAAAAACAAAAACAGAGAGGAGTGAGCATGAAGAAGAGTAAACGAGAGAACTTGCTCTCTCCCTCATCTTCATGGCGGGAAAATCATAACCCTCCGGGGAGAAACTCAAACTCTTCCGCCGTATCCTCCGGCTGTCTCCCCGGGTTCTTCAACCTCTTCCTCTCCACCTTCAACTTCTCTTCCAACCGCCGCAAATCCATAACCTTTGGATCTAAAAAGCTAGAACAGAGAACCGTCGTCTACGCTTCTCCTCCGGAAGATTCATCAAACGGAGACGGCGGAAAAATTGTCTCGCCGCCTCTTCCAAGCAACGAAGGAGAGGGAGATGCAGCGAGGGTGAGTCTTGTCGGAGCGTTAGAGAAATGCGATCGGGACTTAGAGGAACTCCGGAAAACCATTGACGTCATCAAAACCACCTACCTTCTTCACAAGAAACTTGAAGTTTCACCGGCCACAGGGCGTGATAGTTTCAATTTCTCCGGCACCGGTGAGTTTCTCGGTTCACATATTATCAAGATTTAATTGAAGTCTCTCAAGTTACATTATATGGTCCAAATATTAAATTTTAATCACAAAATAAAACTCAACTTTTCAAATGTGAGATCTAGTTAGTAAGTTAGCACAATTCCGGATCCATGGTGGTTTACTTGTCGCGTTTTACGGATCAAACCTTGGATTCATCGGTAACAAAAGTTAAGAAAAAAGGTGATAACACAGAATATTAGGTACAATGTTTTAATGATATTTTGTTGGTCAAAACTCACTAATTTAAAAACGTACATAAAAGTAGTAAAATTAAGAGAATAGTGTGCAAATTAAAGCAGATAAAAAGAGTGAAGATATAATGGGAAGGCCAAAAAAGAGTTGTCTCTTTAGCGGTGGTGAAATCATGAGTATGTCCTCTGTCCAATAGTGGAAGACAGTCTCAAACCTTTTTTTTTATAATAAATAATATATATAGAGGTAAAACAAAATGCAATTCCTCTAACAATTTCATGCATGCATGGAATTTCCATGTGTTTAAACTTTGATGTCGCATTTGTCATTAGTTGAGTTGGCAATTGCATTGAGGATAATGTTTAAAAGGATATTTAAGTCAAGAAAAGGTAGTGGACTATTTAATAGTTATGTTTAGTCTACTCTAATCTAACATCATTTGTGTCTAATTAAAGTGCAAAAGAGAGTAAAGTGAGGAGTGAGGAGAAAGAGGCATGTTAGACAGATGATGAATGGAGAAACAGCTTTTAGGGGCCTTTATTCCTTTAGTCATGAAGCCCACTTTTACTTTTCTCATCATTTGGCCCCCCACCAATTATTTAATTTATTCCTGATTCTGACCCACAAACTGTTTAATGATACCAAATCAAGAATACTACTTTTTTAACCAAAATGATTATTCTGCACATACATTATCACTGGATATAATAATATATAACTAGTTTTAATACACAAAAACTGTTTTCAAAAATAAAACATCCCCTATCTAATGAGAGTAGGTGACATATGGTCTTTACCTAGATGCTCATTTTGTATTTGGGCTCCAACTTTGTAGAATTTGGTATTTATGCCTGGTCTTATATATGTTGATGTTACAAAAAAGAAGGAAATATAGTGACAATCCAGACATACGATAAGAAATTATTTCTGACAACAATAGATGATTTTGACAACAATAAGATTTTTTTTTGTGACGACTTTAAGGATATATATAAATGGATAATATACTAAAGACAACTTGTCGTATAAATTATTTTATTTGTCCAACAGTGGCAGGAGATGCCGTCGTGGGGACTCAATCGAATAAGAACACGAAGACGACAACACACGAAACAGACACAGACACAACAATGTTGTCGATTATGATGAACCATCACGAGTACTACAACAAAGACAACAAAAGTTACAAAGTCAACAGCATCAATCTAATCACTAGACCCGATCATTACGCCACACATGACGTCATTTCCAAGAGAGCAACAGCGACAACAGAGACATGTGTCACGGCGCCTGTTGTGGTGCGTAAGGTAAGGCGGAGCTTGATGGACAGCGTGAACCAGGTTTGTGATGACGTGGCATCTGGTCAACGAAGAGAGGTCGCTAAGATCGGTTTGGCTCTTCATGATCACATCTGTCGGGACTTGATCGCAGAGACCATCCAGGAGCTCTCTTTCTCCGACTACTACGACAACAAGTGTCAGAAATCAGCGGGGGATTCTGGTGTTTGTTACGGCGGAGGAAGTGGACGGCGACACATCCGACGTGGCAGTACCAACTCACTCCCGCTCGACGCGTGTCGAAGAAGATTAGTGTTTTGATGTGATCGATCTCTTAGGTTTCTTTGTATGTCATATCCGCGACAGTTTTCGCCATGACACGTGTTGTAGCTTAATAATTTAAGACATACATTTTTAGTTTTAATATGTCATAATTTTTCAAGTATCTCTTTAGATTTCACTATTTGCAATGGCATATAATCATGTAAAACAATTTCACTGGTTTTCTTGGAAAAGGAATGAGAGATACACTATATATTGTTTTGCCAACTCATATGCGTAGCTGAGTTATTCTTTGCAAATCACAAATCATACAGTATTTTGTTTTCTATATATAAAGCTTTAACCATTACCATATATATTTGTTAAATATATTGATTCATTTAATCATATTAGGAAATCGATTAGAAGAATCGAACCTATTATGGTTATATCTAAATGTGTTTTATTATTGTTGGAATTTGGAAAGGAATTCTAATTCTAATTCTAATTCAAAACATTTTAGTGCAAACGGAGCCAATCAGAAATCGACATTTGGAGGTAATGCTGACGAGGCAGTCAACGCTCCGCGTACCGACCGCGTGAACGTGTGATCCGGTTTATTGTCCACTCTGGCGGTTTTGAAGAAAAGTCATCATTATTGATGGCATCATCGTGGTTATCGCAAAAAAGCGAGGGTGTAATGGAGATTTCCATATCCGGTACGGGTTAATAAAACGATTTGAGTCCGGTTCGGAGCAAAAGTCGTTAATAGCTTAGTTTCCGATAAATACGGTTTCTCTCTCGTTTTCTCGCAGACCCTTTCTTCTTCTTCTTCTTCCTCTCGATCCTCGATTTGAGAGAAAACAAAAAAAAAAGGAACACACAGGTTTACGAAAGGAAAAGAAACAATGGCGGATCAGCTCACCGACGATCAGATCTCAGAGTTTAAGGAAGCCTTCAGCTTATTCGACAAGGATGGTGACGGTACGTTTTTCTCCTTTCTTTGGAACAAAGTTTTTCTCTTTTGTTGATCCCTTTACTCCTTCAAATGTTGATTATACGTTTGTGAATGTATAGGATTTTGCTACTGTGTATACATGTGATTATCTGGCTTCGACCGATTTTGATTTCTGGTTTACTCGTTGGTTATTGATCTATATCGAGATCTGCGAATTCGTGATCTCTAGACTCGGTCTTTAGTTTCTCGTTCGGTATGTTTTGATTAAATCGTGTTAGTGAATTGAAGTTTTGGATTGGGTGATGACGTTGGTAAATTTGGCCGATTTGCAGAATTTTTCGCTGATTCCATTTCATAGATGAGTGAAATGATTTGAACAAATATGCATGATTTTGCTTTGCAGGTTGCATTACGACCAAGGAGCTGGGAACTGTGATGCGTTCTCTTGGACAGAACCCAACGGAAGCAGAGCTACAGGACATGATCAATGAAGTGGACGCTGATGGTAACGGGACCATTGATTTCCCAGAGTTCTTGAACCTGATGGCCCGTAAGATGAAGGACACCGACTCCGAGGAAGAGCTCAAGGAAGCGTTCAGGGTCTTCGACAAGGACCAGAACGGTTTCATCTCAGCCGCTGAGCTCCGCCATGTGATGACAAACCTCGGCGAGAAGCTCACAGACGAAGAAGTCGATGAGATGATCAAGGAAGCTGATGTTGATGGTGATGGCCAGATTAACTATGAGGAGTTTGTCAAGGTCATGATGGCTAAGTGATGCCCCTTTCAAGAAAAAAACTTGGTTTGCCTCTTCTTCTTTACTAATATCTCTCTTTATGTAATTCTTATATATGTTCTAAGAAATTTATTCATGGGACTCTCGGGTCTGTGTTCTAGTTGTTTAAGACTCTATTTTGCGTCTGAACATTTTCAAGTCTTTTGCTTTTCTTCTTCCTTTTTTTGTTTAAGTTGTAACTTCCTCTAGTTTCGTGGTTTATTAATGGTCTCTACTACTCAGTCTCTAGTAAAGCATTACATCAAGGTTTTGTTAAATTCATAATTGGATAACTTGTTTAAAACTACTATCGTTGGGCTTTGTTGAGTATGTGTAAAAAAATGGCTTTAAGCCCATGAATAAAATCGAACGAGATTGTGATAATTGAGAAGTCAATGTCTGGTAGTCCTTCTACATAGAACGATGATGATAGCCGAACAACACAAGTAAAAATTGTTGCAAACAAAACGCATCTTCTATAAATATTGTAAAGTTTGTTTCTTGTAACTCAAGAAATCTTTCTTCTATCAGGGTAGTGTTTTTCCCTCAATGGTCAATCAAAAAGCATATAGTAGAGAGAGGAAACGACAGCAAGTAAAGACTCTGAAGGAGTCAATAACTTCAAATGATCAATGAACCAACTAAACACAAGTGAACGAGAACACACCTTAAGGTTACAAGCAAAACGCATTACAATTACTCTCACACATGATGAAACAGAGAGACTTCACCGAATATACAGATTTTAGCGAAGCGAAACATCCAAATAAACCAGATTAAGAAGTTGCTATGTTTCTTATAAATTCATTATTTCAACACAAGTTTACATAACCTCTTGGCGTAGAAGCTAAAGTGCCCAAGTCCTTCCACGTCATATGGTTTACCAAATTTGTTTTTTTTTTTAATATGTTTGATAGAAGATGATAAAAATTTGTCTAGATGATTTTTTATTATTTTGTATAATAAAGGTAATTACTTTGTAAGAAAAGAATTGGAATCATCCGCTGCCGTCCGTTAATCATATTAAAGAGTGTATAACGGTAGAATCGTTTAAAACGTTATGAAACAACACAAAGCGGTATCAACCATAACTGTCTCAAACGCGTGTAATCGCTATTTTGCGTCTGCGGGCGAACCAATGAACACTCTTCTTCAAATTTCTTTTTAATTTTAAATATCATTATTCTGGACAACATACTGTATTATATAAATATATATATGTATATCTCTTTCACTCTCTCTCTGTCTCTCATTTATGTATAAATATATTGATCATCCTTTTTTAGTACAGAACCCACCGAAGTTCCAAACCCAACAAAGAAGAAGGCGGCGGAGAAGCAAACAACAACAACAACAGAAAAATGCAGCCAGAGGTTTCCGATCACATATTCTATTCTTTCCTCACCGGAGGTTTCTGTGACTCGTCGAGCACCACCACCACAACGTCGTCGTTTTACCCTTTTGCCATCGAAGACACCATTTCTCAAGACAAGTCTCTTGCTGCTCTGAGAAACCATAAAGAAGCTGAGCGAAAGAGAAGAGAAAGAATCAATTCCCATCTCAACAAGCTCCGTAGCTTACTCTCTTGTAACTCCAAGGTACCAACTTTACAATATAATATTTACTATGCTACTATATTACTTGCTTACTGAAAGATTGATAGAGAATCTACTATTACAATTGGAACCCCTAAAGGCATAATAGATTAAATATTAAGCATGATGATTTGAAATTAATTCTACACTTCAATCCCTTTTTTACTTATAATAGTACATAATTTAAGATAAAAAAAAAAAAAATTGGAAATGAGGAGTAGAGTTTTGGGGTGTTATCTGTCCAAAGTTTTGTGTCTTTATTTAAACAACTAATAAACATATATATCAAAATGTGTTTTTTTCCTTAACTAATGATTGTTTATTGGTTAAATTTATCTTAGGATTTGATTCATTGGTAAAAAAAAGATGGACATTTAAAGTAGATCACTTGTAGAAAAATGAACCATTTTTAAAATTAACGTATAAGTCCAATATTGTGATGTTTTCGAATAATAAAAAAGCTGCAAGTACTGGGAATATCTAGAAAATTGAGGAAAAATAAAAAGCTTTCAAGTCTTTTTTTTTCTCTGAAGCTGGTTAATCACTTTGTCGGAAAAGTGCTCGAGCTTTCTAGTTTCCTAACAAACAATTGAACATGAAGACAAAATTTCTCGAATCAAGAGTTCTCTTTCCTTAATGTTTCATATTTTTCTTTTATAGACAGACAAAGCCACGGTGCTAGCCAAAGTGGTTCAACGAGTCAAAGAACTAAAACAACAAACCCTAGAAATCTCCAACGAAACCTTACCCTCGGAGACAGACGAAATCAGTGTGCTTAACTTTGAAGATTGTTCCAAAGACGACGGTCGGATAATCTTCAAGGTATCGTTTTGCTGCGAGGACAGGCCCGATCTCTTGCAAGATTTAGTGAAGATACTCAAATCTCTTCAGATGGAGACTGTCTATGCCGATATAACGACAATCGGTGGTCGGACAAGAAACGATCTCGTTGTAGTAGCCGACACAGAGAAACATGGTGTCGAGTCGGTGAAATTTCTTCAGAACGCACTCAAGTCATTACTCGAACGGTCAAGCCAGTCGGTGGTGATGAGACGTGGTGGTGGTGGGGGAGAAATGACAAAACGACGTCGTGCGCCGGATCACATCATAATGGTGTGATTTTGATGAGACTTGAGCACTATATATATTATAGTTATTTAAAAATAAATATTATATGGTTAACGTGGTTATAGTTAAGGGTAACAGATCCCTTTTATGTTTCTTTTTTCAAACAAACAAAAACTTTATATGGTTTTATTATAAGTTTGTGTTATGAGTACAAAACACTTGTTGTAAGTAGGGTTGGTGTGTTCGTTACTCGTTTCTCTAAAAAAATTAAGAAAAGGAGTATAATTTTAATTTCAGTTTTCAGGTGTAAAATAATTATGTTGACGAAGTTTTTTAAATTAATTAGATAGTGGGAATATTTGCTGAGGCAGGAGAATCTAAAAAAGAGATGTGATTGGCTGAAGACTGTGAAGTACATGCAGAGGAACAAGACTTGCGAAACATTAAAATATATATAGTATACGTTACATAGAAAATCAGAAGCACGAAATGGTGAATATAAAGTGAAGGTACGATGTAAGACAGTGAAGAGAAGTTGTTTGTAGAATCTTAATGAAAGAATATATGGAGTAAGTGTTTGAGTTTCAAAGATACCTCATGTCATCTTGTCCCCCAAAGATTTCTCCCTTTTGTTCGTATCTTTCTGAATATTTTTGTACCTTTACTTTTTTTTCCTTCTTCGTCTTTAAATAAATTTTAAAACAAAGTTATTGACTGTATTGTCTATATGTTTGACCATCTTTTTTTCTTCGTGTGAATCGATCTATCTTTTGTTCTTCTTCAACTTTGTGTAGTGTTTTTTTTTTTTTTTTGGTTTTTAGCACATGAGAAAAGCAGGCATGGATATATAAAATTAAAATAATGTGTATTGACAAATCACAACGAAATAGGTAATAAGAAACTAGGGAATCTTTTAATTATCATTTCGTTCAATGTAAAGATAAATAGGAAAATAGAATGTAAATGACTCATTCCCATTACTTCATGAGAGATTAACTAACTACACTGGATAGAGTGGAAGGGGGCAAAGGTAAAGTAAGGCGTGAAAAAAGAGAGAACTGACAAAAAGAAAGAATTGATGGAACATTCTTCGATGCGACGACAAAAAGCATTTCTATTTTTACTTACAAATATAATATTATAATATTGTGTGGCTGCATTTTTAACTGATACTGTATGAACAATATTAATGTCTTTTTAGAAGATTATTATTAATGATTTACTCTTATCACTGAATTAGGCAGGAATGCATAATATATGCTTCAACTATAAATAGACGGATATTGTAATTAACATCTGCTCCAAATTAAAGCTTGATCAGTATGGTATTGAAACTGCATGATAAATGGACCAAATGGTCGTTGGGAGAGAGGCCTTAGGTTTTGGTTGTAGCCAAATGAAACTCCATGAAGTATAAATAAATATGACCAAACACAAATTATTATGTTTTGGCTAAAAAATAAAAGAAACTATAGTTTTTATGTTTCGTGTGTGCAGATCAACACGGTGCATATGATGCTTATAGACTTTCCCAAAATCTTACATGAATCTGAGAAATGTGAAAAAAAAATCAATTTGAGAAGTAGTAATAAAGAGTATAACAGACTTAAAAAAGAAAAACACAAAGAGTAAAGCAATTTTTTTCTAGTTTAATAAAAATATTGAGAAAGTATATCTCTAAGAAGCGTGATAGCTCTGAGGCAGTTGGTGTCGCCTCGATACTCAACCTCTCGACCAAAAAGCATATACTTCAATCTAGCTTTTAAAAATTTAATAATTAAAGTTCCGTTATATAACAAATTACAAATATGAATTTTAATATGTATATGCTTCTAAAATTTTTTGGGTTTATGGAAATAGCAATCATTCACAAATCACAACTAGGACACCAAGCTGTTGACAAAAAGAAAGAAAACAAGAACAACACATGTGACAACAGTTGGGCTTATATTGCGTCTTGAATTAAATGGGCTTATTGCCTTTTGGGTTAGAGAAAAGATTTGTGAAATACACGATAATACGATATGGTCTTACCGTGACAGCACACTACCCAACAAAACTTAGATTTATTTACAACTTGGATGTATGCATAGCTTAGTCTCATTAGAAGGCCCAGCAAGGTGAAAGACAAAATTACTTCCTTTAAATGGTATTGGGCCAGACTAACCAGTTAGCTCATATTCACTAACTAGGCCCAATTTAAGCAAATCGGTCCATTCGGTCCTAAGAGTTACTTATCATATGCATGTTAATTAACGTATGGGGTCTGAGCACGACAGAAATCTGCTGAAAATTAATAAAGATACGTATATTCAAAGTCGAACTAGAACTACATGTATGCTTCCAAAAATATCATAAATATGATTTCTTAAAGATAAATGTAAGCTTAAATGTAGCTTTATACATATAGTTTTGGCTTCTTTTTTTTTGCGAATCTACAGGCTTATATAAAGAAGTGGATGAGATGAAGGTATCAAAGAATAAGAATTCTTTGCTTTTCTTACTTTTTTTCTCCCCTTTCCCTTAGTAATTCGCTCTACCAATCTATATTCTCACTAAAAGAATCAAAACGGCAATGATGTTTGTTGTGTCTGTGTGTGTTTTAATGTTTCCAACTTTCCATACGAGATCTATATATATATTATATATTCTACATCATTATGATTATTCATGGTATTTGTCAAAAGGTTTTATATTTTTACAAATTATACGACATATGATATGTGTTCACTCTGCAGTACAATGTTAAAAAAAAACTCCCAAATTATGTATTCACAATCTTTTACACATGATTACTTGGTTCTTATATTTTCGAAAGAAAATTGGAATTCTCAAACCTCTGTTATAATTTTTTTAGATTTGCAAAGAACTACAAAGTGGCCTTTTTGCAACATTGATTATAAAGATAAAACATTGATTAGCATACTTTTTGACATATAAAAACATTTGATAAACACAAATATACATTAAGTAACACATGTGCTCAGAAAACTACGATGTTTTGGATTAATAAACATTAAGATGATCATTTGGATGTGTTCAGTTTGATCGATTCTTAATTATGAATTATTAGATTGGAATATGTAGTTTTTCTTGTCGTCAAGGAATATTTGTATAGTTTATAAAAGGAAGAGGAAAGAATCTTGACAATACTATTTCCCATATATTATTATATAGCTGCATAACACAATAGCCGACAGAAATGATAACAAAACAAGAAGATTAAAGAAGCAAAAAAAAGAATCTGAAGATACAAATTACAATCATATAGTATATATGTATTCATTCTTCTCATTATGCCTCTGTAATGGTACAGTGAGTTTTCTTCACAATCAAGAAAAAAATCATTTACTAAATTACGTATGGGGAATTGGCATACTAACATCGCAATATAGAAATTGTCATAGGTCATATGTACTCCTTTAATCATTTTAAGATTTTGGTTAAAAATGACAAATTAGAATGATAGAAAGAAATGGATCATTTTACAACTAAGTAAGAGAATGAGAGGGAAAACACAAATGTCTAAAATACCCTAAAAGTTAGTCAAAGTTGGAACCCAACAAACAAGCAAAGTCTCAATACTTGTGTTTTACACAATCACACACACCTTGCCATGTTCCCATAACATATGCAATAACAACAAATTCCACACCAACTTCATATTTTACTATTATTAGTTCATCATGTTCATGATATGGGAGAAAAGGATTTAAATTTAAGATTAATAAAAAAAAACCAATGAATGAGAAACTTTGGGTTTTGTGTTGAATGAGGACAGGCTGGTTTGGTTAAGGTAGGATCCAAAACTAGCAAACCCCACATCCAATTATTATCAAAAGAAAATAAGAAAATATGACTTTTTCTTTGCAACTAGAAAAACTCAACTCCAACATTGATCCCATTTTAACAAAAGAGATGAAATTAACTTTATTTTGAAGAAAGAAAAAAGTACAAAAAGAAGTCATGTTTCCCTTTTTTTTTCTTCTTTCTCTGCTTAAGCATCTTTTCCCTTTTTACCCTTCTCCTTTCTCTCTCTCTCTCTCTCACTTGCTTTATTCTTTAGCGCCTTTTGCTTTTGCTCCTCGTCATTGGAAGTGGAAATTCGCTTCTTTCCTCTCTACTCCCCATATCTGTATCTTCTCTTTCACTCTTCGTGATTCGGGTTTTGTTTATCTCTCCTTCTCTTCCCTTTGATTCGCATTCTCTCTCTCGTTTTCGGAAAGTCGAATTGCTTTTCCTTTTCTGATTTCTGGGTTTTGCTTCTCTTACTCTTTTTTTCCCGGGAGAAATTTCCGTTTTTCCCCCGGAAGTTTTTCCCTTTTCGTGTTTTTTTTTTAACCTAAAATTTATAGGTTTCTTCTTCTCACGGTGTTTAGTTTTTTCGTTTCTCTGCTCAGTAATCAAAACTAATTCAATCTCCGACATTCTGTTGTTGTGTAAAAGACTCGATTTTTCTCACTCTTGCTGCTTCCCTCAGTTTTGATCTCCATTGATGGGGCTCTGTCATGGAAAACCAATCCAGCATCAATCGAAGAAGAGCCTCCCAATCTCAAACGAAACCGATGAGGAGTTACCAAAGAGATCATCAGGGTTTCCGCTTTATAGCCCTAGCCCATTACGTAGCCTCTTCAAAGCCTCACCTGCCGTGTCCTCCTCGAGCGTGAGCTCCACGCCACTCCATATCTTCAAGCGACCGTTCCCACCTCCATCACCCGCCAAGCACATACGCGCTTTCCTCGCGCGTCGCCACGGCTCCATCAAGCCCAACGAAGCATCCATCCCTGAAGGCAGCGAGTGCGATCTTGGCCTCGACAAGAAGTTCGGATTTTCCAAGCAGTTCGCTTCTCACTACGAGATTGACGGCGAGGTGGGTCGAGGTCATTTTGGGTATACTTGCTCTGCTAAAGGGAAAAAAGGCAGCTTGAAAGGTCAAGATGTCGCTGTCAAAGTTATTCCCAAATCCAAGGTTCCTACTTTTTCTTCATTCCACTCTTAGGATATGATCATGCCTTGCTTGCCACTTGTCGTTTGCCTTTGTGTTGTCAGATACATTTAGTTAGGTTGATGTTAAGGTGTGTGGTATCAGCTCATTAGGGAGTGAATTAACATTGTTCTTATTACTAAGATCCGTGAGCTAAGTTATCTGCATTTATCCACTTTAAAAGTCCAATGCTTTGCGAGACTTCTATACATTGTAATATCATCGTTTACTTTGTCAGAGCATGAGTAAAACAGAGTTTAATCGAGTTATGTTTGCAAAACCAACTGTATCCCATAGCTCCTTTCTTGAACTATGCTTGATGCCTTGATCTGAATATAACTATGATTAACTGTTTGTGTTCCGCTAATACTTTGGATTGTTATTTTCGGTAGATGACTACGCCAATTGCAATTGAGGATGTTAGAAGAGAAGTGAAGATATTACGGGCTTTGACTGGTCACAAGAACCTAATCCAGTTCTATGATGCCTTTGAAGATGATGAAAATGTTTACATCGTCATGGAGTAAGTAAAAACGTTGCTTCGTACTTTTGCAGAATCATTTTTCAATTGAATGATTGAGACCGAAGTAATCAAATCTATATATTTTTTCTGGTAAGGTTATGCAAAGGTGGTGAACTCTTGGACAAAATACTTCAAAGGTAACTGCTACATCCTACATGACTCTGCCTTTGTCTCTGTTTGTATTGTATCGATTGTATCGTGCTCTGACTGGTTGAAGTTTCTTCATTTGCGATCATCAGGGGAGGCAAATACTCGGAAGAAGATGCTAAAAAAGTTATAGTTCAGATTCTTAGTGTAGTAGCGTACTGTCACCTTCAAGGCGTGGTTCACCGTGACCTCAAACCAGAGGTAGATAGAACCTTAACCGTGTTGTTATAGTTTCCACATTGTTTCCTCATCCTTAATGTTTCTTTCTCTTTGTTCTGTTTTTTTCTTTCAATTGCAGAATTTTCTCTTCACTACAAACGATGAGAATTCTCCACTGAAAGCCATTGATTTCGGTCTCTCGGACTATGTCAGACCAGGTATGAGATTTTAAAGGTCTCTCTTTTGAAAAGCTTATCACTATGGTAGACCGAAAAGCTGAGTTTTTTTTTTTTCTCATCTTCATGCAGATGAGAGAATGAATGACATTGTAGGAAGTGCTTATTACGTGGCCCCGGAAGTTTTACACCGTACATATGGAACTGAGGCAGATATGTGGAGTATTGGAGTGATTGCTTACATACTTCTCTGTGGTAGCAGACCCTTTTGGGCCCATTCCGAATCTGGAATCTTCCGAGCTGTTCTTAAAGCAGAACCCATTTTCGACGAAGCTCCTTGGCCGTCTCTTTCACCTGACGCTGTCGATTTTGTGAAGCGCTTGCTGAACAAAGACTACCGTAAAAGACTAACTGCTGCACAGGCTTTGTGTAAGTCTCTGTAACCCAACTTTGATAATAGTTATCATACTATTCTGACTTTTTTAACATATATTTTTGAATGATTTTGTCTTATACCTCAGGCCATCCGTGGCTGGCTGGTTCACATGAGTTAAAGATACCATCTGATATGATCATTTACAAGCTCGTAAAACTATACATAATGTCGTCTTCTTTGAGGAAATCGGCTTTATCGGTGAGTTGGATTATTCAGCAGTTATCTTGAGCCTCAGGCCTAACTCTGTATGGGAAGTGGATCACAGTTTTTAATTTCATGATTACAGGCTCTTGCCAAAACATTAACTCTGCCACAGCTGACTTATCTGCGGGAGCAATTTGATCTGTTGGGACCGAGCAAAAACGGATACATCACGATGCAGAATTACAAAACAGTGAGTTGTTTTTTATGTCATTCGAACGCCTCTTCTTCATATTTTCTGGTATCTTTCTGTTTTCTGAAAGTGTCATTACGAATTGCAGGCGATCCTGAAGAGCTCGACAGAGGCTACAAAGGATTCAAGAGTCTTGGATTTTGTACACATGGTAAGGCAATGAGGACTAAGTCATATTCAGTGTGAAATGATGGTTAAAATGGTAATTTGATTTTCTTTTTTGGGATTGCAGATTAGTTGTCTTGAGTACAAGAAACTAGACTTTGAAGAGTTTTGCGCTTCGGCTTTAAGTGTTTATCAGCTTGAAGCAATGGAAACTTGGGAGCAACACTCACGCCGTGCGTATGAGTTGTTTGAGAAGGATGGTAACAGAGTGATCATGATCGAGGAACTTGCATCGGTATAACTTATTTCCTTTTTTTTTTTTTTCACACACGTAGAGATGTGAAATTATCGATGTCTTAGTGTGGTTCTTGATGTGTTTTTGTCGACAGGAACTTGGAATCGGTCCGTCGGTCCCTGTCCAGGTTGTTCTTCAGGATTGGATAAGACATTCTGATGGCAAGCTTAGTTTCTTGGGGTTTGTCAGACTCTTACACGGCGTGTCCTCTCGGACATTGCTAAAAGCGTAGAGGAGCTAATTTCCTACACTCACACATCTACTTCTCCTTGGATCTAAAAGGGCCTGCCTTTAGGACAGGAACCTTACACCAAGTCTAAAGATTATGACACTTAAGGTAACCTGAAAGGAACACGTGATCAAATCGGCTGTTGCAGAGAGCTACCACACTGTCAGATGAAGTTGCAGCCTAGGGATAGCTCTACTGGGTTTCGTTTTGTTACGTTTCTTGATAGTCCTATTTTTTTTTATCTCTTTGTTTTGGTTAAGATTGAGTCATAAGATTTAAAAATGGTGTTTTGTACAGAAGAAGAAACATACCCAAATCTCCATTAATCCTTCTCCTTTTTAATAAGAACACATCACACACAGTTCGCACCTTAACAAAGTATATCAATCTGCTTGTTACCACTTATCATCACTCTCTCTTAAATTTCAAATCTCTGAATTGATGGTTGGCGATGAACAGAGATCTTGGTTTACCAAATGAACCGAGTCTATTGTCGAAAACCGAACTGTTCTAGTTTCTGTTGGATTCGGTTTCATTAACCGGTTTGCTCAGGCGTTATGCGGCAAACTTCACGTGTCGAGCTCGAACAGTCTTTTAATGGCCACCCAATCTGAGAGACAACTCTGGATCAGCTCAACGTATGTTGGGACCCGCCACGTCACTTCTATCTGCTGCCGGAGTCGCTCTACGTGACCGTTCTTCAGATCGGATCTTCTCTGTTTAACCGTCGCGAGGATTAGTATACTTCTATCTTCGGCCTTGTTCACTCTTGGAACACTTAAAAATGGCGACAATGAGCAAAGCTCAAAGGACCAAACCCACTTCTGGATCTCAGCGTATTGTTGTTCTGTTGTGTATAGTTGTCTTCGCGTTCCTCCTCCTGCTCTCTTCGGTTATATCCACCGGGAAATTGGGTTTGCCGTATCAACAAACCCTAATCGATTACTTCGTGAGGTACCCTCGCGGCAAGAGACAGCATACGTTGTCGGAGAAGTACTTGTATTGGGGAAACAGAATCGATTGCCCTGGGAAAAACTGTGAGACCTGCGCAGGCTTGGGTCACCAGGAATCTAGCCTGAGGTGTGCTCTTGAAGAAGCCATGTTTCTTAACAGGTAATTCGATTGCTCCTCTCTGACAATTTCAACTCTTTTTTTTTGGGTCTGCAATTGCAATTTCACTAAAGCTGTGACATTGTCAAATTCAAATGAGTTTGCTTTATAGGAAAATGTTGAAGCTTTGTGGGGGTTATATTAGTGTAATTGCAATGATCTTTTCATTTTTTTTTTTTGGTTCTTGTTGCAGGACCTTTGTGATGCCTTCTGGAATGTGCATTAATCCGATTCATAACAAGAAAGGAATACTCAATCGATCTGATAACAAAACTACAGAGGAAGGGTGAGTTCTGTAATCCTCTTGACTTGTTTGCTTTCTAGAGATTATGCATTCCCTAATGCAACCTTGGGGTATGTTTTTGGTGATATTCTCTTTTGTAACTCAAGGGTCACTTTTGGATTTTTTGTTAGTTGGGTAGGGAGCTCTTGTGCAATGGACTCCTTGTATGACATTGACCTCATATCTGAGAAGATACCTGTGATATTGGACGACTCAAAAACATGGCATGTTGTTCTATCCACAAGTATGAAGCTGGAAGAAAGAGGGATTGCTCATGTTTATGGAGTCAGTCGCCATAGGCTAACAGAGAGTCACTACTCAAACCTCTTGATCATTAACCGAACCGCAAGTCCTCTTGCATGGTAATATCACTTCCCCTTTATTCTTTTCGTTGTGTGGTTTTCAGGGATATGCATCTCTGAGATCAGATCATGATCAACCTGATGATAATTTTGGTTGTAGGTTCGTTGAGTGCAAAGATAGAGGCAATCGTAGCGGCGTCATGCTTCCTTATTCATTTCTTCCTAATATGGCAGCTGCCAAATTGAGAAACGCTGCAGAAAAGGTATCATAGACAAGATGACAGATCTCTTGCAAACTAAAGCTTTTGTTGTTAACTCTGCAAATTCTGAGTGAAGCCTTATAAGTTTGAATGAAGTAACTATTGGTGTTGTTGCAGATAAAAGCACAACTCGGTGATTATGATGCCATCCATGTTCGTCGAGGGGACAAACTGAAAACCAGAAAAGACAGGTTCGGAGTTGAAAGGATCCAGTTTCCTCATCTAGACAGAGACACGCGACCCGAGTTTATACTTCACAGGATAGAGAAGCGGATCCCACAAGGGAGGACTCTTTTCATTGGTTCTAATGAGAGAACGCCTGGATTTTTCTCTCCTCTCGCTCTCAGGTATCAGATCCTTTGAAAGTCTTGTTCGACTCAGTTTTTTTGATGTTTTGATCACAAAATAAGCTTATACACATAGACTCTTTTGTGAAATGTTGTCGGGTGTGCTTATACTGCAGGTACAAACTGGCTTATTCATCGAATTTTAGCGAGATTCTAGATCCTATAATCAAGAATAATTACCAGTTGTTCATGGTGGAGAGACTGGTGATGATGGGAGCCAAAACATTCTTCAAGACTTTTAAAGAGTACGACACGGATCTCACCTTGACTGATGATCCCAAAAAGAACAAGAACTGGGAGATACCAGTGTACACCATGGATGAAAGATAAGAAGAAGCAAGCTCAAGTTTGTGTCTTCAGAAGGTCTCACTGCCAATTTTCTAAAACTGGTCAGAGCTTAGTCTTAATACTTCCCACTTTCTTGGAGTCGAAAGCTAAATCAGTGTAGAGTTATCTAGGTTCTTGTGTATATGCGTTTTTACAAGAACATATGTAATAAGATGTACCTTTTTTTAAGTTTCGAAGTTTCAAATAGATTCTCAATATTTCTCTTAACTCGCAAATCTGTGCTACATAACCTATGCAATTCGTTCTAAACTACAAACAGAAAGAGAGAACTTTGGTCAGCTCTTTGGCCGGATCATATATGGTGAGACATGTTTGGCTTCAAAGGTTAGTCCAACGGCAGAAGAATTCACCTATTGTGTTGTTTCGGAATCTGGAATCAACAATGTTTCTGATTCTTCCCATTCAGAGTAAAAAGCTCTTTCTCAATTAGTGGGATTGTGCTTCAAGAAGGATGTTTGTGGCGGCATTGACATCGTTTCTGGCGTGCAAAAGCGCCTGTCTCGCTGCGTTTCTGTCAAATCCCATTGATACCAATGTAGCTATGGCTTCCTCAGATGGTTCTGCACTTGACACCATTGGAGCTGGCTGAGATCTCTGTAAATGAAAAAGGCGCGTGTTAGATGACACTAAGATTTTGGCCAAAGAGGCAAAACGGATGTTACTGAGTAAAGGAAAAGACGAGACTAGCCTCAGCTCGGCGACCTGTGTTGGGTGATATAGTCCCAACGATGTTCCTGCTTGGTGCTGGAGGAGTAGAGTTACCCAAGGACGGTAAAGATAGCCGGGAAAAGAACGAAGCCACAAACTCAGGGAACTGGATGAGTTCAGACATAATGTTACTATAGTGACATTAGAAAACTAAGAATCTAGCAATTTGACAGAGAGAAATAATAATGTGTTTATTTCTGTAAAAGGGTTAGAAAGGTATAACCTTTGCCTTGCGGATACCGAGTATGTTCAAACGATACAAGGAACCAGCAACTATGCCGCAAATTCCAGGAAAGATGGATCTTTTCCAAGAAGATAGCAGAAGCTGCAGAAATGAAAACCGAGAAGATTATCAATCTAAAGACTAATGACACTCTACTCGTACAACAAGAATCATAAAATTAAACTTATGGTATTGTTTACCTGAACTCCTGCAAGATATATGAATGACTTATCAGAGAAATTGACACCAAATACACGAAACCTCGTCGAGACTGGAATATCCAAGTAGAATGGTATAAACGAAGCAAATATTAGGCCATATGGTCCAGAGGTCAGTAGGTTGGCTGTGGTATCTGCAAAAACAAACAACAGATGAGTTACCTTAGTAAAATAGGTACAAGTTACCACATATTCCTCAATGAAGTTATGCTTTTACAAACGTGTTAACTCCGTAGCAAAAGCTCACATAAAATAATAAAATCCATGTACTGAAACACATAAACTAAATAATGGGCAGGAGAATGAGAAATTGAGAATTATAGGGAAGGAAAAAAAAATAGGATGAATATTGAAACCAATATAGACCACAATCCTTCCTAATACAGTGTTCCCTCCTTAGTTTTTGCAGGAATGGTAAAAAAAGCTAATTTAAGCGAAGCAACTACCACAATTCTGATGATAATTAGTGCCAATCATTGCAAATCCTAACAACTAAGCCAAAGAGTTAGACTTTGAAGAGCCTGTCTCGAAATAGACTGATGGGTACCTTTAAGCTGTGATAACAAGATGACTTCTAGTAGTAGAGATACAGTCCCAGAGAACACGATAAAAATCTGCAAAAAGGAACATATTCTAAGAAACAGAGAAGGCATGGAAAATGTATCTACCAGAAAAAGAGAGCCAAGCTACAAGATTACTTACCGAGTACTTATTTGAGCCAATCTGTCTCTCAAAAACTCGGAAGTAATATAGCAAATACAATCCGAACATCAATTCTGGTGTGGAGGAGAACGCAAAAGTGGACATGATTAGCTTCCATATCCGAAACTTCTCAAAAATATCCTGCAAAGAGTTTGTAACAAGTTTATAAAGAGACATTGCATTTTCCAGATATCAGACTTTTTTAAAGACACATTGTATTAAACACTTTTAACAGTCCAACATTTAGAGCTTAAACCTGCTTAAGCAAATCATCTACTATTCAGAGCCGCACAGCTAACTAAAATCGAAGTAGAAGCTCCATTATCAAAAGCAAAGAAAACGGACAGAGAATCGGATCCTAGTTCATCCAGCAAATTCTAAAGTTAATCTTGAAAACGAGTAATGAATCCACAATCACACCGAATGCGATTACCTGGTAAGACAAACCGAGCTTGGAAGAACGGCCCTGGATCCCGAAGAACACAGTGAAAAGAGCGCTCGTGATGACGAAGGCTTTCGTTACCGGAGCATTATCTGCAACGCCGGAAAATTCAGTTACTCACAAATCGAAATAAAATCAGGAAGCAGCACAAGTGGGAATATCCCAGAGAAGAAACTGATCAAGCGATGGTGGACGGTGGTTCCGATACGTACGGAAACCGGAGGGACCGCCGTTCATCTTCGCCGGGGTGAAGAGAAGGCGACGAAGCAACAATCGGTGAGCTAATTCGTCACAGATCAATCTGAATTCCGAGATCGATGTAGCCTTTTGATCTCCTTCTGTGTATGCAGGGATTCAAATCAATTTTTCGAATTCGAACATCAATTTAGAAATTAAATCCTTATTTCTTTGATTTTTTCAGTTGGCAAAATCTCAAATAACAACTCAAATGACCAATAAATTCCACACAATCCACAGAATAAAAAAAACACATTAAGAGAATTGTCCAGAAGCTTTCTTATTGGTGGGCGACTCTGGCCGGTGCCATAAATTAATTTCAGACAAAATTATAATGTAAACAATAATTGTATTACAAAAACCCCAATTTGATTTGTTTAAAAAAATTTACAAAGTAAAAAATAAACTAAAATCCTCAGTCATTTTCTATCTAACTGATGGTTAACATTTGAAATGTTGGATACAACAATGTTACACACCTAATCACTTTTTTGTTGGACACAAAAACCACTTTACAGAATATTATGATGGAGAACTATAATTTTTCAAATAATTTTTCGATTTAAAATTAATTGAACAAATCAGATAACTGGTTAATTTAATTGTTGGATATCTTTGTAACACCAACACGTCTCCTTTACGTAACAAAGTTTCATCGCTACTAAAGTTAACTTGAGAGCTTGACGTTATATATAAGAAGAATTCATCTCAAGATGCTTTGAAACTTGAAAGTTTAGTATGAATGTGAACATCTAATGGTAATGCTTCAATTAATTCTTAGCGATAAACCCAAGGAGATTTCTCTACATAGGTCGGAATCAAAATCAAACTCAAATACGAGTGGTGTCAAAACATGTTTTACTAAACGTAATTCTTACACACATGGAACTGATCGTTATTAAGAGCTTTGACGCGAGTAGTAGAAGAGTACAAAAAGGAGATGCCACAAGAGTTCTTAGAAAGAGAAGGAGACAAGAGTAAGAGAATAATAGTTTACCAAAGAGGTTCAAAGACCTAACCCTACCGTGCGTCCGTCCCTCCTCCTTAACCCTGCTGTGTACTGCTTCTCTAGATCCATCTGCAACTCTTTCTGCTTCTCGACTTGGACTTCGTTCGGGTTCTGCTCTTGGTTTACTATACTCCCTTTCACACCCTACAACGATGCACCAACGCAACCTCAGGCTCTGAAAATGTGTTAGTATTACTTTATAAACAACCACCATTTCTATGCAAATTTTTCACATGACAACTTGCAAAATTCTGGAACCATTCCCTATATTATGATGATGATGGTCATTAGTGATACTGAGAACAATCAATCGAGAAAGGATGAGATTTACCATGAGTTTGTTGAACTTTTCTTGGCGTTCCCGGTCACCAATTAGTGCACTATCCCAACGATGAGCAGGCTGATTCGAAGGAAAAGAGAAAATAAGAAAAGGGATTATCTCACTGTATGTAGATTTACATGTCCAAGGGTCATTGGGATACCTCTTCTGCAGCCGCGACTTTCTTCTTTCCCCACAATAACTTCTTCTTTTGGTCTGTGGTCAGGTAGCCCGTTCCAGCAAGGTTTTTATTCACTGGATTCATCAAGGGAAAACAGTTCAAATATATCAAACGGCAAGATCATATATATATATATATATATATATTAAAGGGTAAATAGATCAATAGAAAAAAACTCGAGTTTTAGAATAGTATCACAACAGTTTACCTAATTCAGCAGCCTGCATAGCTGCAACTTTTGCAGCATCGACATCACCAGAAGCTTCAGCTTCTTTTGAATGAGGTTGCAGTGACAAACCCTGATTCCCAGCACTGAGGGCTGGCTTTAACCTCGACGTCTGCTTCTCTTCTGTTGCAGCACTATCACTTTAGAGCATGGAGCTATATAAAACACATAACGAAAGTACTTAAAAACAAGAGAAACGAAAAAGACTTACCATTAGTATTGCCATGAGTAAACTTCTCTGAAACGAACCCTTTCAGTTTCTTAGAATGAGTATCTCTACTCTCAGAGGTTCCATCAGAACGGTCTCTTGGGGATTTGACATGAACATCCTTCTCCTTGTTAATCTCACGGTCCACGAGTTCCTTTTCGTCACGGGGTTGACGTTCACCAAAACTCCATCGTGAACCTCTCTTCACATAATCCATCTCTTTATCCTCCACTCTGGAGTCTGCGTGTCTCCTACCAGATACCGCTCTATCAGATGACAAATCCTCACCTTTCTCGCTACTACTGATTCTATGTCCATAGTTGCTATACTTATCACGGGGATGTCTCTCTGAATCATTTCTCGACCTCCTATGTTCACGATGGCCACCCCTTGAATCGCGGCTAGATCGAGGTGCATCTCTCTCATGTCTGTTCTCCTCGTCGCGCTTAGAACTGTAGTTATCATCTCTCGAGTGCTTATCGTGTCTATGTGAATCAACGCCGCCTCTACCATATCGACTGCGATCAGATTCCCGCCTATCGTCTTTCTTCGCGTAACCTGGTTCAGAAAGTTTCTTGATATCTCCCTTGGAATGCTTTGGATTAGGGCTCCGGTTACGTTCAGGACTTCCTACAGAGCAAGAGCCAACAATTCTAAACTGAGCTATAAGGCTAGAGCTAAAAGACGACCAGAAATCGAAACGCTACATGCTCAGTGACTTCAGAAATCGAATCAATCAAAACAAGAAACACCTAAGCGTCGTTGATAGAAAAAACCCATCATCACATAGGATGCTATAACCAATCAAATACGCTAATGTTACAGGCTATTCGAACTAACCATCAGATGAAGATGACCCATCTTCAGCCAAAGCTCGGCGACGATACTTTCTGCTGGACCCGTCGTTGGAGGGCTTTCGGAAACCGGCCGAGGTATCGCCACCATCCTGCGGCGGTGAGTTTAATTCGGCGTCCATGGAGCTTGCTTGACACCTGAAAAAGATGATTCGAATTCAGAAATCAACGCAAGCAAATGTGTCGAATTAGTATCAAGTTGTTCAAGATAGGTAAATATAGTGATGATTTTTCAAGGAAGATATAAAGAGCATGACTGATCCCAGAATCGAATTTCGAAAGGAAGTTGGCTCACCTTCGTGAATTCGATCACTCGTGGAGTTTCCAGAAATAAATTACGAGATTAAGAGATCTTATCGAAGAATCGAGAAGATGGGTTGATCAAAGGATTTTCCAGGTAGTTTGAGACTTATCAATTTAACAGTGTAATTCTCTGTATCTCTCTACGAAAGATCCCTCCATTTTACTGGAAAACAAGAGTTAGGGTTCGTGGTGAGGCGGTGAGGCTCATTGGACCCAGAAAGCCCATTTAGCAGTGTGAATTATAATGCTTGCCTGTTGGTTAGATGGGCTGACTTTTCTAGACGAAAGTTGGATTCACGAAACTGTAAAATGAAAAATCATCTTCTCGCATTTTCATTTTTCAGCATAATACAAACTTTTAATATCTTTTATTCTAAACTTAGGAGAGAAAGCATTATTTGTTAAAAGGATATCGACGTTTATTATTTCTTAGGAGAATAAAACTATTTTTTTAAAAAGGAGGAAATGACAAAAACCATTGTAAAACTATCAACTTCTTTGTTCTGTTTAAAATCCTTAAAAGCAAAAGAAATACGAGAGTTGTAACTTGTTTGAATGAACATTTAATTTTGAGTAACATTTAATTTTGAGTATTAAAAACAGTACTATAGGGTACTCAGAAAAAAAAAAAAATATTAGGTACACGCATCTACTGTAAAACTATATTTTGACTCTTTCATACTCGACATGCTTGCATTGGCCCAACATGATAACTCCTTCAGGGATGGATTTGTCATCTACTCATAAACATTTGTCCATCTATCATTGTCACTACCAAAGAAATATGAGCAACGCATAATTGTGAATTGAATATTTGTTGGACCATATCATAAAGAAACTAAATTTTTATACACTAAGCCCTGCAACAAAAAAAAAGAGTTATACCAATTTTATTGAAAAAAGAGCTGATGTATCACGTATGTATTTTTTAGTATACAGTAAAATATATTTAATTTTGCTAACATGTTACGCTCTGATACCAACTTGTTGTATCACGTAGCATTAAACTTATTGGGTTTGAATGATATGCAGCTTTTTCACGTTTTCACGTTTTGAAAACTTGATTCTGTTATTTTTTACCATTCATGTTATTCATCACGTTTTCACGTTTTTTTATGTTTTTGAAACGTAATTCCGTTAGCGTGTTAAAAATATAACTAAAAAAAACAAAACGTGATTAATCTACTAAAAGTAACTATTCAGCGTTTCACAATTATTCAGCTAAAATATTATTCAGTTCAGTTCATTTCGTTAATAATTTTTCAGTTATTCTGCTATTCTATTATTCATTTGACATACCAGTCAGACCCATTGTTTTGGGACTATTGTTAATTTGTTATACATACTTATTCGTAAAACCCGTCCCGTAGTTTTCAACAACTCTAAAAGCTTTATTCGTCAGATATATGATTTTAATGATAATATTAATATAGTACGATGTTGATTTTCAGAAATGTAACTTTGTTCGACCAGTTTCTGCAACTTTCTAACAAATCGTCTACGTCTAATGTGGACAAGGTTGATACTATTCAACCTTTAATATAATCAAAATTCCTTGAGGGAAAATAAAAGAAGAACTTGTAACACCAATTTTCTCCGCAAGGAAACAAAAGTCGCTTCGAACCGTTTACTTGGAAGTCAACACACGTGCTCACTGCCCTCCCAGACTCCACCACGTATATAATATTTATTAAATTGCAATTTTTATGCACCAAAATAATTTGCTTCTCTTCACCTCTTGAGAAAGAATCAAGAAATAAGAAATACAAGTCAAAATTGACGAAAAATGCTAAGTATTAACATAGAAATTCGAGTTTGAGTCTCCTGTAAATTACAGGCTGTATTAGAATTATGTATGTCAAACTTTTTACTAGTAAGCTCCAATACATCTGGATTTCTTAATTACCATAAAAAAAATTTGGTCCAATATATTTTGATAATTAAATAAGTAACGGTAAATAGTTGACAAAAAAAAAGCAACTGTGAATCAAAAAAATAAATAAATTCATTAACTAGTTGTATGATCGAATAAAAAATACACAAAAAGTATTATAATAACAAGATATATATATATTTGGTGATACTCTTACAACTTTATTCGACAAGGAGATAAAGTGGTAATTAATAAATTGTCAGGAGAACTGGAAAGAGGGTCCACGTACACGTGACTTGACTTTCGTCAGAAGATCTACAAAAGATGCTTATCATATCCTCTTGAAGCCGACTAATTAGCTTTTGATAACTCTTTTTTTTTTCTTTTTGTTTGAAGACTTAATCCGCTTTGTTTTATCGTATCATCTAGATATCCACCGTAAATGACACGTTAATTTACGGTTAATAACTTATCAATGGAGATAAAAGGACCCCACAGTAATGAAAGACATGTTTTAATTAGGACAGATGTAACAGAGTGATAGTGAGACCACACTGCTGCAACTTGCTTTCTTCCCACTCGCCCACATGGACCCCTCACCTCCCCTCCGTTTCTTTAATTCTTACATAATTAATATTCTCTTTATTTCACTTCTTCAAATTTTTTTGTACCCAACATTGATGTACATTTGATAATTATGGGTTCTACGATTTTATCTTAAAAATATTGCAAATCTAATTTAACATAATGATAAAAAAGTTTTTTTATTGAAGTATATTTTTGTCTGTTTGAATGAAAATAAATAAATATTGTTTTTAAATATTTTCTGATAATACATTTTAAATATTTAATTACTCTTGTCAAAAGTTTTGTAAATAGGAAACACAGCATATAATTCATTTTAAGCTAACAATTTCGAAATAATACTTGGGAAACATATTTAAATTTTTGAAAAAGATGAAACAAAATAAGTCGAATACAAACATGTGTTTTCTATTACATGGAATGTATGCATAGGTATTCTATATTAAAAAAAAAAAACATTATGTGCTTTATGTTTCACTCTAAATTGAAGGTTGGTGTTTATATATAAAAAAAATCGATCAGGTGACAAACTCGTAATTAAATGTAATAAGATTTCACGCATGATTTAATAGCTCCATATGTTTATAAGTTAAAATACATATATTTTTAAATTCACACTTGTTTACAAATCTGTCATTGCATCGTATTTTGAAAATAACTCTGATACAATATCAAAAACCAGTAAATCAAGGGTCTTTAATATGTGAATTATTATTAGAATATATATTCTTCATGATTTATAAAGTCAAAGGATTCTCATTCAAGTCCAAAGCAAGATTGATGGCAAGAAGACCATTATTTGATTTAGCTTATTTTTCTTCTTTTGTTTAAATGTAAATAATTCCATTTAAGTGTATTTATTTGTAGAGATCTTTTGTAAGGGCTATAAAAGCTCATTGTTTTCATTGTAAAAAGATATAGAATTTTTTGGAAATTAAAAGAGATTTTTCTCTAGAGCTTTGGCTTTGTTTTTGTTTATCTAAACAAGATGAAATTCTTCACTTAGTAAACATTTGAATCTATGTCTCTTGTGTGCGATGCCTTGAGACTAGGTTTGTGAACTCATCACAGGGGCTTCCACACTCTTGAATGGCGTTCTTCGATCCACCCATCTATCCATCTCATCCACTGATCCAGCCTGAAAGAGACTTGAGTCCAGCAGGATTGATCCCGCAACCATCCACTTCAATCATCTTTTAAGCAAGTAGAAAGAGACTTCAGTCCAGCTGCTTTGTTTCCATCCATTCACCTATCAACTATAAGATCATACCCCTTTGATCTTATATCATTTGGTATCAGAGCTAAAAGCTCCTATCTTCTGTCTTTTTTTATTTTTCTGTTTTGTTTTTGTTTCATGCTTTATAAGATTTCATTAAAAAGAAAAAAAAAGTTTTGGTTGTTATTATTCTTTAATTTTTATAAACTTGAAAAAAAAACTTAGAAAAAATAGTTTTATGTTTTTTTTTATTCATGATTCTTTTTTTATTTTAAAAAAACTCCAAAAAATTAGTGTTTTTTCCTTATCATTGAAGTTTGTTTCTTTCATTAAAAAAACAAAAAACTCTATTTCTATTTACGCTTTTTGTTTATTTCGATTTTTCTGTTTAAAAAAAACATAAAATGAGAAAAAGTTTTATTTATTTTCTAAATAATATTTGCTAAAAAAAAGAGTTTTGAGGACAAAATCATTTGAAGAGGGAGAGAATGATACAATATCAAAAACCAGTAAATCAAGGGTCTTCAATATGTGAATTATTATTAGAATCTATTCTTCATGATTTATAAAGTGAAAGGATTCTCATTCAAGTCCAAAGCAAGATTGGTGGCAAGAAGACCATTATTTGATTTAGCTTATTTTTCTCCTTTTGTTTAAATGTAAATAATTCCATTTAAGTGTATTTATTTGTAAAGATCTTTTGTAAAGGCTATAAAAGCTCATTGTTCTCATTGTAAAAAGATATAAAAATTTTTGGAAATTAAAAGAGATTTTTCTCTAAAGCTTTGGCTTTGTTTTTGTTTATCTAAACAAGATGAAATTCTTCACTTAGTAAACATTTGAATATATGTCTCTTGTGTGCGATGCCTTGAGACTAGGTTTGTGAACTTATCACAAGGGATTCCACACCCTTGAGTGGCGTTCTTCGATCCACCCATCTATACATCTCATCCACTGATCCAGCTTGAAAGAGATTTGAGTCCAGCAGGATTGATCCCGCAACCATCCACTTTAATCATCTTTTAAGCAAGTAGAAAGAGATTTCAGTTCAGTTGCTTTGTTTCCATCCATTCACCTATCAACTATAAGATCATACCCCCTTGATCTTATATCATTTGGTATCAGAGCTAAAAGCTCCTATCTTCTGTCTTTTTTTTATTTTTCTGTTTTGTTTTTGTTTCATGCTTTACAAGATTTCATTAAAAAGAAAAAAAAAGTTTTGGTTGTTATTATTCTTTAATTTTTATATAAAAAAAAAACTTAGAAAATATAGTTTTATGTTTTTTTTTATTCATGATTCTTTTTTTATTTTAAAAAAACTCCAAAAAATTAGTGTTTTTTCTTTATCATTGAAGTTTGTTTCTTTCATTAAAAAAACAAAAAACTCTATTTCTATTTACGCTTTTTGTTTATTTCGATTTTTCTGTTTAAAAAAAACATAAAATGAAAAAAAGTTTTATTTATTTTCTAAATAATATTTGCTAAAAAAAAGAGTTTTGAGGACAAAATCATTTGAAGAGGGAGAGAATGATACAATATCAAAAACCAGTAAATCAAGGGTCTTCAATATGTGAATTATTATTAGAATCTATTCTTCATGATTTATAAAGTCAAATGATTCTCATTCAAGTCCAAAGCAAGATTGGTGGCAAGAAGACCATTATTTGATTTAGCTTATTTTTCTCCTTTTGTTTAAATGTAAATAATTCCATTTAAGTGTATTTATTTGTAGAGATATTTTGTAAGAGTTATAAAAGCTCATTGTTCTCATTGTAAAAAGATATAGAAATTTTTAGAAATTAAAAGAGATTTTTCTCTAAAGCTTTGGCTTTGTTTTTATTTATCTAAACAAGATGAAATTCTTCACTTAGTAAATATTTGAATCTATGTCTCTTGTGTGCGATGCCTTGAGATTAGGTTTGTGAACTCATCACAAGGGATTCCACACCCTTGAGTGGCGTTCTTCGATCCACCCATCTATACATCTCATCCACTGATCCAGCTTGAAAGAGACTTGAGTCCAGCAGGATTGATCCCGCAACCATCCACTTCAATCATCTTTTAAACAAATAGAAAGAAACTTCAGTCCAGCTGCTTTGTTTCCATCCATTCACATATCAACTATAAAATCATACCCCCTTGATCTTATATCAAACTCTCTAGCATATACTATATTTACAACACGATAGTATTATATACAGATGAAAGCGCAACTTTTACAACTAAACAATATAAACGCAATAATGGTTTCTATATACAAAAAGCGAAATGGCTAATCGATCCTCAACTGTATTGTTATAGTTTATGGTTACGTGAAAAGTAACCTATTAAATTCAAACAACCACCTAGGAAAAGTTTAGAAATAATGGTTGTACTGCGAAAATGAGATTTATGCGTAAAAATATTGAAACTGTTTGGTAGAAACTTAATGGTGTCTCCTATTCTCGAATCTGTTTGACTATTGAAGAGCAAACGAAAATGAAAAAAAAAAAGTTTCTCCAATCACGCGGGTGCGGTGGTTCTTTTCCAAAAATTATCTATCACTTTTTTCCATTTACATGACCCCGTTGCTCCGTGACGTCATCTCGTACGATCATATGGTGATGTCATAAATAACGTCATCTTTTTAGATTTACCGGTATTCTCGTGGAGGAGCTTCAACGATACCCCCCTCATGAGCCGCCTCATCCTCGCCTTGATCACCACTCAAACGTTGATTCATCTTTGCTTCACGTTCCGAACCACGCGACTATTTAAGCGTGTGATATACACGACACTCTCTCTAGGTTTAGATATTTGACGAACTATTCCACCTATCGGAGGACACGTGAGTCACACGCGCCGTCATATAGTTTCCTTTACTACACCACCTCTCTCTTGTTTCGTTTCTCCTTCTCATTAATTTCCACTCTCCTTCCGAAAAGAAAAAGAAAAAATATTTTATATTATATATACGCAGCAAGCTTGAGAATAATTAAAATAAAATAAACACAGATATACAATTCTAAAATCATCAGGATTCTCTCGCCGGAAACACAAATGGAGTCGTCATCGTCATCGACGTTTCTCACCACCACTACCTTAGAACAGAGAAAACAATCTCCGCTTTCGAGAAAACCATCAAACCAAAAGAAGAAGACGGCTTCAACGAGCAAACCCATCAAAGTGCGTTACATATCAAACCCCATGAGAGTCCAAACTTGTGCTTCCAAGTTTAGGGAGCTCGTACAAGAGCTCACCGGCCAAGACGCCGTCGATCTTCAACCAGAGCCCGTGTTTTCTTCCCCATCCACTGTCTCCGACGACCACAACCCTTCTCCGCCGCCGGAGGATCTTGCGCCACGTGTTCCTCATCAGGAGCCGTTCGATGATAGGGTGGCTGACTATTACGAGCCGTTGGATGGGGAAGAGATGTTTCTCCCTCAGATGTCGGCAGGTTTTTCTGGGTTTTTTTCGAATGGGTTTTACAATGTGAATGACTTTGGAAGAATCGATTCTATGTGAAATCTTCCGAGTTTCCCCAGTGGTTTCATCAAGTAAATATATATAATAATTACGGAATAGATACATGAATTTAACAAAAACTAAATTGTTACATGGATATGAAGCGAGTTATGTGAGTTAAGTCGTTTTGTGAAAAGTTTTGTATGCATCTTCTGATATGTTTTTTTCTTAATTTCACCTGATATGTTTGTCTTTTGCCTTTTCAGCAACACTTCTGTATGTATGAACTAATTCTTTATATATTCAAGTAAGAAACAAGTGATAATCTTATGTAGTTAGCTCATAAGTTATAATTAACAACCTCATGATTAAGAAACAGGTTTTGATAAAGCTTGGGATGGGAATGGTGATGTTTTGATCAATAATCCAGAACTAAAATTTATCCAAAAAAAAAAAGCTCCATGATAAAAAAGAAGAATAAGCCTCTATTAATTTCTAAATTCACAAAATAAGTCGAGTACAATCTCACACTTTCACATTCATTTGGTAATACACAGCTCCTTCACTAATTCTTTATATATTCAAGTAAGAAACAAGTGATAATCTTATGTAGTTAGCTCATAAGTTATAATTAACACCCTCATGATTAAGAAACAGGTTTTGATAAAGCTTGGGATGGGAATGGTGATGTTTTGATCAATAATCCAGTACTAAAATTTATCAAAAAAAAAAAAAAAAAGGCTCCATGATAAAAAAGAATAATAAGCCTCCATTAATGTCTAGATTCAAAAAATTCACAAAATAAGTCGAGTACTATCTCACATTTACACAGCTCCTTCACTACTCCTGGCTTCCCATACTTTCTTGCCCTCAAAGCGTATTTGTTTAACCACAACCGTTTGTAGACATTTTTTTAGTTTTGTACTAAGTACTTTACAAATACTTTATTAGTTGTGAATATATTTCGAAAATATAATAAATAATTTGGTTGTTTTTTTAACAAAGAAACCCCATATACTTTTTAAATTACTTCGGGTACACAGAATTAAATTGGTAGCATCCAGTTTTTGGTACAATAATTTGGCCGCGGTCTTAGATAATCGGAGACCTAACGGCATAAATTCATAAGTAATCGGATAGTGCTTCTTCTTCTTTAAAAATGGCTATCACGAATCTCGTAGAGCACAAAAGCTGTCAACTTTTCCTCGTTCCAAGATTTACTACGTATCTTGGATTTCGCCACCAATTTCTTTATGTGTAGTACAACGAACGTTTCAAGGAAAATTATATCAGTGAATCGTCAAGGTGTCTAAGGAGATCGCGAGGTGTCGAAGGAGATGCTGATGTGTAGCATTTTTTTTATAAAAATGATGTCACAAGGAGATGTGCTATCTATATATATCACATATTCTCACACAAAAGTCCTCCAGACGAAAAGTGTATATTTATATATATTTTTTTTGTTGGTTACTAAAAATGGATATCACTAATCTCTTGGTCACCAGCAACGCCGTCAAACTGGATGGCGTCAGTTTCTTCTCCGGCAAACCAAACTACTTCTTTACTCGTCGTTTGTCACAGACGCCTCGTAGAGTCCAAACTTGTTGTTGTTATCGTGAGTCGTCGTTAAAAGCTGTGACGCCGTTTATGATGTCTGAGACAGAAGCAAAGAGTGACGGTGACGGAATTGGAATTTTCCGTTTCTTAAAAGGCAAGAGCTATTTGGTTACCGGTGCAACAGGGTTTCTTGCTAAAGGTAAGAAAAAGCCTAAAACAGAGTTTTCTTCTTGTACAAGTAAACTTATTTTTCTTATTGGAAACATTGTTTGCTGCAGTGTTGATTGAGAAATTGTTGAGGGCAAGTCCTGAGATCGGGAAGATCTTTGTTCTGATGAAAGCCAAAGATCAAGAATCAGCCAACAAGAGACTCTATGATGAGGTTATGTATTCAATCTCATCCTTTGGATTTACTCGACTTTTCATTATTTTCCTTATCCGTACTCTGTATCCCATTTGTTCCACACAGATCATAAGCTCGGATCTGTTTAAGCTTCTGAAGAAAAAGCACGGGAGCTCTTACGAAGCCTTCATGAAGAGCAAGTTGATTCCAGTAATTGGAGATATTGGAGAAGACAATCTCGGGACTGAATCTGAAATAGCAGACAAAATTAGTGAGGAGATTGATGTCATTATAAGTTGTGCTGGTCGGACAACATTTGACGACAGGTTTTCCTAGGTTATTTGTTTTTAAAGTAATCCAAAATGATTATAATTTTTGATATTGCTTATAACCCAAGCAAACGGAAATTAACAGATACGACTCTGCTTTGAACGTCAATGCCCTTGGACCTGGTCGTCTTTTGAGCTTCGGCAAGGACTGCAAGAAACTGAAACTTTTTCTCCATTTTTCAACTGGTCTGCGTTTATGTTTTGGCCTAAATAAGGGTTTTTGTTAAGACAACTTTCGCAAACTGTTTTTTGCTTTCTCTTGATTTTGTTATATATAGCTTACGTGACTGGTAAGAAAGAGGGAACTGTACTGGAGACTCCTCTCTGCATTGGAGAAAACATAACTTCTGACTTGAACATAGAAACCGAGATGAAACTAGCTTCAGAAGCTGTAAGAAAGTTCCATGGCAGTGAAGAAACCAAGAAACTGAAAGAACTTGGTATCGAAAGGTGAGAATGAATGAGAAAACCTTACTTCAAATTCTTATTTGCCAAAATCTGAAATAATCTAGTCATTGTCTTATGAGAAAACAGAGCTCAAAGCTATGGATGGGAAAACGCTTACACATTCACAAAAGCCATGGGTGAGTCTGTAATTAACAGCAAGCGTGGAGATTTACCAGTAGTGATCATTAGGCCAAGTATTATCGAAAGCTCTTACACAGAGCCTTTCCCTGGCTGGCTCCAAGGAATAAGGTTAAAGATTTTCTTTTTTTTCAAACACAAAGTGGCTAGATTAGGTTCTGGTTTCTTAATTGACATTTTCATTTGTTTCTTTGTAAAAAAAAAACAGGATGAGTGCTCCATTAATCTTGGCCTATGGAAAAGACCAGATTTCTGACCTGTGGGGAGATTATAAATCTTTTTGTGATATTATACCTGTTGATATGGTTGCGAACGCGGCAATAGCAGCCATGGCAAAGCACGGTTATGGTAATGTCACAGAGCTCAAAGTTTACACTGTCGCTTCTTCTTCTCATGCGAATCCCCTGCGAGCTGGCGAGTTGATGGACTTCTGTCATCAACATCTGTGTGACTCTCCATTTACAGACACAGTGAAAGACTTAGAGCGTATGAAATTCCACAGTTCCTTAGAGGATTTCACCTCCTCTGTATCCAACATAATAGCAAAACAAGAAGGAGAGATGGGCATCGGAAGAGGAGAGTCACATAGAACACTGAGCATGAAGGGGAAGAGGAAGCTGAAGTATTTACTGTCCCTAGCAAAAACATATCAGCCTTACACCTTCTTTCAAGCACGGTAAATAACAAAATAACATACTTGGAACTGTTCTTTTATTAAGTAAAAAGCTAGATTACTGATTCATAGTCAATATCCTAGGTTTGACGACACCAATACAAGAACTCTGATACAGGAGCTATCAATGGAAGAGAGAAAGATTTTTGACTTTGATAGCAGATGCATTGACTGGGAGCATTACATTGTCAATGTTCATCTTCCAGGTCTCAAAAGGGAACTCTTTCATGAAAGATCTAAGAGTGTGATTTAAGATATGAATGAAATCAAATACTCAGTGCTTCTGCTTTCTTTAGGAATTTTATAGTTTATTAATCACAACATTTTGCCGTTGACTCATATCTTTAGTAAACAATATTGTTGTCTTCTCTTCATAAGAACTCTGTTTTGCACGCTCTGTTTCAGTTCTTACACATGAGAGACACTTTCAAATTCAACGGTATGTTGCAAATCGTACAATAATGTTACAAGCAGAAAATGATATTCTTACATAGAGAATCAATCCAGAAATCTCTAGATGAGACTTTCAGATCTGCTTGCAATCAAGAAACGTGCCAGCAATCCCGAAAATTATTTCTAAAGCTGTAGATGAGGATTTTAGAGATCTGCTAGTAATAAAAAAAAAATCCACGAGCTGACACATCTATATCTATAATATATTTTAACTTGAGACATTGTGATGAGTGCACTAGTTGATTTTTGTCAACTATTTGATATTATATTGTAAACGTTGTATTATACTACTGTTATGTAATAACTTTTCAAGACAGAGCAATCTTTTTTTGTCTTTCACGTCTCGGTCTTCGAAGTTTCCTTACATAATACAACGTGATTGTCACACACCGACTCTCCAAATTAAAGCTTTCACCTTCTTCATATTTTGTTGTTAACTAAAAATATCTATCACTAATCTCTTAGCTACCAGCAAACAAAACCACATTTTTTACTCGTCGTTTGTCACAGCCGACTCATAGAGCCCAAACTTCTTGATGTTATCGTGAGATGTCGTTGAAAGCTGTGACACCGTTTACTATGCCCGAGAGAGAAACAAAGAATGACGGTGACGGGATCGGAATCCTCCGTTTCTTAAAAGGGAAGAGCTATTTTGTTACCGGCGCAACAGGGTTTCTTGGTAAAGGTAAGAAAGCCCTAAAACAGAGTTTTTTTTTTGTTCCAAGTAAACTAATTTTTTTAATTTGAAACATTACTTCTGCAGTGTTGATTGAGAAAATGTTGAGGGAAAGTCCTCAGATTGGGAAGATATTTGTTCTGATGAAAGCTAAAGATCAAGAATCAGCCAACAAGAGACTCTATGATGAGTTATGTATTCAGTCTCATCCTTTGGATTTACTCGACTTTTCATTATTTTTATTTTCCGTACTCTAATTTTGTATTCCCATTTGTTCCACACAGATCATAAGCACAGATCTGTTCAAGCTTCTTAAGCAAATGCATGGAAGCTCTTACGAAGCCTTCATGAAGAGCAAGTTGATCCCAGTGGTCGGAGACATTGGAGAAGACAATCTTGGGATTGAATCCGAAATAGCAGCCAAGATTAGTGATGAGGTTGATGTCATTATAAGCTGTGCTGGCCGTACAACATTTGATGACAGGTGTGTCCTCTGTTTCTTGTTTGCTCTGATATAATTTCTTTTCTTGGAAATGAGCGCTTGCTTCTAACCCAAGCAAACGGAAACAGATACGACTCTGCTTTAAATGTCAACGCTCTTGGACCTGGTCGGCTCTTGACCTTTGGCAAGAACTGCAAGAAACTGAAACTTTTTCTCCATTTTTCAACTGGTATGAGTGAGTTTATGTTTTGGCCTAAAAAAAAGGGTTTTTGTTAAGACAAGTTTCGCAATCTGTTTTTTGCTTTCTTTTGATTTTGTTATATAGCTTATGTGACTGGCAAGAAAGAAGGGACTGTACTTGAGACTCCTCTCTGCATTGGAGAAAACATAACTTCTGACTTGAACATAGAAACCGAGCTCAAACTAGCTTCAGAAGCTGTAAGAAAATTCCATGGCAGTGAAGAAATCAAGAAAATGATTGAACTTGGTATCGAAAGGTGGGGATGAGTGAGAAAAAACTTAATCCCTGCACCTTCTTATTTGCCAAAACCTAAATATGTGTGTTTGATATTATGATGAGAAAACAGAGCTCAACACTACGGATGGGAAAACGCTTACACATTCACAAAAGCCATGGGTGAGTCTGTAATTCACAACCAGCGTGGAGATTTGCCAGTAGTGATCATAAGGCCAAGTTGTATAGAAAGCTCCTACAAGGAGCCTTTCCCTGGCTGGCTCCTAGGATTAAGGTTAAAGATTTTCAAAATTTCAGACGCAAAAGAACTAGATTGGCTTCTATTTCAATTGACATTTCTACTGATTTTTTTTGTTTGTTTTAAAAAAAAAAAAACAGGATGACTGCTCCATTTATCTTGGCCTATGCAGAAGACCTCATTTCTGACTTGTGGGGAGATGATCAAACTTTTTGTGACATTATACCTGTTGATATGGTTGCAAACGCGGCAATAGCAGCCATGGCAAAGCACGGTTGTGGTAATGTCCCAGGGCTCAAAGTTTACACTGTCGCTTCTTCTTCTCATGCGAATTTCCTGCGAGTTGGCGAGTATATGGACCTCTGTCATCAGCATCTGCGTGACTCTCCATTGACAGACACAGTGAAAGACTTCAAGCGTATAAAATTCCACAGTTCCTTAGAGGATTTCACCTCCTCTGTATCCAACAAAATAGCAAAACAAGAAAGAGAGATGAGCACCGGAAGAGGAGAGTCACATACCACACTGAGCATGAAGGGGAAGAGGAAGCTAAACTATTTTGTGTCCCTAGCAAGAACATACAAGCCTTACGCCTTTTTTCACACACGGTAAACAACATCATTGGACTTGTTCTATTCACTAGGCAAAAAAGCCATTTAGATTACTGACTCAATAGTCAAATTTTACTAGGTTCGACGACACCAATACAAGGAGTCTGATTCAGGAGCTGTCAATGGAAGAGAGAAAGATGTTTGACTTTGATTGCAGATGCATTGACTGGGAGCATTACATTGTCAACGTTCATCTTCCTGGTCTCAAAAGGGAATTCTTTCGTGAAAGATCTATCAAACACAAGCTCATATTAAGCCCAATGTGATGATCTCAAATAAGTGATTTAGTATATATATGTTTGCTTTGTGATCAAGAGATGTGTAACCTTGAGTTGCCAAAACCAACTCTTCCTTCCTTTGTCAATTTCATATTTCCAAAAAAAATAAAAACCCTTCACTAGGGTAAACCTTGTAATAATCTTGTTACAAGAGAGATTGTGTCCAATCCTCAGTGTATCAGCGATCTTAATGATTTTTTGAAAGATTTATCAAGATTTTAATCACCTAGAATCACTACAAGTTACGAACTCTGTTTTGCATGCTCTGTTTCAGTTCTTACACATGAGACACTTTTAAATTCAACGGTAATGTTGGAATCGAACCATATTTCTCTGCTTGACTGAGAGAGTTGTGTGTTGGATTTGGCTCCCTTCAGGAATATGTTACAAGCAGAAAATGATTTTCTTACATAGAAGAAGCTTCCTTTCACTGCCAAGCAGCGATTTTGATCTACTAGCAATGTGAAGGTCAGTGATTTTTAGAGCAATCAAGAAATCTCTAGATGAGGTTTTCAGATCTGCTAGAAATCAAGAAACGTGCTAGCAATCCAGAAAATTATATTTTAAAGCTCTAGAAACGTCCAAGAGCTGACACACACACATATATATATATATATATATATGTATATTGTACAGGTTGTCTCATGTGAAACCTTATCAAGACAGAGCAATCTTTTTTTTTTTGTCTTCATGACTCTGTCTTCGAAGTTTCCTTGCATTTTGTCTCTTCTTTACAGTAACGTGATGTGCGCGCTATATATATAGTAATCGAATTGTCACACAACGACTCACCAAATCAAAAACTTTGACCTTCTTTATATTTTGTTGGTAGCTAAAATGTCTGTCACTAATCTCTTAGCTACCAGTAATGCCGTCAAGTTTGATACCGTCAGTTTCTTCTCCGGCAAACCAAGCTACTTCTTGACTCGTCGTTTGTCACAGACGCCTCGTAGAGTCCAAACTTGTCGTAGTTATCGTGATTCGTCGTTAAAAGCTGTGACGCCGTTTATGATGCCTGAGACAGAAGCAAAGAGTGACGGTGACGGGATTGGAATCCTCCGTTTTTTAAAAGGGAAGAGCTATTTGGTTACCGGTGCGACAGGGTTTCTTGCTAAAGGTAAGAAAGCCCTAAAACAGAGTTTTTTCTTACTCAAGTAAACTGATATTTCTAATTAGAAACATTGTTTCTGCAGTGTTGATTGAAAAAATGTTGAGGGAAAGTCCTCAGAGTGGGAAGATATTTGTTCTGATGAAAGCCAAAAATCAAGAATCAGCCAACAAGAGACTTTATGATGAGGTTCTGTATTTCAATTCATCCTTTCGCTTTACTCGACCTGACATTTTAATCCAATTTCCGTTCTCTAATTTTGTACTCTCATTTGTTCCACACAGATCATAAGCTCGGATCTGTTCAAGCTTCTGAAGCAAATGCACGGGAGCTCTTACGAAGCCTTCATGAAGAGCAAGTTGATTCCAGTAATCGGAGACATTGGAGAAGACAATCTCGGGATCGAATCTGAAATAGCAGTCAAGATTAGTGATGAGATTGATGTCATTATAAGCTGTGCTGGTCGCACAACATTTGACGACAGGTGTTTCCTCTGATAAATTTTATTTTTTTGGAAATGAACACTTGCTTCTAACCCAAGCAAACGGAAACAGATACGACTCTGCTTTGAACGTCAATGCTCTTGGACCTGGTCGTCTCTTGAGCTTCGGCAAGGACTGCAGGAAACTGAAACTTTTTCTCCATTTTTCAACTGGTATGCGTTTATGATTTGGCCCAAAAGAGGATTTTTTTTTTCTTAAAAAAGCTTCGGGAAACTGATTTTTTAGTTGTTATATAGCTTACGTGACTGGTAAGAAAGAGGGAACAGTACTAGAGACTCCTCTCTGCATTGGTGAAAACATAACATCTGACTTGAACATCGAATCAGAGCTCAAACTAGCATCAGAAGCTGTGAGAAATTTCCATGACAGTGAAGAAATCAAGAGAATGAGTGAACTTGGTATCGAAAGGTAAGGATGAATGAGAAAAGCTTACTCTCTCGCACCTTCTTATGTACCAAAACCTAAATTCTCTGTTTGATTTTATGATGAGGAAACAGAGCTCAACACTATGGATGGGAAAACGCTTACACATTCACAAAAGCCATGGGTGAATCTGTAATTCACAACCAGCGTGGAGATTTGCCAGTAGTGATCATAAGGCCAAGTATTATAGAAAGCTCCTACACAGAGCCTTTCCCTGGCTGGCTCCAAGGAATAAGGTTAAAGATTTTCAAATTTTCACAGACAAAAGAATTAGATTAGCTTCTTTTTCAATTGACATTTCTACTTGGTTAAAAAAACACAGGATGACTGCTCCATTTATCTTGGCCTATGGAAAAGACCTCATTTCTGACTTGTGGGCAGATTATCAATCTTTTTGTGACATTATACCTGTTGATATGGTTGCAAACGCGGCAATAGCAGCCATGGCTAAGCACGGCGGTGGTAATGTCCCAGGGCTCAAAGTTTACACTCTCACTTCTTCTTCTCATGCGAATCCCCTGCGAGCTGGCGAGTTTATGGACTTCTGTTATCAGCATCTGTGTGACTCTCCATTGACTGACACAAAGCTAGACTTAGAGCGTATAAAATTCCACAGTTCCTTAGAGGATTTCACCTCCTCTGTATCCAACAAAATAGCAAAACAAGAAAGAGAGATGAGCACCGGAAGAGGAGAAAGAGGAGAGTCACGCACCACACTGAGCACGAAGGGGAAGAGGAAGCTAAAGTATTTCGAGTCCCTAGCAAGAACATATCAGCCTTACTCCTTCTTTCAAGCACGGTAAACAACATACTTGGACTTGTTCTTTTTATTAAGCAAAAAGCTGTTTAGACTACTGCTGACTCATAGTCAATTTTACTAGGTTCGACGACACCAATACAAGGAGTCTGAATCATGAGTTGTCAATGGAAGAGAGAAAGATGTTTGAGTTTGATTGCAGGTGCATTGACTGGGAGCATTACATTGTCAACGTTCATCTTCCTGGTCTCAAAAGGGAACTCTTTCGGCAAAGATCCAGTCAAAGAGAGTGAGTTAATATAAGAACGGAAAAAAAGATACTGCATGTAGTAGTTTTATCAATCAACAATTTGGTACAACCGTACAAGTGCTTGTGTTCACTTATCTAGAGTATGAATTTTCGGGTTTAACAATCAACATTTTGCCGTTGGCCCAAATCTTTACTTAAACAATACTGTTGGTCCAATGTCTTCTCTACATACGAGCTCTGTTTTGCACGTTCTGTTTCAGTCCTTACACATGAAGACACACCCAAATTTTAACGGGAGTGTGTTGGATCGCACATGATGTCAACTATATATCTCTGCTTGCGTGAGAGAGTTGTGTTTGGAGTTGACTGCCTTTAGAGAAGCTTCCTTTCACTGCCAAGCAGCGATTTTGATCTGCTAGTAGCAATGTGAATGCAATCCAGTAACGTGATGTTTTCAGAAATCCAGATCTGATAGCAGTCCAGAAACATGGAAGCAATCAAGAAAATGATTTTTGAAAGCTGAGATCATTTATATGGACCGAGACCGGCAACACAACAAACAAAAAAATAATCCTAACGGCCAAGACAGGTAACAGATCTACATCAAATTAAATTCCCCACGACCAAGACAGGTAACAACACATGTACATCAAGTTGTAGAAACGAGACAGGTAAATTAAATTTGTATAATGTAAACCTTGTCATGCCAGAGACGGTTCTTTTTGTCTTCATGTCTCTGTCTTCGTAGTTTCCTTGCATTTTGTCTCTTCTTCACAGCAACTTGATGTGCGCGCTATATATATATATAATCGATTGTCACACAACGACCTTCCAAATTAAAAGCTTTCACCTTCTTTATATTTTTTGGTAACAAAAAATGTCTATCACAAATCTCTTAGCTACCAGCAATGCCGTGAAGTTGGATACCGTCAGTTTCTTCTCCGGCAAACCAAACCACTTCTTGCCTCGTCGTTGGTCACAGAAGGCTCATAGATTCCAAACTTGTTGTTGTTATGATCTGTCGTTGAAAGCTGTGACGCCGTTTATTGTGCCTGAGAGAGAAACCAAAAGTGACGGTGAGGGGATCGGAATCGTCCGTTTCTTAAAAGGGAAAAGCTATTTGGTTACCGGTGCAACAGGGTTTCTTGCCAAAGGTAACTCAAAACTTAAAACAGAGACTTTTCCTCTTGTCCAAGTAAACTTATTTCTGGGCAGTTTTGATTGAGAAACTGTTGAGGGCAAGTCCTGAGATTGAGAAGATATTCCTTCTGATGAAATCCAAGGATCAAGAATCAGCCAACAAGAGACTCTATGACGAGGTTCTGTTTAAACATTGTCCATCCTCAACTTCTTTGGTTTTCTGTCTTTTTCCTTTATCGCTTTTGTTCCACACAGATCATAAGCTCGGATCTGTTTAAGCTTCTGAAGAAGATGCAGGGGAGCTCTTACGAAGCCTTCATGAAGAGCAAGTTGATTCCAGTAATCGGAGACATTGGAGAAGACAATCTCGGGATCGAATGTGAAATAGCAGCCAAGATTAGTGATGAGATTGATGTCATGATAAACTCTGCTGGCCGTACAACATTTGAAGACAGGTGTTACCTCTGTCTCTTGTGTGCTCTGTTTTTATTGTTTGCATACTAACTGTATTAACTAAACAAACGGAAACAGATACGATGCTGCCCTAAGTGCCAATGTTGTTGGACCTGATAGGCTCTTGAGCTTCGGAAAGAAATGCAAGAAACTGAAACTTTTCCTCCATGTTTCAACTGGTATCAGTTTTTTTTTTTTTAATGTTTTAGAATATGTTTTTTTTTTTTCTTGTTAAAGAGAGGTTTTGGAAACTTATTTTTCTCTGTGGCTATATAGCTTACGTGACTGGTAAGAAAGAGGGAACAGTACTAGAGACTCCCCTCTGCATCGGGAAAAACATAACTTCTGACTTGAACATCGAATCAGAGCTTAAACTAGCTTCAGAAGCTGTACAAAAGTTCCATGGCAGTGAAGAATTCAAGAAACTGAAAGAACTTGGTAGCCAAAGGTGAGGATGAATGAGACATTACTTTATGCACCTTCTTATGTACCAAAACCTAAAAAATCTCTATTTGATATTGTGATGAGAAAACAGAGCTCAGAGCTATGGATGGGAAAACGCTTACACGTTCACAAAAGCCATGGGTGAGTCTGTAATTAACAGCAAGCGTGGAGATTTGCCTGTAGTGATCATAAGGCCTAGTTGTATAGAAAGCTCCTACAAGGAGCCTTTCCCTGGCTGGCTTCAAGGAATAAGGTTTAAATCTTTTTCAAATTTTCACAGACAAAAGGACTGACTAGAATTAGCTTCTTGTTCTAATTGACATATTTTTTATTTGGTTTAACAAAACAGGATGACTGCTCCATTAATCTTGTCCAATGGAAAAGACCAGATTCCTGACCTGTTGGGAGATTATCAATCTTCTTTGGATGTTATACCTGTTGATATGGTTGTGAACGCGACAATAGCAGCCATGGCAAAACATGGTTGTGGTAATGTCCCAGGGCTCATAGTTTACAATGTCACTTCAACTTCTCATGTGAATCCCCTGCGACTTGGCGAGTGGTTGGACTTCTCTCACCAACATCTGTGCGACTCTCCATTGACAGAAACAACAACTCAAGACCTAGAGCGTACGAAGTTCCATAGTTCCTTAGAGGATTTCATCTCCTCAGTATCCAACACTATAGCAAAACAAGAAAGAGAGATGAAGAATGGAGAAGGAGGAAGAGAGTCACATACCACACTGAGCATGAGGGGAAAGAGGAAGCTAAAGTATTTTGAATCACTAGCAAGAACATATCAGCCTTACTTGTTCTTTCAAGCTCGGTAAAATAACATAAGTTGGATTTGTTCTTTTGTTAAGCAAAAAATATACTATCAGAGTAGTGAACAAAATAGTCAATAACAGGTTTGATGAAACCAATACAAGAAGTCTGATTCAGGAGTTGTCAATGGAAGAGAGAAAGATGTTTGAGTTCGATGGCAGATGCATTGACTGGGAACATTACATTGTCAACGTTCATCTTCCAGGTCTCAAAAGGGAACTCTTTCGAGATAGATCCAGTTAAAGAGAAATGATTTAAACTGGTACAAGTGCTTGTGTTCACCAAGTGTCACCTATCTCTATGAATTTTCTAGTTTTATCAGCATTTTACTCCAGAATGTGAATCACCTTATGTTAAGGGCTTTCTTAATTATGTGAGCGATCGGATTTTATAGTTAAGCAATTTCATCAACGGTATTTCATAACTTGATTAAATTGAAACTTCTTTTTCAGCAATCTAATTCATGTCGAAGATCTTGTATACGTAACCTTAAAAATTATAGTTATTTTTGATATATTTGACCCCACTAAAATAAATTTATAGGCCCCAAGTCCAACAACATGACAACCTTGCTATGGTACCAGTATGTCGTACCAGAGGAATAGTTGAACTGGAAAGAATTCTAGATGAAAACAAAATGTATTCACCTGTTATCTTTACTGAGTTTATAGAAATATATAATAATTGGAGCATTGTTAACAAGAAAAACTGAATTTAATAAAAATTTCATTAAAAAATTATAAAACAAAAAATTAATTTTAGTAGATTAATCACATTTTATTTTTCTAATTATATTTTAACATGTTAGTTGTATATTGAATAATAGTTATCCAAACAGAATCATGACCAATTTTTTTTTTTTTTTTTTTTGATATTTATCGATTCTGAAAATTGAAAGCTGAATTACTCAAAATCGAATTGAATCTGAATAAAACATTTTTGGTACTTATTTATATAAGTACAACATTTCTATATCCGAGAAACCTATAATAGAATTGAATATCCAAATACTAAAAATAATAAAAAGTAGTATAATTACGTTTTCTAAAACGAGAATAATCCATATACTATTATATTATATCAAAAAATTATCGTGATGATAAAGGCAAATAACACAAAAAGAAGAAAAAGGCAGTTTTTAATTTTTGTGAAGCTTGTGTTTCCACGAGGCCATGAACCAATCAATTACTGGATTTGGTAAGAAAATAATTGTTTCTACTGATGTATATTGTAATATAACTTGTATATAAATTTAAGATTTTTTATATATTTGACCAACATAAATGAATTTATAGGTCCAACAATATGATAACCTCTGGTCTGATAACCACCGCATTAATTCCAAAATTCTCACTCAAAAGCTCTCAAAAAAAAAAAAAGTGTTGGCAACTAAAAAAATGTCAATCACAAATCTCCTCGCCACAAGCAACGCCGTCAGATTGGATGGAGGCAGCTTATTTTCCCGTTTCGCCGGCAAACCAAACCACTTCTTGGCTCGTCGTATGTCACAGACGACTCGTAGAGTCCAAGCTTGTTGTTGTCATCGTGACACGATGCTGAAAGCTGTGATGCCGTCTACGATGCCTGAGACAGAAACACGTAGTGTCAGCTACGGAATTGAAATCGTCTCTTTCTTAAAAGGGAAAAGCTATCTTGTTACCGGCGCAACAGGGTTTCTTGCTAAAGGTGAAAAACTAAAAACCTAAAACAGAGCTTTCTTCTTGTCCAAGTTAACTAATATTTGGAAATTCTTTTTTATGTTGTAGTGTTACTTGAGAAATTATTGAGGGCAAGCACTGAGATTGGGAAGATCTTCCTTCTGATGAAATCCAAGGATCAAGAATCAGCTAACAAGAAACTTTATGACGAGGTTCTGTATTCAGTCTCATCCGTTAGCTTGACTCGGCTCTTTTCTCACTTTTCTTTTTCGTTTCTCCAATTTTGTGTTTCCATTTGTTTCACACAGATCATAAGCTCGGATCTGTTCAAGCTTCTGAAGCAAAAGCACGGGAGCTCTTACGAAGCCTTCATGAAGAGCAAGTTGATTCCAGTAATGGGAGACATTGGAGAAGACAATCTCGGGATCGAATCTGAAATAGCAGCCAAGATTAGTGATGAGATTGATGTCATTATAAGCTGTGCTGGTCGCACAACATTTGACGACAGGTGATTCCTCTGTTTCTTGTTTGCTCTGATAAATTTTATTTTTTTGGAAATGAACACTTGCTTCTAACCCAAGCAAACGGAAACAGATACGACTCTGCTTTGAACGTCAATGCTCTTGGACCTGGTCGTCTCTTGAGCTTCGGCAAGGACTGCAGGAAACTGAAACTTTTTCTCCATTTATCAACTGGTATGCGTTTATGTTTTGCCCCAAAAGAGGTTTTTTTTTTTTCTTAAAAAAGCTTCGGAAACTGATTTTTTAGTTGTTATATAGCTTACGTGACTGGTAAGAAAGAGGGAACAGTACTAGAGACTCCTCTCTGCATTGGTGAAAACATAACATCTGACTTGAACATCGAATCAGAGCTCAAACTAGCATCAGAAGCTGTGAGAAATTTCCATGACAGTGAAGAAATCAAGAGAATGAGTGAACTTGGTATCGAAAGGTAAGGATGAATGAGAAAAGCTTACTCTCTCGCACCTTCTTATGTACCAAAACCTAAATTCTCTGTTTGATTTTATGATGAGGAAACAGAGCTCAACACTATGGATGGGAAAACGCTTACACATTCACAAAAGCCATGGGTGAATCTGTAATTCACAACCAGCGTGGAGATTTGCCAGTAGTGATCATAAGGCCAAGTATTATAGAAAGCTCCTACACAGAGCCTTTCCCTGGCTGGCTCCAAGGAATAAGGTTAAAGATTTTCAAATTTTCACAGACAAAAGAATTAGATTAGCTTCTTTTTCAATTGACATTTCTACTTGGTTAAAAAAACACAGGATGACTGCTCCATTTATCTTGGCCTATGGAAAAGACCTCATTTCTGACTTGTGGGCAGATTATCAATCTTTTTGTGACATTATACCTGTTGATATGGTTGCAAACGCGGCAATAGCAGCCATGGCTAAGCACGGCGGTGGTAATGTCCCAGGGCTCAAAGTTTACACTCTCACTTCTTCTTCTCATGCGAATCCCCTGCGAGCTGGCGAGTTTATGGACTTTTGTTATCAGCATCTGTGTGACTCTCCATTGACTGACACAAAGCTAGACTTAGAGCGTATAAAATTCCACAGTTCCTTAGAGGATTTCACCTCCTCTGTATCCAACAAAATAGCAAAACAAGAAAGAGAGACGAGCACCGGAAGAGGAGAAGGAGGAGGAGATTCACACACCACACTGAGCATGAAGGGGAAGAGGAAGCTAAACTATTTTGTGTCCTTAGCAAGAACATATCAGCCTTACACTTTCTTTCAAGCACGGTAAATAACAAAATAACATCCTTGGACTATTAAGCAAAAAGCTATTTAGATTACTGACTAGATAGTCAATTTTACTAGGTTTGACGACACCAATACAAGGAGTCTGATTCAGGAGCTGTCAATGGAAGAGAGAAAGATGTTTGAGTTTGATTGCAGGTGCATTGACTGGGAGCATTACATTGTCAACGTTCATCTTCCAGGTCTCAAAAGTGAACTCTTTCGGCAAAGATCCAGTTAAAGAGAAATGATTTAAGCCGACTTTCAATAATTGTTCTATCACCTACCTATTTTCTATTCAACTTGCAATGATTTAAGAGGCTTCTGTTCTGTAATAAATGTATCACTTATCTATATGAAATCCATTCGAACCATCAAAGTGAAGAAATGGGGTATCTTGCATTTCAAGTTTATGACCATAATTATATTTTTATTGTACAATTAGAACAAGAAAGACTTTTAACAGATCCAAAAATAATAATATTATCTCCAAGAACCTTTAACTGATCCTCCAAAATGAATAGGGATAACAACGAAATCCTTTAAGGATGCTTTTGAAAGTTGGTAAGAGTTTTCTTTCGGACATTTTATCGAACACTTTGGCTGCAACTAATAATAACTTTTATATATATGGGCTTGGGCTCATTCAGACAAAAGAAAAGGCTAAAGTTGGTTAATGACCCAACAATACTTTGTTTTTGGACCCAACAACACTTAAGTTTTGAGAAATTGGAGGGTTTTTGTTTTTTTTGGCTCTCTATCTCCGGCGACGTTCAACGACGGTGGTATAGTATAATCACCGGTTCGGGGTTGAGAAACAAAGCCATAGATGCCTTCGAAGAAGAAGCAGTCGAGGACGCCATCACGGCTTTCCAATTCTGAGCCGCCTGCGTCCCCAAGAACTCCGGCGTCTTCAGCAACGGGTCGAGATACAGATTCCATCAACGAAAAGGAACTCCGGCGCAGCATTGAAGAAGCTTCCGCTGCGTTTCCTTGTCTTCTCGGAAAATCTGCCATCATCGGAAGAGTAGCCGATGTTGCATCCGACTCTATCAGAGGCTCTAAGATTTGGCTATCGGAAACTTCGATGGTCGCTGCTTCCCTCGGCCCTGGTTCCACTGTATCGGTAAAAACCGAACCTTTTTTTCTGCATTCTGCTGTTCATACCAAATTAACACTGCAAAATTCTGATTTTCGGAAACTAAATTTTCAATGATAGGTATCACTGGCTTGCCCAGAAAGCAGGTTTTCGAACAGCTTCCCGCTAAGCTCGATAAAGGCTGAATATGGAGTTGAATGCGAAATTAGCAGCATTGCTGATGAACCAGGGAACTATTTTGTTCTTGCCACAGTTTTCCCTTCTTCAAAGGTCTGAAGAATCTTTCTTTTCTTGTTTGAAATTTTGTTGTTGTTAACGCCGATTAGTAAAGTTTTCAAATTTGTGCAGGTTTTGAAGGATGATGTTCGTCTTTCATCAAATCTCTGCTATGGGCTTGGTTTCCCTGTTTCAGGCAGGACTGTTTTTGTTTATCCTGTTACCGGACCTTCTTTAAGTGATGAGTTCAACGGTAATGGCGGATCGCACGAAAATGATGTCAACAAGCTTTCTCTGCTTCCCTGCAAAGAGTTGTCCTTGGAGTTGACTCCCTTTAAGAATATGTTAGAAGCCAAAAGCGGTTTTCTTTCTGTAGAGAAGCTTGCTCTTGAAAGTCCTCACGAGCATAACGGAAATGGTAATTCAACTCCTAAGACACCATCAAACTCGCAAAAGCTTAGCTCTCCTCGCCACACTTCTCCGGCTTCATCAGTCAAAGAAGACTCTGTTTTCAGTGCCAAACAGAGATTCTCATCTGAAAGTTCGATTGATCTGCGAGAGGTCTTGAGCAATGAAACTTCGAAGAAGCTTTTGCAGACTTGTGCAACTTCGTGGCTATCTCCTTGTAGCCTGCTGTATGGGAATTTTGTTGCTGTACCGATTCTCTCGGAAACCTGTATTTTCTGCGTCAAAAGGGCTAATAAAAGGCAATCTGATACCTCCAGTAGAAGTTGTGCTTTTATGATAAACCGGGAAACTAAAGTATACCTCCATCATACAGTGGGCTTAGCATCTGAAATTCGGGAGAAAACATCTGCGCAAGGTCTGCAGTTTGATGATGACGATGAAGAAGAAAACATGGGATGTGAAATTTCAAAGCTAGGTGGTCTCTCTAAAGAATATGCTATTTTAAGGGACATAATTGTTTCCTCGTCCACGAAGAACTCCTTATCAAGGTAAGCATTTCAGTTATTTGAACAGCAATTTTCACCATTTCACATATTTGCTCTACCTGAAAATGTACTCGTAAACATCCATGAGAAGTGAAAATATTTTTTGTAGTCCAGTTTTCCTTGAAAATTATTTAAGTCATCCTGCTCATTTATCTGTCTGTTGAGCTCACTGGGGAGGTTGAGAATAATGTCTAGCCAGTAAAATGTGTATATACACTATGTCCTAATGAAAGCTGTACGTGCTCTGCTGATATATATGCTTTACTAGTTATAATGTTTAAGTCCATGTGATTGTTAGGTTTTTTGAATATTGCTACTTTCTTAGGCTTTTGTTTTACTTATGTTTATCGCTTGCATGATGATTTCAGTCTTGGTTTGCGACCTACGAAAGGAGTCCTTATTCACGGACCTCCAGGCACAGGAAAGACATCTTTGGCTCGGTCTTTTGCCCGTGATTCTGGTGTCAACTTTTTCTCCGTGAATGGACCTGAGATTATAAGCCAGTATTTGGGAGAAAGCGAGAAAGCTCTAGATGAAGTTTTCAGATCTGCTAGCAATGCTGCACCTGCTGTGGTTAGAGTCTTGCACTTTCACTCCTTAATATACACCTGAGTTTTGACTGTAGATTGAAATATTCTGGTATTCGCTTGTTACCCCAAGTTAGCTGCTTGTGATGTGAAGAGTGTTGTTTTCTTGTAAAAGGTATTCATTGATGACTTGGATGCCATTGCTCCTGCACGGAAAGAAGGTGGGGAAGAATTGTCTCAGAGAATGGTAGCTACGTTACTGAATTTAATGGATGGCATAAGTAGGAGTGATGGCGTTGTTGTCATTGCTGCAACCAATAGGCCTGATTCCATTGAGCCCGCCCTTAGACGACCAGGAAGACTTGACAGGGAAATTGAAATTGGTAAGACAAAGACCTCGTGGTAAATATACCATCTTCTGTGATATAGTTCAGATTCTTGCTAGACCTAATATGTGTTCATAAATTTTGAATAATGAAATAGGTGTTCCATCTTCTGCACAACGGTTGGATATACTTCGGACGATTCTCAGTGGGATGCGGCATTCACTTTCAGACACCCAGCTTGAACAGCTTTCTATGGCAACCCATGGTTTTGTAGGTGCAGATCTATCTACGTTGTGTTGTGAGGCAGCCTTTGTCTGTTTAAGGCAGCATCTTGATCAGAGAAGCTCCTCTAGCAATTTGCCTATTGCTGCTTCTGAGTGTAGAGGTTCTGAGTCGTCGACAAATATGACAGACGTATCATCTGATAGTTCGGATTCTGCATCGTCATGTATCACTTCACCCACGACTTCAGGGGCTCAGCGTTCATTTGCTGTGAATGGGACAAATGATATTCAAAACAGTGGCAACTCTTGTTCTGAAACCAAAGAAGGAGAAGACACCTTAAGTGTAGGATTTGAAGATTTTGAAAAAGCTAAGATCAAAATCAGGCCTAGTGCCATGCGTGAGGTATTGCCATTCTATTTAATCTACTACTACATTAAGCCGACTTTATGATGTGCTATTTCTAACACTCCGGTATTATTTCTGATTTTGATGTGCAACCCTCAGGTAATATTAGAGGTTCCTAAAGTTAACTGGGAAGATGTTGGTGGCCAAAAGGAAGTGAAGAATCAGCTAATGGAAGCAGTAGAATGGCCTCAAAAATATCAAGACGCATTCAAGAGGATAGGCACAAGGCCACCAAGTGGGATACTGATGTTCGGTCCTCCTGGATGCAGCAAGACCCTTATGGCACGTGCAGTAGCTTCTGAAGCCGGGCTAAATTTTCTTGCAGTCAAAGGTCCAGAGCTATTCAGCAAATGGGTTGGTGAATCCGAGAAGGCTGTGAGGTCCCTTTTTGCAAAGGCGAGAGCAAATGCTCCCTCGATTATCTTTTTCGATGAGATAGATAGTCTTGCCTCCATTAGAGGGAAAGAAAATGATGGGGTTTCAGTTTCAGACAGAGTTATGAGCCAGCTTCTTGTGGAGCTCGATGGTCAGTAACAACAACCCTTTTGGGATTTGATATCTTGATGCACTTTTCAGATTTTAGAAAAATGGCAATCATGCTTTGTGAACTAGAGAGATTCTAAGATGATATTCTGAACTCAGGTTTGCATCAAAGAGTTGGTGTTACCGTTATTGCTGCCACAAATCGGCCTGACAAGATCGATTCTGCCCTTCTAAGACCTGGTAAATTTCTTTCTCTCATTGATTTCTGCAAACAAATTTGAAAGTTCGTTTGGTGAAATGGAATGTGTTACAATGGTTCAGGACGCTTTGACCGATTGCTATATGTGGGACCTCCTAATGAAGCTGATCGTGAAGCAATACTCAGAATCCATTTGCGTAAAATCCCGTGCAGCTCTGATATATGTCTTAAAGAGCTTGCTTCTGCTACCAAAGGCTGCACTGGAGCTGACATATCATTGATATGCAGAGAAGCAGCTATGGCCGCACTCGAGGTTAGCCTCTTCTTTTTTTTCACCAGCTCATGTTTTTCAGTTCATGTTAATCTCGCTGTCTCATATTGTTTAATCAATCAGGAGAGTCTTGAAGCAGAGGAAATAAGCATGCGCCATTTAAAAGCCGCGATTAACCAAGTAGAACCAACGGAGATTCAATCTTACAAAGCGTTGTCGGAAAAGTTTCAAAGGCTTGTCCACACTGATCCACAACGAGACGAGGAGGTTACACATCCAGTAAGCAGAAGCCAAAGACCGTCTTTTCCTCTATGGTAAGAAAATTCTTTATTCAATATGTTCAGTATATTTGCAGTTACAAGACTCATTTCTGGTCATCTTTTGTATAAAGAGTTTTCTCACAACCGTTGATGTTATTTTTTAATTTTTTCAGGACGCCATTGAAATCAGTTGTGATGTTCCTCCGCCGCCAAATTGGTTCATAGACGAGATGTGCCGCAATTTTGATTATTGCTTACAAAAAAGCAGTAATGTATCGTAGCTGTAACATTTTTTGTTCATTTAAAATCAATTTAAAATCAGTATTGTATCACTAGGAATAACTAAGTATTTAGTTATACTAAATCCATAGTTTTATACACTAACCAGTTTCCCTTTCTTTATGAAACAAGAAAAAAAAAACGTGCAATGGAGCTCTTGTAGCCACCACGATGGACGTAACATTTGATTCCACAGAGTTTCAATGACGATTTGAAACACAAAAGTAGTTCATTGATAAATCATAGGAGAAACAAAAGACTATCTTCCTTCTGATATTACAACTCAAAACATACCATTACAACAATCCTAGGTAATAGAGAAAGCTGGTAAATAAAGATAAAAGATTCAGGGCTTAAAGCCTAACCACAGGTACCTAACGGTTCTGCATGTAGTCGAAGCTCAAGGGTTGTTGACAAAACTGTGCCTGGAGAAACAAGAAACGAACTGCTTTCAGACAAGTATTTATTAACCACTGGAAACAAGGCACCACACTAACTTCACTTGCTCTGTCAAGCGAACTATCAGAGCTATGTGGCACCAAACTAATATTTCATTCTATGACCGCAATTTCAAAGATAATTAGGGAATGGAGAAAAATCAAATGTTGTTGACCTGAAGAGATGCATTTCTGAACTGCTCATACGAATGAGAATACATCATCGCTGCACTAGGCCACTGCATATACATTGCATCCATTGAAGGCTGGTGTAAGACTGTGGTGCCATAGGGATTCATGATAGAGCTTGCGGGTGGTCCAAAGCTAAGAGAAGCACGAGCATTTGGGATTTGATTATATCCGGTAAATCCCATTTCGTAGTATGGTGGCTGCATTTTCTGAATGTTGAAGGCCGGTACGCCGAAATTCTGATTCACCGGAAGACTCCTAATGTACCTGCATTCACACACAGTTTATCAACCATCACGTATGAACCTGACCATTGCTCTTCGCTAGCCTAGTAATGGCTTTGCCATCAAACTAACAGCTGCTTTTACATACCTACTGCGGTCATAATCAGGGTCAAAACGATCTTTCTCTCGGTCTCTAAGAATTGCAACACGAGATGTTGGACCACTTTCCCTGAGGCTCAACCTCTTCTCTGCCTCAACATAAGCATCCTTAGATACTTGATTCTCATCTCCGCAAAGACTTGTATTCCTCCCAAAAGCCTGAGTTTCAGATGAAGAGTCATCACCATCAAGTCCCGTGAGACCATTAAATATGCGCGCTCGAGCCCTGTCATACTCTTCTTTCCTCTCTTCCACACTCCTAAGAGGACCACGTTTCTTTTCCAGCTCACCAGCGTCAAATCCAGATCTTTTACAAGGTCGAGTCTTGATGGAAACTTTCATGTGCTCAAATTGACCATTCTCTGACTGTTTAGCCATCGAAATATCAGACAACCGAACAGCAGGAAACCTACTCTCCGTTGTTTTTGTCACGAGGATTATGTTCTCACTGCCATCCGCACCGCTATCTTGAACCGCTGTTGCTAGTGCATAGTGGTTAGCAACACGATGAGCTGCGAGACGAAGATACGAAGTAGGAAAGTGCTGGAACTCGAACTGCTGCTGTTCAGGGCTCTGCAAGAACCTTTGAACATCAAGTTCCATCCGCAAAACTGACATAACAGGAAAGAACAAAAAAAGGAGCTTTAGATACAATAGCGAAGAGAGTATGATGACTCAAACAAGTATCAGAATTCAGAATCTTAAATCAGTATAAACCTACTTTATGAATCAAATTACTTTACTATAAATGTTCACTACCATGAATCGTACTCACAAAATAAATTCAACAGCTTTGATAACATTAACCCAATATCAATTCAGAGAAATAGCGGTTAAATCAATCTTAACTATACCACAATTCAGCTAAATCCAGAGCAAAAATTCCAAACTTTTCATATCTCGAGACGAAAATTAGCTCTAATTTTAAGCTATTAAGGTTTAAGACAAGAATCAGAGAAACAACCAAGCCGGAAAAAGAACAGAATCAGAAGGGTGCTTGGTGCTTACTCGTCAGACGATGCCGAGAATTCTGCAGAGCCTCGACCAGAAAAGGATCCACCGTAAATCCATTGTCTCCCATAACCGCGCCACCGATTTCAGAACCGGTTTCCGGCGGCGGCGTTGCGAAAGCTGCGTCCATGAAGAAAAGGGGATGGATGTATCCAGAAGCTTCTGGATTCCTTCCTCTATCTGGAAGGTTTAGCTCAGCTTCTCTTTCTTACCCTTCGATTCCTTTTTCTCTCGCAGCAAAGAGAAGAAGAAAAGTCAAGAGGAAGAGGAGAATCGAAATCGGAGCATCGGTGGCGGCGAGAGAGAAGAGGAAACCCCCGTATGGCTTAAGAGATGCAAATCTTATCTCTCTCTCTCTCTCTCTCTCTCTCTGGAAGGCAAAGCAAACGAGAGGGAAAGGAAACTTTATATTTATATTTTTTTATTTATTTTTTCCTTTTCAATGGAACGAAAATATCTATATACATGAGTTTATATAATTGTTTTGTATTATTGGTTTTTTGTTTCTTCAATTTAAAGAGTGAAGTTTAAATTTGTGACACCCCTTTCGCAAAAAATAAATTGTAGATGTGACTGTTATTAAAAAATATTAATATATACGTTTATAAATTATGAAGTGTTTTTTCTAGAGCTGGCAAAAAAACTAGTGTTTAAAATTCAGTTGATTAAAATTCTTCAATTTTAAAAAGTGTAAGTTTAAATTTGTGACAACCCCCTTGACCAAAAAAAAAAAACATTTGTGACAACCCCTTTTGCAAAAAAAATAAATAATAATAATGTAGATGTGACTGTTATTAAAAAATATTAATATATACGTTTATAAATTATGAAGTGTTTTTCTAGAGCTGGCAAAAAAAAAGTGTTATTCTTGAAAATTCAGTTGATTAAAATCTTTCAAATGAGTTTTCTTTTTTAGGGGGGCAAATTTAAATATTGTGATAATTTTTATATATGACTGTCTGTTTTAGATTTGACCTAATTAAAAAGAAATCATTACAAGTATGAAAAGTCGTAGCAATGCAGCTAAGTCGCCGTGATTAAGACTCTAGGGTTTCTTAAACTAGAGTGTCTCCGCCCTACAGCGGCAAAACGTCTCGGAGGATCGACTGATGATGAAGACGTCGACAAACTCAGGCTTACCGATGCTAAATGATGCTCTAATTCTAGAGATATTCTCGAGACTGCCGGCGAAATCTATAGCGAGATTTCGCTGCGTATCGAAGCAATGGGCTTACGATTTGCGCCTCCCCTTTTTCACGGACTTGTTCTTCACCAGATCTTGCGCTCGCCCGCAGCTACTGTTCGCCTGCCAAAGACACGGTCATGTTTTCTTCTTCACCTCACCTCAGCCGCAAAATATCGATGAGAAGAGGTCGTATCTTTTAGCAGCCACTCATCAAATGAAGGTTACGTATGCCTTTTCACCGAGACTATTTAGTCTTACCAAAGGCCTGGTCTTTCTTGGTGATTATCGGATTCCAAAGCACTCTCGCCAGCGGCGGGAAGTGCCGGTGATATGTAACCCTAGTACCGGACAATCCATGCTCTTACCCAATGTGAAGTCGTGGAGGAATAGTATTGAACGGTGGAGCTTTTTAGGGTATGATCCCGTTGAGAAACAATACAAGGTGTTGTCCATGACTGATCAAAGTCAAGATCATCAAGTTCTGACGTTTGGAAATGGAGGACCGTCGTGGAGAAAGATCGAATGCTGCACATCATATTATCCTCATCCTGGGTATAACCAGATATGCATCGACGGTGTTCTGTATTATGGAGCGGTCGATAGCTCTTCAAAGGTTTCTATCATCGTTTGCTTCGATGTCAGGTCGGAGAAGTTCAGATTCGTTAAAGACACCAAATCTCAGTGTGCACTTCTCATCAACTATAACGGTAAAGTAGCTTCTATTGGGTCTCAATGTTCTAGAGGTATCAGTAACAGGTGCACAAGTATTAAGTTGAGGGTTTTACAAGATGCCGAGAAGCACGAATGGTCGGAGCATATATACGCATTGCCCGCTTTGTGGAAGAATGTAGTTGGTGCCAGTGGCACAGTAATGTTACATTTTGTTGGAGTGACTCGTACAAATGAAATAGTGATGTCGTCGTCGTCCCTTCAAGCCGCGCCTTTCTACGTTTTCTATTACAATACCGAGAGAAACACAGTCACAAGAGTTGAAATCCAGGGTTTGGAATTTTTTATGAGTGAGAATATCTCTATCTATTTAGACCTGTCGAGGATGTGAAGCTTTTGTAAGTGTTTTATTTTATTTTATCATGGACTTTTTTAACTTTGAGATATTTTTTTTTGTAATAGGGCTAGTTGGGATTTTACTACAGTACTGTCCTTATCTTATTTGATGGCATTGTCTTATTGGATGATTATTTTCAGTTTTCTGCGATCAATGATTTATATACATTCCCTTGGTTTACTACTCTTTACAGTGAGGAATTAATGTTGTTCAAGGTTTAAGTTTTTTTTTGCTATGTAAATTGTTTATCTTCACAAATCACAAGTACGTCCACTTTGTGTATCTTATCTTCATGAGTTAATATGTTGTCACTCATAATTATCATAGGTTAGAACCACGTTAGGTTAGAGAAAGGAATGATAATAATTAATTGGTATGAAAATGAAGGAACCGCACCTAAATGTGAGAAGGATCAAACTCTCAAATAACATTAAGAAAATAAAAACAAAATCTGAAATGATCTACTTATATAAAGTATAAACTAGTTTCTTGTTCCATATCCTATTTTTACAAAAGAAATTAAAAAGTTAATATAACTTTTACGTCCAACTTTTTATTTATGCTTGCCCCCATGACAATAACCATATAGAGGAAAAAAGAATGAGCTTACCACAGCTAATTTCCCAATGAGTACACTGTTGGGTAAAAAATAACATGACTAATAAGTTGCTTGTTTTTTTCTCCAAAAAAAAGATTGTACTATTCTTTTCTAGATCATAAAATAGTGTATCATTAGCTAATAACATGTGATTTCTGTCCAAGCTAGCGTGTTTCATCCATCTCTCTAATGAATGTATTTTTTTCAGATTATAGCGTTTATGGGTATGTACGTAACAGTGACGCTAAAATGCAGATTGATCAGAGATAAGTAGTGAAATAATGATGCCAGAGGAGAGGAGACATGCGTGACGTCAAAGAGACTCCAAAACGGCACACATTTGGAATATTAAAGTCTATCAATAAAAAAATAAATAGATCAGATCCAAAATCCAATCCAAAACAATAATAACATTTTTTTTAAAAAGCCGTTAAAGAGCATATAAACCCTGCATCACTCCAACTTAATGCAGTCAACGTGCAGCAGTATGGATACTAAATCCCCACACGCGCTTTTTGTGGCGCGATTAGTACTCTCTCCCTTATATAAACCTATCCGACGAAGGAGAGTGAAATCCACGCTCCGATATGAGAGTAGAAGAAGGAGATCAACGTCCTCTCGCTCTTAAAAGTTAAAACCTCCGTCGCCGTTCCAACGGCATAAAAAATCCTTAACTCCTTATTTCTCACATCCCTCTCTCTCTCTCTCTCCCTCTTCTTCTTCTTCAATGGCAGACGTGGAACCAGAACCAGTTGTGGAGGAGCATCATACGCTTGCCACTGCTCCTCCTAGCTTCTCTTTTGAATTCGATTCCATCTCGATCCCTCCTCCTCCCTTTTGTGATAACTTGTACAATTATAGCTCCGATCAGGCTCTACTTGAGAACTCCATCTCCGATCTGAGGTTTTTTATTGACGGGGACGGTGACTTGGAGTTGACTTTTGATTGTGTCGACGACCTCTACTTTCCTCCTGAGAACGAATCGTTCGTCATTCCTGTTGATACTACGAACCGTGAGATGTCCGGTGACTTTTCGCCGGTGTTGGGAATCTCAGGCGATTGTGGATTGTCTACTTCAGGCTGCTGCAGTGGAGAATCGCCTATGGATTCCGATTGCTCCGGTACTGGGCGGAGCTTGAGTTTATCGACTCAGGATTCGGCGAATTGCGTCGCTGGTGTCTCGGAAGCTACAATTGCGTCGTCGTCGACTTCACCTAAATCAGAAAAAGTGATGGTCGATCAGGAATTTAAAGTGACTACGTTTAAGACATCCATAACGAAGAGGAAAAAGGAGAATGAAGAAGATTCGAGCGAGGAATCGAGGAAGAATAAGTACAGGAGATCGGATGAAGATGGTGGTGAAGAAGATGACGAGAAGAAGATCGCGAAACTCATAAGAAACCGTGAGAGCGCTCAGCTTTCAAGGCAGAGGAAGAAACACTACGTAGAGGAGCTACAAGACAAAGCTAAGAATCTGCAATCCACAATAACGGATTTGAACAGTAAGATCTCTTATTTTATGGCTGAGAACGCCACTTTGAGGCAGCAGGTGGGTCCCGGAAGGGGCATGTGTCGGCCACGCCATCAACCGCCGCCACCGTCTGGAGTGTATCCACCGTTGGCTCCGATGCCTTATCCATGGATGCCTTGTCCGGCGTATATGGTCAAACCGCAAGGCTCTCAAGTTCCTTTGCTTCCTATTCCTCGGTTGAAACCACAACAATCGGTGGCTAAGGTGAAGAAGTCAGAGAGCAAGAGAAGTAAAGCTACGACCAAGAAGGTTGCGAGTGTTAGTGCTCTTGGTCTTCTCTTTTGTCTAGTTTTGTTCGGTGCATTGGCTCCCATTGTGAAGTTAAACTACGGGAATGCCTTTTATGGCGAGTATGATCAGCTTAGAGGAAGAGTTTTGGATGTCAATGGCCGCTTAGATGCGTCTGTTATTAGTAAGAGAGCACATTGTGGGAGAGATTCTGATCAAGGAGTGGGAAGAAACGTATCTGCAAGAGAGAACTCTGTGCCTCCTGGAAACGGTGTTGAACCTCTAGTTGCATCGCTGTTTGTTCCGAGGAATGAAAAGCTTGTGAAGATGGATGGAAATTTGATTATTCATTCTGTTCTGACGAGCGAGAATGAAGGAGAAAGCGGCGTAGCACTGCGTTTATCTGACTCCACAAGGACCGGAGAAATGTCTAAGCACCTCAATAGCGAAAAGCGGAAAGCTTTGTCATCTTCTGGCTCTGATGGTTCGAAAGACAAACTCAACTCAACAACAGCCAATGGTGAGATGCAGCAATGGTTTCGTGAAGGAGTTGCAGGTAATCTCACAGGTTTCTGATTCTTCCTTTGATGTGATTATGTAGGAATGCTAATCTTCTCTACTCATTACACCATTTTTGTTGAATGTATCCACTACTAGGGCCAATGTTCAGTTCGGGGATGTGCACCGAAGTGTTTCAGTTTGACGTCTCCTCAACCTCCGGAGCCATCATTCCAGCTACTCAACAGCCCAAGAACACCACTGATTCACACAAGGGAAAGCATAACAGAAGAATCCTCCGTGGTGGTCTTCCTTTATCCGATTTCAATCTAACAAAAGATCAAAACAGCTCTAGCAAAGAGAGCTTCGGCACAACCAAGCCAGGCCCATCAACGGTTGTATCTGTGCTTGTTGATCCCAGAGAAGGTAGTGATGGAGACATCGATGGTATAATGGGAGGAACAAAATCACTGCCCAGAGTTTACATAGTCGTGCTTGTGGACAGTGTGAAGTATGTAACGTACTCTTGCGTTCTTCCATCACCACAAGTCCCTCATCTTGTGACCACTTGACTTGCTCTGTATATTATTAAAACCACAAGAAGAAGGGGAGTTTTCACACAATAACGTTGCACTTCAAAATCTGAGTACCTATATCTTGATTCTTTTGATCTTTGATAAGCTGAAAAAATTACACCAACAGGTCTGTCTATTCAATATCTCATGTTTGAACGATTTGAGCAGAGACATGAGGATGAAGGTTAATCCGAGTCAACTCGAATTTACAGAGTTGAAAAAAGAATCCGAATTAAAATTGTATTACACACAAACCGTTTGCTCATTAGATTCTATAGTCCAGAGTCATACCAAAGAACTTAGCTTTAAAGCTGAAAAGAATCAAGAATGGCTTCAAGAGTCTTCTGTGAGCTCTGCCATTGCTTATCCGTAGCACTCACAACGAACAGAACCACCGTGTTTCCCTTTGCTGTCGCTTTCGCAAGATTGTGGCTTCCCGTTAGCGCAAACGGCGTCTCCAACACGTACTTATAGTACTGTCACATATTAACACAAGAAGACATAAACAAAAATCAGAAATGATGATTAGTCTTAAGAGATACAAACCACTTTATCAATTCATCATGCTATTACCGTTTGATCTCCAATCTTTTCGACTGAAGTCTTCAAAAGTTCATCAGAGTCGTAGGAGTTTCCGGTGACAAAGGGACCGAGAGAAGCAATGACTTTCTCGGGGTCACCGAGATCTTCAATGGTTGCGTTCGGTTTGTTGGTTAAGCGGATCAAAGGAGATGCAACAACTTGAACCTTGCCTTGCTTCTCATTCTCAAACTTGACTTCGATCCATGGCTCTGCGCATTTCGGTTGGCAGTAATTACCTGACAAAATGTTGGCTATTCGCAGCTGTTTCCAATTCGGCGGTAGAACAAACTGATACGGCTGCACATTTCCTGCAACCAGGCTAGATTTCAAACATCATTAATTTAAAAATTGTATATAAAACCAATCCACACTCACCCAAATTATATAACCATGATGATGATGATGATGATAAACAAAAGAAAACTAATCAAATTAAATTAAGTTAATGAGCAATGCAGAAGACAAATGAAGGAGATTGGGATTAGGCATCACCTGCGCGGAGAGCAGGAGTATCGGAAGGTTTAGCTTTGAAGAGGACGAAGGAAGGGTCAGACGGAGAAGGTGGTAAGTACGAACCGACTTCCACCTCACGCGCCTCCGAGATCGGAGCTTCCTTCAATTGCAGAATCGCCGGAATCGCCACCGCCGATTTCAGCAGTAACTCTCTCCTTCTTGGTTGTTGTTGCTGCGAGGATGCAACAGTTACGCTAGTTCTTGCTCTAATCGAAACTGGGCATTTAGAGAAGATTTTAGATGTCGGTATGACAGACGCGGTCGCCATTTTTATTGTCGGAATACAAAAGCTTTGCTCTTTTCTTTTATACAAAACAAGATTTTTTTTCTTTTTCTTTGAGAGGTTGAGAAAGTTTACAGTTTTGGTGTGATTTGGATAAGGCAACTTGAAAAATAAAAGAGTCTTCTTCGGTCCACACAAGCTTTCTATTGCATAAACTCATTACAGAAAATGCGAAAATACCCTCCAAATCCTCTGCTATGCTTGTATGTAGTCCAAGAACACCTTTTTTAGATCCCAAAAGCTAGAAGATTTTTACATAGTTCAAAGGTTAAAAGTAAAATCACAATACGAAGAAGAAGACTAGTATGTTTCATTTTTCTGTTCAATATATAACAAAAATATAATTTCATTTTTTACCTTTGAACGAAGCTATCTTATTCCCCTTTACAAGTAGTCATAAGTGATCATAGATCCCCATAGAGAACATCTGACTCTCCAAGTGGCATGGTCCTCTGTTTCGGTTAAGCAAATGTTGAAAACTCAGATTTGATATTGATTCCCACAAGTCTTGATCCATTATTCTAATATATTAGATGAGAGGATGATATAGCAGCGAAAGACATAATATATACAGTCACGAGAAGAGTGAGCCAAAGTTAACTTGTCCAACAAGTTACTCAGGTTCTTTCGTGTACCCTCGCAAACAACCCTCCTCTGATCCTAAGTGTCATAGACAAGAGAATCTCAGGACGCTCCATCTTCCCTGGAACCTCAACCACAAACCTCTCCAGCACCGCAGCGACTATCGATTTCATCTGAATATAAGCCATCTCTCTCCCTATACACATCCTTGGTCCCGCATGAAACACAGGAAACTTATAAGGATTCTCACCTCTGAATCCACCATCCGTTTCATCAATCCACCTCTCTGGATCAAACTTTTCACAGTTCTCACCCCAAACACTCTCCATCCTCCCCATAGCGTACGCACTATAGCTTATTCCCCAAGCTTTTCCTACAAATGTCCCATCAGGCAAAACACTGTCCTCAACACAACTCATTGTGTCCACCGGCACAGGCGGATACAATCTCAGAGATTCCGTTGTCGCCGCGTGCAGATAGTTCATCAGTTTAAGATCCTCGAACCCGTAACCTTCCCCGATTCGCTTCCCTGTTCGTGCTCGGATCGATTTCAGCTCTTGGATGATTTTGTTTTCCACCTCAGGATGCATAGAGAGTAACCAGAAGAACCAGCTCAAAGCAGAGGATGTTGTGTCTCGTCCCGCGAGTATGAAGCTTATGACAATGTCACGGAGTAACTCCGGCGAGTTCATCTCCTCGATGCTGATAAACCGAGAAAGCAAATCCTCGTTCTTGTTCTCGGATCTTTCTTGACCAACCCTGTTACGTACGATGTCGTCGGCGAACTTATGGACGGTAACGATCGATTCTCTCAGAAGTCTCTCTGATCCAATGTCGAGCTTCTTCTTAATCTTCCACGAATATGAGATCGCGGACTGAAACCGTCCCGCGATGATCGCCGCCGCCGTATCGAAGGCGCGCATGAACTCTACACCGGTGGCTCCGTCTTCGCCGAGGCAAGCGGAATCGACGTTGAAGGCTAATTGGCAGATGTTATCGAACGTGAACCGCTCAAGTATATCTTGAAGGTCTATCAATTTTCCGGCGGTCGAGGCTCCTGCTAACACCGGAACAAGCCTGGATCGGAGAAAATCTCAGCATCTGAAAAAAGTGAAATTTATTAACCGAGTTATGTAATGTACCTGGTGTTGATTTCGACGGTGACGTTGGTCATAACGAAGTCACGGAGTGACCTAGTACTGAATTCGTAGCTCGCCGTCTTCCTCTGCTTCCACCACATCACGCCGTCGGAGTTGAAAATACCGCGGCCGAGAAAATCCTCCAGGATCGAGATGAACCGCTCGCCTTTAGGGAAACTCTCGAATTTCGTCTTGAGCATGAACTCGACGTTCGCTGGATTCGCCGTCATGACGAATTGTTGCTTCCCTGGACGCCGGAAAGTCGCCGTCTGGGTTGGGCATCGGGACAGAATCTCTACCGTCCAGTCGAGGAAACGGTGACGGTTTTTCACCAATCCAGGTATGCTTCCGACGATCGGGTACGACTTGAAACCGAATTCAGACGAAGATTGCCTTGGGAAGATGAAGAAGATGAAGATAGGGAACAAGAAGAGAAATACGATGATGATGAGAAACTCCATTTTGTTTGTCCGCTTCTTTGAGTGTCCACTTTTTCATTAGTGGAGAGTACTTTTCGAACAAGTTAATTCATTGAAAACACTAGAAGTGAAAAACAAAAACTCATTTGGGTATCAATAAAGAATATCAGGCCCAATAGTCGGCTTTATTAGGTTCAATCTCGGTTTAATAGGCCCAAAATAGCCATATATGTAGATTTTTAGTTGGGCCCAAAATACACGTCATGTTGATGAAAATTTTAGTTGGGTATTTTGGGCCGAACTAAAACTAATTTTAAGCGTAAATGGGCTTCGGGATATGCTTTGGGCTCAGTATTTAGCCTTGAATTGTACTCATGCACTTAGACTAAAGAAACCAATCAGTCAAAAAGTGTTGATGATCGCAAAGTCAAAAGCACATACACATCAATGATCAAACAACACATAGATGATAACAGTGTTGATGATGTAAGATATTAGAGCAAATATAAACTAATTAGTGCTGGCTAATCTCTATTATCTTTTTGTCCACACTAAAAGTGTTTTTATTCAACTGCATTCATCAGTCCACAGTGATATTTATTGGAAGTCTGAATCTATATAGTTTTTTTAACAAATACGTTATTTCTTACGTCTCGATAAATTTGAACTAAATCGAAGGAAAAGAGGCTAAAAATCATTAAATTGCATTGGTAAATGATAAAATAATAATTTTATATACAAACCTTTTTTTTTGTGTGCGAAATATACAAACCTTTTGATATATGTGATTCCTGATTAATTAAGCTGTCTATCTTTTTAACTCTACTAACATTAGATCCACTTCAATTATTCGAAAGATAAACTCGACAAGATTGCCCATATTATTGGACATTTCCTTTTCAACAAATTATTGGACACTATCAAAAAGAGTCCAAGATGTTTATACTATTTTCAGATTTTTATGTTTTAGAAGAATTCTTTGACCAAAACACTTTTTATAAAAATAAATTATATCCTTGTGCTTTTTTCATCGATCAGCTGTAGTAATAAAGAAATTGATGTTACAACCACGAAATGGACAAATTGGTTTCCATAATACAATTTTTTTATGAAGAATGAAGATTTTGCTTTTGTAGTGTTTTTTAAACACACGCATGCATCTTTCTACTCTATCATCTCAAAACCTTTACGTTACATGTCCATATCTCAATCGTCCAATTCATCCATTAGATATTTCATTAAATTCGCAGATAATTCCAACATCAGAACTAAAGTTGACGACCCATATATCACAACTCAACGGTAAAGAGATTTAATCATTTTGATTTATCTAGTTTGAGACTTGGTTTCTTATTTTGATTTAAATCGAGTGGTGGATAAAATGTGTATAGACAACTATGTACATAAATATGTTGAAGATGATTTACTATAACTTGTTACGGGATCAAACACACACACACACACATATATATTCCATTTATTGCAGCTTCAAAAAGAATAATTATATTGGAAAAAGATGGAGAAAAAGCTCGAGAACATACGCCTTCCTCTATAATTTGGAATGTGTTTATTAGCGAAACGCTACATATTTAAAAAATTTAAAGCAAGAAGTTATTATATGTCTTATTATCAACAGAAAAGCTAAGAGAAAACTATTTTTATTTCGTCACAGAAAGAGCCAAATACGACGAGAAAAGAAGGGTGCGCGCTTTGCTTACAAAAAGAAAAGAAATTTAATTTTTTTTTATAATATAAATGCTTAAGAAATATGTATATATGATTTTTCTACGTGCATTGTATTTGAATTAATCAGTCAAACTTCACTGTTTTTAAAGCAATTATCTTTTTGAACACTTTTGAAAAGATAATATACTTGTTTCTTCTTACTTTTTTTAGTGATAACAAATTATATATATATATATATTATATAGAAATTTAAAGCTATAATCTTTGTTTGAGGTTAATCTTTGACCATCAAATCACCAACAGTTCGTGTTACGTTATTTTGAATAGTGTCCTCAACAAATTATTTGGTATGGCCAGTCATTACAAGATTGGTAACCTTTTAATTCGTTTTATTACACTGGATCCCCAAGTAAATATCATAGTAAACATATAACAGAAAATAAGTAAATGAAGTAAACTAGGTTAACAATTGTAATTTTATATATTCCTTAAACCTCAAGTAAATATCATATTAAATCAATTCATATTTTCGGCTTACTTAAATTATAATATAGTCGAATGTACAATGTCCATGAAATAAAATAAAAAACGAAAATATGTAGTTAGCATGCAAATATATGTAACTTGAACGTGAAACATTGTCAATTTTCGTTTTGTTCTATCGGAAATGCTTTAATTTATGGATTGGATATAAAAGAATAGTAGCAGCGGTTATCGTTAGAGCTAGGGGTGGGCACTTCGATTTTTGGTTTGGTTTCGGTTTGGTTTTTTCGGTTTTACGGTTTATCGATTTTACGAAAATTTAAACCATATAAAAGTCATATATATTTCAGTTCGGTATGATTTGGTTTTTTACGGTTCGGTTTAATATGATTTGGTTTCGGTTTTTTTGGAATTATATTTTTATGGAAAATTTTGATTCAAACTAATGGAAAAAATAATAATAGATATGAGTGAAATAAAACAATAAGTTCAAAAAATAGAATCAAAATCATAAAAAATTCATCAATAAGGACATATTTCAAAAGAGATAAACAAATAAATTATCAAATCTTTCATAATAAATAATTATAAAACAATAAACAAATCTAGATTAAAATTTAATATATGTAACCTTGGAATTAGAACTAGAAGACATGAATGTGAAGAAAAATGAGTTAATCACGTTATTTTTTATTGAAAAATTAAGATTTACTTATTATTTATATGTAGATATTTTTATAAATATGATATTTTAAATTTATGAGTTAAGTTAGTAAATTATAAAGATAACTAAGCTCAATAATAAAATATGTACCTAAACTAAATTAAGAAACTAGAAAAATATAAATTATTTAAAATTTAGTTTAAAAACCAAAAAAACCTTTTGGTTTGACGGTTTTTAACCAAACCAAACCTAAACCAAAACTATAAAAAAATAATGGTCAAATAGATTTTTAGGTTTAACCATAACTAAACCATATCACTTTTTTCGGTTTGGTATAGTTTAGTTTTTTTGGTTATGGTTTTTGTGTCTACCCCTAGTTAAAGCATGACTAATGAAGAGATTTTAAGGAATTCTTAAATAGAAAAGAAAAGAAAAAAATAAAACAAATATGAGGTGGCACTAATTTTTCTTTAAATCAACTTTAAGGACATGTGTAATAGAGAGTTTTACACAAGCTCTTAGAAAAAAAAATGTGATGAGACTAAAGCACAGAGACGTCTCTCTGCGCAGAGACGGCTCTTCGCTGACGTGGTAAGATGTGATTCGTTTTTTTTTTAAAGTCGAAACTTTTTAAAAAAAAATTAAGAGCTTTTTCAGCAGCTCTGTAGTAGCTCTCTAATGCATATGTTCTAATAGTAGAAACTGTAGAGACGATTCTATACAGGTTTTAGGCAGGTGTTTTCTTTCTATACCTTATACTTTTTTTAAAAAATTTGTTTTTTTTTTTTTCTTTTACTGTTAAAATATAATTAAGAGCCTCCAACCAGAAGATCTGCATTACTCATATTCTTAAAACATGATTATTGGATAGTTTTTTAGGAGTTTTAAACAAAAAAGAAAAAGAAAAAAAGAAAAGAAAAATAATATGGCAAAACTGAGAAACAGAATGCACAGAGTCTAAAAAAACGTTCATTAAGTGATGTGGCAAGATGCCATTGATCAAAACTTTTCTTTTTTTTTGAAAATCATTTTTTATTAAAAAAAACTTTTTTTTTAATAATAAAAAAATTTAATAGCTTCTCCTCTCAGCTCTCCGATAGTGTTGCTCTTACAAAAGAACTCCAGAAGAGAGAACCATTTTACAACTGAAACAAAAAAAAAAGATTAAACCATTTACTTACCGCTCGGAAGAGAAGAGATAGGACTGAAAAACAAAAGAGAGATGTAGAGAAGGAAAAGAGGCCCATAACTCTCGCTTTTCGAAATCCCATAATTTTCTTGCGTTTTTTTTTCATTCACGTACTTCAGGCTTTGGCCGGTGGAATCTTAACCTTTTTTCCTCTCCTTTTTCTCCATATCTTTTATTTATTTATTTCTTGCAAGCTTTCAAACTTATCTCATTAATTATTAGATACTTTGACACGTGAAATGCGTGTTAACAAAAAGAATACATTCAACAAAATCTTATAAGAAAAAAACACCAACCCGATAAGAAGAAAACACATCCATTCATTCTATTATAAAAATTCTATTAGAATCGAAAGTAGATTTATTATTTTGTAGATGGGGGTGACTGTCCGTTGAACTACAGAAGAAAAAAGTTTTTTACTCTGACACTGAGTGAACGCATATATTCCAATTCTTGGATTATGGAATATATAATCGGTTGTATATATGTGTTAAGTTCAATCACCAAGTCATTAAATAAAATTGTCGGTCTAAAATGTGAGTGGATAGAAGAAGTACTAGAGATGAATGGCAAATGCTAGGAATATGATTAGATGCCCATTTGGATTTGTTGTTTCCATTTCTCTTTGGTACCCAAAAACGCACCCACATTCTTCATCCCACTTTATCCTTCTTGTCTTCTCTTTTATTCAAATCTATGATATAAATTTTTTCAATCGAGAATCTAGCATCTTTATAATTATAAACCCATGTGTTTATTCCCATGGGTCAGCTCATCTCGTGCGTTAATTACGTATTTCTAATATAGTTCTGATCTATGAATCTATATGAGCCACGAATTTGGAAGCATATTATCCCAAATCTCTAACTCATAATATATTCGAATCGATATATATCAAAGCACTTGGAACAGTTTATGTCGACACATTCACCGGCTGATACAAAAATCATAAACACATTTGCTGCTACCCTTAATTAACTGTATGAATATTTATCAGAGACACTATAGAGAGAGAGTTAAAAAAAAAAAGACACTATAGATCGTGGGCGTTAAATTTTCTATGTTCCAACTTCTTGTAACCACATTTTTCATGATATATCCCAAGTATATATATATATGTTTTTCTACAGTATAAGTATATATATTATATATGATTGAATCACTCTTACATTAAATCGATTTTAAGAGATGAGTTTGGCAGAAATCTTCCCCAACTTTGTAAAGTAACCAATCCTTTTCACTTAAAGTACTATTATATCGTAGAGAACGTAATGGATCATGGCCAACTTGATTTTATTTTACCTTTTAATATATAATGAAGCGCTTGCAACATAACGAAGCACCCCGATTAAAAAAAAGTAATGTATCACAATAAATTAATTACTGAGATGTGCGGATCTTTTATTCAGTATAGTTTAATTAATGCCCCACAAAAACCTAACCACACTCTTCTTCAAAGCATTTTGCAACATCGCAGATATTATTTCATCTGCGGCTCCCACAAACAACTATCTTCAAAGCATTTTGCAACATCACAGATATTTACTTCTACTGCGGGTCCCATAAACAACGTAAACTCATGGGTCCCATTTTTTATTTCTGCTGCCACTTGTAATTCACTCCGTCCACTTGTGTTTCGTGTAGATTTTATGCAATGTGTGATTAATTATATTAGTCGACGGGACTGTGTGTTTACTGATCGTTACGGACTTACGTGTGCATTTTTATTTACATTTTCATTGTTTAGTTAGATTTTGGTTAAATTTTTTCTCAAATCATGTAATATCTTCAAAAGAATATCTCAAATGATATAGCCCTTTTTATATAAAAAATATCTCAAATGATAAATTATTATATGCACTGCACTATAAAATGACTTTTATTAGTTTACTGCTTTAAGTGGTATCACGGTTATTGTGTTCTATATTACATCTGAATTCTCATTTCTCCGCTTTTGAGAATAATTTGGTGTTGCAATTCCCCTTTCCCCACCAAAAAAAGAGAGAGATAAATTGAAGATAATTCTTACGAAATCGAAAACGGAATAATAAATGCGAGCGTCACTAAAAAAGAAAGAAAGAATTAAATAATTAATTATTATCAGAAAAGAAACAAAAGTGCATTCGAACTCATCCGAATACGATGCTCTATAAATACAAAGAACTTCTCATCACTTTGATCGTAGGAAGAGCACGAGCCAGCCCCCACAAGTGGTGTCTTCTCTCTCTCTATAAATAGTTTTTTGAATCCATAATTCAAGAAAAGTTTTAAAAGAGTTAAAAAAAGTTTTTTGATATGGAATTAAAGATGTCGGAATCAGCTAAGCCTTACTTTGCAATGGTATGTCTTCAATTCGGATACGCCGGCATGAACCTCGTGACCAAGGTTGTGCTCGACCGAGGTATGAGCCATTACGTGCTTGTGGCTTATCGTAACGCCTTTGCCACGGCAGTTATCGCACCTTTTGCTCTTCTCTCCGAGAGGTATGCTATTAATTGTATATATACACATAGAAATGTAAAGTTCCATCGATTCTCATCAGGTACAAACATTTAACTAATAAGTTAATAATGATTTGGGTGTTGTTAGGAAAGTGAGGCCGAAGATGACATTTCCAATATTCATGCAAATATTTGCTCTAGCTCTTCTTGGGTTAGTCTTCATTTACTTATTTGAATAATTTTTTCAAAAACTTTCGCTTGATGTGTACGTGGATCTCGTACAAATCTGATTTCTTTTAAATGATTTGCAACAGGCCTGTGATCGATCAGAACTTATATTACACCGGTCTTAAACTCACTTCACCGACTTTTGCCAGCGCCGTCACCAGTATCGTGCCTGCTTTGATCTTTATCATCTCCATGATTTGCAGGTACCTATATTTAAACAATACTTTATAATTAATTACATATAATGGTAGGTAAATAAATAGTTTAGTTTATACAATATGGCACGTTGATAAGATGTACGATTTAAATGTTTTGGTGATTAAAAAAAAAAGGATGGAGAAGGTGGAGCTGAGAAAAGTAAGATTCCAAGCAAAAGTGGTGGGGACGTTATTGATAGTGGTTGGAGCCATGTTGATGATTCTATTCAAAAGTCCTCTAATCAACTTTCTCCGATCGCACCTCATCGGCGGTGCTTCGTCTCCGGCCGGTGAGGACTACTTCAAGGCCACCGTCTTCCTCCTCATCGCCTCGTTTTCTTGGGCTTCCTTCTTCGTTCTTCAGGTACTTATTTAATTTTTTTTTTAGATCACTCACGCAGGTGGAGAAATTGTCTAATTTTGTTTTGTTTTAGAAAAAAAAAACAAAAAAAAAGAGATTAAAACACAACTTTATTTTGCGATGTTTTAGAAAAACATTTTGTTCTAACGAATTACGAAAAATATATATGTTTTGTCTTTAGGCGGCTACGTTGAAGAGATACTCATCTCACCTTTCATTATCGACGATGGTGTGCTTCATGGGAACGTTACAGTCCACAGCCCTAACGTTTGTGATGGAACCAAACCTTTCTGCATGGAATATTGGCTTTGACATGAACCTTCTAGCCTCTACTTACGCGGTTTGTACTCCTTCTTCTTGGTTGCATATATATAACTTTGTGTTACATATTAAATTATAATATACTTAATAATGTGAAGTGTGAATGAATGAATTGTATAGGGTATAATGTCATCGAGCATAGCGTACTACGTTCAAGGTTTGATGACGAAGCAAAAGGGCGTTGTCTTTGTCACTGCGTTTAACCCTCTTATCGCCATAATAGGATCCATCATTGGCTTCCTTATCTTGGGCCAACGATTATACCTTGGCGGGTAAGCAACCACTGCGTTTTGACTAATTAGGTCAAATGGTTGAATCCAAACTACTAGTGTTTTTTTTTTTAATCCAATTAATTCTGAAACTTTAGGGTTCTTGGAATGACGATACTAATGGTGGGAGCCTGCGCGGTTCTATGGGGAAAGGAAGGGGATAAAGAAGAGAACAGTGAGGAGAAGTTTGTAGAAGTTGTAAAATGCTGTAAAGGCTGCGGAAACAATGGTCTCTCGATGCCAAAAATTGATGAGGAAGTAGATGTTGAAATGCAATCTACGGGGAAAGCTAAGATAGTGGTTGGTTTATTGTAGTCTCGTGAGTAGAAAAATGTTCACGAGCTTAATTAGATGTATTAAGTCTCTCTCTTTCTTTTTTTTGGTGTAGATAGAGGAGCAACTTGTTCTTTGTTCTATTAAAAAGCTCCAACTTTTTGTTTTTAGGTTTTAATTTTCTAATCTTAATTAGTAAGGTAACTATGATTATAATAAATGTTTCAAACCCTTTAGACCAATTAGATTTAATAATCTCCCTCATTATAATTCAAAGGTGTTACTATCGAGGTGACGAGGGTTTGTGACATATGATGAGATATATGAAGGCAAGAACAACACTAATAAGCTAAAAGCCTAAGAGTAAGGATGTAGAAGATCCACGAGAATCAATGAAGACAATATCTTGTTGTTTTGTCTTGTCGATCCACTCGACCCTTGTACAGTTACTTTTTGCTCCAAAACGAAATGAACGAAGGGCGTATTGCGATTAATTGCAAATAAAACTTTGAAAATACAAGTAAACGCCTCATTAATCACAATGCATAAGAAACACACTTTTCATTACCAAAAAAAAAAAAAAAAACTCAAACATGTTACAACAAGTTTTCCTATATTTACTCTCTGGATTAAACAAAATACATAAATGCAACTGAAGTACTGAACAGTTCACCATAATCAAGAAAATATATACCATGGCCTTCAAACCATATACCGTCTCCAAATCCATGGCTGCAGCCATATTCACGATTATCGCGATGGCTGCATTCGCATCTGCAGCCACAGGTGTAGCTCACTCTCCTGAAGCAGACCTCGTCGTCAACCTTTGTATGTCGAAGATATCTTCAAGGTGTGCGATGTATGCCATGGTCGAAATGTATAGCCATGGACCGCTGAAACGAAACTGATGCTGTCAAGAAATTTATCACATGGGACGATTTTGTCTTCACCACGTTGCAAAGCTTGTAACCGAGACGCTTGTACCCAAGCTTGAAGGTGTTGAAACACAACAGCTTATTGACAAAAGCACACAAATATGGTATCTTTGTGTCCCGGTCTAATTTTTTGTCTTCGTGTCCCGGTTTATTTATCAATGAAAATGCATTGGGATTTACAACAATTCCAGCTGTAGTTATATGAGTAGAATTTTTGTATTTTTTCTGAGCTTATTTTTATGGTATAATATAATTTTGAACCGTGGTAAGAAAAAATTAAAAGAAAACATATACAATAAATCGACTCTCTTCTTTTTGTGATTAGATACTGTCAAAGAAACTGCAATATGGTCTAAAATACAGTAAACTTATAGTCATTTTGTCTTCCCTACGTTCTGTATTGACAAGAAATGACATAGAACATATAAATCTCTGTCAAGTGCATATACCAGTTACATTGATTAGTCTCTTGTAGATATTTATGCAATGAAGTGATACAATAAAGAAATCAGAAAGAAGAAGACAGCAAGTAGTTTTTTGGATTGGACGGCTAGTTTTTTGCTCGTCTCATTTTTCCATTTGCTTTCTATGGTATCAAATCAATAGTTAAAGCCTACATTCTTCCATTTTTTTTCATTTGCCTCTATAAACATTTGAATCTCTCTTTGGTCTGTTCTTTGCCGTCTTAATATCGTTTCCTTAAAATTTGCAGGAAGATCCAAATCTTGGCTTTGGTCCCTTGCTTGTTGACCCTTCAAGTGCTTCTGGCAAAAGCATTTTGAAGCTCTGAAGGAACATCTCCCATTCATTTTCACTCATGTCACCGAAATAAACACCTTCTGTTTCGTCATGATTCACACAGATCGGGTGGCTCTTGCTCCTCACGATACTCCTATCATTAGTACCAATCCAAGAACACATCACTAGAGCAGATAGATTGGCAGAGAATGATGGAGGTTTTGGAAACAAAGGCTGTTCAGACACTTGACTGATCCCTGGAAGCTCCTTGCATTGCTTATCTTCAAACTCATCGTCGAAGTTAAATATACAACACTCTAGCTCCGCTTCTACTTCATCCCACTCACTACTGTAATCATCATCACAATCAGTTCCACCAACCACGCTTGCTTTTGCTTTGGTGCAGAGAATCTCCAACAGGCTGGAACTCTCTTCCCCTCTGCATATGTCTCGAGTCATCTTCTCGCCTATCTCTGCAAGACACAGCCCTGCAGCAGCAGCTTCTTTCAAGAACATCGTGCAGACAACGAGGACGCGTATGGAAGATTCTTGCAATGAGCAAAGTTCGGTTCTTAAAACCTCTGCGTCTTTGAAAGGGTCAAGATTCGATATATACTGAAGCTCAGCGTCTGTGAATGGAACCGAAGCCTGAGGCCAGTTCAGCCATTCGAAATAAGGATCGTCGAGGCACTCCGGTAGGCAAAGACCATGATCTATAGGCACGAGCTCTGCAGCTCCAACTCCATTGTAACAAGTCAGATCCTGGTCATGTACCTTCTTCACCAGCATGTTTCCAGCGTGCCTGTCTAGGTTCAAGACTCTCACATCGAGTATCCCAATCCTATGTACCGAACCAACCGTGAAGCTTCCCGGTCCAAGCTCCCCTGCATCGAAATCGTGACCCACATATCGTTGCAGAGAGGCAACTTTATAGGCGGAATCACAATCACTGACATGGAACGGGACGTGTGAGATTCTGACCAATGCGGTTGGAGGAACGCCGGAGAAGCCTTGGTGGTCTAAGAGGTAAGCAGCCAGTTCTCGGATCCCGGATTCACCAATTCGGATCGACCGTTTCATGCCGGGTTGCCCGAGCATCAAACCGCCGGATCCTTTGGGATTGTTGAAGGCTAAGGGCTCTTCATCAACTGGCTTTGCAACAGCAATGCTCTGACCTTTCCCGGTTTGCAAGAGATAAGCACCTCCTAAGCCACTTGGCAAAAGCAGAGGCTGAGCTCCAGAAACCATAGCTATGGTGACTTCAGCTACAAGGTAGCGTACAGTGGGGAATCTCCGGCCACCGAGAATCTCAATTCTCGGAGCAGCGGCGGATTTGAAACCGCCATCTTGAAAGCATGGAGTGGAAACGCTCCGGTGGTTCAAGGATTGTGAAGCGGTGAGGTTGGTCTGTTTGGTGTTGAAATCGAGGAAGTTGAAGTCGAGGTTGGTTAGAGATTGGAGTCTGCATCTTTGCGAAGGTCGGCTAAACTGTGTGAACCGGTCGGTTAGTGGATCGAGAGCCACGGCCATACAGTTCATGCCAAAACTTTTGTGGCAGTGTTTCTCAGATCAGTTTTGGCAACTCTTGGATGGCCATAATCATTAAAAGATCCAATTCGTTGATTTGATATCTACGAATCAATTCTTTGAATGGCTAAAAATCCATAGTACCTACCTGCAAAGATAATTTCTCGTCTCATTTAAGTTCTATGAACGTAAGAAAATGTTATTCGAATGTGTATTGTAAACGCAACGCAAATGAGAAACCTTATAATCCGTCGCTCCTCCAATTGCAAATCGCCGCAAGTTTCTGCAAATTCGAAGCAATATTCTCATAATCAATTGCAAAAACTAACACAATCAGGGAAGCGCCAAGTATCAAAAATAGTTTCTTGAAGAACAAGTCATCAATTCTGGAATTTTTTTGACCTAGTTGAGTTAGATATATAAGAATAAGATTAAAGTAGTACGTACCCTGAATACGAGTGAAGGCATTCAGGGAAAGAACGATGAAAGATTGAGAGCGTCAGAGAAACGACACTGTCACCGGAAAAACAAAATTCTGGGAACTCCCCTTCCCAGACTTATTCTTTCTCCTTTTTTTTTTCCTGTTTTTCAAATTTAGTTTTTCATTTTCTATTTCCTTAATCTTCTTTCCTCCAAATTTATTAGATGCTATAAACGTTTGTTCTCATCTCTACGTTTCTGATTTTCCCGCTTTTGTAGGAGAGAGGAACCAAAATGAAGTTTTTCCAAAAATAGATATAAAACTCTGTTTATTTAGTTATAATGAAATTTGTTGAATTGTGTTTGTTTGTCACCATGAAAGAACAGTTTGTCAGCAAATTGTGTCATCTTCGATCTTCGAACGAGAATATATGAATAGAGATGTGAAAACACACAATTTGTTGAAAGAAAATTACTTTATATACAAGATAAAAAGCAGAAATGTTTATATATAAGGTTTTTTTTTTCTCGGATGTTAGGTGCAAGACACACTTTTGTGCTGCAAACCTTAACAACTCTTTTACAAAAAAAAAACTCTCTTCATTTTCCATACATACATTTTTTTTTCTTTCCCTTTTGTTCCTTTATACAATTACATTGATGTTGTGACCGGAGGAGTTCTGCTTTTGTGAACTGCTGCTACTTTTTTACAGCTTGAACTTTAAAAGCAGTTTCTTCCGGCGCCTTCTTTTTCTCTTTTTTTTTTTTGGTTTTACAGACAGATGATTACAACGGCTACTATTACAAGCAGCTTCGATGATGCCCTTTTGAAGGTTGGACCGATGCTCGCCGAAGCTGTTTATAGACATATTTCAGTTTTGAGATGTTTTAGTTCAGTGAATCAACAAATCCATGGATGCAGATGTGTGAGAATAGAAAGAAAGACTTACATGGAGTAGGAGAAGGTGAGGGAGTTTTTTCACCGGTTGGTTCTGACTCTGGGGTGTTTCTCGCTGGAGGTGGGATATGAGCAAATACGACGTGGGGAAGTGGACTAGATACTGGAATGGCATGATGACGTGGCCTGGTAGGGTTCGGTGCTGGTGCGTGTTGCCGAGACCGGTGTGGTGCAGGCGTTGGTGCTGCAGTGTGATGGTTCGGAGCATTGTTTCCTTTTGGTCTCCTCTGCTCGTAAGGGCAAGGCGGGTTTCTCGGGGGTAAATGTGAGTGTTTGGTTGGCGCTGGTGCAGGTGCAAGGCTCTTAGTCGCAGGTGTGGAGCTCTTACTTGCAGGTGAAGGCTCTGGAGCAAGCTCATGATGGTGGTGACGGTGATGATGGTGGTGATGATGGTAGTGTGGTTGGTGGGTTTCAGGTTGAGGAGATGGGGAAGGGGAAGGGGGTGATGATGTGGCGGGTGAATTTGGTGGCACGAATGAGGAAAGACGGACTTGCTTAACTTTGCCAAATACGGTGTGGTTTAGGCCGAGGTTTTTGGAATGGGAGCTAGTGATAGTTTGAGCAAGCTGCTTCAACCTTGAAGAGGTACCGAATGTAAGCAGAACAGAAGAATGAACTATAGTGGGAGGCGCCACTGTTGAGCCTCTAGAATTTGACAATGTTATGTACAAGTTCTGCAAATCAACAAGAGAGAATTTTCAAGATTCTGAATCACATTAGCAATAGAGTGATGCTGTGAAATTAGGATTGTCATACCTCATAGGGAGACAGATTTATACCCTTCTTCAGCTGGCTAGTGAGTTCCTCGAAGTTCGATTGGATTTGGTAAATTGAAAAGTTTAATGTGAAGTTGAAGATAATCTGCGCTTTCTGCAAGGGGAATACAGGCTGAGGAGGGATCACAGTGATTCCTCCTGGGAATTTTAGAACTTCAAAATAGAAAGGTTGCCCGAACAAGGATTCAGTCAAACGGAAAGACAACTGCTTTTGGACCAGAGTTTCAAAAGCTGCCTTGATCAGACTCTCGATTTCGGCGGGTATCTTGGAATTCTTCTTCTCGGGATCAATGGCAAAAATAACCATCGTTCTGTTCAGATTACCCAAGCGTTCAAGGGCTAATAGCACAACCTGGTTCAAGAACAGTAACAGAAGTTATAAGAATGATCAACATGGATACAAATACAATGAAATCCATGCAAGTGAGATAAGGAAACGGAAAATTAATAACTTTGGTCATGGGAAAGCTTATTTCATCGGTGATATCATTCTCAAGCTGCAACAAATTGTCTTCCAAGAACGAAACTGGTTTTTCAACATCAAAACTCGCCACTATTCTGTGATCTGCAAAAGAAACAAAAAGCGACATAGTTGCTCCATCATGAAACAGAGGACATATCATGACCCCAGACATAGTTACACAGCTAGTTCACACACTAAACTATGCACCGATTAGGTCTACGTTCTTAAATGATTCTACCAACTAGCTTTGAGAAGAGACTTTTGAGAATAGATTTTCTAGTAACAAAAAAGAGAGAGGAGTAAAAGATTTTTTGGTGAACTTCATAAACATAAATGGAAACAAATCACTGCTTTCATGAAACATTTTGAACCAGGTCCATATTTAATTCACCAAATACTGAGGAAACAGTAGAGCAAGTTTAGCCAAGCCAAGCTTAAAACAACATTCTGAAACATTTATAGAAATCCACCTTTTAGGCAGTGTTGATTCAATAAAAGATGTTTTACAATACTAAAAATGGAGTTCATGGTGTTAACCTTATCAGACACTTTGTGACTATAAAAAAACACATCCTTATTGACTACTGAACTCCACAAGGTTTCACATCTAATTTCAACATAATTTCATCAATAAAGAAATGGCCTATTTTTAGGAACTTCCAAGTCCAAGTCAATGAAAATCTACATTCCCTACATCATCTCCAAACAAAAATTTTGAGGAAAACCATTAAAAATTACTCTCAAGGTTTTATTCAGAAACGAGCTTTGTCCTGTTATACAAAAAAAATTCCAGCTTTATGACAGCTCATTCTCATTCTCATTCATGTGAAATACCACTTGATTTTTCCTCCTACACATTCCCATGTGAAATCCAGAAGAAACAAAAATCCAACGAATCAGAAACCCTAGATCTGTATCACAAATCGCATCGAGGTAGATAATCGCGAGCCCCCAACGGAATCTTAAAAGGGAAAAGAAGATTGAGAGAAAAAAAAAACGCGATTGTACCTTTAAACCTTGGATCGAGATCTAGATCCTCACGATCTGATAATCCGAGGAATGGAGGCAACCAAAACAAGGCGGAGAGGAAGACGGCGGCGGAAAAAGCAAGAATCAAAACGCATCTGAGACTAAAGTATCTAGAGATCCGAGGGGAGCAACAGCCGGAGCATCTTCGTCGTCCGGTATTACTAGCTGTAGCGGCTCCGTCGTTCCCAGGGAGATTCTGCTCCTCGTCGGTATTCTTCCCCATAACAAACACAGCCACAGCGTAAAACACAGATTCATTCACGGAAAAAACTCCAAAAAGCTCCTCCGATCGGCTCCAGAATCCGCCGCACCCATCAAAGGCCGGCTTCTTCCCACAGAAGGAAACCAAAAAACTCGGAATAAGTTTTTTGAAAGAGGGAAGATTGCTCCCAAAAGCAAGCAACAAAGCGGTTCCTGTCGACTGAAACAAAAATGTAGGGCTCAGGGAGACGGAGGGAGGAAGGAAGAAAAGGAGTGAAGTAGCTTTCTCTGCAAATGACAATAGGGAAACTCTTTTTTTTTTTCTTTTCCTTCCTTATTGTGTGAGAGAAGAGTATTGTGTTTGCTTTATCTTTTCTTCTTTTTCTACATTTTTAACATTTGTTTAGTAAATTATGTACAGAGCAGTTGTACTAGTGGGTGTGTGAGCTCGTGTCAGTTTGAATTTCGAAATTTTCATTTTATATATTTTTTTGTATACTTTATTGTTTTAGAACAACAACAAAAAAATAGATTTTTTATTTTTTATAATTTGAACTTTGGAACAACGACATAAATATATCACTATCTTTCCCAAATATATGCGATGCTCGTTCCTTAGCGAATTGGTAATCTTTGAAGTTCCTATTTAATAATTTTTGAGAAAGGTGTAAAACAGAAGGTCAGATTAATCTTGATACTGCTTTTTATAATGGCTGTAAAAAAAAAAAATTATAGCTAATGTTATGAAGGGTGTCTTGAGTACTAGGCTTATAGTAATGGGGTTCAAAGTTATTGCATAAGTAGTTTGTAAAGAAGTTATACAATATCATAAATTCATAATACTATATTTTTTTCCTCTTAAAAAACACTGCAAACTATGTAAATCAACAAATGTTTTTGTTTGTCGTATACACATACTCATATTTCAAAAAAAAAAAAATTCGGATTATAACATCATAGCGATACTAGTTTAGATCATTCAAATAATTTGAATGTTTAGAAAGACGAAAAGTCAAAACAAATAATGAAAAGTAAAAAGATAAATGGTACTCGAAGTACTTGTAAAGAAAAACTATAAATTAAAGAAAGATAATTCATGATGATGTGAAATTGTGTAGAATTAGCTAGTAACTAGTAACTTGTTGAGAAGATAAAGTAGTTGTGAAACTTCGATCACGGAAGAGACAAAGATCTTTTAAAAAAAAAAAGATTATTTCTAGGTCAAAGACTTTTGTCACTTTCCCTTTACGGCAGAAATCTTGTGGGTCTTTTTAAAGCTTCTTCTTCGTCGGTGACATGAATTTTAAATTTAGAGCTGCTATTTACTGTTTACGATATTTATCATACATCTACACCATATAGGACTGCTATTTACTGTTTACTATATTTATCATACATCTACACCATATAGGACTGGATAAATTATCCGTTATATTTGATTTGATCCGTTATTTGCTTCGATTCGATTCGAAAAATTCAGATGCAAATACTAAATTTTGATATTTATTAAAAACGGAGCAAATCACAAATATTAAAATTCTAAGAGCCGGATATCCGATCCACTCAGATATATATATATATATAAATAATTACATATAGAATGTATAGTTAATATAATTATATGTAAATTTTTGTGAATTTACATTTATTTTATTAGTTATTTTAATACAAAATTTTAATAAATTTAAAAAGAACAATTTAAAATTTAATATATGAGTTAATTTTTGACTTTTTAATTACTTTTATAAATAAAAATAATTTTAATTATTTTATCAATATTTTAATTATTTTATAATTAATCTAATATTTTTGAAACGGATCGGATATCCGGTCAAAAATCTAGATTTTAACGGATATCCGAATATCGGATATCCGATTAGTAACAGAGCAAATATGGATCAAAAAATTGTTCATCCGTATGAGACAGAGCAGAAATATCATTAAAATTCCGAATATCCGCTCCATACCCAGACCTAACACCATATGTGTGATATGTGTCTAATGCTATTTACTGCTTATTCAATTACACCATGTTTGATGTAGCTATCTGCGATTCACTGCTCTTTCAACCAAAATCTCAATCTACAAAAAAATAGAGAGGACACAACTCGAATTTCGATTGGTTCCTATATATCAACTTCCATTACTTTTTTAGCAATGATTTTCACCAAATCGAATTTTGTTATAGACATTTGTTATCTAAATGTTGTTGTTTGGATCGCAAAACCTCGCAGCGCCTCAAGATTTTAGGTTTATGATAGTTTACAATATGTTTATAACTTAACTACTCTTTTTAAAAAATCATTCATAAACCTAACGTTGTGATATTTATGCAAGTCAAAAATGACGGTGGTAAATGTGAAAAACAAAACATAAATCGTGACTTTTTTTTTCTTGAATTTTGTGGAACATGCATAAATAGCTAAAAACAGGGATAATATCAGAATCTACTATTCGTGGGTATAGCATATTCGTAATGGTCAAAATAGGTCAAGTAATATATATATATATATATATATATATATATATATATCTGTGGCGTCAAACAACCTGACGGTACCATTGAACTAACGCAATTTGGTTATCTAACTATCACTTTCGTCTAAACTTAAGCAAAATCTAATATTAAATTAATGAGACTCGAGATTCGAGAATGATCTAGCTTTTGCTTGCGCATCATAACTTCTCAGGTTCTGGTATAGCAGCTTTTGCTTACGAAATGTTCAACAAGCAAAACAAACGTAAGATGAAAATCCAAAGCAACAATAAAAAAGAACACAGATTGAAGTTTGGTTGGCGCCAGCCGAAACATACAACAATATATGGAAAAAAAAAACATATTATTTTAATACAAGTTAGGTAACATGCTAACATGTGGGATTTAAAATCCATAATTAACCAACATTATATCTGTAAGCAGTTCGATTCACCTGAGAAGAGGTGTAAAAGTAAGTCAATGACAAAATCTTGAATGTTTATTTTTGTATGTTTTACATTTTGACACTTGAGATTCTCATCTACAAACCCAAAAGGGAAAAATCTACTTCAGTAACTCACATAGAATCCTTAAGGCGCAAGGGACCGATTGAAAACTCAGAAGAAAAACTGAAGAGAGTAGCAAGAAATGGCTTTCGATTATCATCAAACGTGACCGTAATCGGTTTGAGCAAACTCATAGTTTGTTTTAACACTCACTAACATTCACAACCACAAAAGCTTAACTAAAATACTTGATCTTCCTTTGAGTTCTTAACTTTTCTGCATTGCTTTCATTTTTCTCCAGCATCTGAAAAAAAGTCTTATTCGTCGGAATCATCATTTTCTTCGTCGTACTCAACACTTTCTTCGTTCTTCTTCTCCCTCCTCTCAAGAAAGACATGGCACATAACCCAGTCAGTAACTGCAACAGTCGGCAGGAGACTAATTTCATCCAGGAACCATTCTTCTCTTGGAGGCTCTTCTTCGTCGGACAAATAGATATCACATGATTCTTCTTCTTCCTGCTCAGTGAGAGTAAAGGCACGCTTGATACCGACACGATTTCCCTGTGGATCGACCACGATACTAGCTTTACCGATTTGTGTCCAGAGATTTTGAGGGTCTTGGCCGTTAGGTTTCTTGCAGAAGTAATACCAATGCGTTTCTTCTGGATAGTCTGAGAGACAAGAAAATGAAAAGTGAAACAGAGGCTGTCAATAACTAGCTGATTCACAAAACAAGCCAAAGTTAAGATCAAGAAAAGCAAAAAAAAAGGAAAACTTTCGAAACCTTAAGAATGATGATTTCACGTTAATGGAGAAAGTGGTGATAAAGATATGGTTTTTTTTCGAGTTTAGAATCTGACCAGGCAAATCACGAGGAGGTTTTGAGAGGATATCATGACACTCTTCGGGCCTGTTCATTGGGTGTCCTTGAGCTTTTTTCTTCAAATAATATTTTACCATCTCATCATCTTCTGGACGAAATTCGAAACACTCAGGCAAACCTTTGTATTTTGACTCCTTTCTAAAAGAAAAGAAGAGAAAATTTTATCAAATGCCCAAGAAACAGAGGATTTGACTAAACGTTAAAGAGAGAGAAAGAGAAGAATAAGATTGCATTTTCGCAGTAGTTATATGCTTCGATAAAGACAAAAGATAAAGATACCTCAATGGTGTAACAGTTTTGATTTTATCATCAATCGCGATCTGAGCTTCGTGGGTACTGTTGCTTTCGTCCATTAGGTCTTGCATGATCAACTCCCTTGACTGAAGAACACAAACATGAGAACCGAATCATTGCAATTCAAAGAAAACACAAAAAAGATTTAAAGTGTGTTTACGCTGGATAGTGCTGGAGACTCTGCGTTAACATCGCCGTAAACCTGTTTCTGGAGTTGGTCAAGTTTCACTTTCTTGTTCGTGGGGGAATCATCTTCATCAGGCAATCTTTCACTTACCCGTTTTCCAATAAGAGACTCTGGATGAACACTCGAACTCGGCTTCTCTTCTTCCTGCTAAAGTAAACAGAAGAATCAAGAGAATGAAAGTTTTTAAAAAGCTCTGAGATGAAAGCCAGAACAGAGTTATCGGCTTCTCTGCCTTGGATTTGAAGAAGATGATTAAATCCTTACAAATTTCGTCGATGTATTCCCTTCGGCTGTATCTATATCCATTCGCAGTAGACCTTTCTCAATCTTATCCGCAACAGAGAGAGAGAGAGAACCCGATAGAACAGAGGAAGACGATAGATGAAGTTTTTGGTTTAGAGAAAAACCCTAAACTTCGTCAATCTCCAGCGCAAGAACGTATTGCAGTTGCAGAGGTTAATAAGAGAAGAGCGTCAAGATTTTGGTGGAAGAAGCGAATTTATACATATGAGAGTCAGTCAGCAAATAGGAGAAGTATATAAAAACCTCGAAAAATAATGGAAAAATGTAAAGAAATTAGAAAGACTTTCGAATCAGTTGAGGATCAAGAATTCTTTTTATACCGTATTCAGCATGCTAACATGTGTGATATAAAAATTCTTTTAATAAAACACAAAGTTGATAAACATTAAACAACGGAAACAGGAAGATCTACAGTAAACAATTCACAAAGTAGGTGAAAGAGAGAGACAGAACAAGACGAAGCACAAAGAAAATACAAATACCAAAAGTGAATTTAAAGGATTTCAACAAAGAGTTTTTAGATTTACGTTTAGTAGTCAAAAGGCCATCCACTGTAACCCATATGAGACTGTTGTTGATGTTGTTGCTGCTGCTGCTGCTGGTGGTGATGATGACTATAGTGGCCTTCTTCTGCAGTGGCTGTGTTGTTCGTGTCTCTTCGGTTTTGAGTCGAGCTTGAGCTAGACGAGCGGAATGGCCATAGGTTAGAGAAAAGGTTCCTTCTTCTGTTGTTCTCTCTTCCACTGGTGCTTCTGTTCTGATCACCCTGTGCGCTTGAAGAAGACCCTCTTGACGGTAACTCTTTTCGACAGACTGGGCATGAGTTATGCTGAACCAGCCACGGGACGATGCAGTCAGAATGATAGATATGGTTACATGGCATCAGTTTCGCTTCTGATTTAAGCTCGAACTCGTCTTTGCAAACCGGGCAGTGAGAGTCTGATGACTTGAGATGCTTCTGTGTGATCTTGATGGTAGGCAACGCATCGATCGATGATCTTGGTGCAGGCGGTGGACCACGGTGATGAGTGCCCGACGAAAGCTGCTCGATGAGTTCTTCAAGACCTGGTCCGAAGAAGTAGTCTCCGGCGTTGGTGTTGCCGCCGCGAGTGATACCAATTCCAGGTGACCCGTTGAACAAGGCTTCGACTGAATTGCTGTCTCCACCAGCCAATCTAAAGGGAGCTTGGCCACCGAAGATCAATAGAGGAGCTATACTTGAAAAGCTCTCGGAGCCTGCAGAGCCAACTCTCGCACTGATCTCTCGGTCATAGCTTCTTTCAGCTAAGCGGCTTCTCATGAAGGCTGAGAAAGCTTCCATGAGATCAAAGGTTGAATCACGTTCAACATCCCTGTGAGCTCTAAGGATATCAATGCCCGGTCCTACATCGATTTCCTCAACGAATCCTCCTCCACAATAGGGACAGACAGAATCTCTACCACGAAGCCAAACACCACGTTGACATCTGTGACACCAGTGAGTGTTCCGACCACTCGACATCCTCCAGCTCCTTTCACCGGAGTCACAAAAACCAGAGAAAAAATAAAAGTCACTGTGCTTGAAACCAGGTACTAGTTATCAGCCTGCAAAATCCAGTAGAGAGAACTGGTCACCAACTCCTGCTAACTTGTTGCTAAGTTGGTAAACCAAAGATGTTTTGGCCATATACATTACTTTCTAAAGCTTATCTCAGCTTAAGTGCATACAACAAGATCCAAATGTAATTATAGGTCACAGTTTTCAGCAGATAAAAACCAAACCTTTACAACACATGTTTCACCCAATTAGGAGATCCTCATGTTTCCTTCAACACTAGATACTTAATTCCACACTCCCAATATACCCCTACAGTCTTCGAATCTAATCATGAACAATAATGACCAGATAATGAGTATGATCCATTTGGATAAAGTCGGAACCTTCATGATTTAATCACTTTCGAGCAAGAATATCTAAATGAGCCACACCGCAATGAAGAGAAGTCGAATGAAACAATGTAGAAACTACAATGCAGACGATCTATAGAAATCAACACATCTTTCAGACGGATAATCAAGCAAAACAAGATCAATCAAAAACCAGATCACGGTACACGCTTCAGAAAAAAAACGAGACATGAAACCCACAAATCTAATCCAAAAAAAAAAACAGAGCAAGAACAGAAAAGTGTCTGAAGGAAAATCTAAAGGCATCTTATGCGGAAATTTGAGAAAATCAGATCCAATATGATCCAAATACAAAAAGAAAATGAAGATTCAAGAAACAATTACTGGGTTTAGGTGACCAACTCAATCAGTTACAATGATACCTCACATAGATCCGAAGGAAGACGAGAAACCCAAAGAGAAGCTGAGGTGAGATTGGATTGTGGAGGAAGAAGACGAAAAAGGGAGCGAACCTGGAAGAATCTCTCCGTCACACTCTATTGAGTTTGACTGTAAAAAAAAAAGTTTATAAGAAAGAAAAATACCTTCGCCTTGTGAAAAAAAAAAGAAGCTCTTTTGTCTGTGTATTTCTGCGAGACTGTAAATCCTTTAACTCCCACGTTCCACGTGTCTTGTTCTATCAAATTACCCCCAAGCTTTCTTCGTATTCACAGTTCTGCCACTCTGACAGTCTGCCGGCTTTTTGTCACGCTTTCTTTGCTTCCGTCGGAAGATTACTCTTTATGCTCACGACATAACTCATATCTTTGCTTGTCTTTATCTTAAAAAAAAAAATAGAATAAAGAGAATCGATCAAATGTGTCCCGATTCACCATATAAGATCAAACTCAATGTTACTAGAACCAATTCGAAAACGGGGACGAAATTTTGAAAATTTCAACGACTAAATTAAGGGTGTGCTAGGATTTAGAAGTCATCTTCTTCCGGCGTTTTCCACCGGAAAATCCATCGACCTTTTTGCGAATGTAGCTCCTAAGCTTCTCCAGAATCTTCCTCTCACTCACACGCAACACAAGCGAATGATACAATCTCCTGTCTCTCGGAAGGCAACAAGCTTTCATCCCAACAATGTCATCTTCCAATGAACTTAATGATCCATATAAACTCTCTCGCTTGTCGGCAATAGCAAGCAGAGCTTCACAAACACCATCCGTGAGCAGAACATCTCCGCCGCCGCTTTGTCCAAACATGAACTTGTGTTTCCCGATTGTTATCTCTCTTCCTTCTTTAGAGAGACAATCTCCTCCTGCTGTGGAGATAGCTAGATCGAGTTTATTGTATGCGTCTTCTGGTAAGAGTAGAATATAGAGGAGGATCGTGAGCTCGGATTGGGGTTCCCCGGTCGAAGAAACCTCGAAATATTCAGAGTTTTGGCTCTCGCATCCTGCGTAGCCAAGTTTCCTCCACAGAGCGAGTCTCGCTCGAGTGAACCGGCTTGTGAAGGAGGATGTGCTCCATTCGGTTACTAGTTCTAGATCGATGTTTACTATGTCGTAAGGGTTCTCGGGCTCTGTAAATCCGTATCTGTGAAGTAACGCAGCGTTACCCATCAAACCGTATGTGTTGAATACCTACAAAAGAGATTACGACATCAATGCAAGTGAAAGACGATCATAACAGAGTTTGATAGTTGAGAACAAAGTTAAGCATACATACCTCAGCTCCAGCTGAGACATCTTTCACCATAATCATTTTTAACCCGGATAGATCGTCTTGCAACGTTGAAGAGTTTTCTTCTTCTTCTTTGGTGATTTCACCAGAAACTTCCTCAGATGATTGCTCACGAGGGGAAGAATTTTTACTGGAAGGCTCGTCTTCATCAGTGGCCTCATCTGCAGCGTCAACGTTGTCAGTATCATCAGCTTCAGAATCGGAGTCACTGTGAGATGATTCAGCGGTGAAGTGAATGTCTTCCGCTCCAGTTTTATGATTGAAGCTGCAATAAAGAGAGGACCATGAGTGAAGCATCATGTAACGTTTTTGACTAAAAATTCACCGAGCATGCTAGAATGAGATTACGTCCAACAAAAACCAATTCCTGAGGATCCTCTTTCTCCCACATACGACAATACAATTCGGAAAAACACATTTTCAAGTAAATACCCAAGATGCTGCACTCATGAACCATACTGTGACAAAAGCAGGACTTTCATCAGCTATCATTGAACCTAGAACAGACTCAGTCTAACCGAAGTTACTGAACCTAACGATGCATATTAGCTTAACAAGGCTTAATGTAGACAAACAGTAATTTGAAACAAATCCAAGGTCAACTTACAGATCTGCAAGAGGAACCATCCCGGATCCATGGTAGTCATCGATCTGGAAAGACCTTGAAGCAATCAGACTCTTAGCCGCAAGATACTCTTTGATTCCAAAAAAAACAGGGTCAACATTCGGAGGCAGTGAAGAGGTAAGTGGCAAAATGCTTTCTTCCCAATCCTCATATATAAGACCATGATCTTCCTTCACCACCTGCCTACAAGAATTCAAACTGATGAGTAGTGAAATTCAACTAAACTTCCATACAAGAAAATGAATCTCTTTATAGTGGCTTAGTACCAAGAATCAAACGCAATGGTTTAGGGTGAAAACCTTGTGGAGCTCAGTGCCAGATAAGAGAGAATCCAAGTCATGAAGGGGCCAAACCAGAGGCAAATCCTCTTGGATAGGAAGGATCTGGAGATATCCAGCCCAAGGAGATTCTTCACCCAAGCTTCTCTCGTACATGACAGCCACGGAGAGACCTAAACTTCCATCCAGATCAGCGGATTCGATTATCTCACGAGCACCACTGGTTTTAATGGTGAGACAAGCGGTTTTCGAGATGGTGGCGACGACATCTCCTTCCTTCAAATCGCAGAAGGCTCTCACGGAGACACCGTCGTTGTGATCGTCTACGAGATTGAGAGCGTCGCTGCAATCAACTCCGTTAGCTTTCATCCATCTCTTGAATGCTCTTAACCTCCTGGTGACAATGTGAGAGACGGAAAATTAAACAAGGAAAAAAAAAATCCCTAGAGATATAGATGGTCGAAATTATTCATTGACAGAAGAAGATTGAAAGAGTGAGAGTGAGAAAACCTCGTGGCCATGAATGATGCTTTCTCTTCGAATTTCTAATGGATTCGCCGGAGGGATCCAAAAACAACGTCCGATTAGAGAGACACAACGACGGCGTCAGATGAATAAAGGGTTTTTGGGCCTTTATCATATAAGGGTATTGACGAGAATACCCTTCCTTCTTAAAAAATAAATTAAAACCTAACCAATTTGGTCCGGAACCCCGAAATTTGAACTAATTGCTAGAATTTTAGAGGAAACCGGAAATGTCCGAGATTAGTAGTATCTTTCCTTTTTCGAACAAAAACAAAAATGTTAAGTGTCTTTACTTTTTTGAACAAAACCCAAAATAGTATCTTTCCTTTAAAACATAAAAAAGAACTATACAATTCAAAAACTAACCAATTCAAAGACTATGTTAATTTTCCAAAAAGAGTTTTACTACATAGGATAAAATCAATAACTTTCTAAAAAGAGTTTTACATCCAACTTTGAAAAAAACGAAGTATTGAATAGTGGAAAAGGCATATGTACATTTTGTAATCGTGTCCCAAAACAAGGAAACTACGCAAACTTCCACATCTTAAACACATTGCCATTTCTTACATAGTTACATTAGTGTATATATATAGCAGAATTAAACTTTGTGGTAAACATACAAACCAATAACAATCGAAGCTTTTTGTGATCGACCAGCATAACAATAAGAGATGAGTACTCAGACGAACGAAGGGGTGGTGCAGGAGCAGCAACAACAACAACAACAAAATCTTCCTCGTCCGTCTCCGTTCGATGAGTTGTCTTCGATTTTTTACCCTCCACAGCAAACAACAGAAAGTGACGTCGGTGTCTCCAATGGTCACCACTCGAATTCCAACGGGTTCTCAGGAGCCTCGACTTATACCGGTCTACTAGAAGATATCGTCAACGAAGGAATGAAAGGGGTTCATAACAGCTGATCTCAAGCCATCTTTTTTTTTTTTGCTTTCTTTGGTCAAAATCTCTAACATATTTATTTATATATGGAGTTTTTTTTTTTTTTTGATAGATTAGTTTATATATATGGAGCTTTGGTTTGGTTTCTTGTTTTTTAATTATTAAAAATAAATAAGATGATATTTATAATTTTAGAAAATATCATAAATTCTATTATCTACCATAGAAAATTGCAAATTTTATACACAAAAAATTACCATATGAGAGTTAAATTAAAGTCGTCCAATAGGGGGCTTCAATTAAAAGGTCATTTATGTTTTTACGTTTACGTGTAACTTGTTTTAATTGAAATAAGTAATTTCATATTATTAAAATACTTTTACAAATTGAAGAGAGTAGCATGCAAGAAATAGCTTTCCATAATCGAACGTGACCGTAATCGGTTTGAGTAAACTCATAATAGTTTGTTTTAACACTTTCTAACATTCACAAACACAAAAGCTTAACTATAATATACCTTTCCTTGAGTTCTTGACTTTTCTGCATTGCCTAAAAATATTCTTCGTCGGACAAATAAATGCCGGTTAAGTATCTTCGTCGGAATCATCACTTTCTTCATCGGAATCAACAATTTCTTGTTTCTTCACCTTCCAGTTAAGAAAGACATGGCACACAACCCAGTCAGTATCTGCAACAGTAGATAGGAGACTAATTTCATCCAGGAACCATTCTTCCTTTAGAGGCTCTTCTTCGTCGGACAAATAGATATCACATGATTCTTCTTCCTGCTCAGCGAGAGTAAAGGGACGTTTAATACCGACGCCATTTTCCTGTGGATCCACCACGATAGTGTCTTCACCGATTTGTGTCCAGAGGTTTTGAGGGTCCTGGTCATTAAATTTCTTGCAGAAGAAATACCAATGCCTTTCTTCTGGATAATCTGAGAGACAAATTTTTTTGATGATTTCACGTTAATGGCGAAAGTGATACTAAAAATCTGGTTTTTTCATAAAAGAAGAAAGAGTTTAGAATTTGACCAGGCAAATCGCGAGGAGATTTTGAGAAGATATCCAGACACTCTTGCGGTGTAAAACGGGATTTCATTGGCTGTCCCAGAGCTTTTTTCTTCAAGAAATTGTTTAACAACTGATAATCTGTTGGACGAAATCTGAATCCGATAGGCAAAGCTCTGAATTTTGGCTCCGTTCTGATAGAAATGGCCAAGATTTCGTAAAAGATACTAATATACACAACAGAGAAGGGCGAAAAGACATCAAATGTTCAAGAAACAGAGGATTTGACAAAACGTGAAAGATAAAGATACCTCCTCAATGGTGTATCAGTTTTGATTTCATCATCTTCAATCGCGACCGGAGATTTGTGAGTACGGTTGCATTCGTTTACCAGGTCTTGCATGATCAAATCCCTTGACTGAAGAACACAAACAAGAGAACCGAATCATTGCAATTCAAAGTAAACACAAAAAGATTTAAAGTGTGTTTACGCTGGATAGTGTTGGAGATTCTGCGTTAACATCGCCGTAAACCTGTTTCTGGAGTTGGTCAAGTTTCACTTTCTTGTTCGTGGGGGAATCATCTTCATCAAGCAATCTTTCACGGACCCGTTTTCCAACAAGAGACTCTGGATTAATAATACTCGAACTCGGCTTCTCTTCCTGCTATAGTAAACAGAAGAAAACTCAAAAGCCAGAACAGAGTTATCGGCTTCTCTGCCTTGGATTTGGAAAAAGATGATTAAATCCTTACAGATTTCGTCAATGGATTTTCTTCGGCTGCATCCATATGCGATCCCAGAACATTTTTCTCAATCTTATCAGCAACAGAGATGTTAGTTTCTCGATTCGTTTCGTCCGCCATTACAGAGAGCGAGAGAACCCGATAGAACAGAGGAAGCCGAGAGATGAAAGTCTGTGGTTTAGAGAAAAACCCTAAACTTCGACAATCTCCAGCGCAAGAACGTGTTGCAGTTGCAGAGGTTAATAAGAGAAGAGCGTCAAGATTTTGGTGGAAGAAGCCAATTTATACATATGAGTCACTATTTTTTGGAGCGTTTTATCAGCAATGGGATACACAAGTTCATAACAATAGTTTGATTGGATAATATAATGTGATCATACCAAAAAAAAAAAAAAAAGTTCATAACAATATTAAAGGAAATAAGCTTAGACTACATTTTTACATCAACACGAGTTACACGATAATATTCATTGTTTTGATTTCCATATGTTACATCTTTTTCTTGGGTCAAAGTACATATTTTTTTACATCTAACTTGAATAATTTAGAGTTTGAAAAAAAAAAAAAATTGGACTCTGAAAGAGTTTTGCATAAAATTCAAATAATAGATACTACAAAGGAATTTTGTAATTCAGTCACTAATTAATGAAAAATACGAAAAACAAAATTGTTTCTGCGTGAGAGAGAGAGAGACTATGTGCGAGAAAGCGAGAGTGATAGTGAGAATGCTACAAGGCTGCAACAGCATGAACAAGCTCCGCAGGATCCATTCTCATGTAGTCATCAATGGTCTCCAGAACCATCCCTCCATCTTCAACCATCTCCTCCGCTTCTGTGCCGTCTCCGTCACCGGTTCTTTGTCTTACGCTCTGCTTCTCTTCGACTATTTCGATTCTGATCCATCAACGACGGCTTGGAACTCCCTTGTCCGTGGCTTCTCCTTATCCTCCTCTCCTCTCTCTTCGCTTCTCTTCTATAATCGAATGCTTCTCTCCTCCTTTTCACGCCCCGATATCTTCACTTTCAGTTTTGCTCTCAAAGCCTGTGAGAGGCTCCGCTCGATTCCCAAATGTCTGGAGCTTCACGGTTCGATAATCCGATCTGGGTTTCCCGGCGATGCTATTGTTTCGACCGGTCTCGTCCGGTGTTACTCTGCGAATGGAAGGATACACACTGCCTCCAAAGTGTTCGACGAAATGCCTGTGAGAGACTTGGTCTCTTGGAACGCCATGATCTCTTGCCTTTCTCATGCCGGTTTACACCACCAAGCGTTGAGTATGCACAAGAGGATGGAAAACGAAGGTGCGTGCATCGACGCTTTCACGCTCGTTGCTCTGTTATCGTCTTGTGCTCACGTTAGCGCTTTGAATATGGGCGTTATGCTACACAGGACCGCCTGTGGCATTGGCTGTGAGAGGAGTGTCTATGTATGCAACGCTCTTATCGATATGTATGCAAAATGTGGTAGCCTTGAAAATGCTGTGAGTGTCTTCAACGGGATGCGCGAGAGAGATGTGTTGACCTGGAACTCAATGATTATTGGGTATGGAGTTCACGGTCACGGCGTCGAGGCCATCTCGTTCTTCAGAAAGATGGTGACTTGTGGGGTTAGACCCAATGCGATCACATTCCTCGGACTGTTGTTAGGTTGCAGTCATCAAGGTCTAGTCAAAGAAGGAGCTGAGCATTTCCAGATGATGAGTTCACAGTTCCATTTAAGCCCCAATGTTAAACACTATGGATGCATGGTGGATCTCTATGGACGAGCAGGTCAGCTCGATAAGGCGCTCGAGATGATACATACGTCTCCTTGCGAAGAAGATCCTGTCTTGTGGAGAACCCTGCTTGGCTCTTGCAAAATCCACAGGAATTTGGAACTAGGAGAAGTGGCCATGAAGAAACTGGTGCAGCTCGAGGCGTTTAATGCAGGGGATTATGTGCTTATGACTTCGATATATTCCGCAGCGAATGATGATCAAGGTTTTGCTAGCATGAGGAAGCTAATAAGAAGCCATGATTTACGGACGATACCAGGATGGAGCTGGATTGAGATTGGTGATCAAGTTCACAAATTTGTCGTCGATGACAAAACGCATTCGGAGTCCGCGATCATTTACTCAGAGCTGCAGGAAGTAGTCCGTCGCGCAAAACTAGCTGGCTACAACCCAGAGGACTCAAACATAAGTGGTCCAGCTCTCTCTGATCGGTGTTTAGGATCTGCATTTCACAGTGAAAAATTGGCCATTGCGTATGGATTGATGAGAACTCCTGCAGGAACAACTCTCCGGATCACAAAGAATCTTAGAGTTTGCAAAGATTGTCATTCGTTTACAAAATGTGTCTCTAAAGCATTCAATCGGGAAATCGTTGTGAGGGACAGAGTTCGGTTTCATCACTTTTCAGGTGGTCTTTGTTCTTGCAACGACTACTGGTGACGACGTGGTCGTTCTCGATAGGCTAAAAAGGTTTGACATTCTCTTGGTTTTACTCTCTCTTGGTGTTACAGATTCCATGTGCCGTAGGCTAACTGATAGTTCGCTTGTTCTGTTTTCTGAATCTATGCTATTTCTTTCATATAAATATATGTAAATATATGAAAGAATTAAAAAAGATGTTCGTTCATTTTTTTTCCCGCTAGAAGTAGAAGAAACCATTCACACTATAGGCCATGTACTCATCGCACGCTCTGTTTTTTTTTTTTTGTTTCAGAAGAAAACGAATTTCATCACAAATTTCACTAGATTTTGTTTTTCTTTCTTAAATTCCAAAAGAATTCGACTTAATTAGTAGCTTGTATATAGATTAGACGGTAAACATATTCATTTCGTTGTGAAAAGCGTTTTATCTAAGTTGTGTGTGTGATCTCTCTAACGAACGACTCGATGGCGATGCCGCCAAGAAACAACCGCAAAGAAGTTTCCTCGCCGCCGTCACCAAAACGCAACCCCCACATTCCTTTCCGCTCTTCGTCTTCTTCATCTTCTTCCGCCGCCGATAACTTCTCTTCTGATCGTAGGATGAAGCCTATCGTTTTCCCGCCAGGTTTTAAGTTTGTACCAACCGACGAAGACCTCATCTTCCATTACTTGAAACCCTTCGTGCGAAACAGCAAAATCCCACCGCCCAACGTCCCAATTCATCTCGTGAACATCTACGAGTCCAATCCAGAACGACTTTCAGGTTTGTCTCCCTCGATTCTCAATTTGAATTGGTTTTTTGGTTTCGTTTTCGTTTCAGTATGATAATGGTGGCTCTGTTCTTTTGGTTCGAAACAGAGGAATACGAGAAGGGTAATGATAAAGAATGGTTCTTTATAACGGAGAGGACCAAGTTGCAAGAAGGTGGGAAAAATCAGAAACGAAGTGACGATGGAGGAACATGGAAGGCAATAATAACCAAGAAGATTAAAGCTGGACAAGTCGTCGTCGGCTATAAAACCGCACTAGAGTACCACATCGGGAAAATCCCAAATGCTCTAAAATCGAATTGGTTGATGCATGAATTCTGGGTGGAGCCTTCTTCTCACGACAAGTCTGATTGCGATGTATGTTTACTTGGGTTTACAAACTATTTAAGATTGTCGAAGTTCTTGTGGGTTTGTATTCATTTGGTTGTGTGTATTAGGTGGATCATGCCCTGTGCAAGATTTACTTGACGCCGAAGGCATATAAGAGAAAAGCAGAGGAGGAAGAGAACGAGAAGATGAAGATGAAGATCAAAGAAGACGTCGTTGAAGCATTAGAAGAGGAGGTTGATCAGCCTCGTAATGTTGCGTTTCAGGAGCCGTATCAACCGCAGCAGCCTCGTAATGTCGCGTTTCAGCAGCAGATGAAGATGAAGATTAAAGAAGAAGTCGCTGAAGCATTAGAAGAGGAGGTTGAGCAGCCTCGTAATGTTGCGTTTCAGCAGCCGTATCAACCGCAGCAGTTTCAGCAGCCGTATCAACCGCAGCCTTGTCCGTTTATATCTGATGAGATGTATCAGCTCTTCAACTCTAATCAGATCCCAGACGACTTTGATGCTTTTTGGACTGGATCCATTGATCCACAACCACTGGATGGAGACAGAGAGTCAGGCAATAGCGGTTATTTGAAGAAATCGTCAGAGAAGGACTGATCTCGTTTCATCTGTCTTGCTGTCTATGGAGATCTGCTCAGAAGTTGTTTTATATGGTTAGCATAGCTTTTATGGGTTTTGTTATCAGTTAGGTTATCAGAGAAAGAATATCGCCTTGTGTCTTAGTTTCTAAAACCAGAGGATAGGATAATAAACAGTTTTAAAGCGATTGATTCGACATCTTCTTCTTGTTTTATGCTTATAAGCTTACACAAACAGGTATATATGGATATAGATATTACACATTGGCCATTTGTTCTACTTCGTTTTCATCTCCTCCAAAGCATTGCTTTCCTCTGAAAACTTAAACAGTTGAATTAAGGTCCCCATGAAAACATGCCTCCGTAGGTTCGCTGCCAAAAAAGTAGGAATAGAGCTTCCTATTTACCAGATTCCTGATGTTGCAGAAGTTTCTTTGAGATCCCACTTGAGTTTCAATAGTTCTCATGAACGAGTCAAGAATAAAATAGGTACTTAAAATCCTGAATATAGAAGAGACCTTACCTGATATGTTGTATGTGACAGCACAAGCCAAAGTCATCATCATATGACTGACTCTGCACAGAACGGTGCAAGTAAAGTCCATGTATTTCGTCAATCAAAGAGCATTAGGATCTCATTTTTAAGGAGAGACAATCATCTAAATTACGAGCATAGGAAAGGCATATAGCATTTCATCAGACTCATCATAACCTTAAACGATCAAAGTTCTAGACTTAGAGATGTTGAGAAAATCCCAAATCCTAAACATAACAAGCCTGAGGAGGGATAATACAACCATCCTCTACATCTTGAGAAAATAAAAGATTGTACTTTAGTATAGTTTTGCACACTCTCTCAGCAGAAAAACAGCTCTAATCAATTGATGTAAGTATTCCTCTTACAAGCTCTAATTAAATTGAAGTAGCAACTTAAACCACTGTAACTGTACTATCAAGTCGAACCATTTTCTAAGCGATAAACCGGAGTTTGGATATCTGAATAATTTACGGGAACCGGAGTTTGGATATCAGATATAACCTGTAATCAGATATTACCGAAAAACCGGATGAACCACTAAAATTTACGGGAACCGGGTTTAATTTGAAAAGGAAGGACAATTTCTCTTTGCCAAAAACCCTAAACAAATCGAGCAAAAGTAACAGAGGAAAAACGTCGTCTTCTTCATCTTCCGAACCGAGAGAACCACTCGCCGCCGTCACTAGCTCCTTCTTTTCACGGTAAGCTTCCCGATTTCCTTCTGAAACGAAGAAAAAAAAGGAGAGAGAGTTTCGATTAAGATTGCTCTTGTTTCGTTATGATTTGCCTCCAGTTTCCTTCTACTTCGAGTCTTAAATTCTCTGCTTGTTGCGCTTCTAATGGAGTTGGTCTACGGGTTTTAAATTGAATCGCAAAGACATTCGTTTTGCAGCTGCAGAAAACAATTAGAGAGTCGAGCAATTCAAAATTTGTTGTTTTCGTTGTCTAGGTTTTAGAGTCCCTTACGATTGGAAAGTCCACACATTTATGCAATTGTTGGTTGTAGACCTTTAATTTCAGTGTAGTTGCAAAGTTAACTAGAGAAGATTACATAAAAATCAGATTTTTGCTCGCTATTCAGTATAAAGTTTGCTTCTTTTCAGTAATGAATTTTGCTCTGGTTTCTGCAGCTGCTGAAGTAAGATGCAGAGTGAGGAATCTCACGAGCTTGCGGATGGGATGCCCAATGAGGAGAGCAAGGAAATGATGAAGAGTCAAAAGGCGGATAGAAAGAAGAAGAAGCTGAAAGAGAGATTGCTAAAAGAAGCTACCAAAGCTGACAATCGAGGAGTTTGCTACTTGAGCCGCATCCCACCACACATGGATCACGTTAGACTTCGCCAGATTCTCTCTCAGTTTGGAGAAATCGGAAGGATTTATCTTGCACCTGAAGGTGAGGTTTTATCCCTTTGATTCACTTGTTTGATGTCAGCAGCATCTTGGTCATATCAATTCGTGCTTCTGAATTCTAAAATTAGCTGATGCAATTCACCGTCTTCTGTTTCAGATCCTGAGGCACAAGTGCACCGCAAGCGTGCTGGTGGATTCCGTGGCCAACTGTTTTCTGAAGGGTAGGTTTTATGCATATGGTTTCTGATTGGGAACTTCAAAACACTTCTCCATTGTGATCATCTGAGTTCTTATATGTATTGTTTAAACGGTCTTTCTTTTTGTTTATCAACTGTAGTTGGGTGGAGTTTGCTAAGAAACGCGTAGCTAAAAGGGTCGCAGAGATGCTAAATGGAGAACAAATCGGTATTCCTAATGATTCATTTCAGTATTCATTCATAGTTTTATAGGTGAAATCTAAGGGTCTTAAAATGATTGATGATGTTTGCTGTTTTCTTTCGTCTTCTCAGGGGGGAAAAAGAAGTCAACAATATACTATGATATTTGGAACATCAAATACTTGACCAAATTCAAATGGGATGATCTCACTGATGAAATCGGTACTGTTTAACTGCAAAATTTCTCTGCTTAACGTCCTTGACCATTTAGTTTTTGTATATCATCTCTAATCTACAAATGGTTGCTTTTTTTTTCGGCAGCATACAAAAGTGCAATACGGGAACAGAAATTAACTATGGTTCTTTCTGCTGCTAAGAGAGAGAAGGACTTTTATCTATCTAAAGTAGAGAAGTCTCGTGCCATGACCGAGATAGATGCACGAATGAAGAAGGTGCTTACTCTTTCTAATATTGTAATTCAAAAAATACTCTTTCCCCACCCCCATGTGGTCGATTTCTGCTTGGATGAAAGTTTTGTGGTCTCTTTTTAAAACTCTTAATGGAGAAGGTGCTCACTAGTCTAACTTGATGTTTGGTTTTGTAATGTTCTCTGTTTTTGCGGAGGGCAGAAGCGAAAGATTCAGGAAGAATCAGGTAGCAATGCGGAAGCAGCACCAGTGTACCCACCAAGGGTGATTCGTCAGTTTAGACAGAAGAAATCAATTACAAATGAGACATCTCAAGGCAAACGTGGGCTCTCTACTGATTTTCTAGCATCGGTCAGTACTCTCTTTGTCTTATTTCTTTTTAACAACAATGATGTCTTCATTTTGTTTATCTTTTTTTCTCCTAATTATAGGTATTCGGCGGTTCTTAAAGATTAAGAAGAGGCATGTGAAGATACTCCCGTTTTATCAAAGCTTGATGATATATATGAAGACATCATTGTTGTTTCTGCATGTCAACAGTTGAAACCCTCACATACACTCTTAAGCATTTTGTACTGATAAAAGATAAGTGAACAAATTTTTGATACTTCTGTTTTCTTTCCCTTATCACATTCTCCAAACCGGCCCAAAAATAGCAATTATTCAATCTCACAAATACAGTACCTTTCCACAACAAAATTAAAGCCTAAACAGATATGAATACCATTCGTATGTATCACACATGTAAAATACCACGACCGCACCATTTTGTTTTTTCTGTGAATAACGCAAGAGACTCAGCCAACAATCTTCAATAAAACCACGAACAACGCAAGGGACTATCAGTCATCGAGACGGCTAGAAGAAAGCAAGGGCTTTGGGAGATGAAGTTGCGTAGTAGCTGCACCTTGGCTGGTGGCCGATGAACGGTGAAGCCTGCAACGGAACGAGCCTTGGTGCTTTGTTGGAGAACAGACGCATGTCTTCCCCAACCGGTTGCTGTTACCGAGCAGACCAAGCGAGTCCGTTGACCACGACTTCCTCATCGACAATCCTGTCTTGTTTCTGCTCTCCTCTTCGTCTTTCATCACACGGCTAAACGGATTCTTGTTCTTGAACGAGTCTCTGCTGCTACTGCCGGTCAAGCTCTTCCTTGGTTTCGCCTCCGCCATGAATCAGATTGTAAAACTAATCTGGAAAAGGAATATGAGAGATATGATTCTTGTGAAGATGACTGAACGTTGAGAAACCAAAACCCACCAAATCTTTAACTGTTCGGGCGACATAAAAAATAGCAAAGACGTGACCGCGACGAAGCTTTATATAATAAATATTGCGTATTTGCGTGCAGAGTGCTCATGAACACGTAGTGAATGTTTTAAAAGGTCAATTCATGCATTCTCTGGTATTCCTCATAGATGGCTCTCTGTTTTCTCAAAAGATTCAGCCTTTTCTTACCATTGAATGTTTTACCAAGTCAAAAATAATAAAAGTTCTCAACATTCCAGAAAAGAAAAAACAGTCAAATATTCTCTTCATAACATAAAAGAAAGGTTTTTTTCTGGTTTGCATAACAATCATAAAAGTTATGTCCCAAGCTTTTTTTATTTATGAAGACAGAAGAAGACAGGAGCAAACTCTGACCATCCCTCCTAAAACCAGGACAACAATCACTTGTAGATGATCTTCCTTAGCCAGGAGGCCAGTTCATTTGGCGTCCTCCAATGAGATGAACATGAATGTGATAAACCGATTGACCTGTAAAAACCCACAAGAATGTGAGAAACATCAAATAATGATGTCCCATCTTGAATGTGAATACGCTAACTGAAGAAGTAGAGCTATTTATTATTAATACATACAGCCTTGTGGACCATCGTTGATCACAATTCTGAAACCTTCATCTAGGCCTTCTTGTTTCGCTACAAGCTTAGCAGTGTAGAGAAGGCGGCCTAAGATGTCGATGTGCCTCTCCTCAGCCTGCAGTATCATAACAGTACGTTATTAGCTTCAGTATCATGTTTTTTTTAGCTTCTGTGTGGATTTGTTTGAGAGGTGTTAAGTGAATTAGATACCTTAGAGAGACCAGTTAAGCCATCCCTCACTTTAGGAATGAGGAGGATGTGAATGGGACCCTGAGGGGTTATGTCCCTAAAAGCTAAAACCTGCAAAATCATGCAAAATGATCGGAGGAAACATGCCAGGAACAGTGATAATGAAAGTATGTAAAACTACTGAAAAGTTACACAGCAGTGAATACATATACAGGCTAATTAAGTTGTGAAAGCTGATAGATTCATGGAGAAACATAAATCATGGCAAAAGAAGCTATAACAACATAGACTCCAAACACTATACAGTATATACAGGATCAAGTTGCTCAGGATAGAATATAGTATATATAGTTATGTCGCAATGTAAAATTTTGAGATGCAACAGAAGAGAAAGTATATACAAAAAAAAGGTTAGAGAATTTAAAGTACCTTGTCATCCTCATAAACCACAGTGGATGGAATTTCTTTGCTGATGATCTTGTCAAATCTGCATGTTCCACCATACACAAACATAAATGTTTAAACATCGATTCAGCACAACAAGACAGTTCAAGTCTTCCAATAAAAGAAGAAGACAAAATCTTGAAAAAGCAGAGAAGAATCTCTATGACTTGTGCAGCAGTTTCACTCTTTTATGCACAAAACGACGATTATTACTTCTGTTCATTCACATTTCTCAGCTAAAAATAGCCATTCTTCCATTGAAGCAAATCAATTCCAACGGTACAGTCGAAGAACAGCAACGCTTTAGAGAGATAGACCCAAATACAAAATCAAAAATTCGAACTTTACTCTATCGTTACAAGACTCCATCCCAAAATCGCAGTTTTAATCGACGATCTACGACGGCTCAGTTTAAGATACGTTGAATAAAAACAGATCGACCAGAAGAAGAAGGAAGAAATAGAAGAGAAAAGGCAGATCGAAACACGGTGGCTCATGAACCCTAAAAAGGCTTACATGGTCGGAGAATCGGAAGGAGTGGCGGCTAGAGCAGCCTCTTTCTCGGAAGCCATGACGGCGGAGACGGGTGAGAAATGGGAAGAGAGAATCGCAACACGGTGGCTCATGAACCCTAAAAAATAAACTAAATTTCTTTATAGCATCCGTCGACGACGCTGCAACCACCTCATCCCGCCAATCTGTTATTCCCAACCAATGAGTTACTGCCACGTCATACACTTTTGTCTGTATCTCGTTTTTGATCCCAAGTTAAGTGCTGCCACTGTGTATGCTAGTGCTCCCAAAGCCCACCAAATATGTTTAATTGGATTTAAACTACATAAACTCTCTTTAGCACCACTAAAAGCATTATTTCAACTTTGTCTTAAGCTTAATTTTGTTTATTTTACAAAACTACTATTTCATTCTATTTCTAAAACCTATCTTACACTGTTATAAATAGTGAGAATCACACAATATGCAAAAACTTTAAAATGGTACATCTCTGTCGCATCGGACTTATGAATTATGATCTCTATAAAATAGTAAATTATATCTAATTAAACTGATTTTGGGTCCTGCCAATATCACCGACGCGACAAACAAACCGATCCAAACTATGAAAAAGACTTGAACACAAAATGCAATTATTGTATTATCAAAATGCTCTTACGATAATTTACATTATTAGATCAAGAAAACTAAATGGTTTTCGTATACAATTAAGTAAAAGCCAACAAAACAAGGACAAAAGTGAAAAAAAACAAAGTGATGGCAAGTAGGTTTGGTAAGAGGTGCTCATGGGATTCCATGGACCCCATACATAATGCTTAATGCTTAGAGCTAATTATAGTCATAGATGACAACACATCATCATTAAAGGACAAAATTCGATTTAATTATCTAACAATTAAGTAAGAAAATACTACTTTACAGCTTACACAAGATTAGAACTAAATTGAAAGATATCTAATTAAAGTCAAATGCATCTTTCATTATACTACTCTCTCTTTGTTATATACCACAAACAGAAAGTAAAAGTGAGATTATGATGTCTGAACCGTCTATTCATGCTAACGTGACCTGAAATATCCACATGCTCTGCTTAGCCTTTTTGACACTTTAGTTAAAATAGAATATTACTTTTTTTATATAGCAATTTAATTAAGGAAATTCCTTAAAATGATTCTAGATAGCCCCCACTCTACTGCATGGTGTCTTTAAATGATGATATTGTCCAATTAATTATTCTGTCTTTGTTTTTGTCTAAACATGATCATATGCGGTAATGAGTTAACCCAATTAATAAGCCATGGACCACGAAATAGACAACAATCAACCTAACTAATTTCATTCATTAAATCGTAATACCAAATGAAATAAGCAAAATTTTTTAGCAAAATTGTAAGTCGTGATATTAACGGCGTCTCTTTAGGGGAAAACTAATTGAGTTTGACCTTTCAACTAATACTACATAGATTCCACCAAATGTAAGTAAGTACTCATGACTACACGCCAAATGTTGAAAAGTGTCTCACCACCACTCTCCAAAATGTTTGCAATAATGTTTATAACAACTTTCTATCCCCATTTTATAATAATGTTTCTAACTTTGGATGACCTTTTTCATAGTTAGCTAACTTAAGAGACTGAGATCACCTATAATATTAAGTTATGGGTTTAACTGTAAAATTCTGCTAAGTTATAGAATGATTTGTCACAAGAGTATCCAAAAAGTATTTGTAGCTTTGGAGTCAGCATTTATATCTTATCTATGGATAAAAATCGACTAACATATGCATATGTGTTTTAGTTAAATTTATGTATGTCTCGTTAAGTACATGTTTTAATTTCCGTATACTAAACTATATTTATATGACATTACAATCTACATTTAAAATATTACATCTCTACTCACACCAACTTGGATTTGGAAGCTTTGTTTTCTTTAGATTCATTGCTTAAGGTGCAAAAGAAAATAAACAGAGCGATTAATGATAATGGTGGTTAAAGAATCATAATTAGATCCAAACCAAAGCGAACTAGAAAATCACAAAATCAAATAATGTGAAAAAAGGAAAAAAGTGAAGAAAAAAAAGAGAAACCCATGGAGCTTAGAATCAAGGGCCCACCACGACGACTCACACTCGCGCCAACGCGTGAGGTTCAAACGCTATGTAACAGCGCGTCGTCCAACAAAAGAAAGACCAGACCGGGACACTGTCAACAAATAATCGTCTCTTCTTTTTTGCACTCTTTGGGTTTTTAACGATGATGGCGTGAAAGAGAGAGAGAGAGAGAGAAGAAGCAGTTTTAGTGAGGAGAGAGAAAGAGAAGGAAGATTCAGAGGAACAAAAGTGTCTCCTTTTTTCTTCTCTGCATTTTCCATTTATCCTGTCGTCTTTGACGCTTTTGTAAAAGCTAAAAAAGAAAAAAAAGATGCTCAACGACGAAGACTAGAGAGAGAGAGAGAGAGAGAGACCCAATTCTCTTTATTCTTCTTCTTCTTCCTCTTTTTTTCCTTCTCTCTTCCTAAGATTCTCTGTTTCTGGGTCTTCAGGATATCCGTAAGTTTGTGTTTTTTCTCCAGTTGATTCTACTTGCATTTCTCCTGAGTTTTGTCGTATCGTGTTTCATGATATGGATGTTTGGTTGCAGGAGTTAAGAATTCTGCACTTTTAATCCTTTTAAAAAATTATTTATAGTTTTCAATTGGCTGGCGTCTGATTCTTTCTCAATTAGTGTAGTGTATTTATGATCAATTGTCTTCGATTCTTAATCAATAAAAGAAATTAATTTTTTTTTGTCCATATGTCAAAGTTCGTTCCGTGACTTCCGTTCAAGTTTCACTTAGTGCGGTTTATGTTTTATACAGTAGTCCCGTGAACATTGAGAAGAGAATGTTCTTGACTTGAATCATTTGATGATTCCTTTTTTTTTTTGTCAGTGAGATTGATTTGCTCTTTGTTTTTTCTTGTTGTCAAAAACAGATAATAAAATCCTGAAAAAAAAATGACGAAAGTGTGCCCTGAAATGGAAGAAAGGACATTACCAGAATCAGTTCTTACAGTATCAGCAGATGTGAGCTTTGCTTCTAATCATTTTCCAACATACAAATTAGGACCTGATAATCAGATAGTAGAGGAACCAAAAGAAGATGACAAAGGGCCATCAGTGAAAGAGACAGTGGAGAAAGAGAGCGATAAGTTGTCTGATCAACACAAGCGGCTCTCAGTGCGTGACCTCGCCAGTAAATTTGACAAGAATTTGGCTGCAGCTGTTAGTTTGGCTGATGAGGTTCCTACAAAGCTTTTGAACTTTTCTTGTTCTGTTTCATTTTTTACACATTATAGTTTCATCTCTCTTTGGGTTGTTGAAATTCTTGTAACTCTTTCAGGCAAAACTAAGAGAGGTGGCTTCTTTAGAGGGACATGTTATGTTGAAGAAGCTAAGGGATGCTCTAGAATACATGAGAGGACGCACGGATGGGCAAAACAAAGAAGATGTGGAGAAAGCTATCTCCATGGTTGAGATTTCTTTAATAAAATTGTTACTTTGTTACTAAATTAGTCTCTCTTCAAATCATATCTGAAACTAACGTTTTATGTGAATAGGTTGAAGCTCTAGCTGTCAAGTTAACTCAGAATGAAGGTGAGCTAATTCAAGAAAAGTTTGAAGTGAAGAAACTGGGAAACTTTCTCAAGCAGGTCTCGCCTTCAACGCATACATATTGAATATAACTGTGCTACTCTGAAGTTGTCTCTTGCTTAGTTTGCTAACGGTAAAAGACTATAAGACTCATAAAGGAAGCTGAGTAATTGTTGCTCTCATGATGTCAGGCTTCAGAAGATGCAAAGAAACTGGTCAACCAGGAAAAGTCATTCGCTTGTGCTGAGATCGAAAGTGCAAGAGCCGTTGTGCTTAGACTTGGACAGGCATTTGAAGAACAGGAACGAACTTCTGAAGCTTCTAGAGCTCAGGGACCGGTTAGTATCATCTACTCTTAACTTCATAGTTTAATTGTTTCTTCTGTGATATAACTGGTTAATTTTTTTAATCAACTTATGTTTTCATGACACAGGATGTGGAGAAATTGGTTGAGGAAGTTCAAGAGGCTAGGCAAATCAAACGGATGCATCACCCAACAAAGGTGCTACATCATTTTCATAGCACTTTAACTCTATCCTTTGGAACAACGCTACATATTTGATGGTTTAACACTAAAAGTTATGAATTGTATGTGTTTATATAAGACTGTGTTGTAATGCAGGTGATGGGCATGCAACATGAGCTTCATGGTTTAAGAAGTCGAATCCAAGAGAAGTATATGAATTCTGTTAAACTTCATCAAGAGGTATGTTTATCTTTACACTGAAGCAGTATTTGCAGTTAATTTGGTATTTTGCTCACCTCTTTGGTCTTGCCTTTGACAACAACCATCAAACATCTCAAGATAGCAATAACCAAAAGAGCAGAGGAATCCAAGTCCTGTCCATTTGTTCTGGAAGGCACACAAAGTCTCGGCTCTTGCTTAATAATCCGTTTCTCAGACAATGCTCCAGAAAATGCTCAAGATCTTGCCAACTGCTCGATCCAGTGGTACCGTGCAGCATGTGAAACTAGCCGAAGGGAGGCTATATCTGGTACTTTGGTCCTATCTGTTTGCTTCACCATATGGGTTTTTAGTAAATGAAGTTTAGCGCTTGAGCAGTTCATATCTTGCTCTTAGGTGCAAACCAATCAGTATATGCTCCAGAACCATTTGATGTTGGGAGGATCTTACAGGCAGACATTCTTTCAAACGGACATAATAAAGTCACAGTTACAACCGATGGTCCAATTGTTCCTGGTTGGTATTACAAAAACTATATAATAGAAGATACCAAATTTCTCTTAGTGTGGACAATAAAGAGAAAGGTTTTCTTATTGACCTGCAGATTCTGGCTTGCAATCCCGCGTAGGATCGCTGATGCGGAAATCTAACAGTGAATTCAGTGTATGTTACACAACTTTCTTCTGTTTTTTTCTTGGGAAAGAGATGCATTTTTTAATAATCTGAGCATTTCAAACTTTTCTACAGGTGGTAATATCACAGATGAATGGACAAGACTATGCATCTCGATCTCATGTGTTTACCGTCGGAAAGACGAGGATAAAGCTGTCTCGAGGATGGATCACAAAGGCTAGAGAAAATTATTCCTCATCTATGCAGGTATCTAGAGATTTTGTGACCTGACATTTCACAAGAAACAAGTCTTTTGACATTCTTACTGAGTTTACATGGCTTTTTGGTGTATAAATGATTCAGCTCTGTGGAGTTAGAGGCAATATTAAGGCTCCTGCCAAGGCATTGTTCTGGCAACCAAGAAAGAGTCTAACTTTCATACTAACATTTGAGTCAGAACAAGAACGTAACGCAGCCATAGCCCTTGCTCGAAGATACGCTTTTGATTGCAATGTAAGCAAAACTAAACCAAAATGTAAAATTTCTGTTAATATGGTTTACATAACAGGCTTGCTTAAATCTGCAGGTTACACTGCTCGGGCCAGATGATTAAACAAATGGTGAACACAACATTGTCATTAAGACATTAACCAACCACTTGATTTCTTTCCCTGACGCCGGATTTTTGTTGTTCTGTGTGTTGTGTCGTTTTTTCTTTTCTTTCTCAAGCTGTGGTTCAAAGAAGGAAGGTGCAAGTTTGGCTTCTCTACTGATCATCCAATGTTGCTGCATGGTTTTATTATAGGCAGCAGGATTTTTTTTTGTTTTTCCCCTTCTTATGACTGAGATCATCAAAATTTGATATGGGTATCTTTTTGGATTTGCTGGTTTGTTTGTTTGATTTTTTTTTTGTTTTTGTCCGAGTTAGGGACACAACATTGTTAATCAGCTTATATGTGTGAGATCAGAATCCAGAGTTGTTTGTTGTATCTATTACCAGTTTCTGAGAATTTTCTCATTTCTATGATCAAACATGTGTCCGTAAATATATTGTTCATAATCATCTTAAAATGAAAAAAGAAATCTGCAAAACAGTTACTAGAGAAGTTGATCAAAGAAAGGGAGATCAAGGAGGTTGAGTGGTGGCATGATCCAGATATTCGCATACGGATCGTACTTTTTCCACTTGAAGCAATTCGTACTCTCTTCTTCATCAACCTTATGGTATATGCAACTCCTCTTGAATCCATGGAACACAGAGAGACACAAACAGTTCCTTATTCCACTTGGCTGCTTCTGCTCGGCTCTCGTTTCAGAAGACAAAGCGCTTGCGTAGATCGTCAAGCCTCCAAGTGTTTTCATCTCACTCCATCCATTGCTTGTAGTGTCCAGTTTAAACACTATTGGGTTCATGTGGTCGTACATGTATATGACAAAGATCTTTCCCTGGTGCTCTGTCATAAAGCATCCGTTGCTTCCAGGATGTTTAAAAGGTACTCCGGGAAGATTCCTCCAAGAATTCAAAGATGGGTCAAAGATCGATAAGCATCCTATGTTTTCTGTGTTTGCGAGGCAGTAGACGACGCCATTGGAGAAAACAATCTGCTCGAAAGGGTCGTAGTCTATCGATATCAGACTCTTGAACTCAATAGTGTTCCACTCTTCAGCATTAGGACGACATGTCTTCATTAAGATGCTGTCCACATATACATAGCTTGTGAACAACAAACAACTAGTTGACGTAGGAGCACAAGAGAAAACCACTCTCTGATCATACGCCAGCCAAAGCCGAGGCACGGCTATGCGATCACGGGTAAACGGATTGAAGAAGAAGAGTTGAAGTGAATTGGGATTGTGCATGAGTAACCAACCATCTTTGGAGTGACAAACTCGAAAACCGGATAACTCAGGAAACTCAAGATTGTACGTTTTCTGCGTTGATGGGTCGTAGAGTTCACAGGATTCCTCTGTTTTCGAAAAGTAGATGAGCCAAGGAGATCTATCTGCAACTCGAACAGAAAGACAAGCTTCGTGCCATGTTTTGCAGACGGTGGAAGCACGGATGTTGTCTTTCAGTGGAAGACAGGACATTACCAGTTGTAAGAGATCAGAAGGAAGGTCTAAGAAAGTTTGGTCCTTTCCATTCTCCATCCTACTGTTCTTGTTCGACCTTTAAAAGTAAAAAACCCAAAGTCTCAAAATCTCATTTCAGGGTAAGCAAAGTCCAAAGCATTCAAATTCTACAAATCGCTATAAAAATTTATCCGATAATTTCACCGAACAAAAAAGAGACAAATTTTACAAAGACGGAAGGATATGAAAACTCACAATCCAAGCGTGCACCTTTTTCTGGAAGCCATAGTGAAATAGGTTTTGAGGGTTTTTTTTTTGTTCCGGTCGGCGAAGCCCTAACGCACGAGAAAATTCTCCTGGCCGTTAGATAGGGATCGAAGGGTGAGATCTTCGATCGTTCTCTAGGTCTCTCCGACTTTCAATCTCCGATTACAGAAAGTCAGAAAGCAACGACCAAATGACGAAAACTCTCCAAGATATACTTTGATTTCTGGAGAAAAAAGGCCGGTCCGGTTAAATCCGGTTACGAGCAAATAATCCGGTAACTTGACGACGTCGTTTAAGAATCATATATGTATGTCTGCTTAGACGATAGATATATCTATCAAATCCATTGCAGAAACAAGAGAAAAAAAACTAGAGAGAGAGAGTGTGTGTGTGTGTGTAAGGAGAGCAAAAATGGAGGCTTTGGTTTGCCGAAAATTGGGAGATCCGACGGCGACGGAGACCGGAAGTCCAGAATCGCCGGTGGAGGTGAGCAAGAGCTACCCGATCCCGCCTTTGAGCTCAGATACGGCGGTGAGAGTCAGAGTTATCGCTACGAGCTTGAATTACGCGAATTACCTTCAGATTCTCGGAAAGTACCAGGAGAAACCTGTGCTACCTTTCATCCCTGGCTCCGATTACTCCGGGATCGTCGACGCGATCGGTCCCGCCGTCACCAAATTCCGCGTCGGAGATCGTGTCTGCTCCTTCGCCGCTCTCGGTTCTTTCGCCCAGTTCATCATCGCTGATCAATCTCGCATGTTGGTTACAAAATCTCCCTCTCTCTCTGTCACTCTTTTGAGTTGCATACCTTACTGTGAATGATGGTTATGGTTGATGTTCTTTCAAGGTTCCTTGTACCAGAAAGATGCGACATGGTCGCTGCAGCCGCACTTCCTGTTGCGTTTGGGACTTCTCATGTAGCACTTGTCCATAGAGCTCGTCTAACATCTGGCCAGGTACAATACACACCTCTCTCTCATTGATTCAGTTTCTTGCTTCATCGCCGATTCTGAGTTTGTAAAGGTTGAGAAACTCCATTGACTTTGATGCAGGTCTTACTGGTTCTAGGCGCTGCTGGTGGCGTCGGTCTTGCAGCTGTTCAAATCGGCAAAATCTGTGGAGCCATTGTCATTGCAGTTGCAAGGTATATATATATATATATATATATACGCTGGTACAGAGGTTTCCATGGGCGTTGATTCTTGGTTTGGGTTTATATTCGATCTGAATCTTTTGCTAGGGGAACTGAGAAGGTGAAGCTGTTGAAGTCAATGGGAGTGGATCATGTTGTTGATCTGGGCAGTGAAAACGTTATCTCAAGTGTCAAAGAGTTCATCAAGACAAGAAAGCTAAAAGGAGTTGATGTTCTGTATGATCCTGTGGGAGGGAAACTCACCAAGGAGTCCATGAAAGTTCTCAAGTGGGGAGCTCAGATTCTGGTGATCGGTTTTGCCAGCGGTGAAGTCCCCGTGATTCCCGTTAACATAGCCCTTGTTAAGGTAAACCAATGATTCTCTACCTTCCAAAACTTTGTGGTAGGGAGAGAAGAAGAAGAAGCAGAAGCTTTTCACTTGAGAGAATCAAGATCTTCTAAGTTTTTTTTTAACCAATTTGGTGCAGAACTGGACGGTGCACGGTCTTTACTGGGGGAGCTACGGAATCCACCAACCCAGTGTTCTTGAAGATTCCATCAGAGAGTTACTGTCATGGCTTGCCAGAGGACTGATCACCATTCACATCTCTCATACCTATAGCCTCTCCCAGGTAAAGTTCAGTTCTGTTTCATGAAATGTAAACTCAAACACATGTAACTAAGCAAACTCAAATACTGTTTCAATTACAGGCTAATCTCGCATTTGGGGCCATCAAAGACAGGAAAGCAATTGGAAAAGTGATGATCGCTCTCGACCACAAAACTAGCATGTTTTCAAAACTATAGACTCTCTGTAGCCTACAGGGGAAACCCGATTCTGTTTCTAGAAAAATAAGGGGTATTGCAACTGTCCGTTTAGCCCGTTGTCTATTTTAAAATTTAATAATCGTAATCGTATGGCAAGATTGGTTTCTCTAGAAATTGGTTAAGAGATGTATGTTTGTATGTACACTGTCACAATCAAGAATACAGTTCATTCAATCAAGTAAAGCTTGGAAGAATATCTTCTTATGAAGTTTCACCAAACCTATACACAGAGCCTGTGGTTATGTACAAAGACCTTGAACCAAGCACACGTTCCGACTATCTTAGGATCTCCGGCTTCAGAAAGCGGTTATATTCAAGCTGGGTCATCTCTCCTCCGTTCACTGGATCGAAATTGCACCTGTAGAAGCTGCAAGGCCGATAAATCAGACGGGCTATTGGTTATTTTATGTATTTGATATTCTGACTTGTGTGATGCAAACACACATGACTAATTGTGGATGATGATGCGAATATTTATATTTAGAGAGATACCATAACGCTTATTATTACCTTCCGTCCATGCCGATAATGGCAATTGTGTTGCGAGCACCAAATGCTGCAAAGAATTGGGTGACGTCTGGTACATGGAACTGAGCAAATGACCATTCCGAGCTGAAATATCTTGGCAGAACTCCTGCAGCGTTGTCCAAAGATGTTAGGTATAAGACTGAAGGACGTGTTGATCCAGGCTCGCAACTATAAATATGAAATCTACTTCTGAATTGCAAGTATGAATTGAAATTTCCCAATGCTTCTACGCGACACGATTCTATAAGTTCACTATGTATTCAAGCTACAAGGTTTCATCTCTTCTCATGTGGAAATTTCACAAATTTACTGTCTCCATATGATTTAGCTGCTTGTTCTTTCTCCGTATAAACAGGGCATCATACTTCATGGTAACAGTCATTTTTTCCCAGATGTCTCCTATTTTCTACCGTACCTCTCAGAAATGACAATGAAGAACCGGGGTTGACACCAGCGGCTGGAGAAACAAGAGCCTGCAGGGAATTTGAAGAACTCTCATGTTCAGTGGAGGGTGAGTCCTCCCCAGAAACCCTCACTCTAAGAGAGAAAATGTGAACAGTCCCCTTGTCGCTTGATACTGCCAGCCACTGCACGTTTGGTGAAAGAGCAATGCTATATATATCTGCTCTGTCCACTCCTCTTCGGACCTGTAACAAAATCAGCATTAGGTTTCATAAGATTCAGCTAATCAATGAGTCATGAGCATCATCAAAAAGTAGCATATGCTCCATATAAGAAAAGTGAAAGCAGTAGTTCATAGTTACTAGACCTCTTGCAGACGAGTTCCATCCATCGTGTTGAAAATTCTGATCAGAGTCCCCTTTGTACTGGCAGTTGCAAGAAGCAATCCATCCAATGTCATGGTCATGCACGCGATATTGGAGTCATGAGCATTAATGATTTGTACCATGTTAAGCCCAAAATGTTCAACCCGGACCTCTCCTCTGCGAACACCTGGACAGGCCAGCACAGATGTATTCATATGATGAGAGAGGCAACATAGTCCCCTTGGATTTGCTAGATTTTCAATCTGATGAAGGAGTCTCAGGTTCATAAAGTTGTAGACATATATCTTGTGTTCAAGAACAACAACAATGCGATCCCTTCTTAGCTTCACAGCACGAATCTCCGACCCAAAAGAAAACTCACTGATGCAGCGGCTCTGGTGATCATCCCAAATCAACACTTTGTTTGAAGGGTACTGAGAGTTAGGTCCACCACCAACGAGTGCCAAGATATTACTCCGGAAAAGCATCTCCACAATTTTAAACCCACCATCCTTCAGCTCTCGCCTGAAAGTTTCCTTGAAAGGTTCACAGTTGTAAATCCGAAAACCATGGCTCGTGCCAGAAGCAAAACAGCTGTAATCCTGATTCCAAGAAACAGAAACCAACTCTGCTTCATCACTTCCACCAAAATCTGGTTCAGGAGGCCCAACAGAGCCCAAAGTGCCACCATTCCGCGATTCATAGCCTCCTGGTTGGAGCATTCCTTGGGAGTTCGAAACAATTGAACTCATTTTTCCTCTATTACGATATTTGCAAGCTGAAAATCAATAACCAGTAGAAAAAAAAAAAAGAAGTTAAGATTGATCCAAACAATGAAGCTTAAATACAAAATTTTATCAGAGACATCAATGAAACTCAAAATCAAAGCAAAGATAATGCAACACTGAACACTTTAGAATCCTATATTGAGCAAAGATTCATACATTGCCAAGTTATGTTAATCCTACGCAAAGTGCCATAATCGTCAGCGTCACTGTATCGAAAATCACTTCCACAAGAAATCAATTTCCACGATGATCGAACCTCGTTAACCTAAAAATCCTATATGTTCGTCATACATTATGATCAGCAAACCCCTTGGGCAGTTCATACTCCTAAATCCTGATAAGCACAATTCAAATTTCGTGTATAATTCAACAATCCCGTATAAGAAATCTACAAACACAATCACAATTCAGAATTCGGATCAAACAATGACAAAAAACAGAAGAAAATGATAACGGAGAAGAAAGAAACCGGAAAAATCCTATACACGGTCGTTGATTCGAACAAAATAACCAATGAGATGAACGAAATCCTCACCGATTAGGAACGAAACAGAGCGAAGAATGAAAAAGCGATCTACGAGGAAGAAAATCCTGCTTCAATGACGAACAATCTCCAGGCTGATTCTATCTAATATCTCTTCAATGACTTGGATATGAGAAGCTTCCTCTGTATACTACTTCTATGATTTTATCTTCGTTAGAAATTTTCTATTTTCTTTTGTTTTTTTTCATAGTTTGGATATTTGTGTTAGTCAACCAACTGTCGTATTAACCTTTTTTCTAATACAAGCAAAGAATCGTTATTGTGAGATTCACATTATTAATCGTTTATTTGCAACAAGTTATCTTAATGGGCTTAATCCGACTCGGCTCGGCCCGTTTATCCTCAAATTAGCTAACCATCAACGCTCTCGCCGCGCCGGTGACGGAAAAGACAATGGTTATCTTGACTCCAAGTGACCGACTCCGAACGTAATCGTGCCGTCGAAGCAACAAATCTCACTCGTGGATCCATACATCAAATTCTCGCGGCTCGTATCTTCTGCGTTTCCCATCTCTTCCTTCTTAATAGAACTTTTGGGTCGTTTCTACTATCGATCTAAAACCTTAGCAAGATGGTGAAACCCTCCGATTTCAAAGCAGTTCACAGACTTCTTCAATCGCATTACAGTCGAGCCAACCCTGTCACAGTGAGCCGGTCAAAGCTCTACACTTCCTCTTCTCCGGCTTTTCCTTCAAATGGGGTTTCTCAGCTTCAGCCAAAGTCCAGTTTCCACAGCTTCTCGTCGAGACCCACTTCGATAAACCTTGGCTTATCCCAGATTCTATCCCGTCCTAAGCTCGTACCTAATTTGCAGATTTGCGGAGTGGCCTTGGTTAAGCCCCGCGTTAATTTGAACTTTGCGTCGGCTTTTAGATTGTTTTCAAGCTCTGGGTTTGGAAAAGTCGATGGGAGTTTCGCTAGGAAGGTTGTTGACAAGCCAATCAAAGCTGTTAGCTCGACTTTTGGTAGATACAGAGAGGCTTTAGGGCTGCACGTTGATGCATTTTGGAAGAAGAATAACCTTGTGGTGTTTGGAGCAGGAGGCGTCTTTGTTTGCATTTTACTGTGGAGGATCATGTTTGGGATTGCTAGCACTTTCGTTGGTCTCTCGGAAGGAATGGCCAAGTACGGCTTCCTTGCTCTCTCCTCTGCCATTGTCGCGTTTGCTGTAAGTTGTTGGCTGTTTCTGTGCTCAACTTGGGCGTTATCTAGAGCGTTGAGATACAACTTAGGATTGTTTCAGTGGTGGATATCTGAGCTCAGAGCTATGAATTATCCAGGATAGAAAAGAAATTGTATAGCTTTTCTATAGTTTTCAAACTTTTGTGGTTATTATTTTATAGTGGATGGATGTCAAATGAAAGAATTGAGATAGGCTTTTAAGGGAACTAGGACTAGAGCTATAGGTACATTCTGACTGTGAATTGCTAATCTAGTGCAAAATGGCTTCTTTTTTGGCAAGGTGCTCTGTTTTGTTAATCTGTGTGGCCTTCAACTTTCGATCAAGAATTGCAAATACTGTTGTTTCCTTTGGGTTTTTAATTGTCATAACATTCTCCTTCTCGTACGTTGTAAAGTAATCACTGCTCTCATACCACTATCTGTGGTTGTCTATTGCTAGGGTTTATACCTTCGCGCGAGGTTCACGATAAATCCTGATAAAGTTTATAGGATTGCCATGAGGAAGCTCAATACAGCGGCTGACATTCTTGAAGTTATGGGTGCTCCTCTGGCAGGATCGGATTTACGTGCTTACGTGATGTCAGGTGGTGGCATTACGTTAAAAAAATTCAAGCCAACAATCAGGAGCAAGCGTTGCTTTCTGCTGTTCCCAGTTCAAGGTGCTGAGAGAAAGGGCCTCGTTAGTGTCGAAGTCAAGAAGAAGAAAGGCCAGGTTTTTTGCTTTGTCTACTTTCCCCCTGCATACACTCTCTCTTTCATTCCGATAAAGCCTTCTTCTTCATTGTCCATATTAGTATCGTTATGTTTGTTAGTAGAAAGTTTTCAAAGGTTACTCGGAAGATCTCTATAACAAAACCTAGGTTTCTTATCTTTGATTCTTTGCTCTGGTTGGTTCTGCGTTCTTCATTTGCTTTTTTGATCCTGTTACTGTGTGAAATAAAGGAAACTGTAGTATGAACCCATCAATGCTCCCATTTCTCTATCACAGAGCGAGTTTTGGTGGTATTTCTCATGTTCATGTCTGTTTCTTGTTCAGTATGACATGAAGCTGCTGGCAGTGGATATTCCAATGGCGTCTGGTCCTGATCAACGCTTATTCCTTATTGGTGATGAAGAAGAGTACAGAGTCGGTGGTGGTTTGATCTCTGAGCTAAGGGATCCTGTGGTAAAGGCAATGGCAGCAGCCACGGAGTTTGATAATCTTGACAGAATTGAAGAGGAAGAAGACGCGGAGAGAGAACTTGAAGAAGCCGAAAGGAAGGAACGTGAAGAAATCGAGAGACTCGAAAAAGAAGGCTCTTAGTCGTTTATCTCATGCTCGCACACAAACTAAAACATCATCAGTGGATATAGAAACATCACCGTGAAATCTGTTCAAAAGCCCTTACTCTCTCAAACTTTTGCTTAATAATAAATTTCAGAGAAGCCTGCGTTTTGTCCTCTGTAAACCGGTTTTGGCTTGAGGGGAGGATAAAGGTATTGTCTTTTTCGGTTAGTACCGGTTTAAGCAAAAAAAGAAAACCAATACAGAAAAGTCAAGGCTGTATGAGACTATCATATCTATGTTGTCTTTGACCAAATTTTCTATATTACAAAATTAGCAATCAGTTATTATGGTTCATCAAAACCACCTGCATCTTGAAGATGATATAGTTTCCCATCGAAGAAGTAAAAATCCGTCCTCATTGCTCTTATCGAATGCTCTTGCGGTTCCCTCCTTATCTGGTTTTGTTTTTCTGTTTTTTTCTTTCTGAATCTTCCAGAGAAAATTGTGATCTTCGATCTCTTGCCTTTAGGGTGAAACTGTTCTGAATGTAAGAACACAAATCATCTAATTAAAGCTGCAAGGATTTAGAGGTTAATCCCCTCCCAAAATCTCTTTCTTTTGTCATACCTAGATTCGATCATGGGCATAAATTTGCATATATTTTTTTGTGAATTGGGTCATTTGAATTTCTGTTTTGATTTTTCGTTATGTTTGGTGAATGTTGAGCCAATGAGGCAGTGAGAAGCAAATCTTGGATTTGAAAGTGTAAGAACTCCTTCTTGTAGATCTTGGAGTTGATGGGAAAACGTTGTGTAAGAACTCCTTCTTGTAGAAAGGTAATGTGGCTTACACCGTCTCTTTGAATCTATGTTAAGAAACCGGTTACTGAAAACTCTAGACATGTGTCTACAGTTATGGTCATGCATATGCTGCTGCAGAAACAACAACAACAGTAAGGCTCAAACCCGAAGCCAACACGGGTCCAAAGGAAAGGTCCATCCGGTAACCAAAATCGAGAAATGGGAAGAAAAGATCACTGAAGCTAACAACAACGGCAAGATCGTAAGCTTTTCTTTCTTCGATTCTTCTTCCTTTTTTTCTCTTCTATTTGGAGTAATTAACTAACTTGATCATTCGATCAAAACAGCTCGTGGTGTATTTCAGCGCGCCGTGGTGTGTACCTTGTAAAAAGATAGAACCAGTATTCAAAAAACTTTCTTCTAAATACCCTTCAATGATATTTGTAACCATTGATGTCGAAGAACTCGCTGTAAGTATTTTACTCAAAACTTGTGTTCTTGAGAAGAAGATTGGTTAAATCTGTTGAGATATGAGATTGAATTTGGTGGAAAAAAAATATATTGACAGGAGTTTAGTGATGAATGGAATGTGGAAGCTACACCAACTATCGTGTTCCTTAAAGATGGAAGACAAATGGATAAGCTCGTTGGTGCTGAAACCTCAGAGCTTCAGAAGAAAACTGCAGCAGCTGCAGATCTCCTTCTCAGAAAACCATAACTCCAAAAAACACACAACAGAGTTAGGTTTTTTACCATTGTCTGTCAGAAATTTGTTCAGAGAAATGGTTTCAAGAAGTTACTTGCGGGTGAAGTAAGTGTCAAAGGAGAAGAGTTTGGTGATGAATGTTTATAGTAGGAGCCATGGTTTAATTCTTTTTTAATTAGAGATCTTTTGTGCAGATGCATCTGCTTTCTCTTTTACTGTATTACCAAATGGTTCTAATCCTTCCAACACCAAACGAATTTCTCCTTGTGCATATTTGTTTAAAATTCTTTATTAATTTTACACATGAATTTTTTTTTTCTACTTTACTGTGTTAACTCTATTTGAAAACTTTAACAAACTGTCAAACACGGTAAAGAAAGAAATAATTTTACATACTAATCAAAATAAAGATGACAAAAGTTCGAAAATTTTAACGTATTTTTCAAACTCAAAATGGATTGGTCAATAACACACTATATGCTTTATGTTGGCAAATTACTAAGCTGCACGTTGAATTTTTTTTCTTATTTTTAAAAATTATGATTAAACCATGACGCCGAGTGATTCGTTCTTTTTCTTATAAAGAAAAAGATACAATCTATTTTAAATAGAAAAGAAAAAACGAAATGAATCTAGAGACAATTAAAGAGGGCTGTTTCTTGGCGATCTCCAAAGTTGACTTTTCAATTCCAATTCCAAATTGTTATAAGACTTATTAGGAACTGGACCTCAACTTTGTCTCAGATCAATGCAACTCTCAGATCTTAATTTTTCAGGGAAAAGAAAAATGAAGAGGAAAAAATATAAATATAATATACAAGTAAACTAATATATACAAGTCCGTTAATCCATATCATATCACCTTGACCATTATACAGTTTGGTTTTTATATGAGTATAGTTTATATATTGAGTTATTGTACTTCATGTGCCTGATCTGATTCATATTATAATATCTCGTCCTCCTCCTTGCTTGCTTGAAAGATCATCAACAAAGATTTATACACTACAGAAGAAGAAAAAAATAATTCATCAAAGGGAAGTCAATCATCAAACCATGATGAAGAAGAAGAAACAGAGCAGATCCCAATCTTCAGACAATAAAGATCCCAAGAAAACTCTTGAACCATCCTCAGATTCTTCACCCTCACCTAGGCTCCTCTCCATTTTCCGTTCTAAGGTAACTTCTCTATCTCTCTCTCTTTTCTTTATCTTCTTCATCTCTCTGTTCGATCTTTGATTCTTCCTGTTACCGGTTCTTGGTTTCTGGATTTGAGCTGTTGTGCTTCTTTTTTTTTTGTAGTTGGCAAGTGGTAAAGATTTGAAGCATATGTTCAGAGGCATGAGGAGTAAAACCGCGCCGGGGTTGTCTTCTCAGTCTAGAATCGTGAGATGTCCTAAGTGCCATAAGCTTCTCCAAGAACCTATAGATGCAACTACTTACAAATGCAGTGGATGCAACTCGATTCTCCAAGGTAACAATACCCTTCTCAAGTCCTCCTTACCCCTACTAATGTTTGCAAATAACCTTCCTTGTGCTTAGTGTTCTCTGTTTCTTGTCTTCTTTCTTTGGATGCAGCGAAACGTTGGGAACTTGAAAGCAATGTTAACTCTATTCCAGAGGCTCTCCTTTCTAATCAAAACCGTAGTTTAAGTACCGAGGTAGAATCTGCAGAAGGTGGTAGTAAAACTCCAATGAGGAGTACTCACAATTCGAGAGCATCCCCTTATGTTAACAAGCATGAGACATCCGATATACGGAGAGAATGGATGAGAAGAGCTGATGATTTCAGTGAGAACCGTGAGTCTGATGTGTTTGCTTCAACAAGAAGGTCTCCTTATAACTCACGCAGCAATGTCTCTGAGTGGACACAGCACGAGAGGAGATATGAAGAGCCAGCTCCTCATCAGGTTCCTTTCTATCCAGCAAGTCCTTCCCCTTCATCTGCATATGATTACGGCTACAGTAGTAGTCCTTTTCACGGGTCTCAAGCTTCTGCATCCGAGCAGTCTTATTATCATCAACACCATCAACCAAACCAATTCAAGCAATACGGAAGAGAAGGCTGGCTTCAAGAATCTTCTGCTGCTTCACCGGTTCGTTTTCCGGGTGAGACATCTGATGGAAAGTACAATCACTGGTCTTCTTCTCAGTCTCAGGCGCATGATCATAATCTATATGAGTCCAGCAGCTATGCGACACCGCATCGCTCTATGTACTCTGAGCGTAGTTATCAAGCAGATATAGCGCCACTTCGCTCTACGAGTGAGACAAGCAGTGAGAAGAGCTCTCTTAGGGACAAAAAAGAGTATGTCCGAAAGAGGAATCATGTGGTGAAACGCTATGTTCTTCCTTCGGCTGGTGGAGCGCCTTTTGCAACTTGTTCATACTGTTTGGAACTTCTACAGCTTCCTCAGGTGTCTCTCCACGGGAAACATAAGAGATATCAAGTGAGGTGTGGCAGTTGTTCCGGTGTGCTTAAGTTTTCTTCTGTTCGAGAGAAAGCAGATACTGTCCTCGATTCACCTAGCTTTGTGGCTTCCGGTACAGGATTTGCTGATGAGAGTATTACTCGTAATAATCAGGATTCAGCTTCAGAAGATGATTGTCGTCTGTCGAGTTCAGACAACGGCTCTGGAGATAGAATCTGCAAAAGCAACGATGCTGTTATCTTGAGGCAGAACCTGGAAACATTTGAGGACATTAAAGAAGACATGATAAGGAGCATATCAAGCGAATTTTTAGATTTGAAGTTGGAGGCGTTGCAGCCTCAGTGGAAGCCTTCGCTGAACCAGAAGCTACGGGAACAACAACCTGCATCAAGTGACACCATTGGAGAGACTTCAAGGATTCATCTAGAGGAAGCTCAATCAAAGAAGTCGACCGAGGTGGATGATAACGTTTTCGAAAGAGTCGGTTGCGATTTAGAGGAATCTGAAAATGAGATGAATGAGATTCTTACGCCAGAAGAGATGTTCGGGGATGGATCAGGGGAGTTCTTGGTTCCAGTATACAAGAACGAAAGGATGAGTGAATTAAGTGAAGACGCTGAAAGAGTTGCAGAGAGATCGGTATCTCATAGAGTGGAACCTCTATACAAGGACGAACTCATCTGTGAAACACGCGTACTGACTGAGAATGCTAGAGATTCTCACGAGTTTGATTGGGAGGAGACTCGAGAATATGGAGGTGAAAGTACATTGGAAGAGATCATGGGGGACAAACCGGAGTTGCATTTGGAGAGATCTCAGTACATTGGAGATTCTGTCAGTGACAGCAACTCAAGCTATGGTGAAACATGTGAGGATACATCAGTGAAGGAAGATACGGAACATATATCAAACACATATTCAGATGCGATGTCAGCTACACCACAGTCTCCCCTGAAACCTTTGGTGAACGATATACGACATCCTGAACAATCAGGAGAAGCTACATTTACAGTATCGCGGATCCATGAGGAGCAGTCCAAGTATGATGAATATGAGAACATAAGTGAAAGACAAGAGTTGGATAAGGCCATCAGTGACAGAGTCAGGTGTGATTTAGAGGAGTCTACTAGATACGAGACAAATGAAACTCTTGATTCGGGCAATGTAAGCGAAGATGGATCTGTTGTTTCTCTCAAGAAGGCGAGTGAAACATTCAAAACAAACATAGAAGCTGAGACAGGTGAAGAGAGATTGGTATCTCATCAAATAGATATTCCAAGAGAGAATGTAGAAAATTCATATGAAAGACTCGAACCACTTTATTTACAAGGAAGCGTGTATGCAGGTGAAAGAACATGGGGAGAGACAATGGGAGATAGAGCAGCGTTACATTTGGAGGAATATGAAAGCAACTACCATAATTACAGAAAACCATTTGAATGGACTTCAGAAGGAGCTCAAATGCATGAGTATGAGCTAGGGACAATACTTGAACCAGAGGAGGACGCTCAAGGAAGATCAGAATCCAATTCAAGGGGATCCTTCAATGACCATGAAAAATCAGGAGAGAGTGCTGTGTCTGAAGATGCTAAACCAGATCGGTCCCAGTATGAGTATGAGAACTCAAGCGAAAGACAAGAGTTGAGTAACACCGTTTTTGACATAGTAAGGTCTGAGTTTCAGGAGTGTAGATACGAGTCACATGAAACGTTTGAGCCAAGCAAGATGGTCGGAGTAGGATCTGCTGTTTCTCTTGAGAAGGCGAGCGAAACATTCATAGGCGAGACAGGCGCAGAAGAGCGGTCGGTATCTCATCAAATGGCGCCACAAAACAAGAATGTGGAAATCTCCTACAGAACAGATGAACCAGTTTATCTGGAAGAAAGCGGATGTGCAAGTGAAAGAGCATGGGCAGAGACAACAGGAGATGAAGCCGGGTTGCAGTTGAAGGAATATCAAAGCAATCCACATGAATGGACTTCAGAAAGAGCTCCAACATTTCGTCTGAATGAGTATGAACTAGGGACAGTGCCTGAAGCAGAAGAGGATGCGAATGGAAGATCAATATCAAGTTCAACAGATTCCTTCAATGACCATGAAAGTTCAAAAGAGAGAGATGTGGCTCATGAGGAGGAGGAAGAGTCTTGGCTGGTGGATGAGAACAAAACCGAAGAGCTCACAGTTGGTGGTGTAATGATGGAAGACAGGCCATCACTGCACTTGGAAGAGTGTGGAAATGAATCAACGAAATCGGAAGAGACATTTGAATGGACAGAAAGAACTCCAACGTTTCTTCTGCATGAGTCTGAGCTAGGTACAATGCTTGAACCAGACGAGGATGCTGATGGAAGATTGGAATCCAGTTCAACGGGTTCCTTCAATAACTATGAAACTAAAAAAGTGAGAGCAGTGTTTCACGAGGAGGAGCTACAAGTACGCGAAATGGCAGAAGATAGAGCATCCCTGGACTTGGATAAGTGTGAAAATGAATCAATAAAATCGGAAGAGACATTCGAATGGACTTCAGAAAGAGCTCCAACATTCCGTCTGCATGAGTATGAGTTAGGTACAATGCTTGAACCAAACAATCATGCTGATGGAAGATCAGAAACTAGTTCAAGGGGTTCCTTCAAGGACCATGAAATTTCAAAAGAAAGAGAGATGAATCATGAGGAGGAGCCCAGGCTGGTGACTGATAGCAGAACCGAAGCGCAACAAGTAGGCGAAATGGCAAAAGATACGGTATCACTGCATTTAGAGGAGTTCGAAAATGAATCAATGAAACTGGATGAGACATTTGTGTGGACTTCAGGGAGAGCTTTAACGTTTCGTTGCCGTGAGTATGAGTTAGGGACAATGCTTGAACAAGACGAGGATGCCGATGGAAGATCAGAATCTAGCTTAAGTGGCTCAAAAGAAAGATCAGGCGTAATGGCGGAAGATGGATCATCACTGCACTTGGAGAGGTGTGAAAATGAAAAAATGGTATCAGACCAGGCACTTGAAGCAAGGGATGATATATTCAGACTCAGTCTTGATGACACGTTTGAGTCAGAGAGGATGACGTTTCATTTGGAGATGTCACAAGACAAGCAAGAGAATCTAAGGCATTCCTCTAAACAAGGTGAGGCTGAAGAAGAGAGACCAGAGTTTGGTTCAAGGGTATCTTCAGAGGAGACAATGGCAGAGCATTTAGAGGATTTGCAGGAAGAGAAGGAGAAGTCAGGACTAACCTCTGAACCATACGCTCAGTTTTATACCGCAACGGAGCCCTGTGAGATTGTGGGTTTGCGTCATGCGTTATATCAAACGCAAACATCACCTCTACGGTCACCTCTCAGTTCACCAATTCATACTCCCATTGGTTCCCCATTGCATTACCTGATGGGTTCACAAATGCGTTCACCAATGCATTCCCACATAGTTTCACCGCTGCGTTCTCCCATCAACACATCTGGATCACTCTCTGATGTATTGTTCTTCGGCAAGAAAGCTTGATGCCAAACAGATAAGCATTCCTCCAAGCTTGCTCAGTCTTTTCCTCCCATGCTTTAAGACTTTATCTGCGATGCAAAACAGTGTGTGTACATTGTTTCATTTTTGTTTGCAAGGCTTTCTACATGTAAGAAAAAGAAAAAAGATTTAACAAGAGTTCTTACGATTCAAAACATAAACATTTACATCCAATTCCATCCAGAGAAATCATATACGCACAAAACAAAGCTAACACAAAAGATTTGCTCCCCCGGGAGATCGAAACCATTAAAGTAACAAAGATCAATGAAAAGCATCTGACTTTCTGTACAATAAAATCAGTAACTAAGCATATCTCCATAGAGAGGCAAAGTCCAGATCATATGAACATTATAAAAAAAAATCTGCTCCCAGATGATGTGTCCACTTAGACAGCACTAAGGTCAATGTTACTCTCTTGAGAGAAGACTCAAATAAAAATTTGTTATCTTCAAAATTTTAAAACCCCCGTTGGAAATTAAGCTAAAGCTTACTCTGTTTTTCTTATCTTCAAAGAGAATGAAAACAGAACAATCGACAAGAAACTTCCATGAGTAGTCGTAGACTACATTATTAGCTTAAACTGAGATGAAAAAAAGTAAAAAAGCTAAATTTCAAAAAAGAAACTTTCATATGTAATTTGAGAAAACAACTCTACAAATTGTTTTTCGGGTTTTACAAAGTGTAGACTAAGCCACAAAACAACTCTATAAATTACTCAGCTGACAAATGCAAGAAACTCAGAAACTGGCAAAACTCTCCTTCCTCTGTTCTTCTAAATTTTCTGTGACTTGTTACTTGTCTTCTACTTTTGGTTTCTCGACGAATGTCTTCTTTATCCAATCAAATGGCTGTGTCCGTGAAGAAGAACATGTCAGATGTTTCACGAGGACCCTGAGTTTAAGGACCGGCCAATTCAAACACAATGCGAGTGCTAGTGACTCAATGCAATGCTTATTTTCTTCCTTGATTTCAAAATTTTACTGGAATGATTTGCAACAAAATTTTACAACTTTTGACTCTGTTTTACCGCAGAGACATTCGTCTCATTGATATGTTCAATGCCACCCAAAATAAAATTTCACTGTTGCGAGTGAAGCTTTTAGAATCTAGGAGCAAATTAAGTAGGATTTTTTTAAAAAAAGTCTGACTTTGGAATTGAAATCGAGATAAAGTGAAATTTAATCACAAGTCCATCTTGGTCTACATCAAAGTTGCGATCACAGATCAAAGTTTTCCTCTTTCCTCTAAAATGTGCCAAAAAAAAACATTGCTACTACCTTCTATACAAGTTATGCCTATAGAGTCAAACTAGAGATAAACTCCCAACAGATCCCAAATCAGGAAACAAACCAAAATTCAACGACTACTCTTGCTGAACTCTTGCTGAAGAAACGATGCTCCCGACAAGATACATGGGGAGAGAAGAGAGAACTGGAGACTTACTTGGACGATTCAGACGGCGGTAGCGGCGGCGTCGTCCTGGACTTCCGTAGATTGGAACCGGGAACTTGGTCTCAAACTCTTTCGAGCATTGTTGCTTCTCCTACCATTCCCGTTTTCGATCTCTCCGTACCTCCTTCGAACCTCACCAGAATCCTGGAATAATTATCTCGATTTGACCCCAAGAAAACAAATTATCTCAATTTGACCCCCCAAAAAACAAATTATCTCAATTTGACCATTCGTTTTTTCTTTGTTTTCACACTCCATGCCATCCTACATGTAGACAATCGAACATCGTGCCGTTTAAACACTTATTTCTTAAGCTTTGTGTGACTAATCAGATCAAGTACACCAAGCAATCATATGATCGTCTAAACACAAATAATTAATGCAATTATATTATTCTTTAGTTAGACATTGAGACGTTACGTCTTCACGGGGCACAAAAGGTCAACTGCTACTCATTTGTAGGATTTGAAACAAAACAGCAAAAAATCTAATCAAACCAAATCAAAAACCCATTGTGTTTCTCAGCTTCTGTACAAATCTCTCGTTTACCTTAAAATAGTACAAATATTGCCTGATTACAAGTCTAGTTTGGGAGTATCTTCGACTTTCCCTAATTAAACGGCATTCTTCATTACACTAATTGATGTTTAAAATCAGAATCACTCACTCTCACACACGCACACATACTTGTCAAAATGGCCTAACTATATCAGCTCGAAACATGGGTTTATGATCTTTGCCATGTGTTAAATGTTAAATTTCTACGTGGCTCAATAGATTATTCTAAATTTTGTGTTTCCATGAAAAGAACTGTACTTAATATTTTATATTTATAATCCTTTGCATAAAATTAAAAGTGTAATTTTTTAGTTTTTTTAAGGATTTTGTTACGAATTTAGAAATATTTAATTTTGGTTATTTAAGACGAATTTACTTATTTTTTCTATGGTTGAATGTCTAACAAATGAAAAAAACAAACAAATGAAAACTAACTTTATATATATATATATAAGAAAAATCAAAGTAGTCATGTCATGTTTATAAAAAATCCACGTTTATTAAAAGATTTTTGGACTTTAAAAACAGTTAGACCACATAAAATATATGTAATGAATTCGAATTTTAGGATTTGTGAGAGAAATCGAATCTAAGGAGATTATGACTGTCTTGAAAGGAGGGATACTGAGAGAGTGTGGTGGAAGAAGCTTCCGTTTCATTACCTCAAAGTTGTGACTTCAATGTTAAATAAGTAATCAAACAAATATTTTTCTGTTTTTTTTTTTTTGAATTTTCCATTGAATTTCCTTTTGAAGTCTTTTTCTCGCTTTTTTATCATGTTCCCCTGAACAAAAATTTATTCTCTTTCCAATGAGAACTTTCTCATTGTAGATATGATATATGAAGCTTCCCACTTTTTTCCTTGTTTATTTCCCTTTTGATCGCACAAAATTTATTTGGTGAAAAACCAAATGTTTGGGGTTGTACTACTACAATTATTGGTCCCAGCATGCGATACCCACTCACACTCCTTTTGTCATAACTCTCTCTATTTACACATCATTATCAACTGTACGTGTTTGATTCACGCTCACGCACCGTTTTTACAAATATGAAAGTTGAACCGTATTAAATGACTATACCAAAGTTTTTAAATGATTCATTTTAAGCACTTTGATTGCATATATTCATTGTTCAATCAAGAGTACAGTCAATTTAATGATTCGAACAATAAATGTCAGAACCCTAAATCTTATTGTACGTCGTGTAATAAAAAAATTGATTATTTCTATTAAGTAGTATAACCCACAACAACATGCAGAAACAATGTTTCATTCGCTAGGGGGTTGTGTTTGTCTTGTAGTGATCGATCCATAGCTATCTATAGACTATAGCCCTCCTCTCTTATTAAATTTGTCTACACAACTTGATGACTTGTGCTCATATTTAATCTTTACATTCTCTTACATTATTTACACATATTAGTTGTCACTTGTCTACACAACTTGATGACTTTTATTGTATTTCATTGTACTATGTGGTCCATTTGACGATTCTAAATATGTATATATATGTTGAGAACAAATTGGTGGAATATACTCAAAATTGTTAGAATATAACGTGGTGGAACATAATTTGAAGTTGTCGATCGTGGCTAAAATCAAAAGTCTATGCGTAAAGATGTAACATTGGCTTAGAAATGATTTTTCTCTTTTAAGGCAATTAAAAACTTTGTTGCAAAAGAAAAAACTAGAAGAATTTGTTTGGGTATATATACAAGAGAGAATTAAGTTTTTGTTAAGATAAGTTGAAATACTCAATAAGAAACGAGAGTTTAGTTTCGATCTTGTTAGCGAGCACGAGTTTGCGAGACACGCGTCTCCGTGGTGGAACATGCTCTATGTTTGGTTCTTAGTTAGGTTACTATTCATAGATTAGGAACTAGGCAATATAATAGCGATAATGATTAATATCAATAATTTTACTTGAATAAGTAGTAGTGGCGGCTTCATTTTTTTTTCTATTTTTGCAGTCCAATACAAAGAAAGAAAAATAGTGGTGGTTTCAATGTTTTTAATGGTAAACAAAGAAAAATATATATGTTCAAAATGATCAAATCCACTAGTATAGTAGAGCCCTCTTTTTTAAGACGAATTATATAACTAAAAAATAAAAAACTGATATATATCATCATGTGAGAATTGCATAATCATGATTTTGTAATGCAACATTGGTCCGATTTTATTATGATGGGTTGTACTTTTTTCTAAACTAGGAGGTCACCTTCCAAATACAAATGAATAGGTCGCCACCACACCGGAGGTTTTCAATCGATTGGTAAAAAAATTAGTTAATGGAAGATATCAGGATACTATCTATTAACTATTTCTACGAAGACAGCTAAGACTCAGATTAGATTAAACACAAACTTAATATACTTTTAATCATTCTTTTATTGTTTATTTCCATTGTCAACAACTCTTCTCCCTTTGACTTTTCCTCGCATCATCCCCTTGTAAAACAGTTTTATAACCTTTTCAATTATTCCGGTGACTCTAATTAACAATATTGTTATCAACATAGCTATAGTTTATTGGATCCTTTCAATTGGTCGACGTACGTCGGAGGCCAATCCTCATTCGATAGAGAGATATTTTTAGACAGTTAATGCATAGTGAGTAAAAACTTAAAATCAGAAGAAAAAACAAAAATGCCGGCCTAGTAAATTTGTTTTTTTTTTTAAAAACAGTACTATATGTAAAATTAGATATTGAATTTGCCAGCTGTTTTTTACATAAAACTTCAACTAGATAACGAACTTTTTGAATTTATGAAATTGTTTACACACAACAACCACACTTTAGAGCATTAACAACGGATCTCATTTATGAACCTGAGGACAAATTTGGACCGAAGCTATTGGCTTCTGAAGAAGAGTACTAGTAGTAGCTATCCCAACTTGGATCAACTAAAATCCTAACCTAAAATATCTTATTATACAATAATTTATTATATTATTAAATTATTGTAGTCATTAGTCAATAGTTTCTAGTTTAGTTTATTTTTGTTCTGAAATTGATTTATCAATAAACCATACGCCTGTAATTCAATTAGTGTACTAAAGCATCAAATTAAAATTTTAGCGGTACTAATTTTACATTCTCTTGTCACAAGACCCGAAAACTTGTGGTGATAAAAAAGTGTGCTCATATTTAATCTTTACGAATTTAAAATAATGGTAACTGTTCTGAAACCAAATCAGTTTTTTTTTAAAGTAAAAAAAAAAAATCGACAATCAAACATGAATTTTTTTTCTTCTTATTCTGTAATTTTACCAATCCAACTTATTTTGTCTTAATATAAATATATCACCAATCATTAATTAAGACTTGGTTAGAGGAGAGTGAGGGACCAACGTACCAGACATCTCTTAAGAGAAGAGAACCCAGTACAGTGAGCCGAGACCACCTACACATCTTTTCATATTTCTATGATATTAGGACAAAAGGTAAACTAAGTAAATGTAAACAAATTCATGCTAACTTGTCGTTATACCTTTTCACGAAGCTTAACATGTATAATATATAAATATTAAAAATGTATTAAGCCTAACTATACATTTTCCACGAAACGAACAAAAGTGATTCCCAGTGAACGAAAATACTTTTCAACAATAGATTGTGTTTCTTATTATATAATATCGAGTATACATATTATAATTAAGCCTAATATAAAATAGTTTCTAGAAAAAACAATTAGGGTAGAAAAGTGTAGTTTTTGATACGCCATATTTTTAATATATTATAATGAGGTGAGTTGATAAGTTAGTCTAACTGAATTTTGGATACTTTTTAGTTTTTATTCATATGATTCTTTCAACGTAATTCGATATAGATATGTTGACCCAATATTTTAGATATATGAAAAATATCCAAAATTCAGTTATATTATATGTCAGAACAATTTTCAACTTTTTTTCTATTAGTAAAAAAACAACCTTTTGTTCAGAGATCTATCTGAAAGTAGGTTTATTTCTGGTATACAACTACATGATAATAGCAGACATGATGATACGATTATTCAAGCAAATGCAATCTGACTATCTCACTAGATCAAGAAAGAGTACTGATATAATGCAAACATTTATCAGGTTATTGAAGAAATTGAATGATCCTAATAAGTGAGCAAAAACTCTTTATTCCGTTCTCATTGTGGGAAGAATAACGTCATCGCCACGTCATTGAATTACGTCACGAGGCTCACATATGCAAATGAAAAAAAAAGTTGGATAAGTTCATCCCCCTCTCTGTCTCTTTCCATCTCCTTTCCTCACATCTTCCTCTCTCTCCAAAAAAAAAGATCTCATCATTACAAAACCTCTTCTCTCCATTATATTTACACACACACTTCTCTCCTCTTTAATCATACAACCCACAACACCAAGAGGGAAAGAAAAAAAAAAAAACACCCACCAAAGAACTCTCTCAAAATCAACAAAATGGATATTAATAGTAATAACAAAGCAATAATGGTAAAAGCTAAGGACCGACTCTTTCAAGGCCGCGAGTATTTCATTAAGCTTCAGCAACTCCTCTCTCAACTCGGGTTGGGTCAGGGACCAGCGGAGGATCTCGTTGCCAAAATCTCGGAGACTTTCAATGACACAATCTCTGTTCTTGATTCCTTTGAACCCATCTCCTCCTCCTCCTCTCTCGTCACCGCCGTCGAAGGCTCTCAAAATGCTTCTTGCGACAACGACGGCAAGCTTGAAGATTCCGGCGATAGTCGGAAAAGATTGGGACCCGTTAAGGGCAAAAGAGGATGCTACAAGAGAAAGTAAGTTTCACCTTTTTACTTCTTTTTTTCCGATTACAAGAATTTGAAGAATCCGAGTAATGATATGGTTGTGGACCTTGTGGTATTAGTAAAAACCATTAAGTTATAAGCTCATGTCTCTTTCTTACTTATTTACCATAGTTATAGTTATATTATATAGTCCGTTGTGAGTATATAATTTTGATCATTGGATTCATACCAATAAAGAAGGTGATCATTATAGTGTAGTGGTTGGTCCACAAACAAACAAGCTATACATTTAGATTTGGTTACAAGAATCATAATTACATAAAAAGCCAAATGTTTAATTATAGATTTACAATATTTTGAGCAGGAAGAGATCGGAGACGTGGGCTGTAGAGTCGACCACACTTGAGGATGCATTTTCTTGGAGGAAATATGGACAAAAGGAGATTCTTAATGCTAAATTCCCAAGGTCAGTTTTACCCCTAATTATATTCATTCACATATATGTCATATGTAAAGAGACATGTTGTACAACTATTCATATGTGACATGTTGTTGGGTATTATTAATACATGGACCGATGTTTATATCTACCATCAATGTGGGTCTAGATTGAATTGGTTGTGGAATATTAAATTTGGCCTAATCCCCTTTTTTTTTCGTTAATGTTTTGCAGAAGTTACTTTAGGTGCACACACAAGTACACACAAGCGTGCAAAGCAACAAAGCAAGTGCAGAAGCTAGAGCACGAACCCAGGATGTTCAACATCACATACATTGGAAACCACACGTGTAACACCGTCGAAGTAACACCCAACATCAAGCCTTGTGATAATCATGATGAGGATTCTGAAGAGCGCAAGAGTCCTAGTTTGACTACCTCGATGAAGGAAGAGGAAGAGAATCATCATGGTTCGTCCACGGAGAGTGACTTGCAACTGGTGTGGCAAGAAATGTTGGTGTTTCAAGAGGAAGATCATCATCATCATCATCATCATCATGACGCTATTTATGGCTGTGGTGAAACTACTGCGTCTATTAATGGTTTGGATTCCACGGATCTTTGGAGTTGGCAGCGATTTCCAGGTTCAGAGACAATGAACAGCTCTCTTACTTCGGACCATGTTTCAATCTAGCTTTATTTTATTACATTACTATAGAATGGAACATCTATATTTTGTCACCTTCTCTAGAGAATTAATCATCAGGTTTGTAGAATGGAAGATATATATATATATGGTGCCCTCTTCTCTAATGAGTGTCCGTACTGTATATATAGTAGAATATTGTAATAATACTCTTGCTGAATTAATCATTTTCTTTGATCTACCGTACCTCATTTTTCGTATTATTCAGAGATATATTTACTAGTGTTTTCCTGTAATTAGCACATCAATGAGAAATATTTTATCTCTATGATAAGAACAATCATGGAGCTTTTTATATATATATATAGAGGGCCTAGAGATTTATACATACCAAGTTGGAGTTGGGATGTTTGTCTGTTTGCAAAAGAGGACCAGGAAATAGGAGAAATCATCAACACCTCAAGTAGTAAATATATATGAACAAAGTACAACTCGACGAATGGGTCCTTTTCCAATTTCTTTTTCCCTAAAGTCATTTTCTATTTTTTTTTGCCATTTCTTTGTATTATCGGATGGGAAAATATTATAAAATGGAAAACACATTAAAACGTACGTGACCCTATATATTTAGGGATAAGTGTCGTCTTCTGGTCACAAAAATACAAAATGGTGAACAAAGGGACAAAATGCGGATTAGACATGAGACGTGAGACATGACACAGAAAGCAATGAAACACACTCTACTTTGGTCTTGATTCATTTGGTTTGCAACACAACAAAAGTAAAACCCCAACAAGTTCATCACATTCCGAACCTTGTGATTTTGATATTCAAGACAAAGTTTAAAGTATAGGAAATGTTGAGAAAAAGACCAAAAAAAATAACATGTTTTAGACGTAAGTATAATGGGTTTTTTTTTTGGGTCAAATTGTATAATGGGTTTTTATGATGAAAATTTTGATTTTCTCTAGCTTCATGAAAATCTTTCACAAGTTGATCAAGCTGAAAATTTACCAAACAAACAGTTTTATGACCTGTTGTTGAAAAAACTGAATTTAAATCACTGTCCCAGTTCATATCATCCCTAATGTGTATTCTATCATTACGAAAGTTATATAATTTAGATGATAAATGTAGTATAGAGCATTTTGTATTCTGCATGTAGAATCTTTGCAATTGAAAAGAAATCAAATTCCTTTCTATTTTCTTCATATTTCTTCAAATATAATGAGAATGTTGCTCACTTCACTAGATTAGAAACCATTTTTATCAATTCAAAATTATCTGTGACAAAAGCCACTGCCAACCTCTTAACATCCTGTATACAATGTATTGCCCATGTTAATGTTTTTAATTCCAAAAGTAACATTTTGTATTGTTTTTCAGATTTAAATGAATATTAATTAACAAATATTCTGGGTATTTTATTATCAGTTTTTAGAATAGAATATGTTATTGTGTACATTAATTAATTGTCAAATGGTTAGTCGAATTTGATGAAATCGTGAGTATGAAAATGGTTATCATGTGTATCCAATTCATTTTGAAAAAATTACTGAGATTAATTGGGCACACAACTTTTGAACTGAAAGAAAGAAATCGGACAAGTTTAAAATAAATATTGGAACTTCCAAAAACGTATAAAGACCAAACCCAACAAAGGCTTTCGCGTACCTAAAACAAGCCCATCAAATTCCCCAACAAACGCTCTCGCATACATAAAAACAAAAACCACACGAAGTGCACCTATCATTCACCGAAATGGCAACGGTCATACATAAAAACAAAAACCACACGAAGTGCACCTATCATTCACCGAAACGGCAACGGATACATACAGAGGCGGGAGCATTAGGTTTACCAATTCCAGTTTTTCTACTTGGTTCACTTTTTGATTATGAATTCAGATTCGGTCGATTGTTGCTTCGTTAAATTCTAGACGTTTCTTGCGGTCCAAGATTCCTCACAATCGGACTAAAATAACAAATTGTAACTCATAAAATAAATTGCCTCAAGCGAGAGATCTTTATTGTTTTTTAGTATTTTTCTTTACAAATCTATAAAGAACAGGAAGTGCTTCCAGATGACCAAGACAATCTTTGCCATCGTTTGGGATCTTTAATTTTTTCTTAGAATAAAAAAAATAAAATCAAGAAGAATTCTATGAGCTTTTGAGTCTAAAGCAGATCTTCAGCTTCTGCAGTTTAAGAGATGACACTTGAGTTTCTCTACATCCGATAGTTTCAATGGCTTCTGCATAAACATTTGCGCTCCACTCGCTAAACATCTGCGAATATCATCAAGAAAATGACAGAATCCTAATTCACCACCGAACCAATAAAAAAACAAGACTCATTATGAGAGAAATAATAAGTTTACTTGTTGATGCGAGTAGGAATGTTCTCTGAAGACAATATCACAACAGGTACTTCCTTTAGATTCGACGATTCTTGCTGTCAGTAACCAAAAAAAAACCATAGAAACCAAGAAAAAAAAAAGTATGTTAGTATCTGAATCTCCTCAAGAAGAATCTTTGATCCATTACAAGTTTGTTAAAAATTAACCTTTACTATCTTGAGCAGCTCGAAACCTGTCATTCCTGGCATACAGTAATCAGTGATGATAAGATTCACCTTCATAACCTGAAGAAACAACGAAAATGTCACAGATATCATTTAGATTTACACAACTAGATCCTCTCTAAACCTATCAAAATGGTGTTGCTCTCTGAGGATTAAATACTCGAAGACTAAGCTTACATTGGTGGTAGTTAATGAATCAGTCTGTTGTGGATCTCCCAAGCCTAAGTACTCCAGTGCTCTTAGCCCATTTTCTGCTGTGGTCACTGCAAAAAAAAAAAAGTGAAATCAATCTTCACATTTCAGAGGCAATTATACAATAGTATAGAGGAATCTTGGTCCTTGAAATTTAAAAGGAACAGGTTTGGAGATTTGAGTGATATGATTTACCTTTGCAAGAAGAGATCTTGAGGATTCTCTCTACGAGTTTACGGTCAATTAGATTGTCATCTACTGCTAAAACATGAAGCTCTTCCTCCATTGACATTTTACTTTTTGTGCAATGAAGCTATTGAGAAAGAAAGAAGAAATGATATAAGTCAGACGTTAATACAAACACCTTGTGAGTAAAGTGTTTCTAATGTTCAAATCTAAAGTATAAAGAGGCAAACGTACAGATGAAGAACAAAAGAGACAATTGACAAATCTAAAAGACTTGAGTATGAATGTATGAAGAATATATAATATTGTAATTTTATGTTTTCAATTTATATATGGAATATATAGGATAACAACATATCAAGAGGTGATTTGATATGATTTTATCTTGCTTATAATTTAAGAAACAAGTTGCGTTTTTGTTCTTGATATTGATTGATTCTCTGGAAACTTGTAAGAAACTTGGTGTTTATGTCAGTGACAGTGCTTTGGGATCTTGTACGATGATAACGAAAATCTAAATATTAATTTTTATTTTCCATTTGCTTGGCTTTTCTGATCGTGGGAATAAAGAAGGTGCAAATTTCTATTCATTTTTTTAAATTTCAAAATAGATCACAAATCTGTATAAGAATCTCGGATACGAAGTCCCCACGATTCTCTGATCCTCAAAATATATGTGAATTTTAATCTTATTTTAAAATATTGGATTGTTGGATGAATTTAGTTCTACTTTATCCACTAATAGACTTATCTTTCACACAGTCTTTGGGATTTGCTGGGCCCTGTTTCATTTGTTTATGGGCCTGAATAACCAGATAAGCTCAGTACCCTCTCTAATGGGCGAGTTGGACCCATCTTATCAAAACTATTTTACCAATCACCAAGGATTGAAAAAAAACAAATAATCAATACATATAAGAAATTTGGTAACTGCAGAACAAATTAATTTTTATATCTATTAATGGCTGGTCCTAAATGCTAATGCTGTTATGACAGATGAAGTTTCGAGTAAAAATTAAATGTGCGAAATAAATACTATAAAACGAACAAAGAGTAAATAATATAGATGGGAAAGTGAAGAAGAAGAAGAAGAGTAAATGTGAATTCCTCTACGTCCGGCTCACACTGCCCAAAAAATTCCTTCAAAGCTCTTGTAACAGTATGAAATTGACCATAGATTTAATTTTTAAATAGTCTTTTTTGTTAAAAATGTAAATAGAAACAAATAGTAAATTCCAAAATCTCCATGAAGGGTTGTTTTCTCTCCATGGGGAAAAGAGTTGTTTTTTCATTTTTATTTTGAATAAAATAATTTTACTGTCAAAAAGAATATAAAAAATTAAAACATCGGCATGGAGAGAGACCGAAGTCTGGTAAAATGTGTCTCGACGCGGACCAAATCTCACACGAGAAGAGAAGACAACAATATAAAAATTCCAAGTGCACACACACTTAACGGATTATATCGTGTTTTTTTTAAAATACACTACTGTTCTAAATATTTGTTTTTTTAACTGTTTTATTTGGTGGCAATAAGTGTTTGACACTTAGTTATTCAACCGCATTTCTATCTGTAAAAGTTCACATAATGGATGATTCCTTGCACAAACAGAAGATCCCAAATTAACATCTGTTGCTCCTCCAAGTCAACCAAAATCCTTAGATTTATGATCCTATTTCAAATTATTAAAATTTAAAACCCATGATTTAGTTATTACCTATCATTTACATTTGTATGATACACAAAATCATACAATGACCAGGACGCTGCAAACTTGCAAATAAATGAACAGTATAGTATGGTTGCAAACTTGCAATTATTATTCTAACAACTAAGAAGAAGTGATTTCTATTTTCTAACACCACAAAAATATTTTTTTTCCAGGTCAGCATCCTCACCAACTTACTTTAATGTTCTTTCTTCAAAAACAAAATACGAATGAAAACGGAAAATTCAAAAAAAAAAAAAAAAAAAATCTATGGTGACCACTTTACCACTGTCTCTTTCTGCATATTTACCCAAAATACCTATTATCTGCATGAGAATAACAGAACCCAACCACATTCCAAACTTTTTCCATTTTATGTGAAAGATTATTGTTAGCTACAATTGAATCAAAACCAAGAGGCCAGAGCATGTTAACCCATTAAAGAAAAGTTTCTATTATTATAGAAGGATAGTTTAGTCATTTAGCTCTATTTCTTTCTTTATGAGTTGGCCAATCATTTATTCATTACTCAGGGAAAATTTTAAAAGCCACGTGTATGCCAAGTCAGATTAATCCAACCCAACCATACTTAGACACGTGTCATTTCCGAGTTAATGAGTCCACCCACCTTCCTCGGGCCCCACGTCCCTCTAGATGGGACCCACAATCTCTTCTTTCCAGCCCGTTGATAAAGGCAGCTTTTAATTACTCAGCCTTCCCCTTTCTCTTTCACTGTGCTTTTTCTCTTTTGTTTATTGCTTCTTTTTTCTCTCTTCCGCAAATTCACTGTTCTTTAAAGCTACTAAACCTACAAGAAGAAGCTCGTGTTTCACTCCCTTTTTTCATTTCCCTGAATTTTCCCCTGAGCTACATTTTTCTTCGTCGGAAAGCTCCCCGGAGAGAATTTTGACCAGGTAAAAGGATTTCTCATTCCCAGATCGTAGCTTCTTTCACAAGCTCGTGTTTTTTTTTTCTTCGACAAATTGTTTTAAAAACACTCAAAATTGCTGATTTTTCTCAACATTATCCCTCTTTAACTTACTCATTCTCTCGAGGATTGATTTATTCTGGAATTTCTAAGAGTTTCCGGTCAATTTAGTAACTTCGTTTCCCCTATTTTCTTCTTGTTTTTGTTTTTTCTTCTTCTCTGTGTGTTGAAAATGTAGCCGTTGTTTCGGATTTTTGTTGGTTTCTTGTGCTGAATCTCACACCAGAAAGCGAACAAATAAGCTTTTGTGTTCATCTGTACGGTCTTTTAATTTGTTGTTCATCAATTTTTTTTTTCTTTCTAATTTCAGCTCTACTACATACCCCCAAAAATGGAGTTCTTCCGCAACTAAAAATCTGTAGAACGGAGAAGTGGATAGTCGGAAAAGATGTATAAGGCGCTGGTTATTTCACTCTTGTTGGTGTCGGTGGTGGCTTCTCTTGCTCCGGTGAGATCTCTAGACCCGCCTTTAAACGACGACGTTTTGGGGCTCATTGTCTTCAAGGCCGACTTGCGAGATCCGGAGCAAAAGCTCGACTCTTGGAACGAAGATGACTACAGTCCCTGTAGCTGGAACGGAGTCAAATGCCACCCGCGAACGAACCGAGTCACTGAGCTAACCCTAGATGGCTTCTCTCTCTCCGGTCGAATTGGCCGTGGGCTGCTCCAGCTCCAGTTTCTTCACAAGCTGTCTCTGTCCAACAACAATCTCACCGGAACCATCAACCCTAGTTTGCTGCTGAGCCTCGTTAACCTTAAAGTTGTCGACTTGAGCAGCAATGGGCTTTCCGGTTCGATTCCTGATGGGTTTTTCCGGCAATGTGGGTCCCTGCGAGCTTTTTCTCTGGCGAAAAACAAGCTCACGGGGAAGATTCCGGTTAGTATAAGCTCGTGCTCGTCTCTCGCTGCTTTGGACTTGTCTTCAAATCGCTTTTCTGGGTCTATGCCTTTGGGGATTTGGTCTTTGAACACACTTAGATCCCTTGATTTGTCGAGGAATGAGTTAGAGGGAGAGTTCCCTGAGAAGATAGACAGATTGAACAACTTGCGAGCGATTGATTTGAGTAGAAACCGGTTATCTGGTCCTATACCTAGCGAGATTGGGAGCTGTATGCTGCTGAAGACTGTTGATCTTAGTGAAAACTCTCTGTCAGGGAACTTACCAGAAACGTTTCAGCAGCTCACTCTGTGTTATTATCTAAACTTGGGTAAGAATCTGCTAGAAGGTGAGGTTCCAAAGTGGATTGGAGAAATGAGGAGTCTTGAGACTTTGGATCTTTCCATGAATAAGTTCTCAGGGCAAGTTCCAGACTCCATTGGTAACCTTCTAGCACTGAAAGCTCTCAACTTTTCCGGGAACGGGCTTATCGGTAGCTTGCCCGGTTCAACAGCCAACTGTATCAACCTCTTGGCCTTAGATGTTAGTGGGAATTCACTGTCTGGTAAGCTTCCCGTTTGGATATTTCAAGACGGTTCTCATGAAGTTTCTGCACTGAAGAATGATAACTCTACTGGAGGTATCAAGAAGATCCAGTTTTTGGATCTCTCAAGCAATTCCTTCTCAGGTGAGATTGGAGCTGGTCTAGGAGATCTTCGAGACTTGCAAGGTCTGAATCTATCAAGAAATCTTCTCACCGGCTCTATCCCCAGTACCATTGGGGACCTGAAGCATTTGAGGGTCCTTGATTTAAGCCACAATCAGATTAATGGAACGGTTCCTCGAGAAACCTGTGGAGCTGTTTCTTTGGAAAAGCTGAGACTCGAAAACAACATGTTAGAGGGAAGTATCCCATCTTCAATCAAGAATTGCAGTTCCCTTCAGTCTTTGTAAGTCTCCTTTGCTCTCTAAGTTGTATTTAGTTATTGGTTTCAGGTTTGCTTGCCCAATGAAGATCCTGTATTAACCTTTGGTCTGTTTCATGTTACTTCTCTACAGGATCCTGTCACATAACAAGTTGCTAGGCTCAATTCCACAAGAAATCGCAAGACTTACAAACCTCCAAGAAGTGGACTTATCGTTCAACAACCTGAACGGAACGCTTCCTAAACAGTTGGCTAATCTCGGTTATCTTCACACATTCAACATATCTCATAACCACCTCTCCGGAGAACTACCTGCAGGTGGAATCTTCAACGGTCTTTCCCCTAATTCAGTATCAGGAAACCCGGGAATTTGCGGTGCTGTTGTCAACAAGTCATGTCCGGCTGTCTCTCCTAAACCGATTGTCTTGAATCCTAACGCAACTTTAGATCCTTATTCGGGTGAAAGGGTGCCTCCTGGTGCTGGTCACAAGAGAATACTCCTTAGTATATCTTCCTTAATAGCCATTAGTGCTGCTGCAGCCATTGTGGTTGGTGTAATAGCCATCACAGTGCTTAACCTGAGAGTGCGTGCAACAACGGTTTCAAGATCAGCTGTACCGCTCACTTTCTCCGGCGGAGATGACTTCAGCCGATCTCCTACAACTGATAGCAACTCAGGGAAGCTCGTGATGTTCTCTGGTGAACCTGATTTCAGCACGGGAACGCATGCTCTGCTCAACAAGGACTGTGAGCTTGGTCGAGGCGGGTTCGGAGCAGTGTACAGAACTGTTATCAGAGATGGATATCCTGTGGCTATCAAGAAGCTCACTGTCTCGAGCCTCGTCAAGTCACAGGAAGAATTCGAGAGAGAGGTCAAGAAGCTTGGGAAACTCAGGCACGCGAATTTGGTTAAACTCGAAGGTTATTACTGGACAACATCTCTTCAGCTTCTTATCTACGAGTTCCTCTCTGGTGGGAGTTTATACAAACACTTACACGAAGCACCAGGAGGTAGTAGCTCGCTTTCTTGGAATGATCGGTTCAACGTGATCCTCGGTACAGCGAAATGCTTAGCCTATTTGCATCAATCAAACATCATCCACTACAACATCAAATCGAGCAACGTGTTGCTAGACAGCTCTGGTGAGCCTAAAGTGGGAGATTACGGATTAGCGAGGCTGTTACCGATGCTAGACAGGTACGTGCTGAGCAGCAAGATACAGAGTGCTTTGGGATACATGGCACCAGAGTTTGCATGCAGAACGGTGAAAATAACAGAGAAATGCGATGTTTATGGATTCGGAGTGTTGGTTCTTGAAGTGGTGACAGGTAAGAAGCCTGTGGAGTATATGGAAGATGATGTTGTGGTTCTGTGTGATATGGTGAGAGAGGCTCTTGAAGATGGAAGAGCAGAGGAATGTATCGATCCGAGGTTGCAAGGGAAGTTTCCGGTGGAAGAAGCTGTTGCAGTGATAAAGCTAGGGCTTATTTGCACTTCTCAGGTTCCGTCAAGTAGACCACACATGGGAGAAGCTGTTAACATATTGAGGATGATCAGATGCCCTTCAGGGAGCTCAGATGAGTTGGGTTCGAGCTGAAAGGTAATAAAAAAAAGCTAACATGTCTTAATCACTAGTAAGTTCCGGCGAAGGGGAATCCGGTTTGTTCATTTGGGTTTTGTAAGAGAGACCCTTGTGTTTTGTTTGTTATTTTTGATAAATCTGTTTGTGTTTTATTATGTATCTGTTAGTTTCATTTCAATGTTTGTAGTAGCTTCCTATGTTTATTGTTCTTATAACATTTTAGGGGTTTTATCGGATTTGTCTTCACCGGGTTCCATTAGTTGGGACTCTTTTGATGGAATCTTCATTTTCAAGTTTCAATTTCTTGTGAGGTAAGCAAAAATGTAAGGTTAATGAAATAGGGTTATGAAGAAAAGCAAATATCAAGAAAAGGTGGTGTGATGAAGCTATCTGAATTATTTAAATCAATAGGGAGTAAATAGAAGCTTCGTTTTGTTGGAACCATGTGCTTCATGGGACTCTGCGAAAGAAAACACATCAATTTATTGAGTCTGATCTTTACTGGATTATGGAAATCGAGGAAACGTCTCAAGAAGTGGTATAGTATTAAAATACATTATAGATTTACATTTTGGACAGAAGAACCCTAATTAAGTTTCAATGGCCAAGAAAAAGAGGAATTGAGGCGTGCCTTGTCTGGAACAGGCCATGCTTTTCTTTTATCGGAGTTGGGAAAGAAGAAAATTCATGAAATCAAAGAATAAATTTATCATCTCAACAAAAGAATAGACAGCCATGTGCTACATTTATCTTGTCCGAAGCAAAACCGAGCCTCGGTTATTTGCAATTTCCATAATTTTTTGTCCGCTAGTAAGAAATTCAACTCTAGCATTAAACTGAAATGGTATCCAACGCTTTGACTTTCTAGCATTAATCTAACCAGTCCCTTTAACAAAAAAAGAAATTCAACTCTAGCATTAATCTAACCAGTCCCTTCAAAAAAAAAAGGCTAATTATCTAACCTTTTTCATTTAAAATTTAAAGATCAAACAAAGCTAATTAGCTTCATCACACCACCTTTTCTTGATCTTTGCTTTTCCTTCTTGTACATCTTATATTATCTAATAATCCAAATTCTTTTACCATTTTGGGACAGTTCCATTATGAAAATTTGGATAAGTTTTTTTTACATGTTTTTGCTGTGTAAATTATACACGGACAAGTTTTGTTAATTGTTTAAAATATTTAAGTTTGCTTCCACTAAAATGTTAAGTTTTCTTCTATTCCTCTAACTACAGTATTATCAATATTCTCCACCTATTTTTACTCCCTCCATCGTTATTCCTCTTGCTTCACTGTTTTTTTCACATTCACCATCGTATATTAGCTCAAAACGAATAAAGGCCTCATTGTAATCAATATATGGGCCTAGTATATGAGTCCATTATCCAAAGATCCACGTTAAGTACTTAGCAAGAGCAGTAGTGATGATCACTTTATCCAGGCCTGTTAGGGTTTTCTTGAAATTCATCTAGGACTTTCATATCAATGAATTTTAAGTTGATGATCACTTTTTTCAGTCTGTAAAATATTTGATTCCTTTTACAATCACGCAGTTAAGGCAAGAGATTGCATCTATACACAAGTAGTAGAGAGTCACTAGTATCTGCTTAGCTATAATCAGTAGATTTTAGAATCGGATCCAAATCTATCTAATTCTTTTGCATATTACTTGTCCAGTAACGAAGTAGCTTTGTTCTTGATCAAACCAATGACCATAACCAAAGATTTCATTCACAATTTAAATCACGAACCCAAAATTTCTAAAATATCTGAACAGATTAATGTATACTGTAATGATGACAAAGGTATTTGATCATTCATAAGGGTTTCATAATTACAAACCCAACGAGAATAAATAATTTACAGATCAATCCCTTCGCATTTATGAAACCTATTATTTGTTCATTGACCAGTCTGCACCAACCAGGAGTTATTCAACTGTGAAACAGCCGTCTCCCTAAAACTCTTGACCTTCACCAAGCAGAAATGGGTGCAAACCGTCCCCATACCCGACCCGACCCGGGTCGTTTTCAGTAGATAACAAACCGGCCCACAATCCGTTCCTCTTCCCTGCGCCACTATCCCCCACGCGTTTGTACCTTCTCCACCCGCGCCGCCGTTGAGTCCACCGTAATCATCTCCTTCCGAATTCGGATCACGATCAGCTACGTCATCGTCCGCTAGCTTCTCCACGAATACCACTCCCTCAGGCGTTCTCTCTTCTCCTCTATCCCATCTTCCTTCCATCGCCGGCCAATCCTCCGCCTCCGGACTCGTGGCGGTTGTAGTCAAAGCTCCGTTCGCTTCCGCGTATAAGTGCACCAATAACGGCGATTCCCTCAGATTCTTCACGATCTCAACAACCGAATCCCTCAACCACTCGTCGAGCTTTTCCCGCGACACAACCGACCCGCCGCGTTTCCTTTCGCCGATATTCGTCCGCTCAAGCTTCACCGCCTGAGACGGTGCCAAATCCGCCATCGCCATCGAAACCTTCCCGATCTCGGCCCAATTCCGTCGATTCGTTACCGGAACCAGACACGGCAATCGAGCGGTGACCGTACGCCGATCACAACGAACGGCACACGCGCTTCCTCCTCCGCAACAAATCCTCGCAGACGACGCCATCTCCGTCTACCAGAAGAAACAATGCAGAGAGAATCAGAGAAGAAAAAAGATCCGACGAAGCGATTGATCGGCGATTGCTTCACGCTATGCTCTTCTTGTAGATTCGAAATTCAATTTGAAGATTTCTTGTTTCTTATAGAACCAGTCACCAATGGTTGCTTTTCTCAATACGTTATACTGACTCAGCCACACACAATCCAATGGCAATGATGGATTTAATTATATAACTAATTCTTTTCTCCAACCTGGATTGTAAGTTGTTTCATCGGACGGTTGAGATTGAGAGATCATAGAAATCGCGTTTAACTTATTCTTCACGCTTCATCAAAAGTCTGCGGTGGCCCAAGTAGGTAATAATTTTCACGAAAAAAAGACCCGATAGAGATCTGATATTAACCGCCCGATCAAAATCGAACGGTTGTAATTAGAAGAAGGCGATAATGGGCAAGGAGAACGTGGCGACGCGGTTTAGCTGTGTGCATGGCTTGGGAAGGCACGCGCATGTATGGCTTTTAAATTGTGATGAACACGTGTCATCCATGTCATTTATAATCTAGACCATTGGATGCTCCACGTCAGACTCCACGCTGTCTTGCTTTTTTCGAATGGATTTGGGCCTTTCGCTCTGAAGAAAGTGTTTTTTAGGTTTAAATTTTTTTGTGGGCTCTGCCTGATTAACTGTAGAAACGTTTTTTTTTCTTCCAAAATACGAATGATTTTTTTTTTTTTTATTATTATTATTATAGTAGTCTTCTTAAGCACTATAGGTTTTTAAATTTGAAATTATTCGTCGTGTACATGTATATTCTGATTAAGGTGTAAACCATCACTTTTCGGGCACAACTCAATGGTTGCGTTCAAAAAACAAAAACAAAAATTATATACATAGGGAATACGTTATTTCGTTTTTACGTTTCTCGTGCTATAAAACACACAACGACAAAAGCACACACACCAACATCATGAATAAGCATAAAAGACGTTGTAACGTAAGGATGCGCGACACAAATCGAGCAACTGTGCAAAAACACCTAAAGCCACGAAGCTATAGATATTGACAAGTGGATCAGTCAAAGGCGACGTGGCTTGATTTCTTTTATATAAATCCACTCCTCGCATCATCATCATCTCTAGCTATATATAAAAAAAAACCATGAGCATCGTCGTTACTATCATCTTGTTTGCTATTCTCGCGGTGAGCCTTGACGCTGGAAGAGAAAAAACCATGGACCCATGTCTCGAGTCGGTGAAGACCGCTTCACTGCCTGACCTTCCTTACGCTTACGATGCGCTAGAGCCAGCAATCAGCGAGGAGATCATGAGGTTGCACCACCAGAAACACCACCAGGCTTACGTCACTCAGTACAACAAAGCTCTCACCAGTCTCCGCTCCGCCATGGCCGATGGTGATCACTCCTCCGTCGTCAAACTCCAAAGCCTCATCAAGTTCAACGGCGGAGGTCAAAACCCACCTCTCAACCCTGATTAAAGTCTTTTCATTTCGGTACTTGATGATCTTCACGAAGTTTAACTGCGTTTTGTTTTTGGTACTTGTAGGTCACGTTAACCACGCTATCTTCTGGAAGAACCTAGCCCCTGTTCATGTACGAACACCTATCTTAGTCGTCACTCCATATTATTTATGTGATTTCTATATTAGTTATTTCTCTAATGAGTCAAAATTAAATATGTAGGAAGGAGGTGGTAAGCCACCGCAAGATCCTTTGTCTTCGGCGATCGATGCTCATTTCGGATCCTTAGAGGGACTGATGCAGAAGATGAGCGCTGAAGGCGCTGCTGTGCAGGGATCTGGATGGGTGGTAAGCGTTTAAATCTCTCATCAACAAAAATGGATGAATCATTTCATTTTTTTGTCGACTGATTTTGAGATACAAATTTATAAACCTGTTAGAAATGTTATTACAATTCATTTTAATACGATGAATTGGCTGAACATAAAACAAGATTCGGTTCAAAATTTTACTTTCGAGAAAACAAGATTCGTTGTAGGCGTCTTGTTTTGATTAACTGATTGTTTTATATATAATGTTTGGGATTCCTTTGTTTTAGTGGTTTGGATTAGACAAAGAGTTAAAGAGACTCGTCGTTGAGACCACATCCAATCAGGTAGACCAGTATAAAACTTGTGTAGTAACATTAACTATCTCGTGAATTAAAAAAATAATCAAATAAAAACAGGAAATATATAACGAAGTGAAAAACTGTAGGATCCATTGGTGACTAAAGGATCACACCTGGTTCCTCTAATCGGGATTGACGTATGGGAGCACGCCTACTATCCACAGGTACTCAAATAACATATATTTTCTTATTATGATTTGATATATAGCGATGAATATAACATATTGGTTGAAGCTGGTATAACGAGTTACATGATTATTATCAACTTTTGATCAACAATATTGGTGCGGTTAATTAATGCAGTACAAGAATGCAAGAGCGGAGTACTTGAAGAACATATGGAGTGTGATCAACTGGAAATATGCCGCGGACATATTCGAGAAGCACAATCGAGATCTAAACGAGTTCTAGGGAAACATAAAATATAAATGTATATACAGTATATGGATAGTGTTGGTGGCGTTCTTTATTTTCTTTATAATAGAACAGAATGTTCGAAGGTTTGAGTAATAATAAGCTTGGAAATGTCATGAACGAGTTGTAGGGAAACATAATATATGAATGTATATGCAGTATGTGGATAGTGTTGGAAATGTCATGTGTACCATGGAATAAATTATAAAATTGTGCCGTGTGAATATGAATGTTAACTAAATCTTATAGGCAACGAATTCATTAATCATTAGGTCTGTAGTCTGTTCATTTCGGGAATTCGGTCCTGATAGAAAAAAAACAGAACGGAAACAGTAATTTTTTTAGCTAAATTTTCTTTCTTCAAAATTTTAATAATTAAAACAAAATATAATTTTGGGATTTTTCAAAATAAATTTAAATTTGAAATTATAATTATTAAACGGATAATTCAATTATTTCTATTCTCTGTCTATTTTCTCTTTGAATAAAATAAATAATCATAAATAAGTAAACGATTTCAATGAGATTGTTGAAAATAAAACAGAAAATATAGAATGGAAATGGGTCGAGATGGAAAATGCCAATGACACTAGCTAGGGTTAGATGCTTTGATATAAAATTGCGATTTGTTAATTTTTGGTACGACCTAAGCTTAATCAACCCGACATCAGTATTTCGTTTCACATGTACTCGAACATGATGCATATAACTCGAACATGGGGGTGTATTTTATGAATGAAATCAACATTTGATAAGTTTTTAAAATATAGTAAAAGATATAAATTTGATTTTAATTCTAAATTCGACGGCCCGTTTTAAAAGCCCGTAGATAATCATGAACTGTGATGAGGCAGATCTTGGGCTTACAAAATATCGGATTATGGACCCCAAACGTTTCAGTCAAACCCACCCTAATAAAAACCCTAATTAAATGTATGTATCATCGACTATATAGTCATTTTAGGGTTACTTGCACCTCCTCTGTTAGCCGCAACAAAGAGAAGAGACGCAACACAGGCTTGAAGCTCTCTGCTGCAACATGGCAAGTCCTCTCTTTCTTTGATCGATTCATCGTTTAGAGCATAGAACCAAGCTGACTGATATTTGTAGAGTTTTAAAAGCAAGAATCTGTATTAAAACTCGAGTTTGTTTTTGCAGACTTTCAAGCGCAGGAACGGTGGCCGTAACAAATCAGGCCGTGGTCATGTGAACCCCATCAGGTGCTCCAACTGCGGGAAATGCTGCCCCAAGGTTCGATCTCCCTTTTAATCGTTTTTTACTAGATTCCATAGTTGTCTGTATGGTTCAAGATGATCTGATATTGGTGGGTTATATTTGTTGTTTAGGACAAGGCTATTAAGAGATTCATCGTCAGGAACATTGTTGAGCAAGCTGCCATCAGAGATGTTCAAGAAGCCAGTGTCTACGATGGTATGTTGTTGAATGAACGATTCTCATTTCTCCCTCATCGAGTATTGTTTGTTTTACGGATTTTGGAGTTTTTTTTTGTGATTTAGATTTGTCGTTTGATATGTATTGTGTTTGGTTTTGATTCGTAGGATACACTCTCCCAAAGCTTTACGCTAAGATGCAATACTGTGTCTCCTGTGCTATCCACTCTCACGTTGTGAGAGTCCGATCCCGCACCAACCGTAGGGTTCGTACCCCACCTCCCCGTTTCGCCAGACGCAAGGTCAGCTCTTTAATCCAATTACATCTTCTATATACTTGTTTTGTTTTGATTTTTACTTGATTGTGTATATCTTCTGATTGCAATCAGTTCTGCTTTGTCAATCTCTAGATACAAATGGGTCCGTTTTTTTTAGTTATGGTTAGAGAGCAAATTTGTTTTGATGTAGAATTCTTAGTTGCTTTTTGCTGTAAAGTTAGATGAATGATAGCCGCTGCTTCTTGATGAATTGATTAGAATGTGAGCTCTATATTTGCTTAAGCGGTTCTTGTCATTGCTGCAAAACCTGTAATTTGTATATGTTTCTTCTGAGTATGATTAAGTTTTCTGTTTAACTGAAACGCTTTCGAAAATGATAAAATTTTCAGGAGGATGCACCAAAGCCTGGACAACCTGGTCAGGCTCCTCGCCCAGCTGGTGGTGCCGCTGCTGCTCCTCGTGCCTAGACAGTGCAAGAAGCTGGCAACCTAAAACCTTTTATATTCTAGTTTCAGTCTTTGTGTTGTCTGGAATTTTTGAAGATGTTTTCTACATTTGGTTAAAAGATCATTTTGTCTTGTCGAGCTTTGAATACTTTTGAGACTATTTATCAGTTTATTTTGACATTGGCATCTCTCTCCCTATTCGATTCCTGCAACTTCAATATTCTTCTAGGGAAATTAAGAATAACCACAGATTCATCCATATTTACGCGATTCAGTTTTCCCTCAAGTCTCATAGACCATTGTATAATAATGGTAATGGAATGAATGTTGTAATGAATATCGTTTGTGAGAGTGTATGTACACGATGTTAATGGAGCGAAGGCTGTAATGAGTTGCGTGTTAAGAGTGTTAAATAGACGCGTAATTAGCACTAAAATAATAAACTGAACTAGTTCAATAGAACACAAAAATCAACTCTGCATTTCATTCTTGGCAATCCTAATGAAATTTGACATGGGGCAATTTGTTTTGAGAGCATTGGATATAATATGAGATCTACTAACAGCGTATCCCTCCTGCAAAATTCCCAAAGCACACAGCCTTTTAGCTATACAGTATATATATCTTCACAGTGAATTTACTTGAGAGATCAAAACTATGAGAATTCAATCACCTTAACAAGTGCACTCGTCATCTTCTTCAACGAAGGTGAGTTTATCTTCGCACGGCTCGCCATCTGATCACAACACAAACAACATTATTATCATGTAAGGACGAACATAATGCGTCTTTATTATCAACGCAAGTGGTTTATGGTAAAGGACCTGATCCATTATGGTGTATCCGGGAGGCAGTCTTGGATCGCTCTCTTCGATCATTATGCTGAGAAGCTTCTCCAGATCCAACCCACTGCCTTCACTCACCCATCCCCATTCCTTAGCCAGTTCCAGCATTTCAGTAACATACGGTGCGTCATGAAGCGGTCCAAGCCACATTGGTCCTGAGACCACCAGTGAAGAAGAAGCCTTTGTATCACTGCAGGGACATCCCATCAGACCAAGTTCATCCCATCTCACTGTACGAGAATGGCCGCAAAGATGACAGAAAGTGACAAACCCATAGTTCCTGCAGTTAAACTCCACCAATTAGAAAACGCAATCCTTTTTTATTCAGTTTTGAAAAACGTAGAGACAAACCTGTCCTCGTGAAGCTTCCCACGGTGAACCCGAAGCAAGACTCTAAACACAGGACCGTGATAAGAATAGTATGAGAAAAGGGGCGTAACATGATAACCAAGCAGAGCTGCTTCTCTCACTGCTCCACCTATAAGCATCCTTAGCCCAATCTCATTCCCAAATGGCATTGGTCGAATAAATGCTCCATAGGCTGCTAAGGAACTATATCAAATCAAATCAAGAAAGGTCTCAACCAAAAATGTTCCATAAAGCCTATTGATATCACACGTTTTTCAGCTACTTTACAATGAAAACACCGAAATGTAAAGCATCAAACTTTAAAAAATCTATACTTTGTAAACTCACTTATAAGGCCTGTGACCACCAGAGGAGTAGCCATCCGTTGAAGTCAAGTAAAGCAAACCACCCAATTTCAAAGCGTTAAACGCGTCTCGCAGAAAAGCCGATTCGCTCCCGAACGAATCGATGTCAATCAAATCGAAGAAATCGGCGACCATGTATCGCTCTATCATCGCTTTGTTAGCCAACATATGCGTCACGACCCATCTCCTCTCCTCTCCTGTGCCTCTCTCCACTCTGCTCAGATTGCCCGTGATTACCCCCCGATTATCATCGTTTGCGTCGTTCGCCATCACAAAATCGGCGTCCGCCTCCACAAGATAACGAAGTGACCTGATTCCGCACCCGCACATGGCGTCGAGCACCCGTAAGCTTCCGTTGGATCTCTTGTAGAGCGAAGCCGAGAGCACGGCGAGGTCACGACCTCTGGCGCTTTCATGGCGGAAAAACGTCTCCCCCGTCTCGAATTCGATATCCCTTTCAATCTGAACCTCAGATTTTACGAAAATGGGGCTACATCTCCACCTGAAGCTCTGGAATTGACCTGGATTTGGGGATTTACGTCTAGGGTTTTGCGATTTGTGCAGAGTGAACGAAGAAAAGGATAGGGCTTTAGGAGAGAGTGTTAACAACATAGCGGGAAATGAAATTCTGCTTAATCCCAGAGCGAAAAAAATTGTTTTCTAAATAAATGAGTCCGTCCGATATAAAGCCACGTGTACGGAAGAGATGAACCTCGTATGATGAGGCACGTCATCAAGCTGATGATTAGTAGGTCCCATGTAACTCGTATGATCGTCTACACTCGATACCACCTAAGAATACGGTACACTTTTTCCCTTTCATGGAAATTTTGAGTTTCTGTTTCTGGGTTATTGACTTCGAAGAAATTAGGGGTTTGCTGAATCACAGATGTTTCTTTTGGGTATTGATCATGAAGAAAGATGAGTCTCCGACAACAATGAAGAAGAAATAAATCAAATCTTTCTTTTTTTGGGGGCTGAAAAGTATTTGAGGAGCAGGTGAAGTTTAAATTTTCATGACACAAAAATGGCAGATTGTTTTAGGTCTCTCTACTTTTATGAACCTTCCATAATTTTCCATATATATTTATTTACCAACTTCTGTGGTCTTTAATATATATATATCTCTTGCATTACTGGGTGATAATTTTTTCCATCTTAATAATTTTTGCCCTTTCTTTGTTAAATTGTTGTTTCGGTTTCTCTTCTCTTTCTCTTGATCAATGAATACAAATCGGTAAACAAAAACAATTGCTTTCCGTTTCATTTAATTATTCATATCTGTTTTATGGTTTGAAAAAAGTTGGTGTAACGTGTATCTCCTCTGTCTGCGTAAGATCTAAAAACCTAACGCTTCAAAATTTGTCTCGAGGTGAAATTATATTTTTGCTTGATCTTGAGCAATCCATTGAATAGAAACATTATTTGCTTTGGAATCGTCTTTTCTCAATGAGCGTGAGATGACAAAAATCTCGGCTTTTTTTGTTGTTGTTGAGAATTTGGTGTCAATTGTATTGGCTTGTTTCTGATGATCTGTGTTGATTTCAATTGTGAGACAAAAGTTTTATCCTTTTTTTTTTGCATTTCCGCGTGATTCTCGTGTTTATTGGGTTCTATCTTTTGTCTTGAGCTATCTTCGTGGTCCTTTTGTTAAGCTTAAAGATGAAACCAAACGAAAACTTGGGATTTTTTCAAAAATGCCATTTTTTTCTCATGTACAATTAGTTACAATTCTAAACCCCTGTTCCAAGTTTTGATTTTGATTTTCTTTTCAGGAGTTAAATCCATTTGACTACTCACAGATTAGCCCAAAGAATCTTCAGGACAAATGTACTAAATCCGCAGGTACTCTCTTTTGAAATATATGTATAGTTCCTGTGTTTGATTTCGCTTTGGAGTGCTAAATCTTAGGATAACAAATACTGCATTCACTATTGACATACTCTGTTTCGATTTTCTTCTCTTTGCTTTAGGATTGTATATCACTAACTATCTGGATCAGCCTCAATTGTTTTAAATATTGGAGAAATCAAATGTAGCTTATTTTTGGTACTAATTAGACAACCAGCTTCTACCTTGTCTTCATTTGATTTCTTTTCTTTGTGTAATGTGATCACAATAAAGTCAACTCTTTTTTTTTTTTAATTGAAAATTCTACTTGTTTATATGGTTTGTAGATGTCACACTCATACAAGTGGCTCAGTGGGTCGAGGATTCTTGTATTATCCATCTGAAGTTTTAGTTTGAAGTTATGCTGAGATGGGTGATATTCAAGAAATATTGTCAGTTTCATCATCTTCGTCTTCTTCATCATCCTCGTTGTCGCTATCAACAGCACAGCCTAAAGGGAATTCATTGCCAACAGATGCGGAGTTTTGGATGATTGGAGAAGAGAGAGCTCATGAGATACTAAGCACTATCCAGCCTATCATTGTTTCAGACAGAAGTAGGAATGAAATCATTAATTATGTACAAACTCTAATCAAGAGTCACGATGGAATCGAGGTTAGATACCATTTGCTTTGTTAGGCCTTCTGTTTCTTAATTTTCATAATGTAAAAATTGTATCTACATTCTACAGGTCTTTTCATTTGGTTCAGTGCCACTGAAAACGTATCTCCCAGACGGAGATATCGATCTGACGGTCCTAACTAAGCAAAATATGGAGGATCAGTTCTTTGAAAAATTGTACAACACGCTTAAAAGCGAAGAAGAAGGGGAATCTAAATTCCATGTTACTGATGTTCAATATATCCCTGCACAGGTTTGTATGTTTGTTTTAGGTTTTTGTTATGTATTTTCTTAGTTGCTCCAAATTTTTCTCAGAAAAGTTTGCTGTTTTTGCCATTCCGGATCGTAGGTCAAGGTCATAAAATGCAACATCAGGAACATTGCTGTGGATATCTCCTTTAATCAAACAGCGGGTCTCCGTGCTTTATGTTTTCTGGAACAGGTACGATCAGCTATTCAAGATTAGTAGCCTCTAGAAATCTACTAAACACAGCTTTGATTCCGCATTATTGATTATAATTCTGGTTTGTTGTAATCTCAGGTTGACCAACTCTTTAGGAGAGATCATCTTTTCAAGCGTAGCATCATCTTAACTAAAGCTTGGTGCTATTACGAGAGTCGAATTCTTGGTGCTAACACTGGATTGTTCTCAACATACGCATTGGCGATACTAGTCTTGTACATCATCAACCTATTTCATTCATCATTACCCGGTCCTTTAGCGGTAATAACTCTTAATTTCTGTGAAGCTTTAGCATCGTCTACGTTAAGTGATATATGCAAAAGATGAGATAACAGCCAGTTCATCTTTAAACAGGTTCTGTATAAGTTCTTGGATTACTATGGCTCATTTGATTGGAGCAACTACTGTATCAGTGTCAATGGTCCTGTGCCAATATCATCCCTTCCAGAACTTATTGGTAAGGGAGATGCCAAAAATTCACAGACGCTTCTCTGTTTTGCATTGTCTCGCCTTTATTTGACATTTTGCTTCGATGCTCTCTCTCTGTTCACCAGCTTCTCCAAAAAATGGGCATGAGTTATTGCTTGACGAGAAGTTTGTCAGGGACTGTGTAGAGTTATATTCTGCTCCAAGTAAAGCTGTTGAAGCAAATGGTCCTGAGTTTCCTATCAGGCCTTTCAACATAGTTGATCCTCTTAAGCACAGCAACAACCTTGGAAGAAGTGTTACAAAAGGTACTTTATTGATAAAAAGAATTATATAGCCAATGTACTTGTAGTTGTCAAAAAGTGTTTTCATTTTTCTCTTCTAAAACATTTTGTTAGGAAATTTCCGCCGAATCATACATGCTTTTACACTTGGAGCTCGAAAGCTCAGAGATGTTCTTTCACTACCTGGTGAAACCATGGGATGGAGACTGGAGAAATTCTTTCGCAATTCCTTGGAGAGGAATGGTAAGGGACAAAGACAAGATGTGAATGATCCCATTACTGCTTTTGGTACTGGAAGGTCTGAATTATCTGAACTCAGTGGGGATATTCAAGTTTACTTGGAAAGACTTGTGTACGGGCAAATGTATCACAGCTTACCTGGAACATTTCAAAGTGCTTGGGATGTTGTCCGTCGCCTTGTGAGTTGCCGAGAGAATGAGTTTCATCTAAGAGGTCTGAATGGATCAACATCAATCCAGCCTTTGCTTCTGGAGTCTTTAACTAATGGCTGTTCAAACATGGGGAACACGAGAGGAACAGGAACTTATATTCCTGACATGGTATGCGTTTTCCCGCTTCTTAAAACTTAACTTGTTGCTGCAAGCTTCTAATTTGCTTGCTCACTGGTTGTTGCAGAGTCAGCAGTTATACTCTGACAGGTTCAGAGACTCGGGTACTGGAAACTCATCGACTCATGATGTAGAAGCTTCCGCTGAGGCAATAGATGATGATGTGTCTGCTTCTTGTGCCAGTGTTAAAGGAGAAGAATGTGTGAAACCAGAGACTTGTGGTAACTCAGATGAGCCTGTGTTGAAATCTCCAAGATCAGGGAATTTGGAGATTGATAACAACTGCCAATCTTTATCACCAGAAAGCCTAGTTGAAGATTCTATATCGTCAAGCACTTTGGGAATGGAAAATGGCAAGGAGAAGGAGAGCAATTCCTCCCAAATGGTGAACGGTTCTTGACATTTTTAGTGATTGTAGCAGAATCTTGTTTGGTCTCTTGGTATACCTTCAGGATATTTAGGTTGTCTCTTAACCACATGGGCAAACTCTATTTAGGATTCAAAGATTCATCAGGAACTTGATTACTTTTTGTTGACCAATGTTGTTTCATGAGAGATCTCTCCATCATTGGTGGTAGGACAGAACATACACTAGTGGTATGTATAGATTAGCAGTTACTGAGAAATTGATTTGCCATTTGTCTTTTGCTGAGAATTAACTATCTCCAGATTCTTGATCAATTTTCATACGAGATCTCCAGTTATAACTTTTTGTTACAATGTGGCAACTTTTTTGGTGCAGAGAGTAATAAGTGACCTCAAGAACTTTTTTCATTTATTAGTACTTAAAAACATAAACACGCGTTGTACAAAACCAGACACTAAGAAGTTGTCTGTATACGCAACACAGGGCAATCTTTGGATTTGGATGTCTCACAAGAAGGAACTATTCATCAGAGTGTGATACTGTCTGGGGAATGAGAACGTACATATGACAGTCGTGAGCTTCTACTTGAGCTTCAAAAGAGACAGACGCGTTGTCTGTTACATCTTTGTGCTGCCACAAATCTCTTACTGAGACGCTAATGGTAGATTCAAGACCGATCATATCCCATGATGCTGTAATGGTTGCAGGCTCTGAACAACGGTTCCAGAGAGCAACTACCATACGGTTACCAGTTAAAGGCCCTGACCACACCTGAAATGAAACAGCCATCACAAATTTTGAGTCCTCAAGTCTGTGTGTTTCTGCTTATTTTCTATTGAGTCTGATAAATCTGTTGCTCTTAATCCATACCTCTTGACAACCATTCTCACCATTTCCTTGGATTTTTCTTCCTTGAACACCAAGTGGGTCTGCAACCAGAAGTTTTCTCAAAATCTCAGTCACAGGCGATAGAGGAGAAACATGTATGCAGTGAAGCTAACAAGTCTAAAAAAATTGAAGTTCACCTTGGTTTACAGCGATAACCTCCTTATTGCTCAAAATCTCAAAAGTTTCAGCAGTCATGTTTCTTACATCACAACCAATCAAAAGTGGTGCCTGCAGGAGAACCATGGGGTTGAGATGAGATGAAGGATATAAAAAGCAAATCAAGAAACCACGAAATTGGTTACATACCTTCATCAAAGCCCAAATGCTAAAATGACCTCGATACTCCTCATAAGTCATCCCTCCATTCCCAACTTCCAACATATCCGGATCTAAAGCATTGGAAACAATTGTGATTAATACTTCAAGTGTACTTTGTTCTAATTCCATAGGAGAACACTTTTTTAGATCTTAAATGTTTGCTTACCATTCCAACCACCAGGTCCAGCATATGCAGCCCACTTGTTATTCAAATCAGCAATTGTAGTCATACTTCATAAACAACAAAAACAGAGAGACAAAAAGCAATCAGATCATGATTTAAACAAACTAATCCCTCTCCAAGCAACTCAACGTTCATACTACTCAAATCGCAAGATCTTCATTAAAGCAAATGAAACAAAAGATTTCCACCTTGCCCATGTATCATTGATGTCATCAGTTGTACGCCAACTGTTTCCAACTTCATCTGCCCACAAGGCAGGATCATCAACGCCCCTGCAAACACGAAAAAATGGGTAAGTAAAATGGTATCAAATATACTCGTCCTGTGTGAAGACATTGTGACGTATGTTACCATTCACAAAGCGAGTAAAAGATTGAGCGACCAGTCGCGTTTAGAGCATCACGCATTGGAGGGTATCTGGAAACCATAAACCGTATCAAGTCACTTTAAAAAAAAAAACAAATATTACCAAAAAGAGTTCACGTAAATGGTACCATATCAAATCATAAAGATCAAACCTTTTGATTGGTTTTATTCCCAGGTTGAAACAGTTGTCATATTTCAGATAATCCACACCCTGGAAACAGAAGAACAAGAAGCCACCGAGTATTAAAACACTGTGATCTTTGTTTGTAATTAGGGATACAAGATGGTTTCACTTCAAAATCTCATTGAATACTCAAACTATGAAACGGCACTGGATGAGAAAACTAACCCAAGAAGCAAAAATGTCTGCATCATCCACTTCATGGAAAAGTGATCCTGGACGAACTTGACACGTGAAAACGCTGAAAGAGGAAGAAACTGAGAAATCTTCAGATTATAAACAGGAGACTGTTGTATCCTATCAACTCGTCGAGCATACAAAAGAGGTACATGAATCTTAAACCTACCCAGCATCGGAATATATACCGAGTTTGAGACCTTTAGAATGAATATAATCAGCAAGAAACTTAATCCCTGATGGGAAGGTTTCAGGATGAGGAACCAATTGACCCTGGATTTCAAGAATTCACATAAGTAACAGCCATTGTCACTTCAAGATTAAACAGAAACTCTAATAGGAGCAATCTTACCTTTGAATCCCGTAACAGATTGGACCAACAATCATCTGCAAAAAACCAAAACTTGTGAAACCCCTGAAGCAGTAGGATTCAATACAGAGAAGAAACAAATATGATGAGGCAGGTTCAAGGGACAGTACCGATATTGACATGAATGTATCCTAAATCAGCCAAGCCAGATGAGACCAGAGCATCAGCTGTTGTTAATTGAAGTTAAAGTAAAACAATCAGCAACTCTAATGAACATACGAATAATAAAAAAAACAAAACATATGAAACATGTGAGTAGCTTTTACCAGTTTCCTTGATGACAGTTTCATTGATATTGCAAGCAAAGAAGTTCCAGCTATTCCATCTGCCGATTAACAAAGCACAAGTCTAATAAGAGACCTTCAAATTTCTAAACTTTTCACCAAAGTCAGCAGAAAGTTGTTCCTTTTACATCAAAACCGAAACTCAGAAACAGACCCACGAAAAGTCAAAATCCAAAAGATGAACAAACAATCGAAAAAGCTAATTCCTTGGAAGCTAACCCCATTTGTGGAGTTCGAGCGAGGCCATTGTTGAGCTGCAAGCGGCCGTACATGGAAGTATCATAGATCGAATTGAAGGATTTGCTGAAAACCAAACCACCAGTATTGCTCTGCAACAATGGCGCTTTGACTCTTCCTGCGATCGACTGAGAGACCAAAACAGATAAAGAGAATAGCCCAACAAGGAACAAGACCAAATCTTTCATCTTTTTGTTAATCGCCATTAACGTCTTCCCACTCCTCCGGGAATTTCTTTCTCAACTTGTCCTTTTTAAATGAACCAAGTCATCGTCAAGAAGACGGAAATGGTTTAGGATAATTGAGTCGTCTCGATATCTCCAAAGAGTTGGATAAATTAATTTAGTAGCTCTAGAAAATTCTTACGAATCAATCACATATCGTTTTCAATTTTGGTCATTACCATAGTTAAATAAGATAATCTCTTGAAAGATACTTCAAATATAATCCTAATAAATGCTTAAAACTTAAATGCAATTCGGAATTACAGATTCCATTCAATCCAAGAAAAAAAAAAAGTTCAACGTCGTCGAAAAGAGAAGACGCCTACGCCTAAGAGAATAAAACCGATAGCCAAAACCAAGTGAATCTTGCCTAAACCGGGTTGAGCCGGTTTAGGGGTCAAAGGGCGAATGCATGGCCTCCACACAGTGTCTTTTCCAGGAATATCCATGAGGGAGATTCCTTCGCGTGCCAGCGACTCTCTGATCTGATCGCTTCTTTTAAAGTCTTTGTTCTTTCTTGCAACTCTCCTTTCTTCAAGCTTCTGCAAGACCTCTTCTTCTCCCATTTTTGCTCTAGCCAACGCCTTTTGTCTCATCTCTTTCAAAAACTCTGCATAGCTCAGGGTAGTGAGCAAACCAAGCACATCAAGGACTTCCCTCCCTGCTTTCTCGACCTCCAACAATGACACAACCAGAGACATCTGCTGCTTCTTCTGCATTTTCTTCAGCTTGGTGATTGAAACGTTGATGAACTTCATCGCGTCTTGGAACGCTCCCGTGAGTATAGGAGATGTGTTCAAGTCGTCTGACATTTTGGCCTCGAACTCGCTTTTGACTTTCTTGATCATGTCTTTGGCTTCTGAAGTCTGTTGAGCCTTTCCATTCTTGTCTTTTAGCGCTTCTTGATGTGGAGACAGAGCCTCAACAAGATCTTGTAATGTCTAAAGTAAACAAAGAATGACAAAGAGTTATTATAGTTAGAAACATTAACAGTTTTGATTTTAAAGAGAGGCAAGCTAATTAAAAATTTGGGAAGCACTACACCTGATAGATGTAATACAAAGAATCTGACGAAATCTCTAGCTGTGACTTGGAATAGTTGAGATGAGACCGGTAATGCGCACTCATCAAGAAGTGTCTCAGAGCCAGAGGATGGTACTCAGTTGTGATCTACACACAGATTCAATAATTCTGCATTAGCCATATGAGAAAACACACAGAAGAAAACTCAACTTATCATATTGTGGAACAAATAAGAAACATACTTCTCTAATCGTTTTGAAGTTTCTCTTTGACTTCGCCATCTTCTCTTGATCGATAGTTACATGCCCATTATGCAACCAGTAATTCACACCACTATCTTGGCAAGCAGCACAAGTCTGTGCGATCTCGTTTTCATGGTGCGGGAACTTAAGATCAATGCCACCACCATGAATGTCAAACCTCGGAGAGAGATAATGGGCACTCATTGCACTGCACTCGATGTGCCATCCTGGTCTTCCTGCACCCCAAGGGCTCTCCCAACTTGGTTCACCGGGTTTCACAGCCTGCGTAAGATAAACTCCTAAGGCTCTCTAGTTTGATGACTTAAAGATAGAAAAACCAACAGAAGAAAAGATGTTTACTAGTCAAACCTTCCATAATGCAAAGTCAGCAGGATTACGTTTCCTTGGATCAACAGCAACCCGCTTGCCAGCTTGGGTATGATCCAGCAGCTGACCCGATAACTGACCGTAGTGTGGTGATTTATCGACCGAGAAAAACACATCACCACCCACTACATACCCACACTCGTTCTCAATGATCTGCAACAAGGAAGCATATAGTTCATAGAGGTCACTAAAGAGCTAATAATAGCTTCATCATTAAATCACCATCTTCCAACCAAATAATACTGATGGAAAAGCCAATAAGAAGAAAGAAGCAGACCTTTTCTATCATCTTGACAATGTGATCCATATGGTCAGAGACACGAGGCTGGTGGGTAGGAAGGAGGCACTGAAGAGCACCCATATCCACCAGATACTCTTCGCAAAAGCGATTACTAACATCAATCGGGTCCTCTCCACACTCGTTAGCCTTTTTAATTACCTGCGCAGACCCATTACTCAGATTTTAGAATGTTTTGAACAAAGAGCAGCAGAAAAACCTACAGTGAAGAGAAAAGACCCAACTTTCACTGGAAAAAAAGAGCAGCAGAAAAAAGTTCCAACTTTCAAAAAACTAAAGGAAAGAGAAAAGACCCAACTTTCACAAGGATTCTTTGGTGCTTGTCCCCAGTTTCAAAAGGAAATACCATACCTTGTCATCAACATCTGTAAAATTCCGTACATACGTAACTTCATAACCCAAATGCTTCAAGTATCTGCATTAATCAGTAGTACAAAGATCAATGCCACTTCCAATTTCTCCAGCCTTGGTTCAGAGTTTACCAAATCAGAGAAGAACCTACAATTCAAACCGGAGAGGAATCGAAATTAAGAAAGAGAGAAAAAGCAGACCTGTAAAGAACGTCGAAGGCAACAGTGGCGCGACCGTGGCCCAGATGGCTCAGGTCGTACGCGGTAATACCGCAGACGTACATTGTGATCTGGCCAGGGATGATGGGAACCAACACTTCCTTCTGTTGCGTCATCGTATTGTGCAACTTCAACACTACCTCCTTCTCTGACTCCATCTCTGACATCTCTCTCCGCCGCTAATTGCCTCTCTCGGAAAAAGCTTTCACCGGCGGCCCTATATATATATCTTCCTTAAAATTTGTTTCAACTGTTCTGTATTCTTTTTCCTTTTCTTATGGTTCCACGTCGGGTTCTCCAAACAGGGAAAGGAAAGATTCTCATTTATTGTTTTGGGTCAAAGAGAAATTAAGTATGATAAATTAATAACCATATGTAAAAACAAAGTTGAAAATCAATCTAATGACCAAAATATTTCGGCTTTTTCTTTTATTCTTTTGCTTTGTCTTGTCTTGTGGTTGTGGTTGTATTATTTATTATATCACAAATTCTCCTTTTATCCAAAGATAAAATAGATTGTTTTATAATTTCATGTTATTTTGTTTTGTCGTCGACAGTATATGATCCAATTTAAACGGTCATAATTTCTTACAGGCAAAAAGTTTTTATTTATCGAACCTGTTATATATAAATCCTAAAATCTTCATATATACCCGCAAATAAGTCTAAATCCAATTAATTTTAGCTTCAAAAAATAAAAAGTCAAGACTGGTCAGCAAATCTTAATTTTGACTGAAAAAAAGAAAAACAATTTTAAATAATTCCAAGTTGATAAGCTCTACTACAATTTGGTCTTTTAACAAAATAAACACAAGAAAAATTAAAAACTAAAAACTATTCTTCTAGCTTATCTTGGGTATCCCAGATCACTTAACTCCCACGTAACCACAAAAATAAGTTTTTATTTATCGAACCTGTTCTTATAAAATCACAAAAACTTAATAGCTTCAAAAAATAAAGGTCAAGGCTGGTCAGCAAATCTTTTGCCTAAAAAAGAAAATAATTTTAAATAATTCTAAGTTGACAAAATAAACACAAGAAATAAAATCGGACGCCTCATAAATCACCAGATCACTAAACTCCCACGTAACCACATTTGATCACAGCCATATTATTCAATTTTGGCCACCTATCCATTTTAACCCCACCACATACAAACCACACGTATGTTTACTATAGATTCTACCACAATTTGCCATCTCGTCTACTTGGAATCAGATTGAAATCCAAAAGATGGGTCTAAGAGCACTGCCTCTTCAACACAACGGGGGATTCCTCTCCACGACCAAAGTCCCCATCTCAAGAACCTCGCCGAGAATAAGCCGGAACCCTAGATGGGTCGTCGTGTCTGCGAAGCAAGAGAAAGACGAGGAGAATAAGAAGAAGGAAGAGGAGACTTCGTTGTTCACTAAGCTAACGGATGCGTTGGATTTCTCACAGGTTCGGTCGGAGAAAGACGCCGAGCTTCTCTACGAGGCACGTGAAGCCACCAAATCTGGCGGCAAGATGAACAAAGAGCAGGTCGGTATTGTTAATATAGTAATTATTATTAATTACGAAATAAATCCCAAAGTAATTAATAGCAGATTCATACAAGTAAACATACTGAACCTTTACTTCTTTTTTTGGTTAGATTAGATACCTTTAATGTATAAAACTTGCTTTTTTGTTTATTAAATCATGATGTGGAACTCGAATTCTAAACATGAATAAGGAGAACAATCTTAATTATGATAATATATAATTGGATTACCATCGAATTATGTTTGATGTGGTGCAGTATGGGGCTTTGAGAAGAAAGATCGGAGGGACATACAAGGACTTTTTCAAATCCTACGTTGAAGGTACGTAAACTCCAGAGAACTATTTTAATTTGGAAAAATGATGATCTTGAATTTGTTATAAATATTTGAATAAATTGTGAATGATTTATTATATAAAATGTTTATATAGTGGATGGGGAATATGTGGAGGAAGGATGGGTGGACAAAACATGTAAAATATGCAAAAAGGACACAAAGGGTGAGGCAAGACAAGTGGACAAGTTAGGGAGATATGCTCATGTCTCTTGTCTTCAAAATCCCTCCAGTTCTTCTGGAAATTTCTTCACCAGACTCTTCTCTAGATGATCAATTTCCTAAACCCTATATATTTGAATGTTTTTTTTTTTTGGTAGCTAAAATTGCAATTTTGCGTATTTTTATAGAAATCGATATTCATGTACCATACCAAAAAAAAATAATGCATGTTTATTGAAAACTTGAGAAACAAAGAGACATATAATTTGACCAACACTAGTTACAAGCCTAACCTCAATTTTACAATTTTCCCACGCATAACTTTTCAAAGGCCATTACTTAAATTACTGCATAATGTTTAATCATCGATCACAGTAGAGAAGTAAAAGAATTTTAACTTTTCACATTTCACTGTTTCAATTCCAAGCAGATATAAATCTGATAGATTATTTATCTGAATACGTTGCATACGTTGCTTCCTCTGGTTTTGACGTTGTGGAAGAAGAATGGGAGAAGTCTCCTCAGCGAGACCCTTACTTGTTCCATTGTTTGCTTCTGGCCAGTAACTACGATTACTCTGATGGCTTTTTTCTCGCTAACTCTCCTTTCAAGTTTCATTTAGTGACAAACCAATTCTCTCTTTTGATGGGCTACATTTTTGAACGTGCATGTTCCTTGTTTTGGGTTGGATAACTTATTGACTAGTTTTTAACACTTTTTTTTTTGGACTAGAAATTATTAACATTCACTATTCCTGAATTTTTTAATTTTATGAATTTTTTTTCTTCCAAAATTTTAATATATTTTGTAAAGAAAATAATGTCAAATTTTTACAGTAAAGAATAAAAACTTAATCTTATGTTTTAGGTAACAAATTAAAAATTTATATGGTTGAAGTTGATAGATTTTACTAACTTAGTCAACTTAAAAATTTGGTACATTATGTAATTTTTAGTCAATTTGAAAATTTGGCTTGTTATTCAAAAGTATCTATTTAATTTAAATTTTGGCAAGCTATTTAAATTTATTTATTTGTTTCAAATTTTGTTATAGTGTTAATTTTTAGTCAAATAAATATTTTGGCAAGTTATTTAAAGTTATTTATTTATTTGAATTTTTGACATATTTTTAGTCAACTTAATATGTTAACATGCTATTTACAATTATTTATTTTTTTAAAATTTGATATATGATTTACATTTACTTATTTATTTAAAAATTTAATGAATTGTTTTAATAATTAATTTAATGTGTTAGCACGTTATACTACTATTATCTAAAATTATTTATTTATTAAAAATGGTGCATTATTTATTAAAATTTTTGTCTTGTTATTTAAAACTTTGAAACGTTTAACAAAAAAATATTGGATGCATTATGAATACTAGTTTTATCATTCATTGTTAAATTTTTAACTCATATATAGTTTTCCATTTATAAATTTTTAAAACTTTAATTCTATATATAAAAACTTAGCGACTTTTTTCTATATAGATTTTTTAAAAAAGTTTATAAATAATTTGTCATTTCAACTTTTTTATCAATTTTTTTTGATAAAATAATGAAAAAATTTATCAATGTCACAAGAATTCATAGAATTCATATTGGTTTAAGTAATAAATCAAGAATTTGTGAATTTGAGGTCCATAATTTCTTCGGATTCATATTAGAACAGATAAACTAGTGAAAAAGAAATAAACAGGCAAACAAATTTTATTATCAGAACAATAAGATAAACAAAAGTACTTAAACAGGCAAATCAAACCATCAGCAACAAACGAAAATTAAAATCAAACCATCACCAACAAACGAAAATTAAAATCATTCTTGATCACATTCCCCGCCTTTATCTTCTAGAAAAGCCTTCCTTCCACTCCATGACTTAAGCAAGAAGGAACCGGAAGCATCTCAAGCGGTGGAGCCCCAAGACTCTGCCTGACAAAAGGATTGCTCAATAGCTCCTCCGCGGTGGCTCTACCCGCCGGATCCCGGACTAAGCATCTCCTCACAAATCCCCAAGCCAGCGGCGATAGAATCTCCGACAAGTAGCCACCTCTTTCTCCTCTTATGGTGGCCCCCAACATCTCACTCACCATAATACCTAAAGACCAAATATCAATCGCCGACGAGATTACACCGCGTGGCCCGACAGCCTCGGGAGCCAAATACTGCCGACTTCCCTCGAACAGAGATCCATCCACTGGATCAGGCCCGTTAGGCTCCTTAGCTGAACCGAAATCAGCAAGCTTGAGGTCACAGAGCTCTCCATGAGCATAGCTCGGGAAGATGAGCACGTTCTCTGCCTTGAGATCGCAGTGGATGTAACCATCTCGGTGAAGATCCCTGAGCCCTTCAAGAACCGGGAGAACGCAATAACCGATCACATTCTCCGGTAATCTCCCGCCGGCTTTGGTTAGCATGTCTTTGAGGGAACCATGTCGTGCGACCTCCATGTGAATGGAACAGACCTTGACGTTGACTGGCATAGTTTCGAAGGAAACAACAGGGCTTGTGGGTCTGACGATGTTGTAATTGATGGAGTGGAAATGATGCAGGATCCTCAATTCTTTCTCGAGATCCTCTGAGTATTTGTGGAGAGATGTTTTCTTAGCCATGAGTAGGCCATCGGGGGTTCGAACCAGAGAGACGTAACCATGGTTGCCTTGGCCGAGACAGCCGAGTTTTGGTAATGGAGTCCCGTCTAGAATCCACGAATCAGACGACATGTCAAAGATTCAGAATTAGGGCTTAATTTTTTTTTATTGGTTGTGAGAGAGACAGAGAGCTTGTGATGAAGATTACATCTTAAAGCGTCACCTTTATATATTAGACATTCGGACAAATTGATTGGTAAGTTATTAAGTTAAGTTTGACTTCAACTGGAGGAGTTCTGCATGTATGTAAATGGAGTAGGTAATAAATCCTATGTTGAACCGAAAATAGGATAAGTATGGAAACAGTAAGACTCATGTGGATACATCGTATAGTCAAACCTATAAAAGATTTTCCTTAATTTTGGTTTTTAATTGAAATACAGAGAATTTGATAATAAGATATTTTGTATTTTTATTAGTTTAAAACATGAAAAAAAAGAATTCTTGTGTTTGTTAAAGATTTTATTATATGGTATGTCTTTCAATCCCTCCATCACATTCATTGGAAGGAGAAAAACGAAAAAAAAAAAAAAAGCAAAACATGGAGAGCGCTCCTTCAAGACCTCAAAGATTGACAAAACAAAACCCTAAGAAAACAGAATCAACACTATTCCAAGGACGGATGCTCGCTACGAAGATGGCCTCACCATTGGGTTCATCCACAGCTCAAATCAAAACAGATATGACGTATGACCGGACAGAAGGTTTGCTCAACTTTAAAATTACGTGTCTGATTAGTTATCTTAGGGTGGTAAGCAAAAATAGAAAACTTGTGAAGAGAGTCCTCTTATCTTATTTTCCTAAGTTTCAAAAACTAAGAGAGATTTCTTATATATTCCATATGTCAGATGAAGCTACTCGGAAATGGGTCTTAGGGAGGAGTACTATATGGCATTTAGAAGATTGTTTGATGTTTGTCTCACCATGGAGTCCTTCACCAATCATTAGCTTACCAGAAATCTCTACTATTCCAGGATGGTTAACCTCAAAGAACATTCCCTACCAACTGTATTCAATTAAATTGATAGACCGGATTGCTTCATCAGGTGTTGGAGAACCGATGCTAACTAGTAAACCATGCTTGAGCCACCCTAATGAGAGAATCAAAGATTCTAGTTGAGGTTAAGCTAAACAAGTTGTTTCATCAAAGGGTTGCTCCAGAAGATGAGAGTGGCACTATCACAATGGTTGATGTTCTGTATTTGTGTCTGCTTCCATTGATTTATCTGTCATTGATACTCCTAGGCCTTAAACTACATCTACTAAAAAACTGTATGCTCTACTGAAATCTCAGTCTGCCAATGTCTCTAGTGATATAGTGATATTCTGATGAAATGTGGCTAAGAAAATAACATGTATGAAATGTGGGATCCTGATGCCAAATCTTCGCAAGACATTAACATGACTGCTTCAGCTCAGCGAATCTTGCGAGATTGGCCGGTAAAACGTATCCAAAAGATGCAAGAAATGGAGTGGACTGTTGTTTAGTGGTCGTGGAAGGCGTCGTTGTGGAGGACGAAGTGGTTACAAGTGGTCTATTGTTTCATTTACCTATTTTACCCTTTGTATGTGATAGTTAGTTAAATAAACAATACAGTAGAACTTTTATAAATTAATATTCGATAAATTAATAATTACTATAAATTAATAATTTTTGCTGATTCTAAATCGATTAGTGTAAATATTAGCAAATTTCGATAAGATGATAAGATAATATTTTTTTTTGAAATTTCTATGTAAAAATATAGTCCAAATAATTAGATAAATTAATAATTATACATTTAAAAATATATAAATAATATAATATAATAAAATATAATTATATTATTGTTTCAAGTTTATAAAAAAATTGTTTGACTTATTTTTCAAATTCACTTATATGATATTTTCTGAATAAATGTTATATTGTTGAAAACATTTTTTTTTATTTTTAACAAATATTTTGAATTTAAACTGAAATATCTCTTTATAAATTAAAAAAATATTAATTTCTCGATAAATTAATAATTATTAATTTTTCGATTAATTAATAACTCTATAAATTAATAAAATTTTGATGTCTTAAATATTATTAATTTATAGAAGTTTTAGTGTACTTGATAACCAAACTGCGACTGAAAAAGTATTTTTGTCAGTTTTGGGCAAAACGAATTTCAGTTTTTGTAATGATGGTTTTCTATCTTCCCATTTTAACAGGGTCGTGTCTATGTAGAGCTAAAAGAAGCACTTGCCTACATCAAATAATTTTGTATACAACTTAAGAAGCTATATTTGTAATTATGTTTATATCAAATAATTTTATACAAAATTTAAGAAGCCATATTTGTAATTATGTTTATGTTGTATTTCTTTTAATATCTCTTATATAAATTCAAAACACAATCTATAAATGTATAACTTTTAAATGTAAGTATTTAAATACATATCTTAACTTGCTAATTTATAATGAGTTTAAAAAAAACAAATTCAATGGTAAATTGATTTTTCTACAGCATTGATAGTTGCCATTTAAACTCACTGCTATTGATTTAGCTTACTGAATTATTTTAGAATATTAAAGTGGTTGAAAAAAAAAATTGTTGCCATTTTATTTTAATGTTCTGTTTATCAACATTTTCATGAGTTTTTTTTATATTTGCGTATTTATATTTTTTTATAAATTATGATATATGAAATTATTTTTTTTTGTTTTGCCTACGGCCTCAAAACCTTTAGACACGGCTCTGCATTTGAATCAAATTTTTTTTTTCCAGTTTTGTTTTTCATTGACTTGAGTATTAATTAATTGACCTATTTCACTATATATACAGTTTTCATTGACTTGATCGTATTGATTGGCTGATTGCTCTATGTTGTTGTTTTGCAATTCAGTACTGGCTTTTCTTTTTTCCGATGTTAATCCAAAAGCTTTCTTGAGACATTTTCTGACGAATGTATATATATATATATATATATATATATATATAATAGCGAAGTTGTTGGCCTACTTTACAGCAATAAAAACGCACCATTTCAAACATTCAGATACTAACATGATATAAGAAAGAAACAAAAAAATAGTGGAAAAAGTAATCGATATTGCATTTGATAGCCAGAAAAAAATGACTTGCCTTTTGCGACACCTTTAGAAGAGATGTCATGTGGAATGAACGAAACATAGATCGATGTAGGATATTCTATAATACATCGATACTATTGCTTTATACAAACCCCAAAAATACATTGATATAACGATTTGGAATACCAATATGAACTTCATATATAGGTATATATATATCATCTTTATACCGAAAGTCCCACCCATGTCTAGAGATCTCGTGATCTTCCCTTCTTCGTATGGTTTAGCCTGAAATTAGTCTGTATGTACATTAGTACATAACTAATACATATATAGTTGTATTTTATGGTTTGTATATACATAGCTTTACCAAAATCAAATATTAGGAGTTCCTCGCTTAGAAGAGAAGAGGTTAAAAGAATGATTGCATACGGTACTACCATGGCTTAGAGGCTCAGACCGTCAAGCCAGATGCGCCGGTCCAGTCGCCATACGATGGACGATCGATCTTTCTAGAGATCGATCGGCTTATTTATTGACTATTTTATAAAGAGATCTTCGTTTTTTTTCTCCTTTCTCATGAGCTTGATCTGCATCTCTAGGGACTATACATCCTTTCAGTTTTATACAACATTAAAAAGTTTTGGAAAATTAAATTATTATATAAATAAGAGAAAGACGTTAATGTCTTTTGGATTATTAACACGAAACGAGGCAAAGCAACCTAATTTAAAAGTACGAAAGGCATTTAGGTACCGTCGGATAGTGGACACGACGAAAAGTATAGCACACGTGTTTGGAGTTTAACATTTTAGCATGAGACAATGATTTTGCTAACCCACGCCACTGTCAATTTCCCACTTTAATTCTTTAATTATCTATCTATTGAGTTTTTGTTCCTTTCTAGATTTCGTTTTCACTCTCTAGCCAATACGAACACAACACGGCGATATAATATTGTGAAAGCTAAGAGACATGGATTTTTGTTATTTTGAGATGTTTAGATTGCCTTAAAAGTCTTGATCACCTCATCATTCTGAATCTGAGATCAAGAAGAGAATGTTTATTTTTAACAGCAGTACAATCTGAACGTTACAGTTTGCTATCTAGATAATTGAGAATTTATAACATTATTACAGGCTCAAAATAGGAAGATACAAAGAATACTTTAAGATAAAAATATAAAAAATACTATAATGAAGAGAGTTTTGTTGTATTTGTGAAGAGAGTGGTCAATTTGAAAGTTAAATACAATTTATAAAAAAAAAATCATATCCAAAAATTTATAAACAAAACCAATTTTCTATTTTTAAAATTTTTAATGTTTTCTAGTTTTTAAGCATAATGTGTTGATATTTGATAAATTAATCAACTATATAAGTTAATAAATTTATTCAGTTATAAGTTGAATCAGCTCAAAATATAAAAAAATTCGATAAAATATTTATCTAAATATGGTTCCACTAATATTATAAATTAATAATTATTATAAAAATATAACAATAATAATATATTAAAATATAAATATATTATTGTATGTTATTATTAAAATTTAAATATTATTGCAATATATCTATAGTTTTAAAATAAAATTTTACAAAATATTATAAACTTAAAAAATAAAAATGAAAAGGTTATTTAAAATGTATAATTGTTAATAACTAAACTAATATCAAAGCTCAAATAAAATAAATCAAAAATGAATATATTCAGATAATTTAAAGGAAAATTAATTCAAAACATTGTAATTACATTATCTTCAATAAAACTAATGATGAGAAGTAGGAAACATGATTTGTCTCTATGAGCAATTTGAATGATCTACCACCATACTTTCCAACATCAATTGCGGCTGTTCAGACCTGTTTACTTTCTAGAGATTAGTGTGAGTTTTTGAAGTTATTTCTAGCATCTAATATATAATATTTTATGGAATTTGTGAATAAAAACATACATTAAAAAATCTATATTTTTAGAGAGATATATGAAGTTGCGAGTTTTTTAATTTTTTATATTTTATAATGTGGATTCAGAGATTTAAATTAGTTTGTATAAGTTTGAAAATCTGAAATATTCAATAATTTAAAAATATATTATATATTTGAAAATCAAAAATAAAAATAAATTTTTGAGAAGTAATATGGTATGTTATTTCCAAAAATAAACAATTTCTGTCTTGATAATGTTGAATTTTTAATGAATAATATTTAAATTGTCAAGCTTTTCTCTGATTGTTATGTATCTGAGCAATTGATTATAAAGATATTAAATGTAATAAATGGCAAGTTTTCTATGTGGGAGAAAATTCAATTTGACCAATATTTGTGCAAATATGAGTAGAAAGATGCTTTTGTGCTAAATAATGTATGTTTTTATAGTGATAACTTGCGTTATTTTCATCCTACTATAATCGGTTTTTTAAAAAAGTTATGACTTTTCGAGAAAAAAGTCAACAACTGTTTAAAATAACTTTTCTCCTCAATTTTTTGGAATGGTTAAAGCTTTAAGACTATTAAGAACATAATATTTTTTTTATTATCTCTCAAAAGTTTTGAGATAAGCTTTATATCAAGTATTCATCAAAGTATAATGTTTTTTTTGTTATTAGACGAATTTATGTAGTGAAATCTAAGGCATGTGGATTTTTGAAATGGAAGATGTTAAGTTTGCATTGAAAGTTTTGACCATGTCATCATTATGAGTTTTTATTTTTATATGACAATCTCAATGTTACAGCTTAGTATTTAGATTACCGAGAATATAAGAATCAAATTGTATAGAAAAAAAAATTGTAACATGTAGTTTGAGTTATTATGGATCACCTAATCAGCTATTTTAGTTTTCATAAAATAATGAGACTGCTCCCCAATGCCCTTCACTAACTCCCATAATTTATTATGATTACTAAAAGCTTTAGTTTTCATAATGTTTTCTTTGGTCACATGACTCACATCTGAGTCAAAAACGACAGGTTTTTTTTTACTCTAATCATTATGGTTTGCTTATGATAAAAGTAACAACGCCCATCTCATCAATGATCAAGTCAATTAAAAACCAAAGGCAAAAAGAAAAGAAAGAAAACAACCCGTAATGAACAAAATAGGTTTTCAAAAGCTGAGTTTTTGCTGACTCTGTTCTGGAACCGTGTTGTGTATGAACCTAAACTTTCTCTTCGGCGTGACCAACTGCTTCTCATCGATGGTAGGGACTTGTTTCCGATTTAGAAAATTGCTGATTGAAACATTACGTTTAAGCACTGGCTTAGGGAGATCAATCAGCGGCTCATCCTGCTGGTTCACATGGCTCAAGAAGGAGCATCGAGGAAAGTTATCTCCTTTCATTGAGCGCTTCGCTTTAGTAGCTTTCTGATCTTTCCATGACTCAATGTTCCACTGGCGAAACGCTTCTTCTGCTTCAAGTTGCTTCACATTTGCGATTTCAACCCGGTTTAACGCTGATACCAAGGCTTGTTGACTTTGTTTAACTTCTTCATTAGCTTCTTCCAGCTTCCTCATGATCTCTGTTCTTGAAATATTGGTGGATGAGTCTTTCTTCATCTGTGCTTCAAGTGTTAAAGGAGACCTTGGTGGCTCCGGGAAGCAAAGACCATCTTGGTTTTTCCCTCTAGATAATAAGGTCATTTCAGCAATCGCAAGTGCTTCCGCTACTCTTGCAGCTTCTTCCATTTTTCTTGCTGCGACCAATCTCATCTCTGCGGTTCTCAGACAGGTGTTGCTCTGTTTATGAAAAGCTGTGTCATTGGTTTCAACTACCATCTTAACCTGTTCACATAGCGGATTCAGGGATAGTTCCTCTGTACTGAATCTCTCTTCTTGATCTGGACCTGCTGGTTTGAACCTCAAACGGTTAAGCTCCTCAGCTAGAGACGACGCTCCAAGGAACTCTTTCTGCTCCTCTGTTTTCATATTCAGAGATTCGACATATGATTCGATCATCGCAAGATCATCCATGGTTTTACCAAGATTCATACCGGCTTGCTTCATTTCCATGAAGATCATTTCTGGAGACTTGAGGGGATTATAATGGCAGTGCTCATCGATCATCTCTTTGATATGTGAGCGAAGGTGTTCAGGGGTCTCCATGCATCTCAGCGCTTGTTGATGCCGCTGCCGCTTCAAGTCTTCGACAATCAGTTTGGTTGATCCAAGGGCTTCCAGAAAATCCAAAGTTTCTAACTCTTTCATAATCAGATCTTTCTCTAGCTCCGCTGCCTGTTTTTCCATCCTCCGTACGTCAAATTCTCTCACACCGCCCTGAAAATTGACAGACCAACAAACATCAGAAATCATGTCTCATGCTTTATAGCTCTCACTCCAAAAGATCATTTATGGTAACATTGTTCTCGTCATTATCATGCTTCAAATGATCAAAACATTCAAATCCAAAGCAAGAGTCGGCTTTATAGCGCTCAATAGTTTGCTAGTTTTAGAAGTAAATTGTCACATAATGGCCTCACTGAAGAAAAGAAGATGTAGCAGAAATGGTCTTAGAGTGACACTCAAGAGGCAGAGCAAGCAATTCAAGACGACCTTAAAACTGTCAAATTCATTATGTCGATAGATCACTTAGCAAAGTTTTGAAATTTCTACTTAGTTCGAGATGATAAAACTGTCAAATTCATTATGATGGTAGATCCCTTAAACAAAGTTTTGAAATTTCTACTTAGTTCGAGATGATAAAACTCTCAAATTCATTAGGATGATAGATCACTAACGAACATACATTTCAAAATCTCAGAGTATAGTACGTGCAGATGCATTCCTCTATAAGGAGTAATTCGACATTAAAGATCTGAGATTAAAAAAAGTACTCACGTAATCGTCTCCGACGTTGAAGGGAACCCAAGAGCCACGACGGCCACCAAATCCGGTTACCGCCTTCTTATCCGACTCGAACGGTGGAGAAATGTCGATTTCAGCTCCTCTCAAACCTACTCTCTTTGCACTCGCCGCGTTAACATTCTCAGGTGCGGATGCACCTGGATTAGCCTCTGGCGTAGGGATCTGAAACCTCTCCGCCATTTCCCGCGACGAGAAGCAATTGGTTTGCCCAATTCAAAGGGAAACCGGATTAAAGAAAACCCATCACAGTAATCATAGTTACTGCCCCGAAGCAAACAATAAAGAACAGAGCTCTTGAACAAGTAATGCGCCATGATTGTGTTTTCTCCTTCCTTCTCTCGACTCCGAGAGTTTAAGAACATGCACTGAGGATAATCATGGGTCACTTACGTGGCTTGTACTGATTGGTTTTTAGCTCTTCTTAATCTAGTTTGACTTTACGCTGACTCAACGAATGAGATATGCCAATTTTGGGCCGTTGATTAAGGAAATGGTCTTGGGCCGTTGATCACGGAGCTGCCGAAAGGTATATTCACTGATTCTTTGGGGTCGAAAGCAGCAGAACACGCATATAAGTTGCAATTTATAAACGTTGATAAGAAATGAAGTATTCCTATATAAAAATATGAACCTTTGCATACACGTAATCGCAGAAAATAGGGTAAATACATTTAGAACCATGAAATGGGTCAGAGTCTCTGAAAGTGCTATTTGGTTTCACATTTCACATTCTTCTTCGATCGGTGCTGTTGTAGGGTTTAAGGTCGTAGAGTTTGGCTGACACAGTGAAGGACTGAAGGGCTTATGGAGCGATCCACGGTTAGATGTTTGTGTTGGTGTCGATGGCAATTGCTTAGAGTTTAAATATTTATATTAAATGCTGCATCTGAAAATTGTATCTAGATGCTGAATCTAGATACAACATCTAGATCCAGAAACTAACAGGGCCTAAATATGTTGCCTTGTATAGAATTTCCCTCTATTAACGTTGTTTTTGATGTTCTTAATTTTTAAGGAAATATTTACTTGACTACAGCTAATTGACACTAGTTTAAGCTATAGAAGATGAAGACTTACATTTATAGTCCTGTCAAAATTTCAAATCTCGTGTTGGTCGTAATAAGGAACTGCTTAAGATGACCAAAAGGTTGGGTATCTTTACATCCAAAAGACAGCACATATCTGAACATTAATGTGTGATAATTTATACACAAAACCAATTTTTAATGTTTTCTAGCTTTTTAAGCATAATGTATTGATATTGATAAATTAATAAATTGAGTTAATAAATTTATCCGGTTTCAAATTAAATCGGTTCAAAATATAACAAAAATTGATAAAATAATAAATCTATGTAAATATGGTTTCATTAATATTATAACTTAATAATTACCATAAAAAATAATTTTATATAAAATATAGGTATGATAATATACTAAAATATGAGTATATTATTGTATGTTCTTATTAAAATTAAGAACATTTTACAAAATATTATAATTTTTATAAAAATATATAAATATCATCGATATCTACTAATTCTATTGGGCTTTAAGCGAAATAAGTCCATTAGAAAACCAATCTGAGTCCTTTTGAATAACTAAACCGTTGGCTTAAACAAAATAAACCAAAACTAACAAATTTAGATACTAATTTAAACGAGAATTAATTCAAAAATTTGTAGTTACACTCTCTTCATTAATGAGATGAGACTAGTGATGAGAAGTAGAAAGTTAACTTCTGCTTAATCACCATTTTTGCTTTTTTATCTCATTCTCTTACCTAAAAACAACGAGCCCAAAATAGGTTTCACTCTCGACGAGAATCAGCGACTGATTCCAGAATTAGGAAGAAATCGTTTGTGAGTAACTCCTGTTTCTTTATCTTTGGGATCTTATGGACTTTCATTTAGTGTGTTAAAATAAAAGAAAAAACTTAAAATCTGGAATTTTTGTTGCTTGCCCATATGGTTTTCTCTTAGGTCTAGAATTTGATTTCTTTAGTAGTCGATTCGTCTCACGTCAAATAGTAACTCTTGGATCGATCTATTTCATATACAGGCTTTGGATTTCGGGTTTCTGTATCTTTTGGAATTATGAACTGTAGAGTTTTTTTTAATGAGCATTTAGTCAATTAAAACAAAAGTAAAAGCCTAAAGCTCTCGTTTGATTGTGCATATGGTTCTTCTATTGGGTGTATTTTGAGTCTTGGATTTCATTAGTATTGTGCTAAGATTTTTTTGGTATTTCTTACAAAATTTGTCTCTATGAGTAATCTGAATGATCTACTTGCAAAGGTTATAGAGTATGTGCTGACATACTTTCTAACCACAATCACAGCTGCTCAAACCTGCCTACTCTCTAGAGATTGGCATTACACATTCACTCATACTCCCTTCATTGTTTTTGAACTGCCTTCATACAACTGATGGACATCTTTTTGTAGAGTTTCTGAATAGATGCATACATTCCAGAGGAAATCAACTACAATTAGAGAAGTTCTCTCTTAACCTTTACATAGCAATCAATGAAGTACCTCATCTCAATAACTGGATAATGTATGCAATCACATGTGGAATTAAGGACTTAAGCATGTGTATATGAGCTGCAGAACCATGGGTACCAATTACCCCACCAGCTGTTTGTGTCAAGGTCACTAGTGCACATGAAGATAGGCACCACTGACTTCCTGATAATTGCTGCTAATATGCAAGAGCATCTTCCCCAGCTGAAGTCACTCTACCTTGACAATGTCGATTTTGAGAAAATTCAATTTGACCAATATGAACAAGCTTTGTACAAATATGAGTAGAGAGATGCTTTTGCGGTAGAAAATGAATGTTTTAATATTAATAACTTGCTTCATTTTCATTCTAACATAATCGGTTTTCAAAAAAAGTTATGATTTTTCAAGAAAAAAGTGAATAACTGTTTAAAAAAATGATTTTTTCCTCTTAGTTTTGAAGTAGTTAAAGCTTTTAGACTATATTCTTTCAAATAAGATTATATAATATAATATAATATAATATAAGATTAAAATATCTAAAGCAGTCAAAAACATAGAAAGGTGTATGGAAACTAAAATTTTAGAAAATTAAAAAGATTTGAGTTTTAATGAAATTTTAAATAATTTTATGTGGATTGGAGAAGATGATATAATTTGATATAAAAATTATATGAAATTCCACCTAAGATAATGAGATTTATTTTTTAATATTTTTAACTTACAAACTCCACCAAATCACTTAAAAGTACTTAATATTGTGTAAAATTTACTATATAAAATATTCTCAATAACCATGGATTTGATTTAATTTTTATAAATTCTTAACTGAATATCATGGAAGCTTGAGTGATTTTATATAAATTTCATTTTTAATAACATAAATTTTGCTAAAATATTTATAAATCATTAGTTAATATCACGCATGAAATTTTAAAATAACCACAAAATTTTTTTAAAATTTTAGTTTCAATACATCTCCATAATTTTTTTCTTATTATCTCTCAAAAGTTTTGAGACAAGCTTTGTATCAAGTACTCATCAAAGAATTTCGTGTGTCTAATGACTTCTTATTCTTGACCTTTGGCAAGACCAATGGAAACTCCGAGTTTAGTCTCAATATTTTTTGTTATCGGACGAACTTATGTGGTGAAGTGTAAGACACGTGGATTTTTGCAATTGGAGATGTTAAGATTGCCTTAAAAGTCATGTTACAGCTTAGTATTTAGATAACCGAGAATTTAAGAACAAAATTGTATTAAAAAAATTGTAACATGTAGTTTGAGTTATTATGGATCAGCTAGTCTAACCCTTGGGTGCACCTGGATTAGCCTCTCGCGTAGGGATCTGAAACTTCTCCGCCATTTTCCGCGACGATAAGCAATTGGTTTGCCCAATTCAAAGCGAAACAGGATTAAAGAGAAACCCATCACAGTAATTATAGTTACTGCCCAGAAGCAAACAATAAAGAACAGAGCTCTTGATCAAGTAATTAGTAATCCGCCATGTATGATTGTGTTTTCTCCTTCGTTCTCTAGACTCCGAGAGTTTGAGAAAAGGATAAACATGGGTGACTTACGTGGCTTGTACTGATTGGTTCTTGGCTCTTCTCAGCTCATGATGTTTGACTCTAACGTTGGCTAAACGATGATTAAGGAAATGGTCTTTGGGCCGTTGATCACGGAGCTGCCGAAAGGTATCGTGATTTTTGGGGGGTCGAAAGCAGCAGAACACGAATTTAGGTTGTCATCTATATAAAAATATGAACCTTTACATACAAGTAATCGCAGAAAATAGGGTAAAAACATTTTTGCATGCATGGACATATTGTTTCTACAAAGACATCTCGTTATTTTTTTTTAATAAAGGATTTTTAAACAAATATTCGATTCGATATATTTTTTTATTATTATTAATGAAGAGATTCTCTTTATGTACATCTCGTTATTGTAGGCTTGTTTTCGGTAACAAAAAATTGTGTTGTTTGTATTCAAATACAATTTCATATCCGGAAATTTACATAACACCCACGGTCCCACCGTCCCCGACCGATATGATGAATTGCATTATAATGTATATACTAAATGTATACGTGAAATAATTAGGTAGAGCATTCTCATATAGTTTTCTAATTCTAACTATCTTTGTGGCCGTCTTCTTGTTATATCCGTCACGTTTCTATTTTCAAAGCTAGTTAGCTAAGATGAAGTGAAACAAGTTAACATGCATTGACACTCTAAACTCTTTATTCTTTGGTAAAGGTTATTCAATTAGACTACAAGAAAAGATATTCCACGCTATGGCATTTTAATGATACGGTTTTGAAAAGAAAAACGGATACGAAAGACTAATCATACAGTTAATCTAGTTTTAAAAGACAAACAAGACAAACGGATAACAAAGATTAAGACCGTAATACAACCGTGTCCGTAGCCACAATGAGTGCCTTGTTTCCCAAGAAATTAACTTCATCCAACTCCTCGTCCATCCTCTGATCCTTGAAATCAACGCTCCTCTCGATATATACCAGCTCTCTTTACGTGATCTCTTGCATACATGCACCACGAACAATGCATAGATATTCTTCACGAGTCTCTTGCTCTTGTCTTCACGAGTCTCTGGCTTGAGATCACAGTGGATGTAACCATCTCGGTGAAGACCCCTGAGCCCTTCAAGAACCGAGAGAATGCAATGACCGATCACATTATCCGGTAATCTCCCACCAGCTTTGGTTATCATGTCTTTGAGGGAACCATGTTCTGGCATGGTTTCGTAGGAAACAATAGAGCTTGTGAGTCTTACGATGTTGAAATTGATGGAGTGAAAGTGATGCAGGAATCTCAATTATTTCTCGAGATCCTCTGAGTATTTGTG